TTTTTTTCTTTTTTTTTTTNTTTTTTTTTTTTTTTAGGTTAAAAGAATTTTTTTTGTTTGACTGTTTTTTTTTAAAAAAAAAAAAACAGAAAACATGAAATTTTGATGAAATAATAACACTTTCAACATAAGAAAAACAACAACAAGAAAGGCAAATAGGAGATACTTTATCTTCGATAAATTTGTAGATTACACCCAACGCGCCAAATAAAAGAACAACAAATTGTCACCAGTGTCGGGTGTGGAAAACAAGTCCCTGTAATTGGCTCACGTAATAAAGTGGGTCTATGAGGAAACTACAACCTACCAAATACAAACGATGGACAAAAAAAAAAAGCTTCAAAACAGACAACAGTTCGTTCAGGTACGAAGCCAAATCCAACTCTAGCACACCCAACACCATGGTATTGCTACGAACCATGCCGGCGCCCTGCTTCAGGTGTCTAACTCAACGGCCACTATTGGCCGCGGTTAGTGGGCGGCCAGCCGCGATGACCAGCGCATTTACTTCGATCCAGACCCGCGGCAAGAAGACGAAGCGCCGCGATCAGGGCGTTGTAGTTCGTCTGCTAGAGGACATTACACAATTCGGCCGACGAGATACGATTTTGCGGGTGGAGCGCGGGCGCATGCGCAATTTCTGGTATCCGAATGGCCTGGCCGAATACATGACCTCCGCTCGCATGGCTGAGCTGGGCCCTTCTGCTACTGATGCTGTCGCCCAACCCGATCCGTGGTTTGTCGCACGGCAGGATGGTGTGGAGGGCGAGACCATATCCCAAACGGAAACCAAGGCGGCGCGACCGACAATGGCCCTAAAGACCGTATCCGTACGTTTCTCAGGAAGCGATCATTTTCTTTGACTACTAATATGCAGAAGCGATCTGACCATTACTTACAGGCCACCCGTGCTGCTCTTCTCATCGAAACAATCGTCCCATCAAGCATTGTGTTCTACCGGAAACCTATCTCGACCGACACATCCGCCATATTCGGCTCCGTATCGGCCGACGACGTTACCAACACACTACGCGAGGTTCTGCAAGGCAGCCATGACGAGGAAGCCGCGCTGGTTCGTGTGGAACCACGCGACGTGCACTTCGTTGTTTCAGTGGGCACGGAGTCAAAACAGCGACACCAAGGAGATGACGAGCATGCGCCAACCACTGACCGAGTCAAGGCTTTGGGACGCTGGGAAGTGAATATCGTGGTGCGTGGAAACAGCTCTGAGCCTGCTACGCGAGTCTATGCGGCTGAGAAAGCGACTACATCTGGCGGAAAATCAGTCACGGTACGGAAGATTGTGGAAGTGGTGGCTACTCAAGAGTTGGGCCAATGAGCATGGGGAATCAAGCGCCCAATTGTATACTTTATGTTCATATATCCCGTCCATAATAAACACTGGCATGGTATTGATCCCAAAGCACGGGATACCGGTGAATATGTATGAGTGCAATAGGTAAATAAAACGATATCGTTGCCTTTTCTCCACATCGCGGTAGCCTGCGTTGAGTTTGCAATCAAATCATTCTTGCAGCAGAGAAGTCGAAAGACAGGTATTAGGCGATAATAAGCAACAAGATGGAACTGAACATCACAAACAAAAACGATACACCTGAACGAGAAAGAGAGAAATGGAGAAAACACGCCAGTAAGATTAAGAAAAACCCTGCAAATCGAACCAAAACTCTTATTTGGGCTTCTTTCCGACCTCAGCACCGTAGTCCACGGCCCATAGCGCGTCCCACACAACGCTTTGTTTTGACGGCGTTTCTGACAGAGCGCTCGTGTCGCGTTGAAGGTTGACAACCTGTCGCTAATTGAGAAAAGATAAACACAATATTAGGGTCCGAGCAAAGCATCGACGGCCCCTGCAGAAGCAGCGGCAGCTCCTGCAGGAGGAGGAGTAGAAGTAGAGTTTGAGTCCCGTACCTCGGAGGTATGTGAGGAATTGTTAGCCGCCGCTTCACTGGATTGGTCGCGCGCCACAGTGGGGCCTTCGCGAGAGGTGACGATGGTGGATGGTGCCGTTGCATGATGTGCTCCGGCATTCCTGTCGTGGCTCACGGTCGGCGCTGCGGGTGCCGTCGGCGGGCTGGCACCATGCTCAGCTGTGTCGGTTGGGGCTAAGCGCAAACTGTTGGTCTCGCTCGCGATGGCAGTACCACGCAACGACGCGGCAGCCAGGCCAGGGCCGGCTATATGGGCAAGCGGTGCTGCTTTTCTAGAACTTGTGCTCGAGCGTCGGCTTTCGAGGCTTCGCGAGAGAGTCTTACTCACGCCGTCGATACCCGTCGGTCGCCCAGCTCCTAAGCCTAGTCCCAGACCACGGCCAGAGGCCGTCCTTGCGTGGGTGTGGATGTCGGCAACTGCCTCGACATGATTTGCAGCAACGGTGCTCTTACCCAGTCCCGGTGTGGACGGTGCGCCGGGTTTGTCTTCGATCGCGTCAATCAAGTACCAGCGCAGACCATCCGAGAGATCGAAAGGGTTGTCGTTCTCGTTGTCGTCGGTGCTGAGCGACGTGGTCTCCTCGCCTCCACCACGGTTCGCGTTTTGTTGCTGTTGCTGCTGCTGTAAATTTTTGGAAAGGTCAACGACTTTTTCCTGAACACGAGCGATGCGTGCTACCAACCACTCGCGGTTTTGAAGCCTGTGTGCTTCCTGCTCACGGAGAAAGTAGTGTGGGAAACCAATGTTGAAAGCGGCCCATGCACCACTGGTTTGGTTGCGTGTGGGCAAGAAAAGGGCTAGATCGCCTTCTTTGAAGTGCTTGAAGGCGATCTTCTCATGTGCTTCCTTCTGCAGTGTGTGTGCCTTTTCACGATAACTGCGTACGTCACGCTGCATTTTTCGTGCAATGTGCTCGACTTCTTTGACCCGCCGGTAGACGGTCTCGGCCACAGCATCAATATCAAAGCTACACACAGCTGTCATGAACTCGGTATATTGGACTGCCTCTGTCTCTCCGTCGGCACTATTCATCCAATAGAGAAGTTCCACATCGGCGGCCTTTTCTCCGGCAGCGATTGAAGAAATTGGAGGAGATTCGCCTGGTCGGGTCGCCTGCAACACGCCGGAAGGCCGTCTGAGGAGAGACGAGGCACCCTCGCCACTCATGGCTGAACGTTCTGACCGGGGAATTTTTTGGATCACCATTGATTCCCCGTCGCGGGTCACAGAGAATCCCAGTCGTTCGAGCAGTCGGCAAAGGCGGTCGTTTTGGGTGTAGAGCCGCTGTGACAAGTCTTTGGCACGCAGCGTGCGCGCATCAAATCGGGCAGTCAGGCTCGCTAGGGCAGTCTGAGCGTCGCTGTGCTTTTCCTGGAACATCCGCAGCTCTTCCTCAACACCGCCAAGATGGGACTGTTTCGCGACGACCTCCTCTGTCAGCGCTTCTACTTTGCGCTCCTCCTCCTCGAGCCTCTTGCGCAACGTCTCCGATCCCGTCTCGCCGTCTGCAATTTTAGCCCGGAGCTGGAAGAGTTCTGTACGACTTTCACCAAGTTCATCCTCCAGTGTGGTAATGCGCGCCATGTTTTCCGCAAGCTTTTCGCGGAGGCGCCGTGCAGCAACTTCCTCAGTTGCTAAGGTCGCTTTGGAAGAAGCCAGTTCATCGCGAAGATCTTTATTCGCAGCTTCAGCCCTCTCTAGATCGGCCCTAATAATAATCATGTCTCCGGCCGTGGTTTGCATGCGGGCCAACGCGTCCGCCAGCGTGCCCGAAACCGCCTCGATAAGATCAGAAACATCAGCTGGCGGTATCGACTTAGTTGGCTCGAGGTCTTTGCCCTCAATTGAAACCAACTGCGCATGGAGATCGCGGAAGCCATTGGATAACATCTTCTCGGCATCTTTGGCATCCTGCAGGCGCTTTGCCGTGGATTGTGCGTCATCCAGTGCTGCCTGAACCTGCTTCTCGAGCGACTCGATTTGCTCACGCTGTAGCTTGGTCTCTTTCCGTAAAAAGTCCACCTGACCTTGGTTCTTGAGCACATCGTCTCGGTGTGTCTTGTTTAGGTGTTCAATCTCTTCCTGGGCGGAGCGCAACTTGTTGTCAAGTGTCGCCTTTTCATTTTCGCGCGACTCGTCGAAGTGCTCTATCTCGTCTTCTGTGTCCTCTAGGCGTGCCTGAAGCCGCTTGATTTCGTCTTCAAGCGACTTGCGTTCTTCTGTGAATTCTCTCTTAAGAGCCTCTAGATTCTCCAACAGGTCCTTCTTGGTGGAGTTGGTCTCGTCCATCTGGCCTATTATATTGGCGTTTTCTACCGTGCGAGCTTGGAGGTCCTTTTCAAATGCGGCCGACCGTAACTTTTCAGCGGCCAATTGTGCTTCAAGCAGTTGAACCCGCTGGGCTTCTTGAGCATCTGCGGCAACGGCGACTGTTGATATGCTCCCTCCTTCGAGTAATGTCCGACGGTCTCTTTGCAGCTGTGGCGTTCCTGGCTTGTCCGATACTGTTGACTCGGCCCGGTCGGAGAATTGCTGACTCGGTGTGGCCTGGAACATTCCGCCAAGACTAGCTCGGGATGCCTGGCTCTGGCGGTGCAGCAGGTCTTCGAGCCTACGCACACGGCTTTCAGCTGTCCTTAGTTTGTTCTCGGTTTTGGCTTTGTCGTCCTGCAAACGCCGCAGCACATCGTCGTCACCACGTACGAGCAGGCCGCTGCGTCCCAGGGCAACGTCGTGGACGCTGCCGTTTTTAAAAGCCTTGATGCGTTTGGACTGCTGTTTGGTCGGCGCATTGAGGTCAGCAATCATCTTGCCAATGTCATCGATGAGGCCGCCGTCTGCTTTCTGACGCTGGAGAACGTCATAGAGTTTTTCCAAATCCTTTCGAGTGACATTCGGCCAATCGGCTTCCTCTCCAAGAAGGTTGACCTCAAGGCCGGCAACCTGGTTTTCAGCCGACGTCACTGATGGGCCATATGCAAGGTTGCCGACCGACTTTTGCCACTTCTTTCGGCGCTTGACTTCCTCGTCGTGAAACAGTGCCATTTCGTTGGCGAGAGTCGAGGAGTCCGTCTTGACTTTGTCCAGCCACTCACGGCGCTTGATGGCTTCGCTGACAAAAGAAGCGTAAACATAAGGAATCTGCTGCACCAGGCGTAGGTAGTCAAAGTGCGCCATATCATCCTCGTTGCTGACGGCGGAAATCTGGCCCTTGATACTGCTGCTGAGGCTGGTCAAGTTGGTAATGTTGCGCATGAAATCGATGGTTTCCACTGCCAAGGCGTTGCGCGACTGTGTTGCGTAGCGGAACATCTCGTCCATTTCGGCGGCCCGTGTCTTGATGCTCGGCAGGAGACGCTCTGTGTGAGTAGCAGCAATCTTTGACGCCTGTAGCACATCTCGTGTCGATTCAGCGTACTCGAGTGTTGTCTGGTAATCGGTGCTGATTTTATTGGCGAGGGCCTTGATGTCTTCTAGTAGCTGTGCAGATTCGCCCTCATGAGACAATGCGGAGCGGTCGACGGCTCGCTCAAACCCTTGGAGGACCTCTTCGCAGCCTTGCAGTAGCTGCGGTGCGTCGCGCTCAAGCACATCGATGTTCGCGTGGAAGCGGCGAAGTGCGGCAGGCGCGAGTTTTCCGGCCTTGCGTGCCGTTTCCACATCGATTAGGTCTTCCAAAGTCGCGCGCTGCGTTCCTCCCATGGAACGTCCGTTCAGACCGGCGCTGTCGGTTCGGCCTGTCATAAACCAGAGCATGGGCGACGATATGGAAACGCTCCGCGCCAGCTCCAAGTATTGTTCCCAGCGGTCCACCAAATTGGCATAGTCCACCCTTGCACTATCCAGCCATTTCTTGATCTCGGTGTACTTATTTTCCGTACTCCTAACGACAGCCTCGAGGTTGGCAACGGCCGCATCTAGGCATCGCATCATGGCGTCCATTTCGGCATATCGTTCTTGGGCGGCGCCTGCCTTGCTGGAACACTCGTCAGCGACTGACGTGGCCCACTTCTGACGTGCGTGGAAGAGGTCTTGCCATGCGGATAGCGATCGCTGGTCACGGAGATCGTTTGGAGGATTGGACGCGGTATAATGTTTGGCGAGAGGTATTTCGAGGTTTACTATGGCGGCAGCGCTTGCCGTATCTGACTGTGTCGTGCGCGCATCGTAAACGTAGATCTCCTTCTATTGTTTGTATGCGCAATAGTCAGTTGACCGCGATGAAGGCTATAGGAGTTTTTCGCACTGCCGACTGGACCGAAGCCTACCTCTGTCTGGAAAGCGGCTAGCCGAAGAGGCTTCCCCTGGGGGGTAAGGGCAATAATGTACTCGGTTGGGATTGATGTCTGGCGGCTAACAAGCGTCTTGAATTCATCGAGGCTGGTACGTGGCGCCCTATGTTAGCTGCTTGTCCCGAAGTATTCTAAGAAAGGTGTAGGCAGCCCTTGGATATGTCGAACGTACGACAGCATTTGTGAGAAGTCAACATGTAGGCGCCGGCCCGTGTGGGCTATCAACACTTCGTTGGCCATCACAAGACATGACCCCCGAGCTTGACTGGTTGTTAAAGCCCGGGGCCCGGAGGTAAGTGTGGCCAGTAGGGTGAAGAAGGCTGTTGACGATGAAAAGACCCTGTGATGCTTGGTAACAAGCTCCAAGTGCTGCTGACCAGAGCTAAGACTGGCGGAAAAGCAAAGGAGGCCGATGCGCGTGGTCAAGCCGATGTCTCGTTCGTGGCGAAGATTTGTCGGGGATAGTTGGTAGATTGTATAGAGAAAAAAAAGTTGCAGTAAACGCTCCTACGTTTGTGGCATGGACCCCTGATGTTGTTGATGCATCTGGGAGTACGATTTATATCAAAAGTAACGGAGAACGCTGCTGCGCATCTTGCGCTGTGCCCAGACGTGGCTCCAGCCTACCTGACTAAACTACATTAGCGCCACAGCTGCCTCGTGACTGGTGCGGAGTGTTATCAGCCCCAACTTCAGGCCGGCTTGGATGTTAGAAACTTGACGCCACAAACAACACCAGCCACAAAAGGCTGTCCAGACGCGAAGCTGTATTCAAGGGCAACAACAAATCTCAAGGAGACGGCCTACTTGACACAGTGCGATCTGAATCGCGGTATCGCATAATTCTCCTACCTCCGCATTTTTTTTTTAATAATATGGCGGCCGAATTGGGGGACACGCCTATGAGCGACGCGCCAGACGAGGGTGTAGTAGGACCGCTGGATCTTTCTGAAGACGAGAAGCGAGCATTGGCGCTCTACGACCAGCTCCGGAGCATACGGCTCGAGATTGGCCTTTTAAAGGCGCGGGAATCGTTCACAGGAGGTAAGTCTTAGGGTGAGCGGTGGTTGGTAGCGAAATATACGGGGGCAAGACAAGAATTAACAAAATGCAGATGCATCGCCAGTTGTCGGTGAAGGAGATATTGCGGCTAGACAAAGACAATTGCTGGAGGCACGCGCCTCTTACGTTTTGCGTAACGAAGTGGTCGACAGCGTCCTGACAGTCAATGCTGTCCTCAAAGCTGTGCACGGCGCTACGCAAGCCTCGCCCATCGAGCGGGATCTTTTACCGGCCATCAAACAGAGAGACGCTGCGTCCAAGGCCGTTGCGCAAGAATCGTCTGCGCGGCGCGAAGCTCATGACGAGAGTGCGACGGTGGCGGCAGAGCTCCGCCAATTGGAGAAACAAAACGCTCGTCTCGCAGCGGAAGTACGGGAGCTTGCGCTGGCAATAGCAGCAACGGACCAGCTAGGTCCAGCGACAGCAGGCGACGAGGGAGACATGGACGAGGCGATCTTGGAGCGGAAGAAGCTGTTATCAGGCGTCAAGACGAGCCGGCAGCGCTGGACGCTAATCAAAGGCGCTGCAAGTGCTATCATTGTCGGGAGTGGAGTCGACTGGACAAAAGAGGTAGCTCTCAGTGATATTGTCCTCGACTCGGAATGAACTCCGTGGATGGGAAACACTCAGTCACAAGAATTGATATCAGACCCATCATTGCCTCCGGTTGCGCCATGCGGCGTGCCGAGTGACGGTTAGAGCAACTCGATGCGCGTGGTATAAACTACCGTATGTTTTGCGAAAGGATACAGTGGCATGTATTCGAGGAGTCACGTCGCGGATCAGCCAAGAGCATGGTGATTGCTTGCTTACAAGGCCCAACGATTCTCACGAACGACGACGGCCAACCAAATGATCTGAGGACCTAACGGCGCAGTCTAGGGCAGGTGTGCGAGCTGGCCGTTGTTCACACATAGATCGGTTTTTTAACATGCAAACCATACGCACGCAAATATGTATACGAAATATTTCGTCTCCAACAAACAATAAGATATCATTGTACCATCTACATGGCAGCGCATCCATTTCAGATGTGTAGGAGGGAAGACGCGTACGAGATCGACGCGTCGGGGTTTGTTTGCATCTTCACGTGACGGTGTGATTTGGTACGATTTTCTTGTTTTGACTTCGCCCAAAATGGCCTGAGGAGCAAAAAATAACATGGCGAAAATCTGGCAGCGAAAATAGGGACACAAATAACAAAAACCATGCGTCCTATTTTCTGGCGAATGGCAGCGCTACCTTGCATACACCCCCCTCTCCGCCACTGAACATGTTTCTCAGAGGTACCGCCGCCTTGCAAGCAGTGCTCTCGTCATTCGCGTCTGCGCGCCTTCCACTTGTTTCCCCATCTTCCAATCCCGCTGCCGTTGGCCTCTTTCTCGCACTCATCCAAGTACGACTATTGTGCATATGCATGGCGCACATGGGTGTACTTTGTACGTTTCTGGGCGATTGTTGTCAATTCCCACTCCGCTCTCACACTGGCACATGATACTGCCAAAATGCTGCCCCGTCAGGAGTACGAGACTGCAATGCGGTTCTCGCGCAATTTGGCTGAGTAATCTGTCACATACTCGATCACTCACAATAGACCGATGCTGGTACTTGCGACGAAAATGACATTTTGTGTGTAATAAAGAGTGCTTCAAAATTCTCAGATTTGTTTACAGGATACTTTCCGCGAGGATGTGATTTTTGTATCGTGTCCGTTGTTTGTCGCGGACGACTACGATGTACAGAGTAGGATGCTTTGATCTCTGCTACTCTTCGTTTCTACTTTTATTTTAGGCCACAATAACTTGCGGAGTGTGTCGTACTCCGTACGGCATATAGTATTGAACAAACTACCGGGAGTTTTCGTGTAAGCGAAAGTCCTCAGTCAGGGCTATGCATTAAAAGACCAGTTGAGCTCAGACGGCCTAATCCAACCTCTCTATCGAAGCGCAGATCGACGAAGGAGATAACCAAGCACTACAAGGTTAATGTCTTACGTGAAGAAGTGTGCTCGGCGTGAAACAAAACAGAATACGGGCACTTTGAGGATGGTCGTCTATCCCAACAACCAAATAAGGACGGATGGCGGTCGGAACGTAAAGGGGTTTGTGTAAGACGCTAGTAGTCCCATAACGAACGTCGAACCAGATGGCCAGAAAAAGGTACTTCGTACAAATTACACAGTACAAAGTTAGCCACGGTACCTCAAAGAGATACATACGATAAGGTACTGGTACATATGGCGTTGGCGCGGAGATACATGCTGCTCCTGCAAAATTTAAGTACCCGGTCAAGTAGGGCGGTTCGGTGGTTTGGTCCTCAAGCGTAAACAAGAGGTCCTGCCTGTGCTCCATACCGTCGAGCTCTCCATAATCCCGTAGGCTAGTTCGAGAGCTACTGCAAATGTGTCCCAGCTCCTACCACCTCAATGTAAGCAGCTTCCTTAGCGACATGTGTTATGCGGCGGAGCATTTTGCTCTTTACTATTATCATCCGAAGGCATTTTGTTTTGTGCGCCAACGCCGCCTTGGAAGCAGAGTTGATCTTTAACACGACCTATTACTTTGGAACAAGCTGCACCCCTCTCTTTTTCTTCCTTCCCCTTTCGTCGTCTTTTGTGAGATTACGAATAAAACAAAGATGAACATACACTCACCGCCGGTCCGCTTTTGTATTCGTCTATTAAGCCTTCAGTATCGCTTACAGTCGCGCGGTCAGAGCAGGGGACACGGGAGGAATGGCTTCTATCAACAAAAGTAAAGGTGCACGGCTGTTGGTTCAAAATATGATGTACGTGCGAATTCGCTGGTTTGGAAGTACACAGTACAAATTTTAGGCGGCACATGGTACAACAATTCAAGTACTGTACCCGGTGTCTGAGCGGCACGGAGAAATCACCCCTTTGCCCCAGGCCAGTCCACACTGTTGCTCACCCACCCCCTCCCTACCGGCCACCCTCATTTCCACCCGAGTCGACCTTTGAATTTTGGGGGGTTTTGGCACCGCCCACCTACACCTCACACACATTTCCCTCTCATTTCTCGACCCTCCTGGCCATTGCGCCCTTCGTTCCTACCCTTTGCTACGGCGGTTTCAGTACGCTGCTGGCCTAAGCAGACCAAAACATCACCCCAACGTACCCGCCATTGGTCTTCATACAACCGGCACACCACAACCGTACATGACCCAAGAGGGAGACACACGAAAACACGTACACACACGCCCACCCTGCCTTCCCTTTTGTCGCTCCCTCTCTGCCCACACGCGCCGCGCTCCCACCTCCCCTCTCCGTTGCCCTCCTCAATCAGCCCAACTGGCCCATAGTAAAAAGGCCCGCCTTCTCTCTCTCCCCTACGCCCACGCACTCTCTCCCTCTCTCTCCTCCTCTCTTTTCTCTTCTCTTTTCGCACGCAAAATCTCCCATACAACAGCTTCCCCCAGCAAAACACCTCACAGTGAAAGCCTCGCATCGTCCCATACAAATCCACGCCTCATTCACTTACATTCACTACCATCCCATACAACTTTGTAAGTACTTTGAAATTCACCCTCGTCCGCTGCTATTTGCAAGTCACTTCCCATGCTCTCTACTTTCGACACCTTCAGTCGCTTTCACCCTGTTATTTGTGGTCCAGTGGACTTCTTTTGCAGTGATTTGCGACTTTCGACAACGGAACAGCCATTTTGGTTTGTTCATAACCGCGTGCAAGCTCGTCTTGTGTCGTGGTCCATCGCATTCGCGTTTATTTTGCTCGCCCGCGCGCACTGGTCCCTCCGCCGCAACAAGATTGCGATTTTCTTGACAAAATAAGCGCACCTTCACAAGACTGGGAACCAGTCTGATTTTCATCCACAATGCCTTTTCATTTCCAGCATCACCAACTCCGCGATCACTTATCGCGACATTTGCAACCAACCACCACCAACTGCGCAAGATCCATTTCCACCCGCGTCGTTTCAATTTCCATTCATGTCATTCTACGCATGTCATTCTACGCACTTAAACAAATGCGACTGACATCGTTTGGGCAATTGAATCGATACGCGTGCTGTGCCCTTGTTGCCACTACAAATTGATATTTTTTATTTTCCTTCTGCGACTTTTTTTTTTCGCATTGGCAACAAGTGGATCTGTTTTGTCGCATATGGTGTGGCTCGTCACAAGGACCAGTGTTCTATGACGACGCATCTTGCAGGATCACTAGCCGGACGAATTCTTGCTAACCATTCCGAAGCATCATGCCTAAGGCCGCAGCAAAGAAGACCGGTAAGGTCGAGAAGCGCCGAGGCAAGAAGGACCCCAACGCTCCCAAGCGCGGTCTGTCTGCCTACATGTTCTTTGCGAACGAGCAGCGCGAGAACGTCCGCGACGAGAACCCCGGTATTTCTTTCGGCCAGGTTGGCAAGCTTCTCGGTGAGCGCTGGAAGGCCCTCAACGACAAGCAGCGCACTCCGTACGAGGCCAAGGCCGCTGTCGACAAGAAGCGGTACGAGGACGAGAAGGCTGCTTACAACGTGAGTCTAAGTCTCTTCACGGTTTTGATTGATTGACTCAACACTTGCCGTGCCCATTATTCAAACAGTACACTGACGCAAAATAGGCATAAGCAATGAGTTGACGGCACTATTTCTGTTTTTGTTTTAATATTCATGTGTTATTCGGTATGGACGGGTTGTGGCGCGAGGACAACTGACAAGGGATTGAGTTTCGTGTACATTCTCGGGTCATATGTCCGGCTGGTTTTTTTTTATCTTCTGCTTTTACGGGATGTACGGGGATTATTTGAATTTACTCGGGTTACGACAACATCGGCCATACCAACATGGCAGCGTCCTCTTGCCCAGTGTTGTCCTTCACTTGTATGTATTCTACATTGGTCTCTTGTAGAGAAGTGTGGACATGGGAGATGATATGTATGACTAGTCGAAGGATATTGGAGTAAAACAAGGCTGCTGCGCCAATTTTCTAGACCTGTTCTTTTTTTTTCAAGTCAAGCTTCCTCGTTGCTTAAGTTGTACTTTTGGTTTGTTGCTGCGAGGCTGGATTCGTCCCGATCCGTCCCGTTGGACACAAGTAGTCTTTTGACAGCCTTACAGGCGCTGACCGCTCTCGGTTTCTTGATATGCAGTCTGCCAGCTAGGAGCATTTGTTTACGTCTGTTTCCGTACAGTTGTATTGTAGCCCACAAAGAGCGATCGTAAGGAGAATCCATTCACTCTTGGCTCAAGTGGACGTTCGCTACGTTGCGTCCATGCACGACGTTGGTCCAAATAACGAACGATTGTGTTCCATATTTGTGCACGTCATTTGTCGGAAACGGGGACGGTTTGGGTCGTCCCAGGCAGGAAATCCGCTTTGTGACTTCGTGGCATATATTCCAGCCAGCGGTCTTCATGCAGCTTGCTCCTTCTTTAGCCACCGAACTGAGAACCATACCTGCCTTCTCCAAGCCCCCACATGCTCTAATATCCATCAATTGCCATCGCCGTTTCTCGCGCAATCTACCAGTCGTTGCCTGATTAACTTACAAAACAGACGAACCCAGGGCCTAAGGCCGCACATTATCTGCCCGCCGCTGCTTCTGTTAACCTTCACCCTCGCTAGGACGATACCAAGAACACAGGCGGCCACCGGCTCCAGCAAAAAAGTGTGATTAGTAAGCAGGGCAGACTTCAGACAACAGCCGAGAAGTAATTCTCGTTGCCGACACAGTATGGCTTGAACGCCGGTCCACTAACTTTCGCATCGACGACTTCATCTGGCAGTCCACAAACAGAATGGCCCTTTCCTGACTATTCTATTTCGATTGGCGCGGCCTCTTGTTGGATGCAAACTCCACAAGATAGATGTCGAGCCAGCCGGCTTGCATAACGCTGCTGCAAGAGCGCCGACAGGGCCTATCACCAGCCGGCCACGTCAGTCCCGCACATTTCGTGCCAAACATGGAGCGGCAGCAACAGTGGAAGGGATGGGGCGGAGAACGAAACGTAGGTCGAGTTTCTCAGAAGAAGACGTCCAAAAATGGAGCCGTGAGAGGTAAGCTGGGGCCAATGCGGTCAATGCAGGCAGTACAGACACAGCCAATGTGCGCACAAAAAAAACGAGAAACTGGTGGCACTTGTTTGCGGCCTTTCCCCTCAATCTTCATTGATTGCTGTTTGATTTATTTGTTGGGCACCACTGCGATCCTGGTGCAAAGCGCAGCCCAATGCACGCTGACGAGAAACGAGAACTCGTGCATATCTCCGCTTGCCTCATGTATTCTAGAACTCTTCTGTTGCTCTCTCGTTTCCTCCGCAGTCCTTCTTACCCCTACTGTAACTCCTCTACCGCTTCTACCAATTCCTGGCACAGCATCAAAACACGATCCCCTTGGAAAGCTTGCCCTGCAAGTCTGACGTACGGGCACGGCCACTTCACACTATCTCTCTCAAGCACGACCTTCAGACAAGGTGACAACTGTGCGTTCGTTCTCGTTCGAACTCCTGTTTTGCGACTAGGCGCAGGAGATATCATCAGCAGCCCAGCTGAGTCGTTGCATGTACTGGGAAAAGCCTCGAAGGCTCGCCAGCGTGGAATCACCAGACCACACTTGGGTATTTTATTCTGCATTGGTTGCTTCTTTGCAAGTTCATGCGTTCCCTGACCATATCCTAGAAAGAGTGCGGTTCCTTCACATTCGTGGCTGCTGTCGTCAGAGTCGGACACATTGAACAGCGATTCCTGCCTTGTGCGCGCCGTCGTCACCCAGATTCAATCAACTTTCTTGTCGTTTTTTACGCCGCCAGACTGGCATGGTCTGCCAACGACGTCGTGTATCTCTATCGGCCAAGACACCGACTTTTATACCTGTTTTGAGAGGCGCAATATTCAAGCGAAGAGGGGGAGAAAGGACGATCGGTATCTGGCTGCCGGTTTGTCGACGAACAGTGAATGAGGTGACAAGAGGCTGCCACGATTACGTGACGAGAGGATCTCAAGCAAACCGCTGGACATTCGGCCCGCTCTCTCTACGGTCGGCGACACCATATACCACCACGGCAACAATGACATCCTGACGCGCTTCAAAGCCGTCTCCTTTATCTTTTCCTTTTGTTCCAAACGCTCACGACCATTTTCTCTTATCACTTTCGCACTTCACATCCGTTTCGCCCAGTCTTTTTCTCCAGCGAAGAAAAGTTCACGAAACGTCAGCGTGTTGCATTGTCATCACATGTCCATGTCCATATTGTCATCATCAAGCGAAGTCTAGCAATGAGTGGCATGCACAACAATGGCGGCCGGGTCGCCCTGCTGCTCGAAGGATGCTACAGCGAGGCCATGGCGGCCAATGTGGTCGCTGGTTGTGTGGATAATCTTCGCGGTTGCCTCGCTGAGCCACTCTATCCGCTCATGATTGCCTTAGCCGACGAGATGCGCAAGTGTGGTAACGTTTTTCTTCGTATTCTCGAACAGGCTCGAACACACCCAGGTCGTGTACCAACCATGTTGGGCTATCTTGACATTCTATTGCCTAGCTTTCAAAAGAGCGTCGACGACATCCGCACTCACTATGAAGACAAGACCAAGAACAAAGAGATCCGCTGGCGCACCATGTACCACAAGATGACGGATGAGGCTGGTGGCATTCATTTGCCGCAACGGTTCAGCCTTTATTATCAGTTCCTGCTTCTCATGAGCCAAATGTTGATAAGGTTCGTGGCGCTTTTCCTAGCCCACCCACGACACGTACATACAAATCACCTGGGATGCTATCACTTACTCCCTAATCGCTAACATGATTCGCTCTACCTCTTGCTCTTACCAGGTCTCCGCAATTTGACATGAACGCCATGGAGGCCCTGCAAAATCGCGTCTGCCAACTCCGTGAAAAGCAGGGCATCAAGTCTCCTCCGTCACCGGCCGGCCCGCTTGTCATGTCCGCAGCAGCAGCAGTATTCCGAGACAGAAGCCTCCATTGGGCCGAAGACATTTTTTCCCGGCCGTTGCCTTCCCGGACGCCCCTCAAACACCTCAAATTCTCGGAATGCTACGGTCCTTGGAAGGACGCTATCGTGCCGAAAGAAGCCCGGATTTTGTTTCGGCGTTCGTTTGACCAGGATCGCCTCACAATCTTGGCGTTTATTAACCCTTTTGACCGTTGTCCCTACCTGGTTGTTCGCAGCCTCGACACAGGCACCAACATGTCTGCGTTTTCGATATATGGCGTGCACGAGCTGTGCATTGAGCGTGATGGCAGCTGCCTCGTCATCAAACGTTGGAGTCATACGGAAAACACCTCTAAGTTGTGGGTATTGCTTTACTTTCTTACTTGGGAGGGTAGGTACTTCTCATTCCCATGATGTATTATACCATTCTATCATAAAAACAAAAAATCAAAAATCAAAACTGACAACCCCATTCATAGAGCTAGTTCTCTTTCACTGTACCTTTGTTGCCATGAAATTTGAGGGTCCTACGGGAGCGGTCCACCCAATCGAACTCAATATCAGCCGGGAGAAGCGCCTATTCCAAGCGTAAGTTTCGTATCCAACCGGATAGTACGCACAATATCTCTGTCCTCATATCCGATGTGAAAACTAACAGGGTCATAAAGAAGCATCCTCGATGATGGCTACAGGCACTCTCTTCTCGTCTACCAGGACACGAAAACACGGGCTCTACGTTTGCATGCCACCGTTTGGGACGGCTCATTGCGACGTTGCCCTGTCTGGACTGCATTCATCACAAACCAGTCTCTGTCGCCAAACTGGCTAGTACGGAAAGACAGGAATCGCATCCTTGTAAAAGACATTGAGCTATACGTGTTTTGCAACAGTTACCGGCCTGAACACATGAGGCAGAACAAGTACAATGCGCTGGAACTAGACTTTTTCGCCGAAGAAGCCCAGGAAAGCTTCAGGGAGCTATTCTATTCACCGCCGAAAGCAACGGACGGCAGCAACCCGACAGAGTCGACGGCCCCGTCCGATGACGGCGAGCGGACAGATCCATCGAAATGAAGGCCCAATTCCATATCGCCAATGTCCCGGCCTCAATGCGTCATGAAACTTGTCCAATGTCAACACCGCACGAACAGCTTTTTGTTTTGCCCTTTTCTCTCCACATCTCCAATCTCAAAATGACCTACCCCTTTATGCTTGCACCATGTTTGTCTATTTGTATGTTGCGATCACGAATTATGCTTATGACTTTCACGGCCTGACATTCTCACATATTGATTGAGCGAAGTAATATTCCACTGGTTTTCCTAAAACTGTAGCGGTCTTGTTTTTTTTTTTTTTTTTTTTGTACTCGCACTAACATCCTTCACTTACCTTGTGAAAGACACTCTGAACGAGATGGGACCCAAACATGATGTCTCACGTTTATTAACCTACCTCCTGAGCAGTTTGTCATTCTTACTTTCTTTACCTTGTTTTTCTCGAAAGCTAATTTGATATTCGCACTTTATAGATTACGGAAATTTTAACTTTAGAAAGTGGAATGCGCATAATCTTCTTTTTATTTCACGTGACTTAATAACCGCTACGTTGCCGCAAGCCTGTTTCAATTTCTACGTGATTCACGATGAAACATCCAAATAAAAAATTTCTTGGGCGTACAATAAATACGCTTAGGTGACCTTGGTGACAGAAAAGGCTTTTTAAAGCGGGAGTAAAACCTAAAACATGAGAAGAACGAAATAAGTGGCTACTAGAATGTGTTTTGTCTCGTAAAAATGTTCGTATCACGCCACCCTCTCAAGTCTTCACATCCGGCTCGTCACGACCCACATACTCCTTGAACTTGAGAAGCGTCTTGGCCATGTCGATCTCGGGCTTGAGAAAATCTTGCGCATCTTTGCCGTACGTTTCTGGATCGCTTGTGTGCTGCTCAATGTACAGACGAATAGTTGCGCCGCTGGAGCCGGTGCCCGACAGGCGCACGACGATGCGCGTGCCATTAGCAAATGTTGCGTACAGGCCCTGGTTGTTAGATACGGAGCCATCCAGGTCCGTGTAGGAGAAGTCCCCGGCGCCCGTCACCTTGCGGCCATCGACGCTGCTGCCGACAAAGTTGGGGTCGTTCACAAGTCCACGCAGGACGCCGACAACATTGTCGGCGCCGGCAGAGTCGACGTTCTCGTAGTCGTAACGCGTGAAAAAGGTGCGGCCGTACTCCGTCCAGAAATCATGCTGGATCTGCTTTATGGTAGGCGGCACGCCCGGCTTCTCGAGGCCCAGGCCGGCAATGATGTTGAGCCAGGCAACAATAGCCCACAGGCCATCCTTTTCACGGATGTGGTTGCTGCCAGTACCAAAGCTCTCCTCGCCGCAGATGGACAGTTTTTCGGCATCGAACAAGGCACAGAAGAATTTCCAGCCGGTAGGGACCTCATAGCAGGCCAAGTTTTGGCGCTTGGCGACAAGATCGACGGCGCCGGAGGTGGGCATACTGCGGGCTAGGCCGAAAACGCCATTCTTCTTGAAGTAGGGAATCAGACGGGCGTGGTGTGCGATAATGGCAAGACTGTCACCGGGCGAAACAAAGGCACCAGCACCGTAAATCATGTTGCGGTCACCATCGCCGTCGGAAGCAGCGCCAAAAGGAACCTTGCCATTCTCAACTGCTTCGACAAGAGAGTGGGCGTAAGTCAGGTTGGGATCCGGGTGGCCACCGCCAAAGTCTGGGCTCGGAACACAGTTTTGGACACTGGTAGGACCGAGACCGAGGGCCTTGTCGAAGATGGCGGTACCGTACGGCCCAGTGACTCCGTGCAGACCATCAAAGAGCACCTTGAAGTCGGGGTTCTTGGCGAAGAAGGTCTTGATCAAGTCAAAATCGAAAATGTCCTGTAGCATCTCCACGTAATCGGCCGTGCTGTCGACAACCTCAACTTCAAGAGGGCCATACTGGCGGGTGCCAATGGTGGAAATGTCGACATTCTCCAGCTCGAGCAGCTTGTAAGCAGTCAATGCCTTGGCGGTCGCAAAAATCTTGTTCGTGACGGACTCGGGCGCCGGCCCTCCGTTGGCGAGATTGTATTTGATGCCAAAGTCGGCCTTGGGACCGCCAGCATTGTGGCTGGCGGTAAGAAGGATGCCGCCGGTCGCCTTGCGTTTGCGGATGAGGTGACTGGCAGCCGGGGTTGACAGGATGCCATTGTGGCCGATGAGGAGCTTCTTAACACCATAAGCGGCACCGATGCGGGCGATCAGCTGGATAACTTCGGGGTTCCAATAGCGGCCATCGCCACCAATGACGAGGAAAGAGCCTGTAAGGTAGAGGATGCAAAACAAAGTCAGTGGCAGGATCTTTCTGGGGAAGTCATTGCCCATTGGCTGCGGCTCGGAGCTTACCATCGACGCCCTCTGGGATAGACAGCAAAATGCTTGTCACAAAGGACTCGCTGTAGTGAGGCTGCTGGAACACAACAACCTTCTTGCGGAGGCCAGAGCTGATGCTGTTAGTAGACAGAAGACGTAACGCATGGGAGGAATTGTAGAGCCGTACGTTCCAGGCTTCTGGTCGGTGAAAGGCGTGAACTCGACGGTCTTGGCAGCCATTGTAACGGCGGGGATGGGTTGGGTCGCAAAGGTCTTTCGGGTAGGACGTGAGGTTGGTTTCCTGCGCGAGAGAAGCTCAAGATCGAAGCAGAGGACAGAGCGTCGTGATCGCTAGAAGCTGGACTTGCCCACTGTCAAATAAGGTTGGTCAATTGAGAGGTCTTATATGTAACCAAAGCACAGCCATACTTACGATGAACAGGGTACAAAAACGGTCAAGAGAGGGAAGGAATGTAAAGGAAACGCAGAAGTGAGACAATTTAAGAGCTTCGAGCAAGCTTCGGAAACGGGGAAATGGCAACCACGCCCAGAACGTGGTCTGGAATGTGGACGGCCACTGGGTCGCCGCCAAAAGGTGGGGTTGTGACGACGAAAACAGCGAGAGGGGAAGGAGACCAACAGTCGCAGCTTCTTTGTCCGGGGCCCTGGTTGGTGACATCACATCCGCGTTGTTTGTAGTGGAGACGTAGGGACAGCTCCAGGACCTGTTGAGCTGTTGAACGAACAACCCCTCCAGTGTCCTCCAAAACTGACTTTTGATATTGGCTGAGATTGGCTAGTTTGCCACCGCCAGGAACACCTCCCTAGTCAACTTTATATTGCAGTAACGGCAACGGCACCGATTTTGTCTCGAAACTAGACCAGGTTCTGTCATGATTTCTCATTTGGAAATCCCCCTCATGGGTCACAGTAATTCATTTACTATTGTAGGTTTCTATATCATAAAATACTTGATACTTCAAGTCTTAGGCCTGCTATCCTCTTCAACACAGTCCTTACCATGTCCAAGCCCGTTCAAGTCCAATGAAGCTCATCAATAATATAAAGAAAGAATAAAGTTAAAATCGAAAGTGAAAACGAGACAATTAGAGCACTTGTAAGGACCAGCCAATGCCCATGTAAGTAAGTAGTGACGAAAAGAAGCAAACATGGATGAGTTAGGATAGAGAAAGACATTACACGTCATGAGTCGTCAAAATACATCCGCATTTTCAAACCCCATCCACTCAATGGGCTCCATTGTACCGCACACCGCGGCGGCCCATCTCCTTGCGGCCGACAGCATCTTCCGGCATCACCCAACCCCGCGCCCGCTTGGCAGTACGCTTCTCGGCAAGCTGCGGCGGCGGCATCCAGGAATCACGAGGTGCAGCTTTACGGCGCGTACCCTCAGCGGGAGCGCCGATGTGCGTGCTATATGAACAGAGGAGAGGCATCGACGATGCTGCTGAAGGAGATACAGCGGCAGCCGCCATCTCGTCACTTGCCAGCATACAGAGACCCCACAGTGCCAGGCCGGCTGTCAGGGGCGTCTCCGCAAGCCCATCCTTTATGTCATCATCAACTGCTTGGGAGCTCACGGTCGTCTTGGCCAAGGGAACACTGGCAACCTCCAGCTGGCCGAACTGTGGCGTGGTCTCGGTGCCATTGCGCACGATGACAAGCTCGATCTCGGTGATCAGGAAACCGTAGCGACAGCTGTGCTCGCGCATCAGGTGGTGCAAGTGGGCCAGCCCGCGCAAGTACTCGACACGCTTAATGTTTCCTTCGGCGCGCATGCCAGTGTTGAAGCGGTCGAAGCTCTTAACAAGGCCGACAACGCGAGCGGTGGGCTTGCCACCGAAAAGCGCAGCAGCGGGGGCACTGTCGCCAGCCACATGACCAACAAAGAACTCATCGTAGGTCGAGGCAGTAGCGGCGTCGACGGATGCAGTCGAAGATGTCAGCTGAATCGGGCGCGATGACGAGAAGGCGAGCGCGGCATTGATGCGGGGCAGGTAATGCGCAGCACACAGGTTGTGCAGGTCCGACTCTGTCTCCGGGTGGATGCTGCGGGCAGGCGCGTGCGGCGTCGGCAGGAGTGACACAGGGATGGGGCACGTCAATACAGAAGATGCACCGGGCAAAGCCGACAGGTTCGGCATTGTAAAGGATGACCAGGGGCGCACCTGGCGCACATCCCACCAATAATGCTTGGTGTTGGGGTCCCGAAGAGGGAACGATATGGTGCGCACCAAGGCAGGAGCTGGATTGGGCGCCGTCAAGTATGTCACCAGCGAGGTGGTCGGTCCTGATGTAGCGGGAGCCGATGTGGCTGATGGTGGCGTAGCTGTGATGACGGGCAACGTCACTGGGATAGAGAGGGGTCCCGGCAAGACCACGGGCTCGGGCGAGGCGGACTCCACCGATAGCGGAGAAGTCTCCCGCGGCATGTACTGCTGAGGCTGTTGTTCCTGGTCCCGGTACAGGTATGTCTCGCTCTCCTGGCTGCTGCCATCCGCGGCCATGTAGTTGGTTGGCACGGTGCCTGGGTACGGCGCAAAGCCATAATCATAATCGAACTTGCCATCCAAAGTGAAGCTGCCATCAAGGCTGCATGTCGAAGCACGACGACTGTGGATGGAGTCGCTCTGGTGGTGATGGTGGTGTTGCTGCTGCTGCGGGAAAGCAGACTGCGTAAGCTGTGACAGTTGCGTCGATGACTGAACAAAGTTGGCAGGAGAGCACAGCAGCGTAGGCGGTGGGGGTGTCGACTCGAAAACGGACACGGGCGTCACAGCCCTCGCCGACGCAGCTTGCTCCTGAGTGTTGTCGACAGAAAACGACCGAGAAGCGTTGAAAGGCACAACCGAGTCTGGGTTCGTGAGGCTGCGCATATGGCGTGAGGCAGCCGCTACAGATGCAGCATACGGCTTCTTGGGTGTGGCGAGAGCACTTCGACGTCGGTTAACAGAGGTCGTAGAACGGCTCCTGGTGCTACCGCTTCCAGGCGTCATCGGGACAGGCGAGGCACGAGCACGCTTGAGAGGTGCCGTGGCAATGGTAGCGTCTTCAGGCCCTAGCGCTTGGTCCTGGGACCTGATCTTAGGGAGTAGCAAGGGGCCGTGAGTGCGGATAGGTGACCGAACCGGCGTGCTGTTTCGAGTGCTGGGTGCGGAAACAGCTGGGGTAGTCAGGAATGCCTCGGAAGGAGTCGACGAGGTATATGAGTAGGCAGAGTAAGCCGAGCATTGGGAGCTGGAGCGCACATGGCCGTGTCCATGATGATTGCCGCCGTTGTTTCCACCATAGGGTTGAAAGGGAATTTCCAACAGCGAGGAGGGATTGTAAGAGAAGGAGTGGGAGACGGCCGGCGGCGGCGGCGTGGCCGGGTCACACGACGGGAAGGTAAAGTCAAAAGCAGCGTCCGCTGCCAGAGAAGACGACATGATACAGGACTTGACGAGGATAAAAAGATCTAACTGTACGTCTCCGGGACGGCAATGAAGAAAATTAGGAATTATTGGTGATGACAGGGCAAGGAGACCAGCTCCAAGGAAGATAGTCGACAAAAGAAATGAAGGGAAAATCGAAAGGTGATGGTCACAAGAGGAACCTGTTAATATCAGGCCTGAAAGTGAGGCCAGGGGAAATGGCCGATGTAAATAGAGGAAGACGAGAAATGCTGATGGTCATCAACAGAGCCAAGGCGAGTTAGATGGGAAGCGGAGGAGAGGTCAAGAAGTTCAAAAACGACCATGAACACGAAGCTAAGGTTGGATGAGGATGGGACAGGAGGGGGAGGACTGGATGAGAGGAGAGGATATCGAGAAGACGGGAAAGCAGGAGGGGAGGAGGCAAGATACTTATCCTCAAGACACTGCAGGTCGGGACAAACGACAGGCTGAGAGGGCGAGGAGAGGACGACGAGGAGGAGCAAAGGAAAGGCAGAGAGGGGGTGTGCAGGGCGTGGGAACAGCTGCACCTCGACGGTAGTTTCTCAAGACATCGACTTACCCGCGTAAGGGGGGTACGTAGTTGGCCGGCATCGTAGGCCGTGATCCTGGTCGCGTTCGTGGCCGCGTTGGACGACGCATTCGCATCGTCGTCGCCGCGGCCGTTTGCGCGTTAGGGCTAGACACCCGAAACTCTGAAACGCGAGACTAAAAAAAGGAACTGCAGTCACTGCAACACTTGGCCAGACCATGCTGCAGCAGATGAATTCTCCATACAAACATACACGCTCGGCAATATCAGCAGCCGCGCTGGCGGGGCATTCGAGAGATGGTGGACAAAGGAAGCAAACTTCTCGCTATTTGCTCATTTGGGCCGCTTGACCTGGCCAACTGGGATATTGTCCAAAAGGAATTTGGCGCTGGGAAGGACCGGGACCAGGAGACAGGAAACAGAGAGGTAAGACACTTCAAACATGATGTTAAAAGTGGATGAAAACAACGAAGACGGATAAGTGACAGTCAACAACTCAAGAAGGAATGAGAGGAAACGGATATCGAAAAGGTACGTACCGCCCAGTTGATCCAAACTTTTTTCCTTCTGGGGCAGACAATGCTATTACAAGGCGAGCAGGGGTGTGTAAGTGGTCCAGAATCGTTCACGCAACAGCCAACCACAGCAGAGGAACATGCCGCGCTGGGTAGTGTTGAGGAACCTTCCCAGGTTGCTGCCCAAAATAAGAACGGGAAAAAAAAAAAAACGAGGTGTCGTACTGGTCTCCTGGTGTAATGAGGCGTGCGGTCAAAGCTCCAAATGGACTCTCGACAGGTCAGAAACAGAACAAGACAATTGAAAAACGAGCTTCGGACACGGTGCGATGGGAAGCTAAGGCCTGGGGTTTGGGACATTGCTGCAGATCCACTCGCTGGCGGCTTCTGTTTGCTCTCAGTGCTGATGTCGACGAGCTAAAATATGCACGTTGTGTGGGGCATAAAGCAACCCTCCTCTTGCACCCGCAGCTTCTCTGCAGGCCGCTACCGATTGCTTCTTTCTTTCTGTACATTCGTACCCCGTTTGTTTCGTGTTCCCGGTGCCGATTTGGTACATGTCTGTCTCGTTGCGTCTCCTAATTAACCATCTCTGACTCACAGACGAACACATGGCATGTACCGGAACGGCAAGGGTCATGAGGTCGAAGGGAGCAACGTAAAGATACACGTGGGGTTGGACGCGGGAGACGGGGCATGGGATCAAGTCGTGAAGGTGTCTGAAGCCCAAGAGAAGTCGAAAGCTGCGACGTGTTGGGTTCGCGATACGTTGGCGCCACTTTGGTGGACGTGATGGTTTGCCAAGCAGCGCTGCAGTTTGTGGAAAGATATGAAGGTACGGGCTTGCGCATCACGTGTGAATCCAAGCCAACCCAATCGTTTTCAATCCTTTTTTTTATATCGAAAACCTTCATTCTCACTCGACCAGTGTTTTACTCCATTTCTCCATCCCGTCCACTTGTTGTCTATTCTGCATGAAACGCAATCTCGTTCCCTCTATTTTTAACAGGCTGCCCAGCCAGGGTTTGGCAGGCAAGTCGTGAAAGAACCTTTCGGTGCATCATCCAGACAAATGTATTTCAGATTGGAGTAAGGAGACCCGCGCTTGCTTCAGATCCACAAACATGACACAGGCGCCATGGCACCAAAATAGGACGGCAGCGGGCTTGCTTGCTGGGCAATTCAGTTGTGGCTGAGTCCTGCAGTATTGGGGAAAGTAGACGATCGTCTACGACACTTTTTCGAAGAGATTGCAGCGGCAAGCTTATCCAATGTTGTGATAGAGATGACTTTTTCACCATAAAAGATGTGGCGCTCCTCAGAACCTTCCCCCTGCTATACAGGGATATACACCCGCCCGCTCACTAAAAAAAGAACGAAGCGCGCGGGAAAGAGAGGCTGTCATGGCCCAGCCATGCATCAAGCTGGGCGTAAAGTACCTTACAGGCATAAAAGCGGCACAACGATACATCAGGAATGTGAACATTCTTAATAAGATGGGTACAAATTCGACACCGCATACGACTTACGATGCACTCCATAGTCTGCAATAACAAAGCCAACACCAGGAGTCACGTCTACTGTATCAACTTCAGTGCTTTTCTACACACCTAGAAGTTGTATTGGCAGTGCTTCCCAGCAGCCTACTAAAGAGGTCACTGGCGCCCAGGTATTTACAGACGGATGTGCGGTGGAACATAACACAACTTCTCGGGTAAAAATGTTCGTCAGAGGTCGCCTCGGCGTCAGTTGTTACGATTTACCAAAAGCATCAAGAAAATGCAATATGTGTAGGGGCCTTGTGGCCGGGCCATGTCTACTGTCGCATGTTGGCTTTTGCACTCCATGCAGTCTTTTTACATTTCATATGGGCCGCGGCTCCTTACCTCCACAAAGTCAGTGGTTGTATTGTCTTCGGTGAAAGACATACACAAGCGCCAGCTCAAACTGCACCGGGCCGCCACCGTTAGACAGCCAGCATTCCCGGGGACACATCCGAGCAGGAATTCTACAGCGGCAACGGACAAAAATGAGTGCGTGTGTGAGAGAGAAACTGAGAGAGACGGAGAATGTGCATTGCATGTCTGCGGTCCGTCTCCTTCGACTGTCAGTGGCCTGTTTGTGGCCAGAATGATCTGCCGTGCCTTGTTTTCAGGTGTGTGCTTTGTATCCAGGGGTCACTATCCATACAGCCATGGCCTGTCGCTTAGCGATTTTCGCCTGTAAAATGCTTCCTGTTATTGTCCTACAACATCCCGCCATGACAGGCGCCTCACTTTGCACAGCCACGCTGGGCGCCAAACAGACAAAAGTAGGCCGTCCCAAAAGTCGCTGGCCTCCTGCAATCCCGTCCAGGACACACATGCAGCCCTATCCGCCCATAGAAGGTAGCATCAAGAGCGCAAGGTAAAGCCATCCGACAAATATACGTCTGCCACCAAAGCGTTGGCCGGCTTACAGGCCATGCTTCATGAGCAGCGAAATTACTGAGCGTCAAAGGAGAAAGACAGGAAGAATGATCACCTGGCAAGCCCTGGCGAGGACGACAGAAGCTGTAGCCGCGCGCGCTGAGCTCTGTTTACGCGCCCATTCTGTCTTCCACCAGCGCCAAACTGATCCTATGATCTGATTGGCCAAATTTAGCTAGCCAAACAGACACTCTGATACGTTTCTTGATTTCCATTTTTGGAAATACCGCCACCGCCATTTTCCTTGTCACTCTCCAAGGTTGGCCAACTGCATCGATTTCGGGTGTTCGTTTTTGTTTCGTTTCATGATGCCTTCGTGACCCGGGCAATGCAATACTACTTAAAAATCTGTTGCCCTTTTCCTGCTCCGATTTTACGTTGCACTTCGCTCTCACCCCAGCTATGACTCACAGCTGCAGAGGTTACCCTTAGCCCGGCAGGAGCTACTGCACCTCCTGTGCCTCAGCCCCGCATTTCCCGTCCAACGCGTCCGGCCACTCACCACGCGCCAACCCCGCGTCAATTCCGTGTCGCCTCCGCGTCACCGCCGCGTGGGGCCGGATGTTCCGCCTCTTCGCTGCCATACAGACGCGTCTCGTCTCGGAGAAAGACGAGACGCGTCCCGTTTAAATGCGTGTCACCCCCCGGACTGCTGGTCCAACACCACCACAAACCCACCCATCCTTCCTGCGGAACGGCACATCGACTACACTCGTTCCACCACAATCACGCAGAGATTACTCTTTTTGCCTTCCCTTCGTCTGGCTGTGGTTCCTCTCCGTGTCCTTTTGAATGGATATCTCCACACCCTCCTTGGATCTTCGCCACTTCACGCCGTACGCGGTATTTTCAATTCTGATGCCGGAAAACAAGGCAGAAGTGGTTGACTAGTTCGCTGTGCTCTGATGCGCAAGTGTATCAAGTATGTGACGAACATTCCAGAATTGGCCAGTTGTAGAGTACTGTCTGTATGCCTGGCTAAACAACATGGGTATCTATATCCAACCGATTCGGCCGCCGGCCATGAGAATCACACTCCAGGGATAAAGGGAAGAAGAATTAAAAGCGCACGGTTCAAATAATGGAGGGGTAGGTAGCGTCTGGACGTTTGCTCGGTCCGTTTTCTTCTCGTCTCACAGAGGTAACCGTCTTCCATCCTTGACGGTCTGACATGACAAAGAAAATAATTATGTGGTTGCCGAGCGTGCCGCCTTGTGCCGTTCTGTGCCTAACATTCACCACTGCCGATGCCTGTGTCTATCACGTTGTGACTCATTGTGGTGACCGCCTCGCTCGGCCCTGCCCAGTTGTCCGAAGAACATGGGACTTTCCACTTTTGGCTCCCGTTTTTCGCCGCTGGCCTAGCAAACCCGAGACGCAGTCGCCGAAGGCACCTCCATCGGTTGCTGGACACATCGTAGGGCACGCTTCATTGCCTCGAGACGGTCTTGTTCTTGCACGAGCATGCCTCGTGCCAGGTCCCGGATTGCTCGTCGCCCAATTCGTTCGTGCATGTCCTGCCAACCTGCGAGCTCGGCAGCAACAGTTTGCTGCGAGGACCGAAGCTCGCGCGATAAATCCTCGCTAGCGGCCTCGCTCTGACGAGCCCGCTCTTCTCGCTCCTCTTTCAGTCGCTGCCGCGCGTCGTCGAGAAGCCCCAACGGCCATCGCGTAGACCGGTTCATTGACTGGTACTCCCGTTCAGCTTGCTTGCGGGCCGCCTGGATTTGGAGAATGAGACGGGGTGGGCGGCCTAAGGCCACGAGTATGGCCTCCACTGTCGATTGGATAGCTAGGAAGGCAGCTCGAAATTGGACGTGTGCATTCGCCTGAGGAACTGCAAGTGCGCGCACGTAGCACTCCATGGCTGCAGTATGGGTTGCCGGAAGAAAAGAAATAAATCCTACTTCCCTGCTGAGAAAGGCGCCAGCATCACGAAGGTCTACAGTCCAGATGTTAATCAGATAGTTGCCCAGACGGATTCAAATCGAAGATACACATACCAGAGGAGGCTATGCTGACTGCATTCGCCCGCCGCATCACGCTCTTGGTCGAATGATTCACCCCGCGTACCAGCTCGCGCGCGTGGTCCACAAACTGTTCAACCTCACGTATGTCGTTCAGTGGTTCCAGCTCGTCACGCACCTTTTCGGCGCGGGTTTCTGCTTTGAGCCTGCTCCGCTGGGCCATCATATCAGGTTGGATATCAGGAACAAGAATGAATTCCCACAACATCTCGTGCTGCGCAAATGTCGGATGCATGATCATCATGCGCAAGAACCAGTCCATACGAAGCTGTAAGTCTTTCAACATGGCCCTACTCGGCTTGGAGGGAATCTGGAAAGGTGAGCGGAGGCCCGCTACAGACGGAATCCAAGAAGCCGGATTCTCTAACGCAAGCAACCGTGTCAAGTGCTCAAAGTCAGTCTGGGATCGACGGCAAGTAGTAACCGCGTAGCTGACCGGCGAAACAGCATGTCCTGACTTGACGACGAACCGCACACTTGCATCCTCGACGAAATAAGAACGGACGACCGCTGTGGTCCGTATGTCTGGCCCCGAAGGCATCGATAAGAGCGTCAGGTCGTCAATCTTATTCCGCATTTCGTCATCCTTGGCCAGCTCCACTGCCGTTAGACCGCGTAGCTCTTTGGCGCCAATATCAACACGTGGGTCACGGAAGAGTGTTTGAACCATGGGCAACCGTCCGTATTTGCTGGCCACCATCAATGGCGTGAACATTTTGTCGTTCACTGCGTTGACATCCACATCGCAAAGCTGCAGAATACGAGCTGCGAGCTGCGTATGGTTGACAATGTGCAAGAGGGTGTTACCGCGCGCATCGACATGCTCACTAACATGTAGTCGTCCACTGTCGCTCTGTGTCGCTGTCGTGACCCGGATTCCTTCGCTGACCATCTCATAGTAAGCTTCGTGATCGTATGATCGGCAGAGTGCGAACAGTGGCGTCTGGCCTTTTTTGTCCCGCTGCCGCCAAGGCATCATTGGGCCATATGACTCAATTAAGAACGGCGCATGAAACAAGTAGTGTGCAACACTACGACCCCAAATATCTTGCAGCGAAAAATAGGCAGCCATTTGATCCGGTGTCACCTCGTCGGAGTCAGCCAGGATATTGATCACCGTCATAATCAGATCTTTGTTTCCCAGCTGAACAGCAGCACTCAACAGTGTTGTTTCCTCGTGGTTGACGTCGTCGAGTACAAAGCTCACCGGAAAGTAGGCCCGCAAGCTCAAATAGTATTTGAGGGTTTCGATCCGCTCGTTCTGCACTGCCATCATGAGGAGCGACTCGCCAAGCGAATTATGTGTTTTCGACAATCGTTCGACGGAAATGTCGCCTGCGATGCTGCCATCCATATTGCTGCCAAAACTGGTGGCACGAGAGCGATACTATATCTCCGAGCTGCTTGACATACTCCGCGTATCCAAAGCCACCCTTTTTGTTCGCTTTATGGGGAAGTGCAGCGAAAAGTCGACAGTGCCGTTATCGCCTCTATCCGCTTGAAATGGAAAAACATGTCCAAGACCAGAACCCCTGGAATACGCCTCGGCCTCAGAGAGAACCAACGAAGAACGGCGTGACGTTCTGGAAGATCGTGACGAACCGGGTGCCGAGCTATTTGAGAACCCAAAGCTCGTAAGAGATGACTGCCATTCACCACTAGAAACGCGCCGCGAACTGCTGTCCTCTTCTCCATTGTCGCTGTCGACATCTCCGGCTTCGACAGCGTCATCAGGACTCGGCTCCATAATGGCTTTGATTGCATCCAAATCACCCTTCGCCGTCGCCTCCCAGAGAGATTTGTTGCGCCGACTCGCGCGCCGAAGACCACTGGAGTCGCTTATCAGGTACGTAAGTACAGCTTCGAATGTGCTTAATGCATAGCCCATTTCGCCACCGTCAACATCATCTATGAAGATAAAGTGGCGCATGTAGATGAAGCGCGCCAAGAGGTGTCGCTGTTGCGCTCGAATGATAATGTATAGAAGAAGCGACACCAGTGTGTCGGCGTTGATCATAATGAGAGGCTTCTCGGTATTTGTCTGATTCGAGTCATCTCCAGTCGCATCTTTGTCGGTGACACTGCCGTCGCCCTTCGGAGGCGAGCTTGTGAGCCGGCTGACTGACTTTACAGTCGCTAAGAGAATAGACAGCATATCCTGCGGACATGCTGCTGTTGCTATTTTTCGAAACTCTTCCACAACACGGCCCAATGCGAGGGTCACTTCATGCTTCTTTCTGGGGCCGCCGTCGATGTCCATGCCGAGCTGCGACAAGTCAACGGAGTCCATTTGGCGAATCTTGGCTTCGAGTTCCAGGTCTTCTTGTCGTTTCAGGGCACTAAGGCGGGGGAAAATGATGTGGTGTAAATTTTCCGAAATGTACCGTTCAATCAGCCTCTCCACCAGAGGGCCTGTGAGATCCGTGGTCGCACCAAGATGAGACAGTTGTTGTTTGTCAACTCCTTGGAATATATCGATGGCCGTTGTGACGGCGGTTTCAAGAGAGGTCCGCATCGCATGCTCGTCATCGTCAGGATAAAAATCTTCGCTAACTTGGCTGCCGCTGTAAGTCGAAATATTTGAGCCGTTTCGGCTGTCCGTGCCATTGGCTGCAACAGATACATTCAAAACAACATGACTGCCATTACTGCCACCACTGTTGGCGCTCTCGACGCTGTTCGACTCCGCCGCTGCAGTATTGCCCTCTAGTAAACTTCGGCTCCTTTCCACAGGTTGGTCCTGGATCTTGGCCGGGGGCCTGGAGGGGTCTGCAACACTGTTCAAGCGTGCCTTTTTCATGGTTGCTTGTATGGAACCATCGAGTTCCGAGTCGGGAATATGGCTTGCTGTGGGCGGTGGAGGAAGGGTCTGCTCAAAAGCACTCGTAAACTCCCGATAGATTTTATCCAGGCCCGGTTGCATCTGGCGTGCGATAACAGGGAAGTGGTTCAAAAGATCGTGGAAGCTTTTGATATCCTTCTTTCGTGGTGTCGAAGGACCAGAGTCATCGCTGGTGCCGGATGCACTACCGATCTTGGATTGTTGCTGTTGGGTTTGAATTGGACCCCTCGGTGAAGCTTCCCCGGCAGCAGTCGCCGCCAAAGCATTGACAGTTGTGTTACTAGGTATGGTCCGTGGGAGAATCGCCGGAATCGTCGTGACCGGCTCCCAGTTGCCAAGAAGGGGTCGCGAAATATAGTAAATGAGCCATGGCTTTGGTTCCAGCGTGTCGGCGTACCAAATGGTGTCGCCAATCAAGGTGGCGTGATTCAAACTCTTGAAACCTGTGCATAGAATTCGTTAGCAACAGTCACCTTGCTGCTACCATAAAGTGGTCTTTAACTGGCATCCTAACCTTTGTTGCTGTAAACAAGGTTGTCCTTGATAACAACGCTGCGACCGTTGAAGGTGCCGTATGGTTTGGCCTTGCCACGCATCTCCCGTAGATTAACACCGCCATCCTTACCGCCGGCTGCATTGGCTGCTGCCGCTGCCACCCGGGGGTTGGGCATGCGGATGACATGGCTGGCAAGGAACTCATCCAGGTTCGGGAGCTCCGCCACGGCCGCGTTGCCAGACTCTACGTCGCGGCATGTCAGCAGCACCTCAGTTGTCGGGACCAACAAGATGTGATTGCTTGTCGGGTTGCACTGGGTCGGTAACGAGCTGTTGAAGAATGCAGCGAGGAATGGGTTCAGGGGGTAAGGCATCGTGTCGTCGACGGCCTTGAGGCTATGCGCAGTGGCCTCGGCACTGGAACAGTCGCTACTGTCGCGCAATCCTATCACAAGAGAGAGACTGGCGTGTCTTTTGCCTGTTGATGCCCGTACTGTGAACTCAGCGCTGGTTCATCCCACGGCGGGTGGCGCCGGCCGCTGTTCCTGGCATCAGGAGCGGGTAGGGCCCAGCAAGCAGAAAGGAGCTATGCCAGCTATGAAGGAGCTGTGGCTCGCCCTGCGTCTATCCAGCTCGATTGGTTCTGTGTCGTTCAAGCGGGTGTGGTGGAACAGGTCGTGCTCTTGGAAGGACAATGGTGAAATCCTATCGTGGGAATGTTAAGGACGGATTTGTTGTTTTCGATTTTCGACGCTTGATGCAGTCGTGGAAATGCAAGCCGCTGTAAAAATGGAGCCCGCAGCACTGACTTGAAGTCTTGTCCTCTATGGCTTGTCTTAAAATCCGCGGCCAGGGTGGTATTAACGGGGATCTAGGCAGGAACATGCCGTTCGCTGTGTATTGTTGGGTCGAGGCGGATGGATGATAGTTGCTTTTGTTGCTTCTGTTGTAATAATGGGCAGCTTTGCAATTAATGAGGGAAATCGCTAGGTCTGACGAATGCTCGGTATCTCTTCCCCACTGCTACAGGTTAGCAGCTCTTACCTAAACAGGGGCGAAGGAAAAACGGACCTGTGCCGTTTCTGCGGAACTACTGCCCAGAACAGTAACATAGCCAATCAAGAGGCCCTACCATATGAAATAAGCCCATGCATGTTCTTTCCTGGCCTTGGCCTCAGTACGGGCGCAATTGCCATAGGGCTTAACTCTGGCATCCTGACCAGGTTGGCGCCCTCGAGCTCCACTTTATTTGCAAGCTACCACTACAGCTAAGCAGCGTGTTTGTGATCAATATTCCACTACGAATGTAGACGGGACGCTTAGAGTGTCCAAACCTCTTTCTGATGTTTCTTGTTTGCCGGGAGCTTCCTTTGCCGTATGCCACAAGTCATGGTCCGTATGTAACAAATAAAATATTAATAACAAAGTAATATGCGACTAGAGAAGACCATGTTGAATTTTGATATGAATCAAATTTGCTCTAATTTTTAATTTTTTTATTCGTATATTTATCTTTCTTTTGTTTCCGTTGCCTTTCTTCGTTTAATTTTATATTAATACTTTGTTTAAGCTGACAATGAAGTGCCATTTTCTCAATAATATTTTAATCAGTCCCAGTGAAAGAATATGCTAAATTGCACATTACGGGAATAAACAAACTTAGTATGTGGTATCGACAAGCAGTCAAAACTCCTTGAGAACTCCGTGAACACCTTAAGTACCAAAAAATACAAGACTCGTAATTATGTACAATGAACCGAAAGGTAAGTGGGCGTTAGGCCATTCAGCAAAAGGAAAAAGAATAGGAAGATCATTGAGGAAAAGCAAAACGGGGACAAGAAAATAGGAAGAAGCCATGATGATGCAAAATACCGACCACGGTCTACACCTTCATTTTCTACCCATGTGGCAATTACATCGTAGGGACCCGCTCGGATGGCGGCATAGCATTGCCCGCAGAGTCCCGCGAGAAGCTGGTTCGCCCCTTCCCCTTGGTGCCGCTGCGTCGGCCAGACTGTATATCGGCGTCGCCTTCCTCAAAAGGCTCGGGGTGGTATTCGTCAGATGCTCGAGTGCCGGTCATACTGGACCGAGCGCTGGTTGGGGGGCTGTCCAAACCAACGAGGTGGATCTGATGTTGTGAAGACTGCCGAAGCATGCTTGTTCGTTCGCCATGCGCATCGTCATCATCGTCGTCGCCGTAGGCGCTGTAGGAATCTTCGTAACCGTTGCTGCCACCTCCTGGGTGCAGCAGCTCGCCATCTGCAGAATCGAACTCGGGCGGCTCCACCCACTCACGCGGAACCAAGCACGGGAGAGCCAACCCGATACTAGCAGCGCGGTTGAGCCATGCGGGACCAGGCCGCCCTGTCAATTTGCGACACAAAAAGGCCGTGAAGTGGTTACAGTTTTTTGTGAGCAGGTTGTAAGACGGGCCGTGGAACGCCTCCGAAGCACTGCGGATAATTGCGTCAATCTCAGCTGGCGTTGCCAATGTGAACCCTTGTAAGATCTCGCAGCGAAATGTGCCACCTGGGGGTTCATGGCGCGGGCTTGTCCAGTACACGCCTGTTATACCGTGGCGGTCGTGGCCCCCGTATGCGTACTCACGGCCGTTGATGACAACGCCAGAGTGAAGCAGGGATGTGCCCATGTGCCACAAAAGAGAGGACCACCGGCTAGGCTGAAGCAAGGAACTGGGTTAGTAAACGTACACCAAGAGTATGATTTTAGAAGAGTGGCGAAGCATACTGTGAGAAGATCGTAGACATTGATAACAATTTCGGTCTTTTGTAGCGACAGAGTCGACCGGTGCGAGGCGCGGGAAGATGTCTTCTTGTACTTCTTAGGAGCCATGCCTGGAGACGTGCATGAGCGTGAATGAGGATGGAATACAACGGCGCTCAAAGTTGCTTTGTTCAGTAGGATTGCCTGTGATGAAAAGCAGTAGGTCGCAGACAGACGAAGCTTCCAGAGAAGACGCGAAAAAGCGGAATGTTCTCAAATATCGACTGTAGCAGTCTGGTATATGATCAAAGCCTGCGAAGTCGAAGAGGTAAAGAGTGTGAGAAAGGAGCTCTTCCAAGATGAAACGAACGCAATGCCACAATCCGTTGGTAGAGACTGGCAAAAGTAGACTGCGCCTGACTGTAGCTATAGTGGTAAAAAAGGGACGGTTTAAACGATCGGTTGGCTCACGTACAAAGACAATCGAGCTCAGAGTGTGTAAAGTTCTTCGCGAGTTTGTTGACGAAGAGAGGCATGTTCTTTTGAAAGAGAGAAGAGAGAGGGGCGAGGTTAAAAGATGCAGCATTACAAGGCTCACTCCGGAAGGTGCCTATCAAATTGGCCTGGCCGCAGCAAACTTGCCAAACCGAGCATGACGCAGCCCAGTGGTAGCTGAATGCGGATGTACTAGGCAAAAGCGTGGTTTGGCCCACCCTTGACTAGGCGAGGCGAAGCGGGAGACCGGAAGAAATGTTTGTCCATCGCCGGGTCTTGACAAGTTCACTAGACATCAGCCTCGATGCAGCCTCTCCTTTAATGCCCCACCTTTGCATTGAGATGGCGCTCCACTACGCAGTATACTGGTCCCGCCAAAAAAGCAGAGCGGCTGGGGAGAGATCCCAAGTTCATGCAAAAAAATTTGCTTCATTACAAGCTCGTTAGAAAACACATCTGCAACAATACATTCAATCCCCCAGCACACGCACCGCCCTTTTCCGTAGAGAAGGAATTTTCTCTCCTCTTCTTCGCTCTTTTCTACCTGTGTATTTCATTTAGGGGGCCTTGAGGCTGGAAACAGCCAGCCTACCCCACGGTCGCCCAAGACGTCGGCATTCACCTGTCTTCGCCCGTGCGCTGGTTCAACGTACTCGTTCGCACAACCGCTTTTCCACCCATCTCGAGCTGCAGCCCGGCCTGTACTTGTCCTTCTATCGAAATCACTCCTCCCTCTTTGCACCGCACGTCTCCATAGTCGAAAGACTAAAAACGGCAGAATGCCCCCGAAGAAGGCTGTCGTCGAGGAAAAAATTCTGCTGGGCCGGCCCGGCAACAACCTGAAGAGTGGCATTGTCGGTCTTGCCAATGTTGGCAAATCAACGCTTTTCCAGGCCATCACCAAGAGCGACCTAGGCAACCCGGCCAATTTCCCTTATGCTACGATCGACCCCGAGGAGGCGCGCGTCATCGTGCCGGACGATCGCTACAACTGGCTGGTTCAGAAGTACAACCCCAAGTCGCGTGTTCCTGCCAACTTGACTGTGTATGATATTGCCGGTCTGACGCGCGGCGCTTCTACGGGTGCTGGCCTGGGCAACGCTTTCTTATCGCACATTCGCTCCGTCGACGCCATCTTCCAAGTTGTGCGGTGTTTCGACGATGCTGAGATTATCCACGTTGAGGGTGACGTGAACCCGACGCGGGATCTTGACATTATCAGCGAGGAGCTGCGGCTGAAGGACATTGAGTTTGTCGAAAAAGCTCTGGAGAACCAGAAGAAGAAGACCCGGCAAGGTGGCCAGAGTTTGGAACAGAAGAAGGCGCGCGAGGAGGAGGCCACGATTGAGAAGATCTTGGCATGGCTGAAAGACGGCAAGGATGTCCGGAAGGGCAACTGGACGCCCAAGGAGGTACGTATTCTTAGCCGCATGCTCAATGCCCTAGTCGTGCCATCTTGTCTACGTTTCAACTCTTCCGTCACACTGCAACAACCTTCCCCCTGCTTTTTTTATGATGACAAAGGGCCAAAGCGCCTGAACTTATATAAACCCAGCTCTTCGAACAGAACCAGCTCGCTGGGGACGTCATGAGATGAAATTTCTGTCTGATCGTGCATTGTTGTGCAATTGCGTGTGTACCCTGCACTGCCCAGCACGAGATGTGATTCACTATCTGGGCACCTGACCCCTGCCTGCTGTTTTTGCTGCTTGCTAACACATGATTCCAGATCGAGGTCATCAACCCTCTGTTCCTCCTGTCGGCCAAGCCTGTCGTCTACCTCGTTAACCTGTCCGAGAAGGACTTTATCCGCAAGAAGAACAAGCACTTACCCAGTGTCGCGGCGTGGATCAAGGAGCATGCTGATGGCGACCCGATCATCCCCATCTCTGTTTCCTTCGAGGAGCGTTTGACCCGCTTCGAGACGGAGGCCGAGGCCGCTGAGGAGGCTAAGAAGCTTGGCGTCGAGTCCGTCCTGCCAAAGGTTATCCTGCAGATGCGCAAGGTCCTCAACCTGGGTAGCTTTTTTACTGTCGGCCCCGACGAGGTGCGCCAGTGGACCATCCGCAATGGCACCAAGGCGCCGCAAGCAGCTGGTGTCATCCACACGGACTTTGAAAAAACGTTCATCCAAGCCATCGTCTACAACTACAATGTTTTGCATGAGCTGGGCGACGAGTCTGAGGTCAAGGCCAAGGGCAAGGTTATGACCAAAGGCAAGGACTACGTTGTTGAGGACGGCGACATCCTGCTCATCAAGGCCGGTGCGGCCAAGAGCTAAATAAAAGATGCCCCGTCTGTCAATTGCCCATGTTTATGAAAAGTAAATATACTCTAAAAACGCCATGAGGTTGACAACAATGCACCTTATAATTCTACGAGCTATTTCTTTCGAAGATGATTTGTACATATGTTTCTGCGCCTTAAATTGTCGCCTGTGTGTGGTCTTCGCTGCTTCTGTGTGGCTTTCAATTTATATAGACTAGTTCGCCATTTCCGTTAGCCATAGGGAAAAAAAGGCTTCCATTTGTTCCTGGTATGACTGTTAAGTGTGACGCATATGATTGTTTTTAGATACGCTGTTTACTTGGGAGAAATTCTCGTTTACAGCATATGTTCCAGGAATGTTTTGACGCAATGGGTACGAGCTGAAACTGGCAGTCAAATTGGAACCTATGCTGAGATTCACCGATAGCCCAACCATTTGGTGTCTACATCGCAACATAGAATCTGACAGATACTGGATTCCATTACAGCTGCAGCCGGGTTCTGATTCCACACACGGTAAACCACAGCGCCTTTCAGTGTGCCACCGGCCCAGCCTACCGGCCCCTCTGTGGCACTGCATGAATACTTTGGTCGAAGATTTGAGCAACCGACGAAGCCGTGCGTGGCGCAACTAGCAGGCCGTTAGGCGACGGAAGTGTATGATATTTCTTGAAGCACCTGGATGTACGATTTACTCCTAGTCTCATGAAAAACGACGTACAGATGAATGTCTGCCCGGCGTAATTAAATGGTACTTCGTGGCGCTGACCTGCCCCGAGTAAGCCCTGTAATGACTAGGGGACGACACCTGCTGTGGATCCTAGCGATTGCTGCTTCCGCACTCGTTTTGGCTGTATTTAGGCACCTGCCTCTTCTGGTTCATTAACAATGTGGTCCTCGGCGTTTGCCCGGGCTGCGAACAGCTCCCCAAAGAAGAAGATGCACCATTACTTCGTACAGTTGTGTTCGTGTTAGTCTTTCCCGGCCGAGGCTTCTTGCAAAACCGACGTCCCTTCTTTCCAATCGGCTTATTTCACAATCCCTCTCCTCTCCCGATTCTCATTCTCTATTCACACTACCCTATTTCTATTGTACTTTTCAACAGCGTCGTTTGTTTCTCTATTGACAGTCTCGACACTCTCATGCACCTTGCGACCCGCACCTCGGCGCTGGCCCTGGTGCCGTTATTGGCTCGACCAACAGTACCTTTTCAGCGCTAGGAGTAAAACTTCATCGACTCAGCAATGATTCGCACCTCGGAAACACTAGCCGGGCGCAAATTTTACGTCGTATTAAAAACAAACTTGCACTGCAGGCAAGAAAATAGGCCCAAACAACCCGGCGAATTCGCCATTGGCATTAACTTTGCACACTCACACTGAGCATTACTCTTCTCGCTTTCGCCCGGGCGTCGCAGCCTTTCTCCCCGACCGCCGAATGTCCCGCGGTTTCCGCCAATTCTGAGCGCCACGACCGCCACGACCACTTTTGTCACCTTTGCGACAAAGGCCGCGGCATTGTCCCTACCCTGTTCCTCCCCATCTTTTCCCCGTCTTTTCCTACATCTGGTGTGTTTCCTGTGTTTTCTCATACACATTTCAAAAACCCTACGTACGGTCGTCCCCTCTCCGATAGAGACCAGCACCTATCGAGCCTTCAACATCACACTCGAGCATCCGCTTATCGTCCGCATTTGAGCCTGCTGCAGAACACTCTCTCGGGTCAGATGCCAGACAAGGGCCTTTCCGTCGCGACCTACGCGGCTGGAGCGTCGCTGGCCACCATTGCTCTTGTCTACGTCTTTGCGCCCACATACTTCATCGACAGCACTCCTCACAGCTCCAGCAATCCCCTCTCCGCCCTTACAAATCGTAAGACGGGTGTTGTCGGTCTTGCAAATGCCGCGAACGACTGTTTTATCAACTCCGTTCTTCAGGCACTAGCCGGTCTCGGCGACCTCCGAATATATCTCATCCGTGAAACACACCGCCGCAAAATTGACGACGCTGGCGTCTACACCAATGCTGTGCCCCATGATGCCGAAGACTCTGGTAGCGAAGGCGGACCCGGCCGACGGCCCATGCCTGTGTGGAAAATCGAGGGCCTCCAGGCCGGTCTTGTCTCCAAAGGCCTCAAAGACATGATCGACCGGCTAAACGAGCGGCCGATCTACAAGAAGGTCATTACCGCCGGGCCATTTGTTCGTGTTCTCGAGATTGCATTCCAGCAGCGCATTAGTCGCCAACAGCAGGATGCGCAAGAGTTCCTGCAGGTCGTGGCCGAGCGCTTGTGCGATGAATACCATGCAGGGCGGCGGGCGCGTCGGTATGCGAGACAGCAAGCGGAGAGAGGGGTCTCTACAGGCGCACCTGTGCTGGGGGCGACCGGTGCGAATGTGGCAGGGCCTTCTGATGTGCTGAACAGCAACGCCGTCAACGAGAAGCTGGCCAGCATCGCCTCCGCCTCGGGAGGTGTCCAAGACTCACTATCAAGGCACGAAACCAAACGGAGTGAACTGGGCACCGGTGCCGAGAACGACGACACCAGAAGTGAAGAGGAAGGCTTCCCCATGGAGGGCAAGATTGAGTCTCAGATTGAATGTCTCACCTGTGGTTTTAAGCCGCGGCCTTCTGAACAGGCATTTTGCACGTTGACGCTTAACGTGCCGCAGACCTCGTCCACTTCGCTCAGTGCTTGTTTTGACTCCATGCTGAAGACGGAGTACATTGACGAGTTCAAATGCGAAAAGTGCAGGCTTGTCCATGCAAAACAGATGTTCGAGGCCGAGCTTGCCAAGTCCGGTTCGGAGTCATACCGTAACGAGGCAAAGCAGGCTATTGAGACGCTCCAGCAGGCCATCGACACCGACCCGGAACGGCCGCCGTCTGATATCGCCCTACCCGATGCCCGTTATGCCCCTAAACGGCGTATTGCCAGACATTTCCGCCTCGTCAACTTTCCAAAGGTGCTCGCCATCCACCTCTCACGCTCGATCTACGACTCATCCAACCAGTCACAGAAGAACTCGGCCAAAGTTTCCTTTCCCGAGCGTCTTCCTCTGGGCAGCATTTTAAACCAGCGCAAATACAAGTTGATCAGCGTCGTAATGCACAAGGGAAGCCACCATAGTGGTCACTATGAATCATTCCGGCGACAAACAGTTGCCCCGCCCTACTCGAACCCGAACACGTTCCAGCCTTCTCAGATCTACTCGCCATCCAGTAGCCCTGCGGCGACGACACCAAAAATCGGTTCTTCAGATGCTTCGCTTGGCATCAGCTCGCCATCATCGGCTCAACTAGTGGACAATGGTAGTCCGGTCTCTTCTACGGCAGAACTGCCCCAATCAGCAGCCGTCGAAACGAACGGCAGTCACATACCACACGACCAGCTGAATTTTCTACCCCCCAAAACAAATGCTGCAATTGGTAGGACACCGCGACCTTCAAGCTTGCGCGAACGCTCGTCGTCATCAAGCGCTTTGCCACCGGCCCCTACCTCGGCTCCTCGTGCACTTGCCAAGGAAGAAGACAGTAATGGTAGCAGCAACAATAATGATTCGGCCGGAGAAACGGCAAGCCTGCGGTCCATCACTCGATCGACCCTCTCCAGAATCACGTCTTCGTCTCGAAACGAAAGTCGCGCTAGCAGCCGTGCTGGGAGTCGCAGTCGAAGCCGTAATGGGAGACTCACCGGGCGTCTCGCGCTGCGCCCCGGGAGCAAGGATGGCTCTGCAACAACCAATGGTGTCACCAGTAGCGGTAACGGCGCGGCTAGCAAAGGGAAAACACCTTCGACAGCATCCAACCCTGTGCTCCAGCCTCGACCTAAAAAGAAGAAGTCGCCGGACCGATGGTGGCGGATCAGTGACGAGAAAGTGCGTGAGGCCAGCACGAAAGAGGTTCTTGGCATGCAGCGTGAGGTATACCTACTCTTCTACGAACTGGAACGGGACGCTTACATGGGCTGAGAATAGAATTTGATAGAGTCGCTTGCTGCGTTCGGACTGGTTTTTCTTTCTTGTTCATTTACATTTCTGTATGGATATTAACCTGATTTTTGTTGTTCTTGCTCTTTTATAGCGAACTGTTTGGTTTCCGCTTGCATTAAACGAGTCACAATATAGCATAATCGGCGCTGCGGTTGCGTTTGTCGCTTTTATGTATCGTCCGATAACTGGGCCTTCTGCTGCTACCTGCATTTCTTCCTCTTCGTTATGGAGCTTGTCACTTCGGCGTCTCACCCAGCGAATTTGAGTAGTTGAAACGATGCTGCCTCTTCATCGCTTTCAAGAGCTTGTGAGATCGGCTGCTGGTATTACCATAAGAGGCTGGGGCGTATGAGAGTGCCAGACACGATGACATTGGAAAATGCAGGTTTCTGACGCTTTTCCTAGTTTTTGTCGTTCACGATGTGCTTGCTTAGTATGCTCCTATAAGAGAGGGTCGACCGCATATTCGACAACAGCTACAAGCACAGGATAACTGCGCTCACGGGCAGCGCCGTAAAGGCCATGCTCATGACCGTGCTAATCTTTAGAGAGGCCAAGCACTCCTCGTTTCTTCCCATTCCATGTATAGAGCTCACTTCCATCCATTTCGCGCAAAATCGTCATCTAGAATGGTGTCTGTGGCCACGTTCAAGCCGAGCAATTTACGTACTAGAGTAAATTGTCGTATTGTAACCATGGAGTTTCCTATTTCTCGATCTTCGTAATGCTACTGATTCGGGTCTCGTCGGGGACAGATCAGCCCATTATTAACTGTACGATTCACGAAGCGACTTGGTATGCGACGCATTAACAATCACCAAAAAATAAAAAGAAATGCTGACATGAAGGGACAAAACATATATTGTGCCTCAATTTCAATCGATTTCTTGATTATTAGTAAAGTAACGCGCAAAACAAAGTGGCATTAGCAATAAAAGTTATTACACCCATGTTTTCAAAGCTGAATAAAATAAAACTCAAGACAAGATCAAACCAAGACATACACTTATGCCAAACCCAATTATGCAAAAAAGCGCTGCTACGTATGCTTTTAGTACACTTCATGTGAGCCCGAATTAATACGCTTTCTGACGGTGATATTACGCGTCTCCTATTCACGCTGACCAAGGAACTCCTCGGCCATCTTGCTGGCCTCGGCTTCGGTGAGCGGCGCCGCCTTCTTGGCCGCCTCTGCCTTGGCACGGTCGAACCGCCACAGGCCGCCCGTTTTGTCACTATCACCGTTCGGGTGAAGCCCGACATTCGCAGCCAGGCTATCGAGGACAGGGTCGGACTCGCCTTCTGGCACGACAGAGAAGTACCGGCGCTCCCATGCACGGCCCTCGGCCTTTTCGCTGGCGCGCATCTCGCGCTGGGCGTTCTCGATCTTGGTCTTCTCAGCGCTCAGCGTGTCAAGGTCGCCCTTGGCCACAGCGGCAGCGACATTCCGCCACGCGCGGCGGCTCTCAAGGGGGTGCTGCTTCTCGATCGGCTGCACGTGGAGAGGCAGAGTCGGGGACTGAGCAGGTTCGAAGGTGGTGACGAGAGTGCTGCTGCTGTTGGACTTGGCAGGGCCCTTGTGAATCGAAAACGCCTTAGTCCACTGGCCCGACGCGTTGTACAGAACCTCCTTCTCACGGCCGGTCGGGTACAGCACAGCGGTGACGCTGTTTTTCTTGCCGCTGAGCCAGCCCTTGCCGCTGTAGTCGATGCGGGCCGTGTAGCCAGTGGACGATGTAATGTAGGAGCAGCCATCGAGCTCAACAAAGGGCGCGCCGAACAGGAGGCCCTCAATGTGCAGGCCGGGGAGTGTGATGAGGTACTTGTCGGGCTCGGCATCGCTAGCGCCACCCTTACTGCTGGGGACGGGCACAGTCAGGACGGCATGGCCGATCTGCTTGATGATGATGGTGCTCTTGAACGAGGCTTTCTGGGCATTGTAGCCCTCAAGGTGGACGCCAGTGGGCACGTTGGTGATGCTATAGGCGGTGGCGGGTGGATGATGGCTAACCTGCTCGCTGACCAGCTCGGTGGTACCAGAGCCGTTGGGGGCCTCTGGGGACGCAGCATCGTCCTCCCACGTGCCGAGGAACAGCTCGCCGAGGAAGGGGTTGAGCGGCTTCTTCTCATTGCCGTACTGCTCGCTGCGGCTGGCATAGTGCTGCTTGAGGCAGGCAAGGAACCACTTGAGCACCAGGACAGCACGCTTCTCCGGGTCGGGCTCGTGGGCGGGGGCGGAGAACAAGGCGGGATGCTCGGCCCAGTACGAGCTGAACTCGGTCAGACTCTTGGCGGAGACAATAAAAGGCGGGGCTGTCAGACTGGAGAGGTCGCCGTTGAACGATGCGATGGACTGTGGAGACGGTTTCAGTGTTAGCAAAATGAAGTCGTAGTATGTCGTAGGATGGCAGGAGAACTGTCTTTGTGTCTTATCGTCCTATACAGGGCGGGGGCGCATTGCTTACCTTGACGAACGAGGTCCAGCTACTGCCGCTTGCTTGGGCCGCAGGGGATTGCTGGGACGTATCCATATTTTGAAAGGAGATAGTTGGGTTTGGTGAGGCTCGGTGGAAAACGGTTTCGTGACAAGATGTTGAGAGCTGCAATGACCTTAAATTGGTTCGGAGTGACGATTTTTTTTTGTTGAGGGGAACAGGACGTTAAGCCCACGGAGCACAATGCAGTACTCCGGACAGTGTTTTAGCGGTTGGGTGCTTGGCTGGTAGTGGCTGGTCGCGTGTGGCTCTGCAGGGAAGGAAGAGCGGGTCGTAAAGTGGGTTCGGCGGTGAGCACGTCGTCAGTATTGTCGCGTGAGGAAGGTACGGATGAAGGCCTGTGAGGAGGTGGAAGGGCAGTTAAGTAGTGCCTGAAAATCGAACAGAAGTGTGAGTGAAAATAGTAAGACACAAAAGAACAAAATCTGTCACGATTGAAATGGAAAGGATGAGAAAGAAGTAGACATCAAATAGGACTGGCGGCGATGACGACGATACCTGACAAAACAAGGTTGGCGGCCAGCAAAGTTGCGACTGAGACAACTGGAACAGCCGAATCCGGGGCAGGAACTGGAATGTGTGCTGCGCATCACTGAAGCAGGTGTTGTGGGTCTATTTTTGGTGGGGTTTCCCATTTGCGACACAGCCTGACAGCCACGAGTGTACGTCCTTTGACGTCAGAGTTGGAATTATTTGCGCGGGAAGTCACCTGACATGTTGAGGCAATTTTGGCGGCTCTTGATTGGCTCAGGCTTACACGACGTCTGAGCTAGGTGGTGTATTTTATGTGAACTGACTGCAATAAAGAGAGAGAGAGATATGTTGACAATACCTTGATACGAACTAAAATTATATAGCGGTGCGAAGAAGAAGACTTCCTTATATGTGAATTATGAATTATGGGTAAACTAGTGCATGAGATCTGGTTTTGGTAAAAGCCTGCTCTTTGGATTTATGGCGGTATTTACATTAACCAATGTCAAATGAAAATATGTTTAGATGGTACCTACTCGGTGCAAATGTGAAGCTTGTCTGTTAAGAATTTCGCACTGAACGAAATGAAGCAAATGTTGTCATGTTGTGTGGCGTATGTTACCATCGGCAGGACAATAAAATCTTGCTCTCTCCGGACCTTGGCTGAGTCTCGCTTGAGCTGCGCTTCTTCGTGCTGCTACCACTATTGGAAGCATTCCTTACCGAGTCCGTTGAGGTCTCAGGCTCTGTCCCTTCATGTGCGCCAGGAAACCACCCTTCGCAATGTCCTTTGACGTACCAAAGGCGTGATCAGCCGACGTGGTGTCCGCAAATTGTACGTCCGGCTCCAGACCGCCCAGCGGAGCAAGGCATCATCCCTCTTTGCAACGGGACCTCGTCATAGCTCGACAGACAAGATGCTCTCGGCAATCTTAATCAAAAGACGCAGACAGAACACACCTTGGTAGCTGTGCCTTTTCAGGATTCGATTTTGTCACGTCCATACGACCGCCCAAGCCCTATCGATAGGTCTACCCAGCTTGGCTGGCGTTTACAGCGCTCTCCATCGGTGTTTTTAACGACGGTGGTTGCGTCTAATAGTCGCTATCGCTGATATCCACACTACATGAACGAGTGTAGGAAGCATCAAGCCTAATAATAGATTACTGTGGAGAACAAACAGCTGGAGAACCTCTGGCGTTTTCACATGATGCTGTCGGACCAAGCAAAGCCACCAATCGCGCGTATAACGACAAGATGCCCCAAGACATCAGAGCTGTTCTCGGTAGTTCTGAGTTGCGATCCCGAAAGCTGGCAACGGATTGACTGTCAATTAGTTATCTGACAAAATGAGTTTGAAAATAATGGAGCATGGTGGCCAGCTGTATGCTCTCGTCATTGGTCGCTTTACACAATCAGCACATGTCTGATCATCAATTCGTGCAGCGAAGAGGTGTGGGCTTTATGTTGTTCACGAGACGACTGCATGTGGAAACAACTTCCTCCTCGTATGCCACTACAAAGAATTGTTTTCTATTACTACCATACGCCGGCCCAAATCGGGGTATCCAAAAATATATGTACTAAGACCGAGACCAAAAATACCCGGAAGCACCCCAAAAGCACCCCAAAGATGTTCCGCTAAGATTTCAAAAATACACAGTAAACAAAATGAATCAATATGCCGCTGATTGACGACTCCGAGACACCGACAGCACCAGATCACAGGGTACCGCTGGGGTTGTAGCGAAATTCATACTTGTCTCCGCGCTCAGTCCACGACACGCCGTCGCGTTGGCCACATCGTCCCACGAGCTGCCGTAATAGGGCCACGTTGACACCCGAATACTTGGTCGACGTGGTCTCGGTCGTTGACGATGCTGGCTCGGCCGAGGGGGGTGCGACGCCAGTACTCTCGTCTTCGCCAACAACAAACCAGGGGCTGGTGGTGCACGTCTGCTCTCCGGCGTTCCATGTCCACGCGAGACACTTGCTGTTGTACGAGTAGAGGCCGGCGAAGCGCCTCTGGAAGCCATCGGCGCCCATCGCATCATCGCCCTCGCCATCGTCGCCGGCACACAGCACTCGGCATGCCTCGGGCGAGCCGACATTCTCGGTGACGGACGTCACGAGCGCCGACGAAGACGAATCATCGCCCGGAGCACCAACAAAATCACGTCCACGGTGGATCGGCTGGTGGTGCAGTGCTGCCACCGTGGGCCGTCCATAGAGGGCCCAGAGATCACCCCAGGCAATGGGCGGAGCGAGGAAGCCCGGAGATGTAGCGTCGCTGGGCGTACCACCGCGCTGTCCCCGGTCGATCTGCCGAAACACGGCGCCAACGCTTCGCATCTGTTCTGGTTTTGCGAGCGCGTGGAACGACACGAGCGGCATGCAGAAGCGGTCAGCACTTATGCGCGTGGCACGAGGGCGCGCTCCGTTGAACAGACGAGCAAACCGCTCGTCAAGATACACGCCGACCCTCATCAATGTGGTTGCTAGTAGTTTGTCACCCCAGGTTTCCGTTATGGAGTCGACATATGCCTGGTGTAGAAGTGGCGGAGCCAGACCGGATTTGTAAGAATTGGTGGTGATGCCTTGCTGTCTGTTCGAGGCCGCTGCCGCGGCCGCCACCGCTAGTACTCGACTGCTGCCGCTCCCCAGAAGCAGAGTGACGGCTTCCCGCGAGAGGACAATCGCCGAACCGCCATGAGCAAACCGTCCCCGGAAATCACCAACAGCGTTACCGATGTAGTGGGGTACGGAATGGTCGAGATGTGCAAGCAGAAGGCGCAATGATGACGGAATCACAAACGTGTCATCGTCGAGTAGGAGGTACCAGTTCTTGTTTGGCATGGTCTGGTATGCAAGTTCAAGGCCGGGTATAAACTGAGGTGACGGATGTTAGCCTTTGAAAGAAAAAAAAAAAAAAAAAGGACCGCTGCTAGAGTCCCGTGTCCTCACCTTCATAGCATCCAGTTCCCACCCGTCTGACTTGCTGATCCGCATGGCCTCCACGTCATCACCGGCATGTACTGCCGCGGCCAGTGCCCGGTATTTCTCCGCCCGAGCGCAGTTTGCTCGCGAGCCCAGGATGCCGCTATCAAGGACCGGTGCAATGACGTCGTGCACAAAGATCTGCTCACCCTTGTCTCCGTATACCACCTCACCCGCCCAATCCCCAATCACAATCATATTGTTGCCATCGACTGTGTGTGGCCGCAAGCCAAGGGCCTCGATCTGGGCGCTTACGCGATGCTGTGTGCCATAGCCGGTCTTGAGGATGACACCGACATCGTCATAGAGGGCGGGGAGGTAACGTCCGCTCCCCGGTAAAGAGTTCGAAAAGCTTGTCGCGTTCCCTAATGGCGCAAGTGTCCAGGCTTCAAGGGACTGTGGGGGCTGTGCAAATGTATTCACAACGCGTTGTGAGTTGAAGCGCACGGATAGCCGCAATGTACTGTCATAGGGGAGGAAGTAGTAGCAGACAGCAAGAAGGACGATGACAACGACGCCTGGGCGCGTCCAGTAGCGCCGGTGGCGGACTGGGGATATTCTTCGTCGCATTTTGTCGACGGTGTCTGTGAAAAGGGGACGCAGAGAGGAAGAGGAATAAGAGTGGGAAAAACGTCCTCGAGAGCGAAAGAAAAGGAACATAAGAATAAGAATAAATCAAAAGGAGAAGTGAGCGAAGTAGAGCGAGCGTGGCCACGCCGACCAAAGATGTTAAAGTAAGGAGTACTGAGGAGTAAAGAGGAGTCAAGCACATGAATACAACGATCAACAAAAAAAAAAAAAAAAAAAAAAAAAAAAAAGTAAAGAAACGGGTAAGGACGAGTCGCTAGATCGAGCAAGCCATGCCGAGGGATCGGCGGCTGGTGCAGCGCCCTCACTGTCCAAATAATCCGGACCTTTTTATGTTCGGGAGGTGTTTAGTTGTGTAGTCGTCCTTCCTTGCGATTCATAGAAGACTTCGTTCTAGTGGTTCTGGTGAGACTTTTGAAGGCCCTTTCTTCCGTCTCTCCTCTCCTTATTTCAGACAGAGGTGCGACGGTTACTCCAAAGGGAGGGGTGCGAGGCGTCACAAAGTGGACAACGCGACGGAAAGGGCGAGGGAAAGTGGAGAGACAATGAGGAAAAGCAACCAACGTGACGAAGAAAGCAGCCAGGCCATGAATGTGCACATGCGCAAGAATGGCACGGTAAAAGGTTAAAGTAGCGTGACCTCTGGCTGGGGAAGTGGAGGAAGTCTTGACGGCAGGCCCAGACGGAAAGATGGCAAAACAGGACTTGTGGAAAACCTGAACTGGAAAAAGGGCAGACAGGAGAAACAAGGAAACTGGGGTATCTGTCTCCTAGCGCAGATCGGAAGTAGAATTCATAAACTGGACCTGGACAGGGCTGGCTCCCTGCTTTCGCAGAGACATGTTTCCCGTGTTTAACTGACCACTTGTGTCCGGGCATGAATGCACTTAATAGCCAAGCGGGTGGCCAGTCTAACCAAGAAACAACGCCGTGTTGGCTGATTCGCATTGTTGCCCATACTGCCACTCTGCAAATTGAATCCTGGGCCAAGAGGAAAGCTTTGATAGTCAAAACAGTTTTCCACATTGAAGCGTTACGAGCCAAAGCACAACATGACGTTGTGGACAGGTTATCGCATCGAAGAATACTGGCGAGGACGCGTAACGCCAAGAACTGCTGTCGTTTGACCACTTACTTCGTTGGGAAGCGTTGTTGTTGTTTTCCTGTCACTGATTAACGTCTTTGCTAACTGACCTATTGGCGGGAAGGGGGGCTAGTACGGCACAGAGGACGAAAAAGCACCTGAATATCAGCTCCAAATGGCAAAGGGGGATTTGAAAACTCGCGCCGAGCAGGCGGGAGGACCCGGAGAGGGTGGGAAGAGGACGGACAAAAACTGTGAAGAAGTGAGGTTCACGAGATTCTAGAACAAAGACCTTTGTTTCCCCTTTCCCTTACGTTGGCTTTCAGCTATTTCCTTCCTCTTTCATAATTTCGTGACTGCTATTTCTGGCCAGGGGTGAACACGATGCGCTCAGAGTTTTCGGAAGGAACGATCGCACCGCCCAATCAACGCGATAAAGCGCCAAGGAGCAACAACAACACATACGTTATCGGTGAAACGCGATATGTGAAACACCAATTCCTTTCAAATTCTTGAAGCTGTCAATTCACACCGGTCTATCGAATTAAAATGCTGGGTACAGGAAGTGCTTCGTTTTAACAAGACATGCTAATCGCTGGAAGAGAGTCGTTCAGAATGAGTACGAATGGAGAAAAGCAAAGAACAAGCTAAATAGCAAGAAAAGGAATACAGGCCTATTTACAGAATACAACACGCAATGCACAGCCGACGAACCACAAGCTACAACGTTTAACTCAAAGCGCTCAAGCGCTCACAAACATGTCCCATCTACGTGTACCGGCTGTGTGCGCGAATGCGCTCTCCGAACTTGAAGAACAGCCACGGTACTGGAAGGAGCGCGATAGCGACAAACCCCAGAAGACTGCTTGCCCAGTTGATGCCGAGCTTCTCATACATCTGGATTGTGAAGAGCGGGAAGACACTGGCAAGCGAGTAGCGGGCCAGACTGTTGGCGCTGGCGCTGCTGGCGACAATGGAGCCGGTGAAGGTGTCGCCCATATACTGCATAAGGCTGATAAAGATGCAGATGTTGCCCCATGCAAACGGCACAATGGCGAGAACGGTGCTGATCCAGTGGGCACGGTGGTAGCCAGACCAGCCGAACCAGAAAAGGCCGATCGGCAGGCCGAAACTGCCAATCATGGCAGCGTACAGGCGGTGCTCGGGCGGCGGCGAGTTCGGGTGGAAGCGCGGTACCTGGCGCTTCTTATATATGAAGACGTCCGTCAGAATCACGGTGAGCAGACCCAGAACGGAGCCAACGATGATGCTGACAAAGACGAGACCGCTCTCTTCACGGCCGAAGCCGTACTTGACTTGGAAGACATAGGGCACAGCGGCGAAGAAGCTGAAGAGAGTGGCAAACTCGCAGGCCACATAGAGGCATGATAGGCCAACGATGGGCTCGGCGACCAGCATGTGCAGGGGGCGGATGAGGCCGACAGTGAGGAAACCGTGGATGCGCTGCGGCCAGGTTATGTGGGGACGACGGTCCTCGGCGGGAAGAGCAATGCCGAGCTCCTTGGCGCGGCAGCGCTTGAGGACCGGGTGGTAGGTTTCGCGACCGAACGCAATCGTTACGAGCATGGAGAATGCGGCAAAGAAGACAATGGTCCACTCAGTCCAGCGCCAGCCTTTACGGGTTGCAAAGGCACCGAGGACAGGACTGGACAGTTAGCTGGGCGATATCCAAAGGCAGCACAAATAACCAAGCAAAATTTTAGCCACAACACTTACCCCATGCCGGGACCCAGGAAGGGTGTCACGATGAAACAGGCCACAGGAAGACCGCGCTCAACAGGGCGGAACGTCTCGGTGAGCACGCCCGAGGCGATAGCCAGACTGGGCGACAGGGCAAAGCCGGCGAAGAAGCGCAGGGCGCATAGACCGGCGAGGGACGATGTAGGGACAAGAGCAGCACCCACTGTGAAGAGTAGGCCGATGGGGTTCCCGAACAGTAGGATACGGTGACGGCCGACAAGCTCGGACAAGGGCCCACCAATGACGACGGGACCAATGCCGAGTGCCAAAACATAAAACGTCAGCGGCAGAATAGCAGCGGTACTGCTGACGCCAAACTCAAGCATGAGATCGGTGTGAGCAGGGCTCATGATGGAGGTGCCGACGGAGGTTGTGAAACCGACGCTTGCAAAGCTGGCCACTTGTGCCCACTTGCGGCCCTTGGACCAGTTATAGGGGTTTGCCGGATCAGTGGCCCAGTCCCAGACGACAGGATTGCCCTCGGCATCAACGGTCAGCGGCAGGGCATTGGAGCCATCGGTGTTGTTGCCGTCTTCTGCGGGAAGCTTTTCGTTGTCGACTTCTCCGGAATTCATGTCGACCATGGCGTCATCCGGAGCATGGCCTCCAGCAATGCCAACACCCTCAACCGTAGCTGAGTCGCTACTACGGACTGAACGGCTGGCCAATTGCTCATCGTCCAGTCCTAAGAATGCAGTCGACGTTGTGCCGGCCGGTAACTGGCCGGACTCCAGATCGACCATTATGTGAGGAGGGCCGCGCTATATTAATTGGTGTACAAGTGGCGGTAGGTACGGGCAGGTGTTGTTTTTGTGTATTCGGGGTCGATGAAGTTGATATGAAATTGGGCGTGAGGCTATCGAGTCATTGTGTCTGTAGAAAATGTCGGCTAGCTGTTTGACATTTAAAAGGGAAAAAATCGTGAGTGGAAAAGATATACAGAATCAACGAGAATAAAGAGTGAATGATTAGAATAATGGAAATTTAAAAAAAAATTAAATACTTAATATGACGAAAGGTCAACAAAATTATACCGTCTGGTTGAGAAGCGAAAACCATTAGCAAGTAAATAAAACAGAAAATGGACAGGGGCCCAACAGGTCTTTGGATAAGCGGTACTAAGACGGGCAGTGCCAGTTGCTCGTAGTGTGTTGCCGAGGAGCGGAGGATGATGAGAAAATGAGACTACGAGCGGGGAATGAAAAGCAGTGCGACAGAACAAGAAAAACACCCGATGGAGACAGGACATAAGCTGGGCGAAAGGGAAGTCGGCATCGATGAGAAATCTATGAGCACTCTAAAATTCAAAATCCCAAGACGATCCCAAAAGGGAATATGGTGCAAAACGAGAAGAGGACTTGTATGGTGGTGTACTTGTCTGCCTACATATCGAGACAAGTCATCACCACCTAGCCGTGAAGGATGGAAAGGGCAAATAGTCAAGTGGTGGTTCTTGGAGCGTACACAGGTGCATTCACTGTCCTTCCAAAACGAAGAAACCAACACGCTGTCCAGGCTAGTTTCCCGTCTTGGACACATTTGTCCATGTCCCCTATCAACAAGCCGATAGTCTAATTTTCAGCTGGCGCACGGCGGCCTTTCCAGTTCAGCTATCATTTAAGGTTACTGTTTTTGCTTTATTTATTGACGTTTTTTCTTGGTATATTCCCCTCCAGATTCTTTCTCAGAGAGACTAGTCATATCAGTCGGCGTCATCTGTTTCCCACCGACGTGCTATTAAATCGTACACAGATTTGGCCATCACACGTTGCTCTGATGCAGTATTTACCGTTCTCCGTCCCTCTACCAAGAGCATAATGTTCTTCCCATGTCACTGGCCACCATGATAACAAACAACGTCGGTATTACGCGATATTTCGAATGCTCGGCAAAATGAAAAACGAATTGGGGTAGAGGAGCGCGGGATGCCATGACTGACAGCGGGAAGAAAATGGCCGAGAAAGTTAATTGGGGTGCAAAAAGATGAGTAAACAATTTGATGTCCTCGGCAACTCCACTGATAGGTCTCCCGGAGTTTTATTAGTGCTCTTCTGAGCCCTCCGCCATCGTTAGCGTGGTGGCGTGGTCGCTCACAAAGCTGGCGAGTTGTGGCGCATTGTATCTTACATGTCGGTGAGGACCTGCTAAGTTGACTGGATTAAAGTGTCTGTTAGACCCTGCCGAGGTCACACCATGAGTTATGTGAACACAGGCGCTCAATCATGAATCGCTATTCCAGGTCGGGTGATATGGCAACCTCTTAGGATTGTGATGTTCAAGGTGAAATAAAAAAGAATAATAATTCAATACGGTGGAATACAAAGATGAAAAAAAAAAAAAAAATAGGCGAGGAACATAATCGGCCGCCGTCCCGCGTGTTGCAACCGCCGTCGCTAGACACCTGGCCGGGCCCCTGCCCCTACAAGTCGTCAGATTTTATGCCCAGAAGCGGTCAGATGCGGGGCTCGCTTCGCCTGAGCTCACGACTTCCTCCACTTCTGCATTACCACATACAGATCCACAGTGAAGACAATATTTTTTTTCTTTTGCAATAGTCTGGAAAGAAACAGGTAGAAGTAGAAATGTGGCCGGCTCATCCAATTCAGCATACAATTTGCTGGCATTAATTGTATGGAATGGCCATCAAATCACACGGCGCAGCATATGCTCAACGAGGTCGTGGGTACAGAGCAAGTGCAAGTTGTCGACTCAATAGAAGCATACGGCAGACCAACTTGTCTCAAGGGCACGGTTGTATTCTTCGCCCTGGCATAGTACGAAACAAAGTGAAGCTCAGTTTTGTCATGATGATATGGCTTCCCACTGAGAGTCAAAATGTCTCCGGATAACCTTCACCTGCAACATCCTTATTGTCAAGGAGCAGCTCCTCCTTGTCCATACAGTATCCCCATACAAAATTCAAGCAAGATGGCTCTCGACCTCCTTCTCCCACCACGGCGCCCAGTCCACGACAGTCTTGCCGTTCCGTGCCGCTTCGGCGCAGAATACGAGAGCATGGCTGCGAATAATCTCCTCCATCGTGCACCCGATAATCTCGCGCTGCGCCTTCTCCGGAACACACCCGTGGTTCTTGACCTGGTCAACCGCCAGAATAAACTGCCGTGTCAAGCCGGCATCGCCACCGCCATGTCCCTTGCTTTCCATTGGTGGCCGGTGCACCGTTTTTAAACCTGTCTTGAAGTCCTCTACAGTGATCGTCTCTTGGTCGGCATAGATCTCGCCGTCCACACCGTAGAGGTTCGTATACCGATCGCATAGCTTTTTTGTTTGGGCCACCATGTGGAACGTGGCCGTCTTGGCGCCCCGGTGCTGCAACCGATCGGCGACGGGGTTGGCAGAGGTGACTGCCGCGTCGGAACCACCATCCTTCAGCAGCGGGTCTTCGTCCCACGTCACGGTCACCACCTGATCGTCGCACACGTCGTTGTCGCTCTCAAACACGCACCGGCCAAACCAGTTGCGCTTGGCCACCTCGCTGTCGGGTGTCTCTGGACCGTAGTCCTCGGAGAGTGTCTTGAGCAGTGCCTCCTGTGCAGCGGCGTGTCCACCCTGGGAGGCGAAGTCTTCAATGTCTGGCAGCACAATCGACACCGGCCAGCGCTTGTTGCCGGCACCCAGGCCGCGCAGCTGGTCGCCCACATAGATACGCTTGGCCGAATACTTGCAGTCAGGCTCGGCTGGGCACGAAAGGCAGTTGGTCGCACTGCCAGCTGCCACGGGCTTGCGGCTCTTGCGGAAGAGTTGTAAGCTGCCAGACGAAGACACGGTCGACGGCAAATGCGGGACCTGGGACCCCGACGTGTACGATGCGGGCGAGCACAGCAGCCACAGCAGCACGTCAATGTCGTGGCAGCTCTTTGTCAGCAAACTCGGCGCCGATGTTTTCTCGCGACGCCAGTTACCGCGCACATAGCTGTGTGTGAAGTGCCACCAGCCCACGGGCTCCGTGTGCACCACGCTGAGGACGTCGCCAATGACACGATCCTCGAGCAGCAGCTTGCGCAGCAATACGTTGTGGGGGCTGTAGCGCAGCACGTGGCCAATGGAGAAAACGTGCTTGCTGCCAAAGTTGCCCGAGCCGTCGGCCGCATTCGCCTTGAGCGCCCGGTGGATGGCCGCACAGTCTTCGATGGACGTGGCCAGCGGCTTCTCGCACATAATGTGCAAGCCGCCCAGTCCCACCATGGCCTCAATCACTGCCCGGTGCATCTCGTCCTGCACGCAGATGAAGACGGCGTCCACGGCTTCGGGCACATTCGCTTCACCCGCCGCCGCGCGCTGTCGGCGTTGTTTCTCGTAGGTGACAAAGTCCTGCCAGTCGGCAAACGACTCGCCCTCGGCGGGCTCCGAACGACCATTGGCACCCCAGATGTGCCGGAAGCCGAGGTCGTTGCGCTTGTAGGTATCGGGCTCAACCACACCGACAACGATGCCGTTGCTCGCGGTTTCTGTGGTCTCGGCATAGGTGCGACCACGGGAGCCCGCACCGATGATAAGGACGCGAGGAGGCGAGGCGGACATGGGCGGTTTCTCCTTGGTCGCCAAGGGATCTCCACCATCGTCCCACTCGCCGCGTCGTGTTTCCTGTTGGGCTGCCGCGGATGTAGCGGAAGGACCCATTGCAGTGGTTGGTGGAAGGTGGAAAAGACGTTTTTGGGGTCAACAGTAATTCCTTGGCAGGGAATCGTTCTTATGGTAGGGAGCAATTATGCCACCAATGTGTTGATGTGGAATCGAAAAGTGGTTGAAGCCGTCTGGCAAATGTTCGTTGTCTTGATTGTTGAGTTTTGTACGCTGCTTACCCCTCAAATGAAAAGGTGGCCTCGGAGTCAAATTGCAATCGGCCACTTCACATCTAGTCGTCGTTGGTAACAATTGTGCTGCCTGGTGGTGGCTTATAGCGCTATGTCTAACTTGACTTGGGGAGGGGTTGGTCTCTCACGATCGCTTTTCCTTTTCTCTTCCGTCCACTTTGGGGCTCTGCCGCGATCGTCAAAAGAGGCAGGCAGCGAGAATAGCTGACCAGGGAAGGTAGCAGGCTGCGCATCGCCCTGAATTAGACCCCGTGATAACCGTTGCAACTGCCCAAAACAACAAGTCGCACGGACGAATAGGCGGCATTGGATACCTCAGCAGACAGGGTCAAAAAGGGCGCCAGGGTGTTGGCTCGGGTTAGGTATTCTAGGTAACAGCCCGACACAACGGCATATCTATGATAGGCTCCCAACTCGCGGCTTACTTCCCCATTCAGCGACACATTTTCCCATTGGACAATCCCCACTTTCCCCAATTTGGTTTGGGCTGCCATGCCAAAGCTTAGTTAATTCGTAGTCTCTTGCTGCATGTGGCCCCAGAGGTCTTCCGACTTGGTTGTATCCTTCATCTTACATACAACTATCTAACCAGGCACTCTCTTGCGTTGACTTACCTTGTATTACGACCTACAACCACGAGCTTTGTTTAAGAAGTTTTTTCTTTTCTGTTCTTTATTTGGATTTTGGATTTTGGAGACGTTTGGTCCTGCTTATCAACGCGGCCTAGATATCAAGAATCTATACGACCTACAGAAAGCCTCTCTCAAATCAAGCAGAATCGGCGAGACTGAGTGTTCATAAATGAGCCGGCCATTGGCCCACAAACTAATTGACTCCCCGTCGTCTTCCCGAAAGTCCAGACTTGCCTAGCTACAGTCTCCTCTCGATAGGTCAATCGACAAGGAATCGCTACTAGAAACGCGGGACCAGAGTTCTATTCGTGAGACGGTCTCAGATACATATGATTATATCTTGGGAAAAGAGAGCCAGGATAAAGCCTTAGGCCGATCGCAAGCCTATAGAAGTCATGGCGAACCTCCCAAGTCTTCCCCTCGTCTGGATTGACTGTGAGGTAACGTTTCCCGTTCCATATTTGCCTCCAGTCCATTGGCCATTAGCTGCGTCAGGTTTTCACGTTTTGTCCTTGTGATTTTTCATGCATATTAATCCCTTCTACAGATGACCGGCCTGGATCCTGACAATGATGTCATCCTAGAAATCTACTGCTTCATTACAGACGGAAAGCTCAACCTTGTCAAGATGGGCGATGCCGTCGACGGCGACAAGCTAGATAAGAATGAAGCCGCGAGAGAGGATCCCGGCTGGGGTGCTGTCATCCACGTCGACAAGGCTCGCCTCGACCAGATGGACGCATGGTGCACTGACCACCACGGCCGTAGTGGCCTCACAGGCGCCGTTCTGGCATCTACGATGACACATGAAGAAGCCGCAGATGGCTTGTTGGAGTACATCCGCCAGTTTATTCCCAAGCCACGCTTAGGCCTGCTCGCCGGCAGCAGCGTACATGCCGACAAAGCATTCCTGCGGAAAGCGCCATACGACCGTGTAATGGATCACCTTCATTACCGGATCCTGGACGTGAGCACGATCAAGGAGGCAGTTAAACGGTGGGCGCCACCAGAACCCGAGGGCCAGACAACAAGAAAAGAACGCCACAAAGAGAGCAAGCATCGGGCGCGGGACGATATCCTCGACAGCATCGCTGAGGCGCGGCGTTACAAGCATATGCTCTTCCAAGATGGCGACTAGTGGGTGTCGAAATCACAAAACCATAACTACGCAACCACAGGAGGGCCGAAACGGGGCTGATAATGGCGGCGAAATGGTGGCCAGTATGAAGACAATAGAATATTATTTTCCCGTTTCTTTTGCAAATGATAAATTTTACCTCGTGTAAAAACACGTATATAAAAACATCCATATCCCGTCCGAAAAAAGAAAGACATTAAACATTCGGTAGTATGTTCGGGAGTATCACAGTATCAATCCCTGGTCAAGACGCCGCTTCTACAGCCGGGGCTGGTGCCGCAGTTGGTGTTCCATCACTCGTGTTAGCAGGAGGCCCTTCTGGCGGCGCCTCCGCAGACACAGCAGCAACAGCCGGTGCGCTATGGTCTCGGACAAATCCAGGACGCCACTTGTCGAGAAATTTGGTAGCCATAGGCCGTGCATCCTCGACTAAATAGGTCAGCGCAGTCAACAACAACAAATTGGTGAATCAGCTTCGTAGCAGGAGAAAACTTACACTCAATCCAGATCTCCTGCAGAGTGTCCAGGGTCAGATCCCGTGCCGGCGGCCGCATCATAACCTGGTACAGCAGGCTAGTCAGCGCCACGGGCACCATGGACGGGTCGCGGCACAGGCTCTTGATGCGCTGCAAAAGGGCCTCATTGAGGGCTGGCACCTCGCTCAAGAACCGTGTCAACACCTTGTTGTCTTGCGAGTGGAGGTAGGGCAGGAACCCATCGAGCACCTTGACGACCCATGTACTGTAGTGACCGTCGTCTTGACCATTGCGATCTTGGTCATTCTCACTTGCCTCGCCTTCACGGTACTGCGACTGAAGACGATCGTTGTACCACTCCTCACACAGCCACGCGACAGCCACATCAATGCGTTTCCGGAAGTCCTCAAGAACATACCGGAACAGCAACTCCCGGACCTTGTCACTGAGAACGGGACCTGGCCCTGGCTTCGACAAGGCCGGACTAGCGCCATTTGTGCCTTCTTTCTTGACAAGCTTCTTGCTCTTGTCTTCCGGCCCTTGATCCTCCGCCTCCTCGGTTGCGGGGTTCTCCTCGTCGTTCGTGCTATCCTCAAGTCCGCTCACAGACCGCGTTGCGAGACGCGTCAGAATCGTAATCCATGCCTCCTTGTCGTAGGAGGTCGCCGCGACCCGGTTCAAGCCTGCCTTGCCCGACTTCCGCGCTCCAACGGCTGTGGATGGCGCAGCAGCTGTTTCTTCAGATGCCTGCATCATATCAAACACCCGCGCAACGGTCGTTTGCCCCACTTTCACGGTCTGGTCCGACGACAGTGTTGGCGCAGCAGGAAGCTTAAAAGCACCCAGCGCAAGTGATGCCGCATCCACCCGCGCAACGTCCCTGTCTGTGATCTCGTTATCCAGCTTGTTGAGAATCTGCTCGGCGTCCTCGGCGGCCGTAAAGTCTGGCTCGTAGTCGTCATCGTCATCTTCCACGTCCAATGGTGCAGTATCCGGATTCATCGCTAGCCCTGTTGCAGATGTCTCGAGCAAGGTAAGTCTGTCCCGGATTCCGGTAATGGCAAGACTCAGCAGTTGCGGGTCAACCCGTGCCAGTGTTGACACACTTATCTTAGCGGCCAGCTCAAGCGGAACATTTGACGCATTGAACGACCGCAATTGCGGGTTGCTCGTGAGGGCAAAAATGTCGGCCAGGCTCAGTGGCCCTGGTGCTAGCGCAGGAATCTCTTGCGGCAGCGAGGCCGCAGCACCACTGGCCACTCTCTGTCGCTTGGCATCGCCTGCTGCCTGCTGATCGGCCAGTGCCCGCTTCCGCCCTGCGTCATCAAGAAGCTCGGCTCTTGACCGCATCAGGCGTTCCACATATTGTTGTATCCGCGGGTTAAAGGCATTGGTCGGATCCCGCTTCATGAGATGGATCAAGAGCATGCGTGTCGTCTTCTCCATCGACTTGACCATGACACGTATCCGCGGAGTCATGGACGAGCTGGCGAGCTTGAGAGGGTTGAAGTTGAGGATGGCGTTGATTGCGCGGTTGGCCGTTGTCGGCCGTGTGCGAACCAGGATCGATAGTGTATTCAGAGTGGCATCGACAATAAGGGCATCGCTGCTGTTGTCTTGCAAGACGCCGAGCATACGGTCGAGAAGACCAGTCGCTTCGGCTTCCAGATGCCGTGGGTCAAGAAGGGGGTGGTTCGCAGGAACGAGGAAGAGGGATATTTCGAGTCCGTCGCGCTGCCGTTGATCCAGGTTAGCGCCATGTGTCTGCGCAAGGACGACGCGCTGCGCAAACTTGATGCAGCATATCTGGATCGAAGGTGAAGGCGACTCCCATAACCGGAGAATGTGCGACTTGATGGCGCTGATGCGCTCCCAAGTGTCTGTGTCGTACGAGTTGTTGATACTGTTGTCTCGTTAGTATGAGCCAGCGCCAAAATTCCGGAGCAGCGGCTACAAGGAACAGGGAAACTTACACCCAGCGCATCACAAGTGGATATATGCTAGAAGCGGCTTGGATGATGCTGCGCAGCACAAGCGGGCCCTCGTTGGGATTCTCCAACATGCCCTTAATGCTCCCGAGGACCAAGAGACTCAAGCTTTCTTTCTCACGGGACGGCATAGCCGGCGCAGCAAAGGCCTCAGCAAGGAAGTCGGCACCCCATCGGCGCAGTTGCGGCAGGGACGACGGGTTGATGATGGGCAAGATGCCCTGGACGATCATCGGGTAATGGCTGACATTGGCAAGGGCCAGCTTCCGAGCATCGTCTAGCTGGCGGATCTGTTCTTGGATATAGTCACTGCCTGTCGAGGTAGAAGCGCCGGTTGGAGCCCCATTCGAAGGCGCAGTATCTGTTGACGTCGCCATGACAATCGTCTTTTCTTGTTCCTGGCCGACCAGGTGGCGTCTTTCTTGAATACGACGATGAGGTCGAGATCTCGGAGGGAGGCTGGAAGTGGACGCGTTGGAGTGTAGTCGGGGAGAAAACAGGAAAAATCCGGTGCATCGACGTGTGGGAAGGCCGACCACTATCCCGGACTTCTGTCAAACTGCACAGAGGTAGGATATCGAGGCCTTGGGGTTTGTCGATGTCTAGGAGCTATGTGCGTAGCGATTGAGATCCGCAGCAGGGTTATCCGTCGCTCGTTGCTATACAAACTCGAGGGAGCCCACACAGCTATGAGGCGGAGGTGTATACTCGATAATGTGTGCGAAGGGAATGAAGTCGTTGAATGGAAGGAGACGTTGGCGACGTCACGACATTTCTTGGTTGATTGCTATTCCTGTTCGACGGCAGAGTTGGGATGGGGAAGAGGCAAGTTGGAAGAACGGGCAAAGCTGTTGTACACCAAATGAGGTTGTCTCTGAGGTATTCATGCGTCGCATGCTACCGTTGTGTTACGTGAATTAACAACAAAAGGAAGTTAAAAAGGCTTCGTACACGAGTTTCAGGCCGCAGGTCGCAAACTGGAGCACCACACGAAAATGCAGGTCGAGTTTGTGCTGGCGCATCTGGGCGCGGTTCATAGCGCTAAAGCGCACTGACAGGGTAAGGGCGACAGCAAGGAACAGCCAAAAGTTTGCTGAACGTGGACTAGCGCAGTCTAGTCGGTTTATTGTACCTCGATTGTTTAATGCTACCTATGTTCAGCTGCATGCTACCTCATGCTACATACTACAGCTGGCCACGAAATATTAGTCATCCTTTGCACACTTCCTATTCGGAACTTTTCGTCAGGCGATCATTACGGCACCATCAAAGACGTCAGACGGCTTTGGCTTTACAATACAACCTCACAAGACAACGATTCGCAATGTCTGGGTACGTTTCTTTTCGAGATCCCCCATTTTATTGACCACTACTGACGTACACCTCTTTGTAGCGTTGAGCACTCCTCCTACTACGACCGGCGCATGCGCCAGTCGCCGGCCCTCATTCGCGCCCGTCGGCCATACCTTTTCAAGAACACAGTGCTGGGTCTCGGTATCTCCTCCTTTGCCCTGGGTGTCTGTAAGTAAACGGCCTGGGTCAATACTTGAGGAGTGGAATTAGTACCAGTTGCTAACCGTTGTGGTCGCCCAGATGCCTACACGATCCACGTTATCGGCCAGGACGACTTTGACGATGTTCAGGTTCCGAGCGAGCCAGCGCAATCCATTCAGCAGCGGACCCAGCAAGCACAGCAGACTGCACAAATACAAACACAAGCACAGGCGTTGGCGAAAAAGTGATACGGACGGCGCCAGGACGACAATTGCATACCCTGGCCACTCGACGCGTGCTGCGGTATACACCTCGGCTATACAATGATAGATGAAAAGCTGTGGCTATACGCGTCTAGATTGGATAGTAACCAGGCAATGAACATTTAACGATTTGAAAACTACAGTCTACGACGCTGTATCATCTTATGAAGGGGAGAACCTGGTGCAATGGCCCGGCCCAGACAAGGCGTATGCGTATCATGACATATAAATCCCTTCGTCTGTTAAGCAATCTTAAAAGCTTCGACAAGTGAATAAGGTTATCAGTCATTGCTTGATCATGTTAGAAAGCACGGTGGCGTGGTATTCATTTAAACGCTGCGTCTCGTGTGAGAAGTTAAAAACAGAAAAGAAATGACAATGACAATCCCTGAAATATCAATCAACTCCTAAGCAGGCAAAACAGTAGTCAAAAGACGCACACCAGCAAAAGCAAAACATAGTTACAGAACAAAGAAGCCACCCAGATCCGCCCAGTCAAGTATAATGAAACAGCAGTCAGGCCACGGCCGTGTCGCCGATTCCCACAAAGCCAACAGCAAAAACACGAGAATATGTGCAGCGCAAAGGACAAGACAAGCCAGTGAAGATGTAGGAAATCCAACGAGAAAAATAAACTATGCACCGTACACTACATGACAGAAAGGAAAGACAGTGCACAATCCCAGACGAACCGTACACTCACCCTCACCGATTTCAAGACCTGGGGGATCTCAAAAGACGTATTCCGAGCGGATTTCCGACGGGTGCTCAGAGTAGCTTATCTAGTACGACACTGTTGCAGCTGCCTCTCTCTTAGACGGCATCTGTCCCAGCGGCTGTCCGGCCTGGGTTGTGTCGCCGTGTGCAACGCCGCCATTCATGCGTGCCTGGTGCTGGTATGGCATGTTCTGGTGACTCGGCACATGGTTACCGGTTCCCACCTGCTGTGGCAGTGGCTTTCGCAGTGCTGGTGCCGACGGCGCTTGCTGCCCAGGGAAGGGACTGCTTACGGCTGACGCCGACGCCGACGCCGCCGGCACTGCCGCTGGTTGATAGGATTTGGCCACTGGGGACCCCTGTAGCTGTCGTTGAACATGGTGTGAAGGATGGTGTGGGTTCGCCCACGGCGTGTCCGCCAAGAATTGCTGACCTGCTGCCCCAAGGCTGTGGAACGACACTGGGCCGGTGCTACCACCGTTGGCACTGGAACTGGTACCATTGACAATAGAGCTGGCTGCGGCGCTGCCAGCTAGTTCTGGGAATGGAAAATGGCTTTGCCCCACGTGTGAGTGTTGGGGTTGCGCGGGAATGTGCGTCGTTGGCACTGTTTGCCGGCTCCTCTGTGAGAAGGAAAATATGAAATTAGTACATAAGTCTAATTTTTGCGGTAGGATCGACTAATGTGATAGGAGAGAGGCAACACCTACAGCGATAGCTTCGAGGTCGTCGTCAACTTGCGTTGTTGAGGCGCCCTTGATCTGTGGCGCAGCAGGGAAGCCCTCATACTTAGCAATGCCGGACAGAATGGACACTTCTTTGTTGTATGTGATCGCATCCTTGACCCGTTGCGTGTTTGCCGTCGGGAACTGCAGGCCGTAGTCGGGGATCGTGTTCGCGTGCCGCCTCCGCTGTTGCTGGATCTGGTACCATTGCCGGCCGAGCTCCTCAAGGACGAGTTCGCGTGACTCGCGTATACTCTGGAAGTATTGGCCGTGGATATGGCTGCGTCGAGCCACGGCCCAGCGCTTGAGTGTTTGCAGGTTGAAGTCGTACTCCACGTCGATTACGCGGAGCTTCTCGTCGCGTCGTTCATTTACGCACTGCATCATGGCTAGGTATTCAGGGTGTGTCGGGTTGTCGCCAATTAGCATCTCTTCCTCTTGGTTGAGTTGGTCTAACCGTTCCTGATAGAGTCTGTTGTCATCGTTAGCAGTCGGATGGCAAAAGTAAGTAGGCAAGGAAATGGCATATGAGATGGGAGTACGGACTTGTCTCGGAAAGACGCAAATTGCTTCTCAATTGCGTGCAGGTTTTCGAGGGCTGCCTTCTTCTTCTCCACTGTAGTAATCGAATGGTCAGCATGGTCTGCCCTCATTTGCTCCAGCGATGTCGTTTCTCCGATCAGGTAAACCGTACACTCTTCTTCGTTCCGGTGTGCTGCCTCGGCCTCCTCGTCAATGTCGCCGTCGATCGGTTCGTCATCCCCATGGCCCGCAGCGTCCTCTTCTGCCGTGGCCAGGTCACCATCTTCTAACGCTTCATCGTTCTGGTCTTCATTCGCATCATCGTCGCCCTCGTCCGAGTTGGTGCGCTTCTTGGCGCTGCCACGCTTTGACCTTCTAGCCTGGAACGTGTCGCTACTTGTACCTTCTGCCGAATTGTCTACTTCGGCCTTTTCGTCGGCTCCTGTCTTGGCGACGTCATCGTCGGTCGCACCATTCGGCCTTCTAGCAGACGCAATTTCGCCGTCAATGTCCTCGGCAATCGGGTTTGTCGCGTCACGACCAGTGCCACCGCTGCCAGAACCAATGCGCTTTCGCAGCGGTTGATCAGATTCGGATGGGTCCGTAGTGGGCGAGCGCTTGCGTTTGCGCGTATCGGAATTGGAGCGCTGGCTGCGGAGAAGCACGGGCGTCGGCGCAGGTGTGTCCTCTTTGTCGCCATTTGCATCCTCCTTTGTTTTCGCCCCGGTGGAAGGCGATTGCCCGAGTTTTTTGGACTGCTCTCTGGCAGCCAGCGACCGTCGCCGACTGCTCCGCGTGGTCTCACGATCGTCCGCAGCAGCCTCTTCTTCGCCGTCGGCCTCATTGTTCTCCTCGTCCTCCGCGTCAGAGAGCGCATCATCGTCCTCGTCGTCCTCGCCCGCATCAGAGTCGGCGTGGAGTTGCTGCTTCAGCTTGCTCGGGCTAGCTTGGAAGGTGCGATCCCGCGTCTGAGTAAGGCGCTGTGTTGGGCTTGTGACCGACTCTGGACTGCTCTCAGCGTCAACCCTATCCTTGATGTTCTTCACCTTGGTGGGCGTGTCGTAAAGACGCTCAGTCTCAGCCTCCGAGTCGTTGATATCCGGCTCAACTTCAGACAGGGCAGACTCGTCTTCGTTGTCCGATCCCGAGTGTGATCGTGCCGCTCTGGAGCCGTTGTCGTCGTCGTCGTCTAGGTTGACGTTGCTTAATGAAGACGAGTTGTGCACCGGCCCGTCAAGATCCATCTCATCCGGTTCTCCATCCTTGTCTTCGACCTCGGTGAGGGGACTTGACGCATTGCTGGGGCTGTGGTCGGGTTGTGCCAGAAGGGGTGGGCTCGAGGTGGCCATGTCAGATGCTTCGTCGTCGGCAGCCATCGTCGACAGCGACAACGGCAGTCAGTTTGGTCGTAGGAATGGCCCTGGGCACCAATCGGGGCGGTATAGGGAGAATGTCTGGTTCGCAGAAGGAAGGGAGAGGTCGTCGTGGGTGACGGTCGAGAAGCGCTGTTTGAGAATCAGAGGTAGAAAGAGAGGGTGGGAAACAGCTAGAAACCCGCCGGTCGGGTCTGCCCCAGGACAGCGGCAAAATGGGCTGCTTCCGAGCGTCAAACGCGAAGACAAGTCGCAAATCTTGATTCGCAAGCAGTTGCCGATCAAGAAAATGGGCGCTCAGTTTGTGGGTGCGTGATAACGGAGACAGACGACTCAGAGCGGATCGCGAGCGGAGAGCGTTTTTGTGGGAGAAGCAGAAACCGGTGGGAGAAATGCCACTTGCGCGAAGCGGACCTTGTGCTACTCGCTCTTTCCCCCCAGCTCTCACAGCCCATTTTTCCAGTGTCTCTCGCGCTTCCTTAGTGGGTGGACAGTGCGCTAACCAGATGACCAGATCCTTGTTTGGGCGGTGTCAGTTGGCAGAAAATCAACTGTTGCTACCAAAAGCTGGACCATGTGGCTGGTCGACATATACATACTTTCAGGGACCTACTTTAGCGCTTGTATGATATGCGGGTTTTTGTATACCTCTGTCTATATAGGTACTGTACAAGGCCTGTCCTGGGTTTAGCTCCTTTTCTACAGTTGTGGTCTCGGCAGCTCTGACGCCAACCGAATCACGTTCTGATAAGATAGTTATCGTTATCACTTTCCTAAATTGCAACAGTATTTTTTCTGCCCATTTTTTTTTTGAAGTGCAAAACGTCACTCTGGACCGTGAGCTCATTTCTCGGCAAAGACGTACACAATGGGGAACCCGTGAGTTTTCTTCAATCTCTCATCTTTTTCAAGTGTTCAAAAACTAATACAAACGAAAACAACAGAAAATCTGTGTTTTCTGCTCCGAAGAAGGCTGTGGATCCCACCCTCGATGCCCTCTTCGCATCCAGTGTACGTTACGAGATCCAACGTATGAGTCCATACGCAGCTCGAACTAACATAATGCTTCAGGTTGGACCGGTTGAGGTAATTGCGAAACCAAAATACGAACCTCCGGTATCGTCGAAGCCAAGAGCAGCGCCGAAAACCGACACCGTCCAGCCCCTAACCAAAGAGGAAAAGGAAGCTACCATTGAAGATAGCGAAGAGAACGATGACGAAGATAGAGACGACGAAGATGATGGCTCCGATGATGATGAGGCGGAGAATGACGAATCCGCCGAATCTAGTACACAAGAAGAGGCTCCGTTCGCCGTGGCCACCGATTCGAAGAATGATACAAGCAAGAGGAAGAGGAAGACCCGGGACGAAAACGACGATCTAGAGAGCCGCTACTTCGACAAGCTTGAGAAGGAGATTGGAGGCCCTGTGGAGAAAAAGGCCAGGCATGATGCTTCTGAGGCCGTGGACTCCGACGAGGTGATGGCTGACAGTCTGACCGGCGGCGAGGAAATCGACGACGCTGACCAGCCTATCATCCACGAATCTCTTTTGAACGCCGCTAGTGGTGGCGCAGAAGATGGTTCTACAAATGGCCAAATAGACGAGCAAAACAAGGCCAAGGCGGATCGCACAGTTTTCCTTTCCAATGTCAGCATCAGCGCCGTCACCAATAAAACGGCCAAGAAGACTCTTATATCACACCTTGAGTCTATCCTGGACGACAAGGCAGCCAAAGACAAAGAGTCAAAGGAGACTAGGGATGGTGAGGACGACAAGGAGAAGAAGCCCACGGTGGAGAGCTTGCGGTTCCGGTCCGTTCCCTTCTCGTCAGCAGCGCTGCCGAAGCGGGCGTCCTTCATCACCAAGTCTGTCATGGGCGCCACCGCGCAATCTTGCAATGCATATGTCGTATACTCGACTGCCACCGCCGCACGTACTGCTGTGCGCAAGCTCAACGGCACTGTTGTGCTCGACCGCCACTTGCGTGTCGATAGCGTGGCCCATCCTGCGCCGGTCGACCACAAGCGATGCGTGTTTGTTGGAAACCTGGGCTTTGTTGACGACGAGACGGTCTTGAGCGCCAACCCCGACACTGATGGCGACGGCGGCGAAATGACACGCAAGAAGCGCAACAAGACACCTATGGATATCGACGAGGGTCTGTGGCGTACATTTGGCAAGCACGCCGGTAAGGTCGAGAGCGTGCGCGTAGTCCGCGATCAGGTTACGCGCGTAGGCAAGGGTTTTGCCTACGTCCAGTTCTACGTACGTCTCATTTCCCAAACTCATTTTGCACTTTCATATCTTTTGTCACGTTACTAATAAGCTATAAAGGATGCAACGAGTGTTGAGGCTGCACTTCTCCTGAACGATAAAAAGTACCCGCCCTTGTTGCCGCGCACATTGCGTGTCAGCCGCTGCAAGGCACCATACAAGACCGCGCGCGCCATTGAGCGTGCCCAGCGCAAGGTCAACGGCAAGCCCGAGGCAGTCGGCACGCGGGACGGCCGTGGGCGTAACAGCACCACAGGCTACACACCCAAGCTAACGGCGGAACAGCAAACGTCAGCTGGGCGTGCGGCGAAGCTGCTGGGAAAGTCTGCGGCCACGGCACCTCTCGGCGCCGCTGGCCCTGATGGCAAACCGATGGTATTTGAGGGCATGCGCGCCCGCGTTGGTGGCGTCAACCTTTTTAAAAAGAGCAAAGGTGGCAAGAAAGGCAGTGGCTCTCGCAATGGCCCTCCAGGCAGTGATGTCTCGCGGAAGCAGGTGCGACAGGCAGGCCGTGCTGCTAACTGGAGGGCAAAGAAGGGCGGCAACGCATAAATATCGTGTTGCTGAGAGGTTAGAAAAGTATGTTCTGCTATTTATAGCAGATTTTTGGGCGCCTCTGGTATTCTGTTGGCATTTTGTTTGCATTAACAGTTGTGTAATCCTATAGAAAGCATGTGACACTTTATTCTTTCTCGTTTCTCTCTTTTCTGGCACAATGATTTTCTTACAATGTAGAAAGTGACCAATTCATTACTTCAACCCACAAAGACACAACGAGACGCAAATATAGGAGTGTTCACCTCTCCGACTTTTAACCAAAAAGCATCCCACGCAGCACTAGGCAAAAAGTAAGAAGAATAGGAAAGATAAAATTAAATGAAAAGAAAATAGGGGCGGATAAATCCTCGGATATCATATTTTGTGGTGTCACTCTTGAATCGACAAGTCACGCTCATTTGGTCGTCATATGTACCCTAGAAATACGAAAATAAAAAAAAATGTGGGAAATAGGAAGTAGAGGAGCTAAGAGAGGAAAAGGTGGCGAGTCATAAAACACAAAACAGGGTTGTTTGTTCGTTGGAGGATAAGCAAGAAAAGCAACAACGGTCAATAAGAACAACAAAACGAAAGGGGGGATAATCGGCTCGCTTAACTTGGGCCTTTATTTGAGTTGAGATACTATAAATTAGTACTCAATGTCGCCCTCCTCAGCCTCGAACGAATCGGCGGCCACCTCCTCGTAATCCTTCTCAAGCGCAGCAAGATCCTCACGGGCCTCGCTGAACTCACCCTCCTCCATACCCTCACCAACGTACCAGTGCACGAAGGCGCGCTTGCTGTACATGAGGTCGAACTTGTGGTCGAGACGCGACCATGCCTCGGCAATGGCAGTGGTGTTGGACAGCATGGAGACGGAGCGGTCGACACTGGCGAGGCCCCCGTCGGTGGGCGAGGCGGTCGGCACAGCCACGGGCTTCTGGTAGTTGATGCCGATCTTGAAACCAGTAGGGCACCACTCGACCAGGTTGAACGACGCCTTCGCCTTCAGCGCAGCAACAGCGGCGTTGCAGTCGCGGGGAACGACGTCGCCGCGATACAGCAGAGCCACAGCCATATACTTGCCGTTGCGGGGGTCGCAGACAACCATCTGGTTGTTGGGCTCGAAACCTGGGTGGGTTAGCATTATTCATTACTTGCTTGAATTGGGCGGCCTTGTAGAACAGCACATACACTGGAAAGTCAGGTCGTGGACCTTGAAGCTCTCGTGAGCGCTCTTGGACGCAGAGACGACAGGAGCGTAGCTGATCAGCGGGTAGTGGATACGCGGGTAGGGGACCAGGTTGGTCTGGAACTCGTTCAAATCCACGTTCAGGGCACCGTCGAAGCGCAGAGAAGAGGTAATGGAGCTGACAACCTGAGCGATGAGGCGGTTCAGGTGCTCGTAGTCGGGGCGGGGGATATCCAGGTTGCGGCGGCAGATGTCGTAAACAGCCTCGTTATCGACGAGGAACGTGCAGTCCGAGTTCTCAATAGTGCTGTGGGTCGACAGAACGGCGTTGTAGGGCTCGACAACGGCGGTGGAGACACGGGGAGCCGGGTAGATGGCAAACTCCAGCTTGCACTTCTTACCGTACTCCGTAGACAGACGCTCCAGCAGCAGAGCACCGAAACCAGAGCCGGTACCACCACCGAAAGAGTGGAAGATCAGGAAGCCCTGAAGGGAGTTGCAGTTGTCTAGCAAGGAGACGTTAGGAACAATTCATATAGGATACAAGCAAGCCATTAAACTGGTCGCTTAAAACAGGCTTGTATAACTTACCGGCGACACGGCGGATACGGTCAATGACGTTGTCGACCATCTCCTTGCCAATGGTGTAGTGACCACGGGCGTAGTTGTTGGCGGCATCCTCCTTGCCGCTGATAAGCAGCTCAGGGTGAAAGAGCTGGCGATAGTTGCCGGTGCGGATCTCGTCGATCGGAGACGGATCGAGGTCGACAAAGATAGACCGCGGCACATACTTGCCGTTACTGGTCTCGGTAAAGAAGGTCTCGTACGAGCCACCCTCGCCGATGTCCTTCAGGTTGGGGTCCGGACGGCCGTCAGCGCTCAGGCCGTGCTCAAGGAGGTACCTGCGGAAGGCGTAAGCCGTGTGCAAATAGCAATAGGGGTAAATGAGCACAAATACGAAAGGACAAAATAAAATACTTACAGCTCCCAGGCACTGTTACCAAGCTGGGTACCAGCCTGGCCCAGGTGAAGGTGAAGAACCTGGCACGAGCTGTCAGTATACGGGCCCGAATTTGGACGGCAGGCGGAGCGATAGGCTATGATATTGGGTACGGGAAACTGTTTGATCTGACGGCATGTTGAAGACCGAAGTTGGTGGTGCGAGCGGTTCAGCCTCAAGCTGTTTTGATGCCGAGATTCGGCCCCGTCTACAGCGTCATATCGCTAGATGTCACGGCCGGAGCGAAAGAGGTTACGGGGAGTTGCCGCAACGGCACAGTTGTTATGTCAGACTTACCTCGCCCTTCATTGTTACTCAAATCTAAGGTCGCGTAGAGGGGAAAGAAGTTGACAAAGATGGTGAGAGGAAAGACGGACGATGGGAAGCGTTCCTGTCCGTTGTAGTGGTTGGCACAAAAAGGAAACAGCCGGTGGGAAGGAGGGAAAATCAAAAGGGAGAAATATGAACGGAAAAAAAAAGCAAGCACACCAATACAGTATGGCCAGGGGTAGAGCTGGGCAAACGTAGCGACTGGTCAGTGGTTCAGAAGACGTGAAACTCCGGAAGAAAAGGGGAGGAAGTCGGCGAGTGGGAGGCCCAGGAAATGAGTTTCTGTAAATGTGAAGGATATTTGTGCGGTGAAGTGTCGAGGAGGGGCAATTACGGAGCAGGGGGAGCAACAAGAGGGGAAAGGGGCAGGAACGCGTCGAGAACGAACAAGTACTTTTAGATACAGCGATTTGTCACCAGGAAAGAGGTACCACTACCCTAACTATGGTCCCCCGCGCTCACTCACCGCTAAGTTTGTTGTTGGTATGGGCTGGCCCGTGCGCGCCAACGCGCAGGGGTAAGTCCGTTCTGATTGGCTGGTGCGGCCTCTCGAGAGGGTCGTCGACGGAGACTGTTGAAGTAGCGGCGGTGGACAAGGACGCCAAAGTGGGCACAGAAAAGATCGTGATATGAGTTATAGTGGTCCAGTGGCTATCAAACCCGCTGTTCAGACCCAACAAGCGACTCTGCACGGCATGCCTCATAGTATTGAGACTGCAGTGATTGATTTACCGGATGTTTTGTATATCTAGGAAGATTTGGGATTACAGGTGGCTGAGAAAATAAACCAGATGATGTATCTTCCGGCGGGAAGTGCGGGTATGTGGCATCATACGACAGTAAGATACGAGCATTGCTCATCACTGGAGCCCCGAAATTGTTCATTCAACCAAAAGTCCACCTCTTGGAAATATCACAGCCCACGTTTTCCTCGTGATAGCCGAGCGCACGTAAGCCACATCGTCAAGCCACATATCGCCCAGCTGTGCCGAATTATTAATTGAAACTCTCAACCCATCAAACGCTTTCCATGGTGTTAACTTCCCAATATGCAGCTTAAAGCACTGTTTGTTTCGTTTTGGGAAAGGAAATCCTCCTGCAGTGGACTCTTCAGCCTCAATGCTAGCTGACAGACAACAACGATCCTGCTGTGAGATCAGACTACCCCTTAAGTCTGGATAAGTGCATTTCTATGCATTATCGCGCCGTCCAGCCGCACCTGTGTTGCATTTACACGAGCTGACACGGTTGCTGGGACAGTTGTGTTTTCGCTCCTGTCGTCAGTTTAACTGGCGCGTTAAGTGGATCGCGCAAAAGGACGGAAAACACACGCTAAAACACGACTAAGTCTCCACCAAACTCTGCTCTGAACACAGACCTGTGCACACCCCCTAACCATTAAGCATGCCTCTGACGCAGGCCCCCTTTCGCTAAACAAAACAAAGGCAGTTGTTCCAAAGGCACAGACTTTCACCGCCGTGAATACTAGAAAAAGGAAAGGAAGCGGCATCCCGTCTTGTCGATTTGGTAGCGCCTTCCCATAGTATGACAACCCAGGGCATCTGCATCGTACCATTGTCTCCTTACCTCCAAATTCGTTCAGTCTACATCCATTATTTTACCCTGTGAACACGCTTCCAACTGCATCGTGTCGACTAAACCCGCCACATCGCAACATTTGTCGTTTGATACACGCCAGGATCGACGCCAAATAGTTAGGTCAGCCACTATAGGCACGCGCCGTCGCAAAAAAAATAAGGGATAGTCAAAGTATCCGAGCTATAAGCAAATACGCACTGAAAAGCCGACTGCCACAAACAGTTGGTCCTCTCGAAAGCAACACTCTGTTGGCCGCTCCATAGCTAAACGGCATTTCCCTGGAGCCGGTCTTCTCTTGTCTTCGGTATCTTGAACAAATTGTTTGAAAGAGCCTTTTCTGAGGCCTGTCTCACTCGCCAGACATGCGCAACAGGCTGAGAAAGTCACCACGTCAACAGTCTGTCAGTTCAACGAAAGCCAGTAGCCTGCTCCCGCAAGCCGACGACTCAAAAGGTACGTGATTTGTGGGTTCGATTCGTTATGTGTCTTGTGTGACGGACGACAACAGGATAGACGCTATCGTAACTTTGTTGGGCTGTCTTTTACGGCCTTGGGGCCTGGCCAGGACCTTGCTTTGCTCTCGGCGCCCAAACATCCCATTGAAACGTTTCCACCTTCCTGGTTCTTCACGTCCTGCTCCGCCTCTACCTCCACACACCCACACCCTCTTTACGCCCTGTTTGTTTATCCTCCTCTTCTCATCCGGGGTGCCAACTATGCTTTCCCATACCTTTCACAAAATCACAAACTACGTTACTACGTCTCCACATACTGATCTTGCAAGAACCGGCAAACACTCGGACGTCCTCAGCACCGAATGACACACCACCAACGTCACCAACCGATATTCCCGAAGCCGATGCGGGCGATACAGCCATGCGCCGCAACTCTAGAGGCTCGACCCGTGGCGACAAGCCGTTACCATCCGTACCAGCAATGACTGCTATTGCACGATCGTCACCATCACTATCACTATCACCCGCGTCCTCTGCCGTGCCATCCCATCTGAACGGCGGTTTTGCCTCTGGAGGCCTTTCGCGAACCCTGTCCACCATTCGTGCCGTTACTAGCTTTGACGACAAACCGAGACAGTCGTTTGACGACGCATCCTCTACCAGTTCACCATCCCTCACCCGAAATTCCAACTCGGCATTCTCCAGCTCTGTCAACAGCAACGTCAGCACGTCATCATTCACCTCACAGCCACAATCCCCTCCGAGCGACTCAAAATCCAACGGCGGACGCTTAAAACACAGCGCGGCGGTTGCATCACTTCCCTCCGGTTCCAGGGTTTCCAGCCTTGAGGTCCCCTCGGCCCGCTCGGACAGCTCCACAATACGGCCTGACATGGGCACTCCCTCACGGGAAAGTAGTTTGTCAAAGGGTGCTAGCAAAATGCCCATTGCAGCAAGCATGAGTGTCACCGCATTTGACTCACCCACTGGCGGCCGAGGAGGTCTCAACGACTCAGCAGGAAATAGAGATGCTATGACCGATAACCAACAAGTGGACGGCGTGGGCGGCAATGGGTGGGATTCGACTGTTGGAAAAGCAGGCTTGGGAAAGACAGGACGCGTGATTAATCGTCTCGTGTCCGACAACGAAGCCTTAAAACGGGATCTCAAAATCGAAGCGCTGAAAGCTGAAGAAGCGAAACAGGCAGCACGTCTGCTTGAGGACAAAATGGAACGCATCATCTCAGACTACGAGAGCCAGCTGTTCGAGGCCAGCGTGACCAAGACGTTGCTTGCACGCAAGGAACGGCAAGTCGAAAGCCTACAGGGCGTCGTCCAGCTCGAGAAGAAGCGGACCACCGACGCGCAAGATCGCGAACGTACTTGGCGCGAGGAGATGGAAAAAATCAAATCCGACTCCAAGCGGCAAGTTGAAGAGGCAACCGGACATGCTGCGCTGATGGAGGGCCGCTACAATGCCATCAGCAGCCACTGGCGCGACCAAGGCGAAACTGTCAAAAGGGCCGCTGCTCGCATGGGCAAGGACGTCAAGGAGTTGTCTGAGGCGCGGCGGCAAGACGACGAAAAGATCAACATGCTCCGCGACCTCTGCGACCAACAGGACAGCAACATCAAGCTTCTTATACAGCAAAAGGAAGACATTGCCCGCAAGTTTGCTGAATACAAGAAAGAGCAAGAAAATTTGCTGCACGACATCAAGACGAATGCTGCAAGGCGAGAGGCCGAGCAGGAGGGTACTCTGGAAGAAGCCCGCCAAGTCCTCGACAAGCTGAAGTGGTCACTCAACATAAAAAATACCATCGACTGGGCTTCCTAAGCCATTTCCACAACAACAGGCATATACTGTTTTATCCATTCAACTGTTACCTGTCAAGTGGGCAGACAGACACTAATCAACTTTTATATTCTCCACCCACAACACCCACAGCATCAACGATTCCTACGACACAACAAAACTACAAGTTTTTGCCAATGTATTTATTTTGATTCACTTTCATGATGGGCAATCTTTGGGTTTGAATAGACGGAGTACGGCGTTGTTCATTATCTGAGCGATATCGCTCCCAATTGTTTCGCTGCAAAACCTTTGTCAAGCTGAAGGACCGATCATTCTGTATGCTTCCAAGAACAGATCCTCGACTTCTATTTGTTTCTTTCTATTCCATTTCCGTATCTAATTTCTGTTCGTCCCTACGGCTACTTTCCACGGGCTTTTTGGCTTTTTATTTACACGACATCTAAGACTGAGGCTCGGGGACATGTAAATATGCCATAGATGGACATACCTTATCAGGTCGGGACTCTTAAGGTTGGGAGAAGAGGTATGGCTGTGATTTTATTTCGTCAAAGAGAGGCGATGGTCAAGTAATGTTCATCATACTGTCGACAACATCGGCATTAGTTCAAGTGTACCCTTTTCGTATTCTTATCTTTGAACTACTGGATGTGTGTTTGTGTCTATTTAGAGTAATGCCAGTGCGCCCACTACCTTATCACCACCTACTATGGCGGCTCATCTACCATGTATGAGAACCCAGCACAATTCTGCTCTTTTTATAAATATAATACTTTAGTCCCATTACTGGCAACACGCCAACTAAATCGGAAGACTTGGTTTGAGCCCATTGTTCCCAAAACCCTTCCGATTACATACCTGGCATTCATTCGACGCCACGCGTTTTGTACAGGAAGGAGCAATGGTTACGTGACGTGCTCTTTCCATTTTGAGTCATGCCATCCCGGGTCTGCTTGTCAGAACATCTCAGTAGTCGAATCCTGTCGAGTTGATTTTCTTCTTGATTTGGTCTCAAATTTAGTTCTGTTGCTCTCGCTCTCTTCTCAGAATAACTATTGCTGAAGCAAGCTTCACTTACTTCTCCCTTTGAAACCGCAAGGCAACTCCAAGTCGACATCACCAAGCAAATCCTGTGGTCGCAAACAAACGTCTTCTCCTGCTGTTGCCTTGGGGCTACCAGCTAAATCCAAAGGAAACTTCTTTGGCAGTTTGGAATTTGACAGGACAGCCATCATTGAGCATCATTGCATAACGCTTTTCGTGGGCCTCGCTCCGCCGCCGTCCATTGAGGCCTATTCACCTTGCCAACTCACAACAACAATTGTCTCTCTCCACCCTATCACCAAGCTGTCGCTAACTTCGACCTAGTTCTACGTCGCCTACATTTTAGTTTGCCTTCTACCTCGAGCCTCATCTTGGTCTTGATCCGACTATTATCTCCAAAGATTTTGCAATCCCACTGCAAAACGCTCTCTTCTGTTGCAACCAAATCTTTGAATCTCGGCTTACCACTCGCCCCGTTCTCCTGATTTCCGTTTGTGCTGTTACCCTTCAACTCTCATCTATTACATCACATTAACCGTCACAAGAGCTCCTCCGAGTCGTCGCAGCTACGGCTGTTCTCGACATCATGGACACCGGCAATCTCGTCGAAATCTACCTCTCCAGCATCTGGCAGTACCATGCTGCCGGTGTTGAACGCGTGTTCGAAGCACTGCGCAAGAAGCATCCCGGCGGCCAATACACTTTCGACCCGGACTTGAGCTGGTTCAAGGTGTCTTGCCGGGCCACCGATGTGCGTCATGTACAGGCTATCTTTCAAGAGGTTCATGACGAGATGGAGCACAGCCTAGGTGGTCAACGGGTAAGCAAGGGACAAGCATTGCTATGTTTCATTTTGGTGAGCCCTTGGTGTCACGTCTTGTTCATATACTAAAGGCTAAGGTCCCAACCAACAATATGTGGCTGAAGCTTCCGACTCCTGGTGACCTTCCGAATGACCCAGTCGAAAAGGCAGTTGTCGACCAGCTGTGCCCAGTTACGTTCGACCGGTTCAATTTCCGCAAGGTTTGGTCACGCGTTAAGAACGAAATGCCCGACAGTATCTCGGTGCACAAGGTCCTCGACGAAGAAGCTCGGCAGTCTATCATGGCCCTTTCGGGTGCCCATGTTGCGATTGATACAACCACTGCTCGGCTGGTCTACATCGGCGGAGCGAAGCGAGACGAAGTGGCTAAAGCCAACAAGTTGCTTGACAATCTTTTCAACAAGTTTGTACGTATGCATGGTGCTCGAACATGTTTCGCTTCCTTTATTCCAGGTGTTCGCAAATTAACTAACAATGGTATTCTCAGATATTCGTCATGCCATCCCCGAAGCATTTGCTGTATGCAGAGTCCGAAGGCCCGTATCATGTAGATGCTCGCTTCATGGCCCACGTCAACGACAACATGCTCACTTCAACCATCTTCGATCCCAGCCAGTTCCCTGAAGCGATGCTCGACCGCATGTTCAAGACCGTGTTTGCAAAAGGAGTCTGTCTTCGCATCTGTACCTTTGACCATGCTAAACGGACGGAAGTCTCCCTCTTTGGCCCCAGGTCACCTCAGATCTTCACCGACCAAGCACGGAAATGGCCCTTGTGGTTCAAGAAGGCGGAGTATAGGCCGAAGATTCTGGGCGTGACAGCACCCAAGAAGGGCCTAGTAGAGAAGCCAGTGCAGAAGCCGCCGACTGTCCTGCCATCGGGAGAGACTGTGTCCTACAGGAAGGAACCTACTCTCTTTGGAAACGACAAAGCAAACGAACACCTCAAGGAAAATGAGGCCAATAAAGTGCCAGCACCGTCAGAGCAATTCGATCTCCTCGGGCTGGATATTCCAGATCCGAAAGCAGTCTCGGCATCTGGAACTTCTCATTCCCTTGTCTCTCTGCCGGATTCCTCTCCATCGTCTCAGCCTGATTCTAGCTGTGAAAATTCAAATGGAAAGCCTGTACCACCAGTTCAGCCGCATCTTATGCCCTCATCGTTTCAATTTGACAAGCACACCTACCAGATGAAACTTCTTTGGGACTTTATGAACAGCTCCAAAAACGGCTATGGTGAGAGTGTGCCCAAAATCACCTCCAAGGTTGATGAACGAGCGAAAGTTGCAAACGGTCACAATGATGATCGTAGCGTCAAGGGTACAGTTAATTTGGGACCCAAAGATGGTCCGGTCGAGGAGGAGCCACTTATTGATTTCGTGGACAAAACAAAATCACCATCGTCACCGTCAGCGGCAGATCTTGTCACTCCCACCCCAGGGCAAACCGATTTGTTGATCCAACTCGATCCCTCGGCTCCTCGAGACACTTCTTCCTCTGCATCTCTGCAAAAGCAGCTCGTACCCTTCGGACAAGGTAATGTGCGCCCTATTGTACCCAGAGCTGCTTCTGTGTTGAGCAAAGCACTCGTTCGGCGAACCACGTTTGCAGCGGGACTCTGCACCAGTATTGGCCGCCTCATGGCAGATCTGCCGTACGCCAAAGGCCGGATCCGGCTGCAGGTCGAGCTGGGCCGTGTGTACATCATGGATGCCAGTCCAGAAGGTCTTGCCTTCAATTTGCCTGGCGAGGCCGCGTCGGGCTGGCCGCACACTGAAATTGTCACGCGACTGGACACAATCTGCGTCTCGCCTGAGAGCATTGTGTTTACCAAGGCGCTGACTCTGTTCGGCAACGACATGGAAAGCATTATCGGTGTCAATCAGAACACCGTCTTTGGCGACCAGTCCGCCGACGATACCAGCCATCTGCCCCAGATCGAACCGGAAAACAAAAACGAAACCAATGACTGGTCAGCTCCGATGAAACTGGACTGGAACTTCCACGAGAAACGGATCGTTTACGAGTTTAAGTGCCAACGTGTCTACATGAATAGCAACAATGTCATTAAGGCACTGAGTCCCTTTGTCATCGAAATTGACGGGACAGAGCCTGGACTGTTCACTTACGCCATTCGCAGTGTCGAAGACACTCGACCACCTATATGGATCCACTGCATTCGGCGACATTGGGACGCCCGTGTTTCGGTATCGTACAGCAAGACCGACAAGCTGGAGGAAGAGTACGGCGATTTCGCGCGTGCCCTTTTGCACACCTTGGTCGTTCCGTACGTATATATTTTTGTCGTTTTGGTCTTCTTTTATTTTTCCTTTCTCGTTTCTTTTTCTTTCATTTATTTTAGCCATCGTCACACTCATTTCATCACGGCTAACCAAATCATAACGAAAACAGCCCCAGTCCAATCACGAGCCCCAAGTTCCAATTTGCCTACGACCTTCGCGAGGTCAAGACCGACAGCCAATCGTATTCAACTGCAGTCCTCTCAGCGCGCGTCCGCAACGTGGGTCGCTTCCAGAGCGCAGACTTGCAGACTTTCCTAGATATCTCGTGGAACTGGCTCATGGCATTGACCAAGCGACCTGGTAATGAAGGATCTTCCGTGGGTACCGCGTATGCGACGCCGGCTGTGGACGACCCCCGACGGGGTGTGTTCACAACGTGGTACGAGGCCAGCGTGGTGTCGGCTGCGGCCGAAGCGGCTTTCCAGGAGAACGAGAAGCTTCCTCTCGGATGCGTGGCGGCTTGGGGTAGCGGAGGAAGTAACGCGCGGGAGGAAATGTACGAAGCGGCGTTTGGCCCTGCCCTTAAGCTCGTTCAGAAGATGGATGGTGTCGGAGTTCTTATTGACAACGGTCAGGGTGACAAACAGTGGGCACCGCCGGTCAAGGCGAGTCAAGTGGCTCTAGCTGTGCAAAAGTTTTGGTAGATGGCCAGAGGGTCTATATGAGAAGAGGTGGTTTCACCAGGTATGGGCAAGGAATAGACATGCGGATTTGAGTACCACGGACGAGGTATTAGATGGTGTGACGATCTCCCGGGATAGTGTCGATGCATGGGAGATGGTACAGTGAATGTAGATGGTCTAGGCAATTTACGAATGATTGTTTACTATTTTTCAAAGTGAATCATTTTCACATTTATCAACCGAGCTGTGGTATTTCAGATATAGTATTTACTTTCTTCGCCTCTTATACATATATTGTTTTGTTTTATGTATTCATTTATTTTATTTTATTTTCGTAGAAAATCAGTTTCCCAAAATAATGGAAACTAATATTTTCCCACTGAAATTCAATGATAACCTTGCCAGATGGCTGGACCATTCAACAGCCGTCGCTGTTTGCCGTCTTCACTTTCTCTTCACAAGCCGATCAACCGGTTGAACTCCCAGATTGACCCAAATGGAACCATTTCCAGTGAGCCGTCGTCCGCAAAGAATGTCAGAGCCATACCTTGGATGGAATGGCAACCTCTTGGTAGACTTCTGCCGAATGAAAGCTTTGAAGGTTTTTTTATTTGTATACTTATTTTGTTGGCTCCCGCCCCGTCAATTACCTGCATTTCCTTTCCCCAACATGCTAATGGAAGTGAGGCCTTTTAGTTTCCTTTCCTACGACCCATTCGGTCTTCCTTTTTCTTCTCCCAATGCAAAGACAAACGACTGGTAGCTTACATTCAGGCTCCCACTTGGACGGCGGAGCGTCGGGAGACAAAAGGACCAGGGTATTGTTACATGATCAGCAGTGACAATGAGGAGACAGCCACCGAAACCAGGGTAGAAGAGTCGTCAGGCAGGACCAGAAGAAAGACGAAAACGCGGAGAACGCGGAGAACGGCCGATCTTTGACGAATCGATCGCCGCAGTCCGCCCGGAGGCGCGAGACGCTACCTAGAATAAGTGTAGTGCTGGAACTGCGGGCCTTGGAAGTGAGCGCAAGTGCTTACGAAGAACGGTGACGAAAGGAAGAAAAGAAACAAAAGAAAAGGTATCAACAAGGGTCGTATTCCGTACACGGCACCAATGCCATAGTCGCTCGACTGTCAGGCAGAAAAGTAACCTTCCCCTCATGAAGGAACCTAGAAACCTGGTAATTACTCCGTGTGGGAAAAATAGCTCTTGTCTTTTGGTCGCTCTCGAGTCCAGAGAGCGTTCGTGGGCGTTACAATCTTTGCATGCTGGGTAACGCCACGCGCTGGAAGCCGGCGCTAGCAGGGGTTGCGCATGTTGTTTGCAGGCGCGTATATAGCCTGTTATGGAGTACCACATACCTGGCCTGGACATCGCCCGTACGACCGCCCGGAAGCTTGTTCGCGGACTTTACCCTCTTTCCCCTCACACAAAATACACTACAACGTGGTCAGCAACGTCACCCTCGGTTCCCCAGTCCAACGACATGCGATCGACAAAAGAAAGCCGCTAGCATCGCCAGCAAGCTACGATGTAATTACTCCGTACGTCACAGTCTTCGTCGCGGTGTCATCCAGGTCCTGAACCGCCCATGGGACCCCCCTTCCCCCCCAGCCTCCTCCTTGTCCAGCTTCTCCATCTGGGCGTTTCTTTTGGCCCCATGATAATTTGATTCGTCATGTTCCCGCTGTCTCCGGGACAAGCTCAACATTCATTTTGGCTTAATTGCAACCCTCGAAAAGAGGGGAACGGAGAAATATGAGAAATAAAGAGGGCTTTCTCGAGTGAGAGCAGCTCGGATTTTGGCAATTCCCAGCTTTTACCGGCTGCAGTTGCCTCCTGCCTTGTCCTACCCTGGGCCGAGGCGAAAGAGGGGTGCCATTGTTGACGGGGACATGCAAGAGAGAAGGATCGAGGTCTTTGGAGCTTCCCTTTTCTGAAGCAGTTTTCGGGTCAACAATGGCCGGGAGTGAGCTTTCCCAACACCACCGCCACTAGTTGATTGGAGGTAGAGTGACAAAATCAAGACAAAGACAGAGCAGGGGGGTGGGGGAATGAATACGGTCATTGTCATGGCCACCGTCCGGGAACTTTGGGGAGGAGCGGAGGTGGATGCGGGGGACGATGTGGGACGGCAGGCTTCATATCGAGGCAGGAACGCTGTGGGCAGAAATGAAAGAACGAGGGTGGCCGCACATGTGTGGTGATGGATCGCCATGCCCTGCGTTCATGTATAATAGACACCGTGTGCCGCCTCGTCGCCCGTCAGCAACTGATCACCGGTCCCCATCTCTACTCCAGCGACCACCGGACACTCCCAACTGTACCTGTTGGTGTGTAAGTACCAAGAGACGTATATTATTTCTTTGCGACAACGCAGCTTGCGCTTCACATCCTTAATTATTTTCAGCTTCAGCGCTGTTGGAGTCTTTTGGATTGGATATTGTTTCCCTTCGCTGGCATTGTCGCCGTTCGTTTCTTTACCCCGTCAGTCGTTATCTGTGTCCGTTTCCGCCCGTCACAATGCTGGCCAAGTCTCTTTTCTCATCCTCCCTGGCCGCTGTGGCGCTGCTGTCGCCGTCGGTCTCGGCCCAGGACAATTCCAACTCCACTGGCCCTGACGCCGATGGCAAGTACTGGCTCTACGGCAACGGCATCACGGCCTCGTTCATACCCTACGGCGCCTCGATCTCCAACCTGTTCATCCATGACCAGTACGGAATCGTCCGCGACCTGGTGGGCGGCTTTGACAACGCCACCTATTACGGCATTGACCGCCAACACCCGCACTTTGGCGGTGTCCCGGGCCGGTACGCCAACCGCATCAAGAATAGCACCTTTGAAATTGACGGCACTTCGTACAACATCCTGCCCAATGAGAACCCGGCGCCGGGCCACCCCGCCGGTGTCGACACGCTGCACGGCGGCCCTGACGGCTGGGACTGGCGCAACTTCACGGTTGTGTCGCACACGACCAACAGCATCGTCTTCAAGATTGTGGACCAGGACGGCGACCAGGGCTTTCCTGGCGAGGTCGTTTCGTACATCACGTACACGCTCGGCGACCACACGTGGAACTTCAATATGCTGGCCTTTGCTACCACCAAGAAGACGCCCATCATGCTGAGCAGCCACACGTACTGGAACCTCGACGGCTTTGCCAACAACGAGACGAACCTCGTGCTGAACCACTCGCTGCACCTGCCGTACAGTGGCCAGCGTGTCGCCGCGGATAACATCCTGATCCCGACGGGCGACATCCTGGCCAACCAACCCGGCTCCCTCAACGACTTCTGGACAGCCCCCAAGCAGATCGGTGCCAACTTCTCCAACCCAGACCTGCTCGGCAACTGCGGCTACAACTGCACCGGCTACGATACTTGCTACCTCGTCAACCGCGACAATGACGGCCAGCATGGCTGGCGCGACGAGGACAACTACGTCGCGCGCTTGCACTCGCCCTGGTCTGGCATCCAGCTCGACATCTACTCGGACCAGGAAGCCTTCCAGGTCTATTCGTGCGGCGGCCAGAACGGATCGATGGCGCTCAAGAAGACCCAGGGTCTCTTTGGCAACAACGGCTCCGCCCCCAAGTTCCCGCGCACCATTCCCCAGTACGGCTGCCTTGTCTTGGAGGTCGAGGACTGGATCGACGCCATCAACCAGCCCGAGTGGGGTCGCCAGAGCAAGCAGATCTTTGCGCCTGGCGATGCGCCGTTTGAGCTGCAGGCAACGTACAAGTTCAGCATCAACACCACGACGACGCCAGCGTAAGCTTGGTGAGGTGTGGATTTCAAACACACACATGCACACAGACAAAATAAGAAGTGCAATGGGTATAAGTTCCCAATAATTTGGACATTGCAGAATATTGATTTGGAGATATATATATTCTTGGAATACTTTTCGATGCGGTCGCTGGATTGTTAATACACTATCTTCGTAGGAAGACGCTGGGAGATGTTCTTCGTTTAGCCCAGTTTAAAATATATACTTTTCACAAAAAAAACACCGTTGTTTTGTCGCTACTTTGTAGTTACATAGTAGTTGTTTTTCATGTGCTTTTGGATTCGTCCCGACTTACAATTGTAGGTGGCAGTCTTGGCGCTTGGCGATTTTGCCTAGCGAACTGGCAATTGCGAATGTGGCGGCACTAATGACACTGCAAAACCCACTGTACGACGGAACTACGTCGATCGCGTCTCAGCGAACGACGCGTTAATTGGTTTTCGGTTTCTCGACGACACAACATCGGCGATTTCCGTCCCCAACAACTCTCTCCCCTTCCCAGCCGCCGCTGTTCTTACAGCCACGCCGCCGGCATGGACAATCAGTCATCCACCGTCACAATTCACCCACGGACTCCAGGTGCCTCTGCAGGTACCGCAGTGCCCGACGCCCTGCCTCCAGTTTTGCAGACACCAGCTGGCCTTGCCCTCCTGGAGCTCCAGGGCACAATAAACCTGCCGGAAGCACCAAGAGGTGACGAGGATGAGGAGGGCCAAGGCGGCCAAGAACACTCTGTGGCTGGACCACACGCACAAACAGTCCCTATTGGCCGCCTCGACTTTCCCGACTACGACCCGTCGGCAGGGGCTGACAGCACAGGTTGGATGCGTCGTGTCCACCTCTACGTTGGTCCACATCAGCGTCTCACGGGCGAGGTCAAGAAGCTCCCACGACCACTGGCTGTTGTAAGGAGGAAACAGCAGCAAAAGGACTCTGCGGACAGGGCCGCGCTGAACGAAACCGATCTCGAGGTCGTCGAGGTGGTCTACTACAAGCTGCTCTTTTCACAGCGACCCGAACCCATGACGGCGACGTCGTTTTAGAAGGACAGCAACGACGAGATTGGGGGGGGGCAATCGATGGCTGCGAATTATAGACGAGGCTACGGAATTAGCAAGCAAATGTACGACAGCAAGGTAGCGTAACGGAACACCGTGAATCATGCATTGCACCGGGCTGCGTATGTCATTTCTATTTGCATACCAACTGTACCTCCCATTTCTTTCACGCCGGCTGCGCGGCGCGTGTGCGACCGAGACCGTCTTTCCCGTAAAAGTCCATCGGATACACGCCGCCCACACCGCCGTCAGGCGCCCGCGCCCACGCATCATCCCGTTCGCCTAGTGCCAGAAGCGCTTCGTACGGTGTCAGCAGCGGTCGCGGGAATGCATAGCCCCAGTCGATGCTCAGCCGTGGGCACGCCACTTGCACCCAGCACTCGACGTCCTGGCTCATACGCGCCAGCTTGTGCGGCATAATCTCGGACAGCAGCAGTGTCACAAACGGAATGCCGCGCTGCCGAAGCCGTGCTTCGATCGCAGCCAGCGTGTGCGGGTTGCCCTGCCGACCGAGCGAGCCTAGGATCAGTCCCCACGACTGTGCCGTGCGCGCTGTGCGGATGGCCGATCGCCGCAGGTCCTGCATTTCGGTGTGCCCGTACGTCTCACGTGTCAGCTTGCGCGCGTAGGGGTCGTAGCGGTACGCAGGTACTGTAGGATTGTGGATCATGATGCTCTCGAGGTGGAAGCGGCCATCGCCAAGGTAGAGGATGGCCAAGTTGTCCCTGTCGTCGCCGTCCGCACCAGCGGCTGCTGTTTTGGACAGGTTCGGCGACGTGCAGCCCAGAATCTCGCCTCGCGATAGCGGTGCGATCTGTGGCACTATCACGCGGAAGCCGGCCCGTTCTAGTGTTGGCTTCACGCCGTGGATGGTTGCGTTGAACTGAATCGTGCCGACCAGTGCCAGTGTTGTGGGCTTAGACGGGTCCTGGAGCAGATTTCGCTCAAGCGTCGCGAGAAGGTGTGCCGTGTCGATGCGAATGTCCACAAACACGTACAGCGTCTTAATCTGTGTAACGTCCACGGGAATCAGGCAACTGTGCGCGTAGTGCACTAGCAAGTCGCAACCCAGCGCGCGGGCCGTGTAGTCATCGATACAGCATGCACCGTATGTCACATCGCCCATGATGAGCGTGTCGATTCCCGGACAGAATTGCTGCAGGATGTCCGAGATGGTCGTTGCAAATAGCAACAGGCCTTCCGGCATCTGCAGAGCCACACGCTTGGCACCCTGTGTGCGGATGCGGTGGATTGTTTTTGGCACCTCAAACGAGTAGTTGGGCGGAAGTAACGCCACAGCCTCAAGCAAGGCCGGGTCGTTGGCCAGCTCGGGCGGCACCTGGTTGAGAAGTCGTGGCGGCCTTCGTGCTGGGCGGCTCACTGCATCATGTTAGCATTTGTACAGTATCTGCACAGCGGAGCCAAATGAGGTACCATGGCCGTTTTTGTGTAAACTTACCAACAGCCCCGCTATCCTCCACGTTCAGCCCTGGTGTCTTAGCAGCAGCTTCCGCTGCCGCTCGTCGTCCGATGAACCGTTTCTTGGGCTGCTTCAAGGCCGGCTTGTCCGGGTTCTCGCTAGTTGTCAGTTCTGCCGTTTCGGACCCCGCATGTTTTGTAGAATCTTTCTCGCCGCTTGGTGCATCTGCTTGTTGCTTTGGTGGCAGAGGTGGTGCTGATTGTGTATCTGTTTCGGTCGATTCGATTTCAGTTGCTTCCATCGCCAGCTCAGCAAGAGCCTTCTCCAGTTCTTCCTCTCGGTGCTGCTCCTCAATCTCAGCAGCTAGGCCGATATCTGTCTGTGCCCTATCATTTTCCATTGTTGAGATGCGATGACCATGAATTAAAAATGATCGTGAGATTGTTTACACATGATGCTTGTCGCCTCTGAGAAGAAGACGAGGTTTTGTTAGCCTTGTGATAATAGGTTGACAGCTGCCGACACCTGCCATCGGCGAGAAGGCTGAGGTTGCCCAAGACCCATGGAACCGAAAAGTTTAGCACATTATGATAACCCCACCAGCCCCCACTTGTATCTGGCGCGAGTCAGGACCCGGTTTTTGTTGCCCTACTCACATTTGGGTCACATGATATTCCTAGGATACTCGTGCACGGACCATGTGAATTGGTCGACAAGCCCTATTATTAGGTAAGCCCACCACGGAGCACAACATTGTCAGCAGTGGCCTAGCCCCGGCGCGCATAGATTCTCCGGGCTAAACTTTTTTCTGCCTGCACGCAAAATTAGTAGCGAAAAAAATAACACATTCCGCACCAATTCTCCTTTCCGCGAGGTTTTGTACCATCATCCGCCCAACTCCATTCCGACAACCAAAAAACAGAATTCACCGACGTTTCTGTTCCTTGCGATCTTTCTTTCTCTTTACTTCCCAACCAAAAGGGAATCCATAGAAACGACCGCCCAGCATGAAGGTTCGTTCTATCTTCACTTGCTTCCGTCTCGACGACACCTACAAAGCAGCAAAGCAAAGTCAGAAGCAGCAGTAGCAATGGCAACACGAGAGCAAGGCGGGTGAAAGGAATATTTTTGCACTGTGTCCTCGTCCCGGCTACGAATGGATGAATTGTCCTCATGAACTCGTCTGGGAGAAATCACGAAAAATCGATGACAAGGCGACGACAAACCGACGACAAGCCACGGGTTCATTGACCTGGAAATTGAGACGGGAACCAAACGGAGCCGACGACATTGATGGACGGACACACAAAGAGACAAGAAGAGGACACAGGGCAAAATGTTCTTTCGACTAGACGACAATTTTGCTGTTATGCTACTGTTCTTCTGACGCTGGTGATACTGTCATTATTTTTGTCAAGTTGCATTGGACTAACCAACTTCCTTTTGTAGTTGAACGTTAGCAACCCGGCGACCGGTGCGCAGAAGCTGATCGACGTTGAAGATGAGCGCAAGCTCGCTGTTTTCATGGAGCGTCGGGTTCGTACCATTCCTCCCTGCACCTAAATCGACTTTTTTTTTCGGCCGACTTCGAGAAAGAACACGTGGGATACAATATAGGAACGGAAAACTGACGTCTCGCGTACAGATGGGTGCCGAGGTCCCCGCCGACTCTCTAGGTGACGAGTGGAAGGGCTACATTGTCCGCATCACCGGTGGCAACGACAAGCAGGGCTTCCCCATGAAGCAGGGTGTACTGCAGCCCACCCGTGTCCGCCTCCTGCTGTCTGACGGCCACTCCTGCTACCGTCCCCGCCGGTCCGGCGAGCGCAAGCGCAAGTCGGTCCGCGGCTGCATCGTCAGCGCTGACCTGTCCGTCCTGGCTCTGTCTATCGCCAAGCAGGGTGAGGCCGACATCCCCGGCCTGACCGACGTTGTCCACCCCAAGCGCCTGGGCCCCAAGCGTGCCCGCAAGATCCAGAAGTTCTTCGGTCTGTCCAAGGAGGACGATGTCCGGAAATACGTCATTCGCCGTGAGGTCCAGCCGAAGGGCGAGGGCAAGAAGCCCTACACCAAGGCCCCCAAGATCCAGCGCCTGATCACCCCGCAACGCTTGCAGCACAAGCGTCACCTGATTGCCCTGAAGCGCCGCCAGAACGAGAAGGTCAAGGACGAGGCTGTACGTACCCCGTGTCGCACCATAATTTGTTCGTTCTGTTTATGTATCCACCAGTTGCTAACCTCTACCAGGCTGAGTACGCTCAGATCCTGGCCAAGCGTGTCCACGAGGCCAAGGCACAGAAGGCTGACCTGCGCAAGCGGCGCGCGAGCTCCCACAAGTAAAGCATTTAGACGACAGCATGCGACGCTTCCCGCCTCGGCGGGAGTGAAGTAGAAAGGCAAAAAAGGGACAAAAATAAACAAAATGAGACGACATTTCGAAACGAAAAAGTGTCTTTTCCACTACTCTAGGGCGTTTTTATTCCTCCTTTTTAATGTTGTTTTGTGCATTTATTTTGTGTCACTCGGTCGGGAGCGAGAGCTTCGGGGGAAAGAGGGCCACGGCAATGGATTCTTTTTTTTTGTGTTTTTCAAGGAAACTTGCAAAGAGCTCTTCGTGACGAGGAAGGCAAAACGAAGGATGGGAAAGGGGCCGCCTGTGGATGAAGGCCTTGTGGTGGACAAAACTCAAAACTCCCTCGCGGCTCGCAGTGGTATTTTTGTTTTTGTTTGCGGCCGCGGGGAGGAAAAGACTGCATATATGTGTACGCACGAGCCCTATCTGCGTGTCGTATATTGGTATAAGCTGTGATCTGTGTTTTCTACCATGCGGACACAGTCAAAATTTTATTATGGACAACAAAAAAAATCAAAAGGTTATTTCAAAAATTATTTTTCGTCATCTTGATCATACTTTGGCAAACCAGCCAGGAAATGTTAATATTATCTTGAAGTCACTAGCTAGCGGAAGAACAATTTCACGGCCATTGTGTACGAATTACTACGTGGTCTTTACAATGACAATCTACATTCGGATGTACTATGGTCACACAATACCAACTGCTGATAGAAATATTTTTTTTGTCTCTCGATAACCCCAATGATTCCAGAAAACCAATTCTACTTTGGTGCGGTGTCCGCATTCGCATTCAATAGCGATCTGTTGTGATATACTCCTGTGATATGTAAAGCACGACAACAAAATTGAAAACAAAAAAGACAATAATGCAATGATATAAATGACAAACGGCCACCCTCAACCTTAACCAATGTCTCATCTTAGATAAACGTGCCTTACACAGGCACATTTCTGAAGAGATAACTGACGCTCTCGCCGTTATGTGTCCTGCGAATGGACTCAGCGATGGTGCTGCTCACGTCGATGACCTTGATCTTCGGGCAGCGTTCCTGCTTGTCGCCCAGGGGAACGGTGTTGGTGACAACAACCTGGGACAGACAACTCTTGTTGATGGTATCTACGGCGCCACCCTATTGGAAAGTTAGTATACGTATAAGCACGTTTCTTCATAGACGGTCAGCGCTTTGTTTCAGACGTACGCTCAGAATGCCGTGTGTCTAAAATACAGTTAGTGTCGACCCAAATAAACCTAAAGGCAATAGTAGATGGAAAATTAAAACGTACCACGATGGCAATCACCTCGCGTGCGCCGTGCTCCTTCAGTGTGGCAGCGGCCTGTCTTTGAGTTAGTATGGGCTATGCCTCTAAGTTTGTTTATATAGCAGCCATGAGACATGTAAGTCATATCGCGGAGATAGCTTTACCTTTGCGAGAGTACCGCATGTGTCGGCCATCTGAAACGTGTATGTTAGTAGCTATCAAAAAAAGCATATTCGAACCTGGAAACACCTCAACGTCTCTAGGGGCCAATAAAAAAACCTACATCGTCGACCAAAATAGCAATCTTGTCCTGGACATCGCCAACCAGGACCATGCGGCCAACGACGTTGGGCCGCGGCCGTTCCTTGTGGATCAAGGCAAAAGCCATTTCCAAGCCGTCGGCAATAGATGTAGCGCGCTTCGCACCGCCAGCATCGGGGCTGACAATGACGGTCTCGTCGCGCTGCAGCTTGGGGTTTTCCCGGATGAAGCGCAGGACGCTGGGCTCGGCGTATAAGTTGTCGACAGGGACGCTGAAGAATCCCTGAATCTGTGAGGCGTGCAGGTCCATAGTGATGACGTGGCTGCAGCCGGCGGTCTCGAGCATGTTGGCGATTAGCTTGGCGGAGATGGGAGCGCGGCTCTTGTCCTTCTTGTCCTGGCGGGCATAAGGGAAGTTGGGGACGACGGCCGTGATGCGACGGGCGGAGGCCGTGCGGCACTGAGAAGGTTAGACATGTGGTGATTGGTAGGCCAAAGGGAAAAAAGGCCGTCCATTACGAGGACATACAGCGTGGATCATGATGAGAAGCTCCATCAGGCCGTCATTGATGTCGCCCGGAGCGGTTGACTGCAGAATGAAGACTTTTGGGGCAATATGTCAGTAAACAAGTACACTGTAAAAGCCAAATAAAAGTAGAAGGGGCTCACCATCCTCGTCTCTGACAGACTCGCCAATAGTAACACTCTTGTGGAATTTGTTAGATGCTGCTCGCGTCTCATCTCATTCAGTTTCAAAAGTACCGCAGAGAGCTTACGGTCTCCTGGTTCGAGTAGTTCAAGCCTGTGTTGAGGAACAGAGTTAGCAATACGTAGCAAACATATGTTTTCCAATCTGTGGTAAGAGGAATGCTTCCGACATACTCAGCGTTTTTGCGGGTTCGATGCCGAGGCTGTGAGGTGCATTTATGTTAGCTGAGGCACAGAGGAGGCCATGAAAGACCAGAGGAGGTAATTGCAGCATCGAAAACTCGGGAGTTTCATTACCGGTCTGCCACCAACCGCGTAAGCATGGGGTGGCTGTTGCCCGAAAGCAGCTTGATTTCGTTGGCGGTGTCACCCATTGTGAATGCTATAAGAAGGACGAGACGAAGTACGCGAGATGAAGAGAAAGCGAGGCCTTCTAGCACGACTTGGAGCTGTGCTTGTCTGTGGTCTCTCTCTTGGTGGCGGTATGTAGACTCGTGTCGAAAAAAAGATCATCAAATATGTGGATGCCGAAGCCAAGCAGAAGAAGCGAGGTTCCTGCGGATGACGGTAAAACGCCGAAACGCAAAATTTCTATGATGGAAAAAGAGGCTTGCATGAGGTATGACAGTCTTTTGCGCCGTAACGCGCCTGCCGGCGGGACGAATTGCATGTGGTTATGTGGGGTGAAAAGATTTCTATAGGACTAGCGCCGCACATGATAAAGCACGTGATGTGAATGATACAGACGATAACTTTGTATTTCCGTGCCGCAACGCGTAAGACGATGGTACGTTGCTTTTTTATTATATAAGGAAGCAGCTTTAACGAACGTCGATTTCAGAAGATAACAAAAAAATCTACTTTAAAAGGTGGTGTGTGCACACGGCATGCATCCTCAGCAGATCGGAGAAAACGTTGTTCTGATTGGCTAACGGGGTTTGGGTTGTAGAAAATATGTGGGCCCGCCGCCTTGCCTTACAATAATGTGGAGGAGCCAATTCTCAGTCATCTGCACCTCTGGAATTCTGGAATAAAGTGGAAAGTGCCTGCCTCGCCTTTCGTCATCGGCACCAACGCTTCCTAAACTCCATTAAATAATCTACCGTCGCCAACACTACCCATCGAACGCCTCCTTTCGATAACCACCTTATCATCGTTTATTGAATCCCACCAACTTCCTATTGTACCGCAACCGTCCTCGACATCAACCGGCCTCCGCTTTTTCGCCGAAACAAAGTTCCTCTGCGACTCGTCCCGTCAACCTCCTCGTCAATCATCGAAATGAAGCCGTCAACGTTCTTCGCCGGCATCCTGTCGCTCGCTATGGGCGCTTCAGCCGTCGAGCTGAAGAAGCAAGTGGTCGTCACCTACGAGAGCAATACGCCCGACTGGGTCATCTCCGAAGCCAAGGAGGCCATCATCAACGCCGGTGGCATCATCACACACGAGTACAACCTGATCAAGTAGGTCTCTACCGTCTACGTTATCGGTTTCCCGGCTACATTGTTCATCGCTAACTAACGAAATAGGGGCTTCGCTGCGACGGCAGGCGAAAAGGTCCTCGCGTCTGTCCAGACGATGGGCAGCAAATACCAGGCTCTGGTCGAAGAGGACAAGGTCGTGTCTGTGGAGTAAGCCATGTATATAACGACGCCGATATGGCAACGACGAATACGATAGGAAGACCGATGGATGCGATACGACACACGAAATAGCTGTTGACATTCAACAGCTGCGGTCTTGATGGATAACGGGTCGTTGGGTTTTGCTTTTTTCTCTATTGGATGCGACACTAATATCACTCTGCGTTGTTTCGCTTTCTTGGGATCGGGCGGCGTTAGGCTGGAAACATTTGCAAAGTCCAAAAAATAACAAAAAATAAAAAAAACTTCAAGTCATTTGTTTACTGTTTACTGTTTTTGATGCTACTTGGTGTTTCGTGACGTGACAATTTTTCAGTTAGCAGCCTTGAACAAGTCGTATTAGCCGGTGGCTTTCTCCTCAAGGTCGCCACATCCGTGTCGTTCTCCGCGATGCATTCCATACGTTGTAGCCGAACAAGCAATTGCCAGGTCAGCTCATACCCTCATCTAGCATGGAACCTGGCGGCCGTTGCGACGGAATGTAACCCAGGGCGAGATGTATCTTACATGTATTCGCCACTGAGGATGTCAGAACGCGTCGTCAGAGCAATACTCCGTACTAGTGGTTCGTAGATGGCTCTTCCCGCAGAATAAGAACAGGTGGCTGCAGTGCCTTTGTCTCTGCTTCTCAATTTGGTGACGCTCACGATTAATCTAATACCAGGCAGCGAAAAGTGTGGCATGCGGCTTCCCGCTGCGTTCGCGGCTCCAGGCACCTGATACGGGACCGGCGGGGCTGTATTTATGCACAGGCCTGTCATGGGGGCTGATTGGGCCTGGACTGTACTCACTGGCTTCTGTAATATTCCGTAATTCCCATCCACACCTCCCAATTCCAGCGGACGTCTCGTAGATGAATTCGGTTTGCGACGATCCCAGGGGTCTGGGTTGTCACTTCCCTGCGCGTTGTGGTGGAAAGGTACGCGCCTGCCATATTGGAGCTGTCGCTAGCGTGTGTCATTTCGCATAGCGGAGCAAGTCTGAAGCTTCGTTTCTCTTTCGTTTCGCTCCCTTCCTTTTCCCCCATCTTCATTCTCGACCTCGTTTCCGGTTCGCTGTCTTCTCTCTACTGGCAAGGGGCTCGCACCCTTCTAAGCGCACAGAGACTCGCCGCTGACGTGCAGCAGCCGCAGCTCGTGAACGACTCGAGATCGGCGTCTCTGCCTGTTTTGGCTGTCTCGCCTTTGCATCGTGCATTTCATCCCAACTCGATCTATTCACGGTCACCCTTTTTCCTCGCCTCGGTGTCGCCCATTTCGATCTTGCAAATGGACTACGCCGGCCTCTAAGAGTCGATGTCCGGTTTTGTTTGCGTGCCGCTTTCATTACAGCCTTCTTGCAGCATCAACAATCGCATCCATTCGACATCCTCTAGACTCGCTTCCCTGATAGCCTCCTGTGGCTAACCTGTTCTGCTTCATCCTCCCTCGGTTCTTCCTCTCACCATGCCTCAACAACAACAGCATCAGTCTATCAGCCGAGCGGGCCAAGCGGCGCTTCTAACATGGGTCAACACATTCTCCCTGGACCGCAGGGTCGATCGTCTCGAGGACCTCGCCGACGCCCATGTCTTTGCCCAGATGCTACACGATCTCGACCCGGAATACGACCCCAATGAGCTCGAACAGCACGCCGGCTCGTCCGCTTGGCTGACAAACAAGCGTAACATCCAGTCTGTCTTCAAGGCGCTGACCAAGTACATCATCCACAAGGACGGCAGCGGCGCCATTGATTTCCTGCCGCGGACTATCGATGTGCGCGCCGTGTCGGACAACCTAAACGCCGAGGGCATTGCACAGGTGTGTTGCAGGTCGTCTTCTAGGGCTGCAGTCCTAGGGCTGCAGACGTTTCCAAAATTTTCTGGTGTGCCTTTGATACTGACCTCGTCTAGCTTGTTGCCATCTTCACGGCTGCTGCCATGCTTGGCGAACACAACACCAGGTACATTCCCGTCATGCGCAAGAACCTCAGTACGAGTGAGCAGGCCGAAATCATGACCATCTTGCAGCGCAAGGATGAAGAGCGCCAACGACTTGCCGAAAGCGGTGTGGACGCGTCGGTGGACGAAGCCACAGCTGGGCTAGACCCGGGATTGGTCGCCGAGGCCCAGCTGGCGACGCTCGCGTCCGACTACGACCGTGTGAGCAAAAAGCTGGCCGACACCAACACGCGCCTCGAACACCTTCAGATTTCGTACGAAGTCATTAAAGAAGACTTGGAACGGAAAGAGAAGGAGCTGGACCTCGAGCGCCAGAAGCACGGCGCCAGCGAATCACAGCTCATCCGGGACCTGCAAGAAAAGCTGCGCGAGCAGGACGACCTCATCAGTAACCAAGAAGGACAAGCCGAGGACGACCGCCAGACCAAGCAGCGACTGGCCCAAGAAAACAGCCAGCTCTCGCGAAAGGCTGTGCTCGTCGAGCAGCTGCAGGACCAGGTGCAGGAGCTCAAACACGCCAACGATGACCTGAGTAAGAAGGCCAACACCATCGACCGGTACAAGCAGAAGCTTGAGGCCCAGCGCGGTCTTGAGATGCGCCTGGAGGAGGCCCTGTACGAAGTCGGGCAGAACAAGGAGGCGCTCAAAGAGTTTGAAGCCCTGCAAAAACGCGTCAACCAACAGCAGGCGACCATCGAGCGCTTCCGGGAGATGGTGTCGGGCCTGGAACAGCAGATCGAGGACAACCGCATCCAGAAGGCTGCGTTGGAAGCCGACATCTACGCGGTGCATGCGCAACTCGAGAGCCTGAAAGACCAAAACCAGATGAGCGAAGTGCGCATCGCCGAGCTTGAACAGCAGCTCCTGCAAGGGACCGGTAGCACCCTCCCGGCCAGCCCGGGTGGTTCCAAGGCGACATTTAATCTTGAGGAAGAGCTGCAGCACACAGACGACCCTGCGTCGGCTTACACTTTGGAGATTGCTCGGCTACGTGCTGAGAACAACCTCCTACGGAGCAATGTTAACGTGGGCTCCGAGAACGACCGCCTACGAGCCGACCTAGAAATCTCAAAAACAAAGGAGGAGCTCGCCCGGAAAAAGTACAACGACATGTTCGAAAAGCACACGCTCCTGGAGGCGCAAATGCAGGCTCTGGCGAGCGGTGCGATAGGAGAGGGTAGCTCGCTTTGGATCGAGGCGCAGAAGAAGCTCAAGGACACGACCTCGGAGTTGGACCGACACAAGGCGGTTTCGCGAGAGCTGGAGAACCAGGTGGCAGACAAGCACCGGGAGATGCTGCGCCTCCGTGCCGACTTGGGTGCTGTCGGCAAGGGATCTGTAGATGCCCTGGAAGAGCTCAAGTCGACCGATGCTTTAATCTCGGAGTCTCTCAAGAAGGAGCTGGAGTCGCTGCGCACAGACTTCCGGTCGCTGCAGGTGGACAATGAGCAACAACAGAAGCATCTTATCGAAGCGCTCGTTTCTAAGGAGGAACTGCGCAAGACAATGGGCACAGCATCCGACGAGAAGCCACTGCCGTCGCTAACGCAAGCCACCACAGCACCACCTGCTGCAGATGTCGAGGAGCAAGTCCGCAAGACAACTGAGATGAACGAGAAGCTGCGGACCGCCATGAAGCAGCTGAAGAAGGTGGGATTTCTCTGGCGGCAAGCTATCAACGTCATATATGAACCACAACTAACTATTCGCCAGCAATACGATATTGCGGACCACGACCGCACTGAGCTGCAAAAGAAGCTCAAGGCCGCCGAAACCGCCGGCCCGAGCAGTGGCAGCGTCGGTGCCATGGCCGCCGCCCATGCAGCACAGCGTGCTGCAGATGAAAAGACCATCAAGAACCTGCAGCGTGAAAACGCCATGATCACGACGGCGTGGTACGATCTGACGAGCCGCTTGCAGAGCAACCACGTCGTGCTGCAGCGGCGGCAGGATGCGCCCAAGAGCTGGCTCAACAAGCAGCGGCAGCTGGTGAATGGTATGTTTTCAATTTGGAACTGCAGGCTTTTGTTTTAGGAACTCCTGTTAACTTGTTCTCGTTTTCTCTCAACACAGCTACGCCACGAAAGTAGGAATCTCAAGACGGCCAGACAAAACAGGCGCGGCGAATAGCCTTGGAACGGTAGGATCTGCCACCATTGTTGTCGCTGCCACCGTCGTCACCTTCGTCATCTGCGCCTCTCGGGTCTTGGTTGCCCAAACTATGGTCGACATGGTACTGGGCTATGACCAACTTATCATGTCTTTGGCCTCAGACCAGCTGCTTTTGGCCGAATACAAGAGAGCCGTTTCACGCCCTGACTGTGTTTCTAGCGATTGCTGTCGCGCAGCAGCTTTACTAGGTGACTATGAACGCGAGCAGAAAGCATTTTTTACGACCGTTTAGAAAATGGGTGGCCTTGACCGCGTTTATATTATGGAGCACTACAAGAGCGCTGATTTTACTTGGGACTTTTTTGGGTTGGGAGAGGGGGGGATCCCTGCTTTACATAGCTACCTCGTTTCTTTTGTGTCTTACTTTTTTCTTTTTTTCTTATTCTCCAGCATTTGTTGCTTTTTCTTTGCTTGTGTTTTAAAAGAAAAATATACCCCTTTCCTTTTTATATATATTTTTATCTCCTGTCCAATTACGCGAGTTTGTTTTAACCCTTTCTCTTTCCCATCACTCAGCTGTTAACATTGATCCTATATGATACTACGATTCCAGCATTTGTTCATTAAGGAAATAAAGGAAAAATTAAGAAACAGTGTGACGTGTGTTGCGCTTTCTCGGGAAGAGACAAGAGTTTGCTCTAGACTGCACTCTGGAACAAACCCTTGCCATCCATCCACGTAGAAGGCAGACTATATGTGTTGCTATGTATGTATCGGCCTCTATGTTACTGATAAAAAACTCCTTTCCGTTGTTTGCTTATGCTATGCCGTTTGAAGGAATTGGCAAGGCAACAAATAACATAAAAGTATAAAACATGAAGCCGAAGAGAGGAAGATCGTAGGAAAGGGAGCGGAACAAGTGAAATAGAAACAAGAAAGAGTAGGAAAACATGGAATGAAACTGGATGCAGAACAAGGTAGTAATAGAAAAACAAAAATAACAAGACTCGAAAAAACAGTTGCAAAATGAGTAAAACAAAATCAGGAATAAAAAGACAAACAGCCAGAAGAATGTCCACTCCTTTGTGGTCAGACCAAATGTTTTCTGAACATTTCGAGAGTCTATACTATGTCTCTTTTCTTCCCATTCACCAAATCACGCGAAACCAAAGTACTCGTTACCAGCAGTGATGGCCTTGAGCAGCTGAGAGCGCATGGCGTCATAGGTCTCATATTCAGGCAAGTCGAGTTCTATAAAAGAAATGGTTAGCAAAAACGTATCGGAAGAGTAAGTATCAAAGGACAGGAGGGGAGACCACATACGGTTGAAGCACGTGTGCGAGCTGGGCAGCCGGTCCTTGTCGCCATAATCGCGGTGGATATTGAAGCGGTTGATACCATTCATGCCCTCCAGCTCCTTGAAGCCGTTGAGCGGCACCTTGGACGTGCCTGTCACGAACTGAAGCAGCTTCGCCCGCTCTTCCTTGTCAAAGGAACGCACCGCCCGCCAGAACCACTGAATTTGGGGCGCCGCGCTGTTGTAGTTGTGGTATTCCGTGTTGCCACGCCAGTCGTCGATGTCAATGTCTGGCAGGCCGGAGATGAGCAGCTCAAGCTCCTGCTCTGTGAAGATAGAGATGAGCTCGGCAGGGATTATATCGTGGAAGCCCTTGAGGAACTCGCTCATCTGGTCCTTGACTGACGCCAGCAGCTTGTGCTCCACCACCAGCCGCACATAGTCGTGCTTGTTCTCCTCCGTTACCGCTACGTCGCGACCGTTGGGGATCAGGTCCACGACCTTGGTGGCACCAAACTCGTCGTCGACAACTGAGAAGGTCTCGGTGATGACGTCCGTGATGTCGTTCTCCAGCATCCACACCAGCGACTTGTAATACTCCGGGTCAAAGGATTCCATGTCCTTGACCGACACTGGCTTGCCAAGGATCCGCTTGTACACGGCGCGGCTGAAGTAGCACTCCAGTAGGCGGCCCTCGTACAGAGCCTTGCCGATGATGCGACCGATGAACTTGAAGAACATGAGATGCTCATCGTTGATACCGCTGAGCTTGTTCGGATGGAATGTTGTGCGATCCGAAGACACGGGGATGAACAGGGCGTAGTTTGGATCGAACATTTGTCGGGAGAGCACCTGGAACCATTCGCGGGTCACGCCGCCGGCGTCAACACCCTCCTCGCCATGGAACCGGATGTTGAGTTTGCCGTACTTCATTTCGTCACCTGACTTGAAGTAAAGCGAACGGAACGAGTCGTGGAACACCTGGTCACGGCGGACCGAGAGCTGCAGCGGCGGGAACGAGGGGCGCTGGTGCTGGGCGCCTGTCTTGGCGTGCACGCTGCGGTTGAAGTAGTTGCGCTTATTGTCAAACTCAAGCACCTTGGGGTTCTTGACCAGCAGCGAGAACGTGCCCGACATGAGCTTGGGGTTGTTGCGGACAAGCTCATTCAGGATACGCCGATGCTCTTCTGTAAAGCGGAAGAATAGATCCCACACAGGGCGGCTTTCCGGCGGAGGGCTGGACAGGAGCAGCATGCTGTCGTTGCTGGAGCCGCCAGACTCTTTGTCTTTGCCGCCCAGTGTTAGGCTTTGCGACATCTGTTGGGTGGAAGCCGCCTCGCTAGACTCCGGCAGGTTTGCGTTCTTGCACACAACCATCAAAGACTCGATCAGCGGAAGCAGGATAGTTGCAACATTCAGCATATTGTCACGCTGCCGGATGGCGCTCAGGCACGAGCTCAGGCGGCCCCACATCTTGATGAAGGTCGCGTTATGGTAGAGGCTGCCCATGTAGTCCTCCTCGGCCACATCAGGGGTGTTCGCGGCGTCGTCCTTCTCCGCCTCTGCCTTCTTGGCTTGGACACCAAATAGGTGGTCGAGCGCGGTGAGCACCCGCAGCAGTTTATTTTGCTCTGCAGCGCCAGGGGAAAACTTAGCCAGCGCAATGCCCTGAATCTCCGTGCCCGTCTTGGCTGCTTCGATGTAAGGCAGCAGCTCGTCCAAGTCGCGGAGAATGTTGTTGCTTAGGGTCTTCGCTTGGCGTGCAAGTTCCTGGCCAAAGCGCTGCTTAGTGCCTTCAATGCACGACAGGTTCTTGATTGTCGAGATCGTGTTCTGGAACGTCTTGGAGCTGCACTCCCGCGCAACAAAGATATTGACAACGAGAGACAGGTTGTATTCCGGAATGAAGGGAGTCACTAAGTCGCGCTCCTTGGCCAACTGCTGGTCCGCTGCGCTCGTGGCTGCGTTTGCCGGCTTGGACGTAGATGCTGTGCTGTCTCCTGCGGCAGCGGCGGCGGCGGAAGGTATGGCGGTTGCTTCGGCGGTGCCGGTCCCAGCCGCAGTCGTGCCAGCGGACGTTACAGCAGCAGCAGCAGCAGCAGCGTCACTGCCCTCAGGGTCCTTGCTTTCTTTGTCTTCAACGGAATCCTTTGCTTCAGCCTCTTTCTTGCGCTTTTGCTCTTCGGCCAGTTCGCGGCGACGACGTTCACGTTCGAGAGCCTGCAGAGGTTGTGTCACTCTGTTCAGGAGCTCGGCAAGCAGCTGCATTACGGACGAGCTCTCCATAACGAGGTTCTTCTCAAGCAGTAGCAGGAGTGAGTTGATGCCAAAACGCGACGCTTTGGACTGGACGCCCTTGGCCTTGCGATTGCCAAACGATTTCCTAAGAGACGACCCGATAAAGTCATGCTCTGTCAGGAACAAGGACGGGATGTGCTGGTTGCGGCTGCAGAGATCCACAAGAAGGTCTAGACCTTGTTGCACGATAAGCAGGGGCGAGCTATCCAGATGAGATGCTTGGAGAGAGCTCGGGCCAGCAAAATATGTGTTGTTGGCAGTCCGCTTAAGACTGCCACTGGTGCCAGGGGTCGTTGTCACAGCGCCGGAAGAAGCGTTGCCAAAGCCAGACTTTGCATCCTTCTCCTTGTCCTTGGGAGGCTGTCTTGCCTTAGCAGAAAGTTGGTTGAAGCACCGCTCCACAGCGTCCATATCCGAGCTTCCATCTTGAAGGATATGAAGAAGAGTACTGATGATCTCAAGGCGGCTTTGCCTGTTCTGGCACAGATCAATGAAGAGATTGAAGAGGCAAGTCCGTGTTGTTCCCTGCTGCGTCACGAACATGAGACGCAGAAGGGTGGCAACACCAGACCGATCCATCATGTGCACAACAGGACGCCGCTCAATCTTGGCCACCAACTTGTTGTCGGCTGCAGACTCACCAGCACGACCGGATGGACCGCCAGCGAGTTCACTTGCACGTTCAGAGTGGCTGCGGCCAAGTCCTTCCCGAAGGCGGGGTGCGCGATGCACTGGCGGCTGTTCTTGTTCAAGCAGGTTTCTTGCGTGGGCTGCCATCTCCGGTGGCAGGCGATCAAAGAGCTCTTCGCCCTGTTCGCGCAGAATCTCGTTACGAAGACGCGGCGGGAATGACATGAGAATACTCGCCGTATCCATTTCCTCTTGTGCGGCATTGTCTGCCGCAGCAGCATTGCCAGCTTGGCGACGGTCCTCTTCTCGTTGACGCCTGCGGAGCTCTTGCTGTTCCTGTTGGACAATATCCATGCGCAGGTCGTCGGGCAAGGCATCCAAGAAGGCGTTATAGTTCTCGTCAAGCTCGCCGGTCGTCTCTGCCTGTTGGCGCGCCTCTGAACGGCGAGCCGTGAGCGCTTGTGCAATAACCTCTTCACGGAACTCTTCTGGAAGCGCTTCTAAATACTCAGGGTCAATGCCGAGGTCGGTAATATCCATTTCGGCACCGCGGATAATAGCCATGACACGCTCTTGTGGTTGTTCTGGCTGCGCGGCGACATCTGGTGCCTCGTTCGTACCCTCGCCATCGGCACCAGTGTTCGTCTCGACGCCTTCCATGGGCTCAGAAGTGTCCCTGTCGCCCCGTGCATCCTGGTCAGCGTCTGGGTCGTTATCATTGTCGCCGGCTGCGGCAGCAGCTTCAGCGGCAGCGGCTTCTGCAGCAGCAGCGGCAGCAATCTCAGCAGCAGCCTTCTCTTCTTCTGCTTGCTTCCGAGCGCGCTCCTCAGCCTCCTTAGCTTCGCGTTCCTTCTGTTCTTTGTCTGCACGCTCTTTCCGCTCCGCTTCTTGGCGTTCAAGCTCTAGCTTGCGATCCCGTTCTTTGCGTGCTTCTTCCATGGCCGGGGGAATCAGGGCGTGGAGGATGCGAGTGTAAATTGCAGGGCGAATGCCCTCACTAATGTTGGGCCCGAAAACCACGCGAGCTTCCGATGTCCAGCGGTCGGTTGTCGTGGAAGGCCGGAAGGCGATGGCTGCAGCAGGCTCGGTGTTTCCGCTCGCGTCGCGACGCGAGTCAGATGTGCGGCTGTCGTGATGTGCGCGGAAATCATGAGGAACAGGCATGCTCACTTCCCTAAGCTCACCATGCGGCCCTTGTGTGATTTGGAAATGGAGAGGCTGGCCAGCTCGTCCAGAGCTGAGAACGGGCAAGTTGTTCATCAAGTCGTTAAGAAGAGCCATGGGGTTATCCGCACTAGTGAAGAGGCCTGTTGGCAGACCGAGGCGGAACATAGTTGACGGTAGCCGTTGACCGTCCCGAGTTCCCCCACGCGACCGCCGTAGCATGGGGTTGATGCCCTCGTTGGCGTTGTGACGGCCGGTGCGATCATTTCGGAAAAGGTTGGTGAAGTCGGCTGCAGAACAAAAGGTTAACAGAAGAAACAACATTATGCATATTTGTGGCAAAAAGTTGCCGAGAAGAATCCCACTTACCACCAAAGCGATGGTGACGATGAAGGGGATACGGGTGCCCATGGTCGTGGTGGGAATGATGATGGCGGTGGGGGTCGGCGACCATTGTCTCCCAGGCTAGACCTGCAGGATCTTCTTGTGCCAAGGAGTCCTCGTTAGGGTAGTCTTGGTCATAAATGTAATCTTCCTCATCCATGCCATCGTCGTCCTCATCGTCGTCCTCCTCTTCGACGCCATCTTCGATATAAGGGTCGTCATAGTGGTCGATTTCAACGTCATCACCGCCGAAATCAGCGTTCATATTTCGGACGATCTCGTCAAAGCGGCTAATTCTGTCGCCGTCAGGGATGATCTGTACTTGGTGAAGATGCCCAGCCGGTTCGACTTCGTAACCATCGTCATAGCCATCGTCGTCATCAGCCTCCTCGTCATCTTCAGATTCGCTCTCCCACTCGGAAGCACCGTCATCCTCCATAATGTCGTCTTCGTGAAGGTCCTCAATGACCTCCTCGATTTCATCGTCCATGTCTTCCATATCCTCCTCAGAGCCGACGTCGTCGCTGTCTTCCTCGTCGTCCTCGTCGTCTTCGTCGTCTTCGCCGTCGTCCATGACCAGCTCAACGACGCCAGGCTCACCATGGAGGCCTTCGACAGGGCCCATCTCGTCGTCATCATCATCGCTAAGGTTTTCTTCGCCGTCATCTGTCATCTCGTCGTCGTACTCCATCTCGTCGTCGTACATGTCATGTTCAGAGTCTGAGTATTCTTCGTCGTCCGGATCACCACCTTCAAGCATACCGAGTGACGAGTTGCGGTACAAATCGGGCGTCTCCTCGCGGTCATCTTCCATATCCGATAGAGATGATGAAGACATGACATCGTACTCGATTGCATCTGCCGAGGCAGATGACGGGATGATGTTGGTACGGCTCAACATAATCGCTGTTGCGGTGAGGACATTGAGGACGCGCAAAATATGCTTCAGAGTGCGCTTCGCACCTGGGAAGGCCAGGTCGACGTCGGAAATGGAGTGTGTCAGGGCAGCGAGAAATCCTTTCTCATACATGAGACGCCGGAGTTGCATGTACGAGTGCGATTCTGCATAAGGCATGGACGAGCGCTCTTTGTCGGCACCGATCATAGCAGACATGAGCTCGCCCAGGGCAGCCATCTTGCCGTAGCGAACATCAATTGGCTCCGACGAGTTAGCCGCCTCCTTGTACGCTTTCAGTATTGTGTCAAGGACAAAGCGCCGGACAAATTGGAGGTCCAAATCCTCGTCAAACTCGTAGATGCTGGGAGTTCTTGCCGTAAACTTTTCCGGCGTCTTCTCAACTAGGGCGGTCAAAAGTCGTTTCGCTTGGTCCGCAAGTGCTGCCTTCTTCTTTGCCGCAATGGTCTCGGGGGGGTTCGTCTGGCCGCTGCTGCTGCCCGCACACAAAATATCATTGAGAAGGTAGTTTAGCACACTAGTCCGAGGCTTGACCGGAGTCAAAGTCTGAAGAGCGATGCCGCGTTTGAAGTTGATAAACTCCATCTTGGACCGTGAGTAACTCCGAAGAAGTTCACTTAGGCATGAGATCAAGAATGCCCGATAAACGAAAATCGGGTAGTCACGTGGTCGGAAAGTTTGGCCCGCCTTGTCCTTGTCCTTCACCCCAGCAGGAGAAGCCGACGCAGCAACGTCACGCTCGAGGCTGCTTGCAACAGACGCGAAAGGAACCGGTGTGGACGGCGCGGATCCGGCCTCGCCGGTAGGGTTCGGTGTCGGGGCTGCAGTGATGGAAATGTCTGAGCCCAACGGCTCCTTGGCTGCCTCCTTTGCAGCTGGCGTTTCCGCGTCATCAACCTTTTGGTACGTCATCAGCTGCTCAAGCAAGAATGTGATCACACCATCAGGGTTTTCGACAACGGGCCGCTTGTGCTCCACGACAGACGTTTCCGTAGGCTTCGTTGGCGCATCGGGCATGTCCTTATCCAATATGCTGGCTGCCGGCTTCGTAGACCCATCAGCACTGGTCTCAGTCTGGCCCGGAGTATCTGTTTCCGTTGATGGTCGCACATCGTTGATATTCAATTCTTGTGTTGCTTGCACCGCCGGACCAAAAGAATCGTCATGGGATGCGGTCGTTCCCGATTTCGGTTGAGCACCCTGTGTCACCCCAGCGACTCTATCCTTCAATGCGATCATGAAATTGTGCCGTTGTAATGACTCTGCTGTTATGCGCGTCATATAGACCAGATCACCCAACACAGAGATGAAAATTGTGGGGTTTCGCAAGGCGATATGAGCAAAAACGTCGAGGAATGTCTGCAAGTCGTGGGTACGCTGGTGCCGATGAACCCAGGAGTTTTCGAAAAACAAATGGATCTCAAACGTCATGACCTGGCGGAGCACCTCTTCGTCTTCGATAATGTGACGCAGGGTAGTGGCAATGTAGACATTCAATCGTGTTTCAGAGAAGCCGCCAGCCCCAATTCCGGACAACTGCTTTGCCATGAGGAACAACCTCTGAAGGTTCTTCTTCTCGCCAACAATCTTAGCCACGTCGTGTCTTCTCGTCATGATCTGAAGAACCCGGCTGACCGAAACGGCCAGGCCGTCGTCTTTGCCGATGCGTGGAAGAATGTCGAGAGTCAAGTCGAGCAAGACGTTTCGCTGCTTTTCATCAAGGATGACCGTGCGCGGCTTATACGACAAGTCCTTGACCTCGGCGGAGTCGAAAGTCGGGAAGATCCACTCCACCCCAGTTTCCTGCTCGTCCTTGATTAAGAGGATCTCAAACAGCAGGAAGATGTGGGACAACCAAGCGGGTAGGTCCTCCGTTGAGCCTCCAAGTGGAACACGGAGGAAGCCAAGTAACTCATCGATGTTGTTTCTAAGGATATCGAGGGTACAGTCGAAGAAGGAGCTTGTATCATTAATCAGCAGGCACAACAGATAGGCGTACGCTGAGATGCTTGCAGCATGTTTCTTCTTGTTCTCGTCGTCAATGGCAAACGAGATAAGCGCTTCTGTCAGGGTCTCGCCGACCTCCTGCTGCGCGTTGGTACCTTGTTCTTCCAGATCTAGGGGCTGGAGCACGCTCGCCGAAATAAGCTCGGCAATATCTTGCACGGAATCGGGGTGCATTTGAATAACCGCAAGACAGCGGTCGACGAGATTCTTGCGCAAACCGGCACGCTTTTCCACCACGTCTTCTTTGGAAAGCACATCGGATACAACAGGCGAATCAGAAGCATCCTTCTTGCTGCTACTGCTGTGACTCCTGGAACCACCAGGCTGGGGCGGACTCAGTGGAGGTGGAGGCATGGGAATTCTTGGCAGGGCGAACTCAGCGTCGTCCAAGAGATTCTCAATCAAAAGGTCTTCTGAGCTACGGGGGTTGTCGAGTGCCATCACGTCCATTGAAAATGGCAATCTAGGCGCTGTAGTAGTTGTGCGCTCACCAGAGCTCCCAGCGACTGGGGCAACTGTCACATCAACGCCATCGTCCGGAGCAGATGTTTGCGCTGCCTCGGAGCTACCTTCCCCGTTGCCACCCGACGTAGTTGGAGGTGCGGCTGGCTCGGGCGGCCGAACATCAATGGCGGGTACGGGGTAGCGGGATCGAGTCAGGCCTTGGACAACCGCTCGTCCGTACTCCAGAGCATAGTCCGAGTTGCCGTTGGCACGGTAGATGCTTTCAACAGCAAGGTCTTCGCTGAAGTTGTCTCGCTCATGGGCACGAATGATGCGGCTCTCGTTGTCTCTCCACGGGAATGGGATATGAGAATCGCCAAAGACATCAGTTGGCGATATTTTTGGTCTTGATTCGCGCGTGTAGTAGCCGTGGTCAAGATCGACGGAGGCAATCGTCTTCATGATCTCAATGAGCCTGGAAAGAACAGTGGTCGAGATCTTTTCAAGGACAGGCGATTGCCAAAGCTCGGACACAACCGGCAAGACAGCCATCCAGGTTTCGATAACCAGTTGGTTGGCCGGCTGTTGGTTATACGGTCGTTCTGAAGACCGGGAGAAAACGCTGACTTGACCCGCCGAGTCCTGGATGTTCTTAGGATTGACAATGACCGCGTATAGATCCAATATGCTCTTCATGCCGATGGCAGCAAAATACAATTTCGTCAAGTTGTTGCGATCTTGCGAACCATTGTTGATGGTCTCGGTAAACGAGCGGAGCAGCGCATTGAGTGTTTCAAATCCACTGTGCTTCTTAAAAGCCAAAAGAACAGGGATGACAACATAGGACGTCGAAGTACCATCTGGGCGCTCGCTGTTCCGTGTCGGATCGACAAGTAGGTCTTGTACAGCTTCCAGAATGACTTTTCGATGCTTCTGGCTGGCAACGGTACTTCCATCCACGGCTTTAAGCTGATCCAGAATGGTCAGGGCTAAGATTTCAGCGATCTCCAGGTGCTGGCCCCGTACGAACGAGTCGCGCTCTCTACGAGGAAGTAAGGACTTCCCAATAGCCTGTAGATCGGGAACAATCACCGTCGGGAAGGACCGGAAAAGGGTTCGCATCGTCTGGTAGTTCTGGTAGTTGTCGGACGCCATCTCCTGTTTCGTTGGTTTGTCAGCTGACGGGTGCACCGATGATGAGCTGCTAGGTTCGACAGCACCGAAGCTGTTCGCAGCGTCGTCCACATTGTTGGGTTGCGTAAAGGCTGTGTTCGACAAGACATCCGCAAACGCAGGCTCTTCAGCCTCGCTCACCGCATCAGCACCACTCGTAGTCGCAGCAGCAGATGCAGAAGCACCCACAGAGTTGCGGAGTGCTTCTAAGGCCGGAATATGTGCTCGGGTCCAGTTCTCGGGTACAACGGCACTCAGAGCAGCTTCCTCACCCATAACGAACGAAAGAAGGGGACCAAGACGCCGAACAAATTCTTTGTAATAGTCGAAAAGAACAATTGGATACATGGACGTGGTGCCTTGGCGGTTGAGGGGGAAGCAACTTTGGATGAGGTACAGCAGATATCTAACCCTGAAGAGAGCCTTCAAAGTCGTTGTCCCGGCGGCAATCTGCTCTGGGGTGGCGGCGGGGAAATCGGGCCGGACAAAAAGTGAAAAGACAGACCGACTCTTATTCGGCTTCGAGGCCTTGTCGCTGCCCTCGATGAGTTTGCCCTTTTTGTCGTCGGCGACTTTTTGATCTTCAATCTTGTCTCCCTCCTCATTCTTGTCCTTTGTATAGGGTAGCACCAGAGGATTGATGGCGTCCAGCGCGTTCATCATGCGTGTAAACATGGCTGGTACGCCGAGAATCGGGGATTTTTCAAGAATTTGGGCAAAGATCTGAAGGAATGTCGGCGAGATCATTGCGGTGGGTTGAATGAAGGGCAATCCTGGGGACTCGACAAGATCCAACAAAATCTCGATGCCTCCCCGCTTGATGAACAGGGATTGCAAGGTCGAATTGCCTAGGTAAACATTCAAGAAGAGGGACGCGGCAGTGATGTAGTTCAAGGCGTCTTGAGGCGCAGTGCCTGAACCTTCTGTCGAGATTGACACACCGCTATTGTCTGCTGCAGTTCCTGGAGCAGAACTGCTCGCGTCGGCCATCTCCACGTCTTCGACACTATTGCTCGCCTCAGCAGTCGGCGCAGATTTCGTAGATTTTGGAAGAGGGAGAAGCCGGATGCCCCACGAATCGGTCTGTGCCTTTGTCTCAGACAAATAACCCACACGGCTGACCATGTCCAAGACGGCCGTTGTAATCAGCGGCCGTAGAGACGGGTGGTGACGCGCCAGTTCGTCGAAGTTGGTACCGATTGTCGAGGGCAAGCCAGTCTCAGTCTCCATGCAACGAACGTGGGCGGGGCTTTCGAAGATCTCGAAGTAGCTTTGCAACGCGCCCGATGTCATGACCATTTTCCGTCCGACATTATTTAACGATATGGAGTTGAGGATAGATGGGATAGAGCCAATGACTTCAGTCGAGGGTAGGATGCCGCCGGCAAGAGTCCAGTTTCTGGGGCTAGCAAGCTCCTCACGGGTCAAGGGAACTTTGCGGGCGTCTGTCTCATCAGGCGTGGACTCGTCTGACAACGTTGTATCCCTATCGTCATCGTCATCGTCATCATCGTCTTCGTCGTCGTCTTCGTGATCATCACCATCTCCATGATCTTCATTGCCCCGGTCATTGCTAGGGCCAGCAGCACTCCCGTTTCCATCTCCACTACCAGATCCGCTGTTGTCGGCACTCTCTCCGTTGCCCTTATCGGTGGATTCGCCAGGCGCCTTGGGGAATGAGGCGGGAGGCAGTGGCCGGCCTGTAATGGTCTCGAGAAAGCTCTGGATCAGGCCAGACTCGGATAGGGCAGCGAAGCTTGTCGGGTCATGGTTAATAAAATGACTCAACGTGGTCGCAGCGTTTGTCCAGACAACGGAGCCAAACATTGCGGTATTCTCGAGAATGGTACGCAAGCTCTGCAGAAGCTGGGAGTTGTCAACGAGATTGCGGAGAAGTCGATCGTTGCCGGGGCCGAATTGGTACGAGCTAGCCATGAGATGGTAGATAAACTTGAGTAGCCACTTGAGCGTCTGTTGCAGGTAGAACGGAATGTCGTAGTCAATGACGCTACAGCGCATTTCGCGGCCAGTTATCTCACCCCGTTGGACCGCAGCTTTGGCGGCAGCGACTGTATCGACGAGAAGCTGTGAGACAACATCTAGACCGTGGGCGGCAGCAAATGGCTGGAAGGACGTCGGGAAGTTGAGCACGACGGTGTCTAAAAACGTCACAACAACGAGGTAATTGCGTTCTGCAACGGGCGACCGCACTTTGAGGGCATCAACAAGGATATCCATAAGGCCGGCGCCGACAATGTCCTGCATTCGATTACCAGCTGTCAAATGAAGTGTGAGCGAGAAGAGCTGCTTGCGCCAGTCATCATGGAGAATTGTATCTTCGGGGCTCTCGTCCTTGTCTTCTTTCATGTCCGCAACGGCCTTGCGCAAAACGTAGAGAAGGACACCATGGTTGACGCTTGCATTGACTGCTGACATGACATCGTTGGTCTTAGAAGCAAAGCCAGCCAGACTCTCAAGAAGTTGCAACGCAATAGATTGCAGCCAGATCGGAACAGGGGACTTGCTGGCGCCGGGGCGAATCAGTTCGGCAAGCTGGTAGGTGAGCTGGAATCGTCTCGGCTCTTCTGCATCTTGCTTCAACACCTGCTCGAGGAATGCAGTCTCTGGATGGATGAAAGCGAGATTGGTGATGGCCAGGAGACGAACAGCCAAAGCCAGCTGGCGTGACTCTTCCGAACCGAGCAAAGCCTTGGCGATGCGGATGCGACTCAGCAACTCGTACCGGGCTGTCTCAGGCATATCAGCAGGACACCGAGCCATGAGTTCATAGATGGTGGAAGACTGCACAACGCGGGACGGGAGCTCAAAATAGCGCTGGCCTGAAACAGCGGTCTCATCTCCAGTAGCGGCATTGCCAGGCGTCCGGGTTGGCGCATGGGTCAAGGGCGACGACGCATCCTCTGCGGCTTGGCCAGATATTCTTGGGGTTCGATCCGAGCCCACAGTGGACGCACGGCGCAGCGGTGTCGGGGTAGAGGGAATAGAAGAGTAACCCGTGCGATCATGGACGCTTTGTGGCTGGCCCGGAGACAACTCTTGCGGGTCGGATCCAAGACCGTCTTGCTGTCGCGACTTGTGCTGTGGGTAGTACGTGATTTTGATATCGCCCCAGGAGCTCGAGGACGAGGCGTCGGAAGCTGAAGTGGTCGCATCAGTGGGTGCAGCACCGGTAGGGCCATCCGTAGCAATCGAAACAAAGTCATTGGAGTACATGGTCGTTATTGCCTTGGATGACTCGCCATGTGCCTTCTCCTTGCCCTTCCCTGTCGATGGCGGGGCAAGGGGAGCAGCGGCCGCTGCAGTCGAGCTGGAAGCACCCGGCACAGGTGTCGAGGGCGTGCGCTGAAGCGTGGGGGTGGAATTGCCAAAGGGCGCGGTCGATGCAAGGGACCCGGAAAGCGGCGTCTTGACAAAGGGCAAAGCCAGCTGTTGAACTCTGTCTAGGCTCATATCGTAGTGGTTCTGCAGTAGGGCCGAGTGGAACGCGCGCGACGTAGTACTCGTTCTTTTGTAACTGGCATGGTACCGCAAGGCCAACTCATGGCCGACGTGCAGGGAAGCTTTCAGGATCTGCAGCGATGACGAGTTGAGGAGGCTGCTGAGGTGCGAGCTGCTCGCGTAGATGCTACGGTTTCCGCAGTGCTGCAGCAGATTCCGGGTGAACTTGAGCACAGCCAAGATCAACTGGGCGTCGGCATCCTCCTCGAAGCCCAGCTTTCTCAGCTCAGTAGAGTCCCATTTGTGGTTGTCACGGAAATCGATGGGGTGTGTCGTTGTCTGGAGAAGGATCTCGTTTGCGAAGTCGCGCGCTTGGGGTGCATCCCGGAGCTCGTATGTTTCAACAAAGCATTCAAGGATGTTGTCAAATCGATTCAGAAGCGGGATCCAATGGTACATGTCGCCACGGGGCAAAGGCCATCGTGCCGGAAACTGCTCGAGGACTTTAGGTAGTAACGGCAACGGCGAGTTCGTCGCAGATTGAACATATTCGGCCAGCCAGAGAGACTAGAGGGGGAGGGCAAACGGTTAGCAAAGAGAGTGAGCCGTGATAAATGACTAGATAGTTTAGAAAACCAAAAACCGCAGGTGCGGTTCCAGATGCTCGTTGGCAGTAAGAGGTGATGCATACCATAGACTCCCGGTGCTTCGGCTGGAGCAACTTTGTAATCTTGCCCATCGTGGCGGCGCCCAGACGGGTGTGTCAAGGACAGCAAGAAGCTCGAGTAGGAGATGCGAGGCGAGGTCGAGGACAGAGGAACGTGAACGGGAGAAGTCGGAAACAAAGGAGAGGAGGAAAGGGAAGTGCGAGATATAAGATGGAACTCAGCTCAGGTCTCCCCCTCCACGGCTGCGAACGCGTGGATGGCGATCACTCCGCCCGCGCGGATCGAGCATCCAAGAAGCAAGTGAACTTCGGTGTAGAAAATCGTCCGAATGGTCCGGTTATGCAAACGGCAGAAGTAAAAGAGAGGTGCCGAGCGGTGGGCAGCCGGCAGCAGAGAGACAAACGTGCAGGAAGGTCTCTCGGAAATCGGCAGCCTCGCAGACCGGCTGAGCTAGGTCACCAGCAGGGTGAATGGCAGGTGGTCGTGTAATTCGAGGCGAGAAAGCAAAATGTCGCGCGGTTTGATGCAAATGTCGCTATATCTCCGAATGCAAAAACAGGACGACGTCGGTATAGGATGAAGATGGCTGATGCGTCGGAAAGATGTGCAGCAGGAATAATGTTGAGGTCCAAAAGTCAAGGAAGGTGGAGATCAGAGGTTCGAAATTTCAGGCTTGCTGTGCCGGACGGCGACTCTGCTTGGGCGGCAGGCGCTGATGCTGGTCCTGTAGGGAAGGTGCGAATCAAGTTGGTGTAGGCTGTAGGAGGCGCCAGCTGTGAGTGGGCAGCCTGGCGAGCATGGCTTGGTAATAGCGGAAGTGGAAAAGCTGCAAAACTGGGTCGCAGGGGCCAGGCGAAATGAATGAGGTCAGGCTTCTCTCTGCCTGTGGCAAAGGTGCAGTAGCGCCAGGCGGTGAAACGGTGATTGGCAGTAATAAATGGTGGGCGGCTCATGTTAGTCAGTGGGCAGGAGGTAATCACACATGTTGCAAGGCGGAAGGACCAGGCGGCAAAAAGAGACAGAAGAGGCAACAGGCAGCTTGACATAGCGTGTCTGGTGCTTGCACGGTCACCGGATGGTGGGGCCATTGGTTGTTTGTGGCTTGTCGGATCTCCAACTGGACATGAACTGTGTGTCACAACTCACAAGCTGGCGTTCTGCCTTCATACATAGTCTCTCCCTGAGCCAAAGACTTACTTTAGTCTATGCCTCCCATTGTAGCCCCTTGAGCTTGGTCGTCGTCGGCGCCTACCACCTACATCATGCCTGCTCCTCTGCACAAGACTAGCTATGGTTGATATGCTGCCTTTTGCTCAACCGCACGTTCCAGACTGTCCTTCCTGCTTGACAGTCGTGCCATCTGATAGCGTCGTTGATGCCTCATCACGGTCGCGGCCAAATAGTCTCCGTGTTATTACGGCGCAGCATCTGCCATGACATTTCTCCGGGTCATTTGCCGACAGTCTCGTCGTTTCTGGCAGCCGCTTTCGTGCAGCTTTTTCTTTCCAGCACGACCGCAGCATCGGCCAGCATCGGCACCAGCGGCCTCTGTGCGTATCCAAAGGTCACTTAGCTCGCATGCCGTCAAGCTGGGCTCGGCGCAGTGCATGCAGTCTGCACCTCGAACCTTGCCTTCGACCGGGTTCGATTTGATCGCGCACGAGCAGCTGGTTGAGGAAGAAGCCATGCCAGAGTATCGCGCAGAACACTTTTATCCAGTGCGCCTCGGCGAGGTGTTCCACGGCCGTTTTCAGACGGTGGCAAAACTGGGCTATGGCTCATCTTCTACGATCTGGCTTGCTCACGACCTGCAGTATGCTGCCCCCAAGCCCGTATTGATGAGCGACGTACTGGCTGAGCAGCGAAGGCACTGTCACTAACCACCACATCAAATAGGGATCATCAATATATCGCACTGAAAGTGTACATCCACAACTCCGTGCAGCACCGCGAACTTCCTTTTTACCGGTGTCTAGACAAAGCTTTACCAAGCCGGCACCATGGTGCGAAGAACGTCCGAAAGCTTTTAGATTCTTTTCAAATCACCGGACCGCACGGTACACACATGGTACTGGCGCTCCAAGTGTCCCAGATGAGTATCCGTGACATGGATACTGTGTTTATGAACGGTGAAGGGTTCGATGAGGGATTCGTTAAAGCTGCCATGAAAGAGCTGCTTGAGGCAGTGGACTTTCTACACAGCGAAGTGCAATGCGTACACACAGGTGAGTCTACATGCTCTCCTTCAACTTGCCGAAAATATTTACTAAATTAGGCGTAAGATATCCATCCCGGTAACCTTCTTCTCGGGGCATACGACAACTCCATATTTCAAGAGTTGGCTGAGGTCGAACTTAAGAATCCTGTCCCTCGTAAACAAGTACACGATCGCACAATCTATCTATCCCGCCTCATGAAGCCGAAAGTCGGCCCTTTGTTGCTGTCGGACTTTGGTGAGGCCCGGCTCGGCCCCGGGCCCCATGCCGGCGATATCATGCCCATCATGTACCGGGCTCCGGAGACGCTACTACATATTCAGTGGAGCTATCCGGTTGATATCTGGAGCGTTGGACTTACGGCATGGGATCTCTTAGAAGGACGGACACTCTTCAGCGCCCGCAAAGACGACGGCAGTTTTTCGGACGGCGCCCACCTGGCTGAGCTCATTGCCGCTCTCGGCCCGCCACCACAGCAGCTGCTGGATCGGCACCGAGCACGTGCATTAGAGTATTGGGACGAACACGGTACGGTGGATTGTGATTCATGATTCTTGCCAGCGGCATGAAGTTACAATCGCGACTAGTACTAACCTTGTTCTTCTTTTACAGGAAACTGGGGCGAGTTTGTACCAATCCCCACAGAGAAAACGCTTGAAGCAGCAGAGACCAAGCTCGGTGACAACAAGACTTTATTTTTGCACTTCATTCGGCGCGCCTTGACTTGGGATCCGCGCGCTCGTCCGACGGCACGAGAACTACTGTCCGATCCATGGTTAGCTAGTTAGGCCAAATATTCCTCCGTAGGTTGTCATGTGGATCTGCGTACATGAGTACTCAGGGTAATGTTGACAGTCCAACCACACAAAGTCGTCGTGTGGTCGTCTCGTTTCCCCCTTGCTTATCTCCGTAAGAAATGGTTCGGAGAATATATTTAACGCTGGATAATGCAACGAGCTATGATTGCGTACTGGCACACTGAGTAATTAAGAGACAACTGCAGCTTACCGTCCCTTACTTATGATATTTAATGATCAAGCAGTGGCCGAATGTAAGCCACTTCCTACCATGGGCGCCAACTGATAATAACCGCATTTGCAAACCGGTATCAACGTATATATGTGACGGAACCATATTTTACAGGCTTTACGAAGCCGTTGTGTATTTATTAGGCCTTAAATTCAGAGGCTTCCTAGAAAGACATAAAAACGAAGTCTAGACACGCATGCTAACGCCATCCCGCTTCCATGAGAATGCTCAAAATGTAAACAGATAACCACTCGCCGGAACATGCTAAATAGCACGTAAAAAACAAACGCAGTCATACTAGCTCGCTCATGACGCAATGCTCTCCTGCTGCTCACTGTCATTCTCCCCACCCCATATGTCCATGCTCTCCTGCTCGACAGCCCGCATTGCGTCGGCCACGTCCTCCAGCTTCGCGACGACATCCAACACACCCTGGTTTACACGTTGAAAGTAGCGGTCGTTCGCCTCACGCCGCTTGCGGGCTAGCAAGATATCTACTTGCGTTTCTTCTTCCAATGGGCGGTTTGCAACGCGCTCGACGTTGTCTCTCGAGTGTGTGGCGGCGCTACCATCCCCTTTGAGCCCGCCGCCGGCAGACACCTCGTCGTCCTTTCCTCCAGCACCACCGCCCGACATGCTCGTCGCCGTTGTTGTTGCAGCCTTGAGCAGGTTGTGCGCTGAGAGCTCGCCCTCTCCCAGCATACCCTCGCCGCCGATACCGCCGGTCTCGTCCGCTTCGTTTTGAGCCCAGGCTTGGGCCAGTGCAATCTGTGCTTGGCGTAGTGCCACCAATTTTTGGTCGTGGTCGGGGCCGAACACGCGCGTACCTTCGGACGCCGACAGCTCCACCTCCTCAAGCGTCGCCTGCATCTCAGCCCAGAGAGCGTCCGTCCTATCGGTGGCTCGTGTCGAGGAAGCATGGCGTAGAGGGAGAGGAAGAGAAAACGCTGTCGCGGGTGCACGAGCTTTGGTGGCGGAACCTCCAGACGCAGCGTACGCACCACTCGCCTGAGTTGCCACGGCCGAGCCTCCAGTGCCACCCACAAGCAAGGATCCCTGACTGGCACCCTGGCTGTGTACGGTCGAAGAGTTTGCCGACAATGCGGGGGGCGGGCCGCCCGAAGTGCTCAGGCCGCCACCTCCGTTGCTGACCTCTTGTCTAAGTCGCGATGTCGTGCGTTGTAGCGTAGGCAGAGACGGCATGCGGGATGTAGCGGCCGCGGTTCCGCCAGGTGATACACCGGCAGCACCCAAGCCGAGCCCACTACCAGTCCCGGCATTGGTCGGCTGGCCCTGCCCGGCTGTCCCTCCAACAGCACCGCTTCCGGTGTCTCCACCTGCAAGCGAGAGGCTGGATGAAGCTGGTGAGGAGCTGGCAAAAAGGGCCGGCGGCGGCCCCCGCTGCTTGGATTTTCCCTTTGTCCACTGAGACATGGCTACATCTTGCGATTTGACCTTTCTAACCAGCTGCGATGTGTTTTACCTAACTGGTTGATACCATGTAAAGGTAGCTTGTCAGGGCAGCTTGGGGGCCCCACTGACGTTCTGGCAAGATATGCATTTAAACAATATTCTTATATATAGATATGCATGTAAGAATAATCATGTGACTGCGGGGCTCGCGCAATAGGCCAGAGAATTTTCTTCCACCAAAAACTCCACTTTTTTCCATTGGAAAAGGTAGGGCGAGAAAACCCTACTGGATCGAAAGGGAAGGTAGTGTGGCCGTACTTGGTCTTCCATTTTTTTGCCAGCCCCGAGCCGAAAAAGTTTCCATCGTAGTTGTGAAGTTTTCCTGCTTGTCTCGATTTCCCACTCCCTCCTCCATCAACAAACTATCTTCACAGCGATCACCACACACGAATCGGTACGTTTGCTTCGCGCATATTCATCCTTCTTGACGAGCCACCGCGACGAGAGAGCGACGGTTTTCAACATTCGGTAATGACTGGGCGACAATATCTACGATTTTTTTAATTTTATTTGGCAAATCGACATCACAGCAGCTTTCCCGCAACACGAAACGACGACAGACGATTCGAAAACATTACGGCCGACGAACGGACCTGCTCTTGACGTACATACGACCATTGCTCTTAACGATAACTTGCCATCCGTCTCACGTATTCGATGACCGCCTGCTCTCTCTCTCGCCCTTGGCCTCGGAACCAGCCGTCTTTTTGCAATCTGTCGAGGTGTCATCTTGTCTAACGCTGTTCGTTTCTAGCAAACATGGGTAAAGGAAAGCCTCGTGGTCTTAACGCAGCGCGCAAGCTCCGGAACAACCGCCGTGAGCAGCGTTGGTCCGATCTTGCCTACAAGAAGCGTGCCCTGGGTACCGCTTTCAAGTCGTCTCCGTTCGGTGGCTCTTCCCACGCCAAGGGCATTGTTCTGGAGAAGGTCGGTGTTGAGGCCAAGCAGCCCAACTCGGCTATTCGCAAGTGTGTCCGTGTCCAGCTCATCAAGAACGGCAAGAAAGTCACTGCTTTCGGTGAGTAAAACGATACATTCGACAATTCCGCTCTTGTGGGCCCTGCCAACCCAATGCTAACTGGCACTCTCCTCTTCCCAGTCCCCAACGACGGTTGCTTGAACTTCGTGGACGAGAACGACGAGGTTCTCCTGGCTGGTTTCGGTCGCAAGGGCAAGGCCAAGGGTGATATTCCCGGTGTGCGTTTCAAGGTCGTCAAGGTGTCCGGTGTCGGTCTGCTGGCCCTGTGGAAGGAGAAGAAGGAGAAGCCAAGATCGTAAATAGCTCGGTCTTGTTTATTTTTCGCGGCAACCAGGGAGGATGTGCACCAACGGCGTCGACGGGCAGGCTTCGGAATTGTGTGGACGACACTGAACGTTAAAAAACTTGGGTTATCGGTTTTCACTTGTTACACAAAATCAAACGACGCAAAGACACCAACAGGCAAAGGAAAGCAACCGACATAAAACTGCATGAAGAACGGTGCAGACCGGAAATGGGACTGCACAGCCGACAGTGAACGACTGAATGGAGAGGCGGACGGCGCCCAGGTCCTGTTCGTGGTCGAACGGACGCAAATATATACTCGTGTATATTTTGCCTTTTTGGCATCACCGGGCGAGTTGGCACTCTTTGGTTCGCTGTATGGGTTTCTGGTAGTTTCATGTCTAGCAAAAACAATGTAAAAACATTCAAAAAAAAATCATGTTCCATGTTGGCAGTGTCTTGAGATTGAAAACTGCTATTACGTTGTGTAACCGCTCTTCTATATTCTGTGTTACGTACTCGTACATGGTAGGGGGACTGGTCCTCTGAATCTTTGTTATCTATGCCGCGATCTTCTTCTGGGGTTCTTGGTTGTTGTACCGAACTAGGTAGTCCACCCCCAGGCCAAGGCTGATCACACCGCCGGTCAATAGACAGCCGTTGACGAACCACCACCAGCAGTCCTTGACACTCTCAAGCTTGACCCGCTTGATCATGATGCCCAGTGTAGCCAATGCGCCGCCGCAGCTGCCCACAAAGAACACCGGGCCGGCACCAGATGCAACACCGGCAGCGGCCAGCAGGCCGATCTGCACAGCGCCCAGGCCGATCAGCACGGCCTTGGTCTGCGCAGCATGCTTGAGCGCAATGCTCTTGATGCCCGCCTTGGCATCATCCTTGATGTCCATATGCGCGTAGATCATGTCGTAGAGTACCGTCCATGCAATATTGGAAGTATACAGGAATGCAGATGCCGCCAAAGCCGCCGAGTTGGATAAGAGATCAATGCCCAGTGCCGGGAAGCCCATGATGGCGCCCCACGAGAATGTCAGGCCCAATACAAACTGAGGGTAGTATGTCACGCGCTTTGCCAGCGGGTAGGTCGCAACAAGCGCCAGACTCGGGATGCCGTAGTACAGGCAGGATGTCGGGAACTGCAGCAGGATAGCCAGCCCTGTGAGAAGCTGTGCGCCTGTAAAAACGAGGGCATTATAGGGCGTCACAGCGCCGCGGGCAATCGGTCGCAGGCGTGTGCGGGCGACATGAGGATCAAGGTTGCGGTCCCACAGGTCATTTATCGTGCAACCGGCACCACGCATGATGACGGCGCCCGTAAAGAAGAGCAAAGTTGTGCCAGCAACCGAGGCTGGAGATGCCATTGCCGGCTCAACCATAGGGGCGGCCATAAGTGTTGAGAAAAGGCAGGGGAAGAAGAGGTAGTATGAACCGGTAGGTTTGTCCAGACGAATGAGTTCTGCATACGGTACCCATGATGCGGGAAGAATCGAAAGAAGGCCGCTTGTCGGTGGCGAATACGGCGCCGGTGGCCTCACATCCGGAGTGGCGGCCGTTGCTGAAGCCGGATAGGACAGAACTGCCGTTGTGTGGATTCTGGAAAGTGCCGGTGGGCCACATATACGCACGGTCGATACTCTTGCGGGCACGCTGGAGTTCTTCCAGCTAGAGTTACCCGTCGAGAGACTGGCGTAAATTGTTTTCATCGCCCTGGACGACATTGGCCTGATAGCAACACGACTTGGTGACAGGTATGCCGGCCGCAAGGACCGGGCAACATGGAAGAACAACGACCCCATAGCAGGCGACTGTGAAATACGGTTAGTATTGTTAAAGAAGCAAAGCATCAGAAATTAAACCATACTCGGACCCTGTGTTGCACGCGGGTCTCCGGCGGGAGGACAACTGAAAATAATCGCGAATCGAAATGGCAAACCCGGACTGGTTGGTAAAGCATTGAGCTCTGTATCCAGGTGAAGCGTACCTTACACAGTGTTCTTTTCCAAAACTTCTTGAAATTCCTCAAGATCTGTCAAAGTCGTGAACTCCAAGCTCCGTCTCGCCTCGAACTCTGTCCGGAGCTGTGAAGGAATGCTACACGACAGTACATTTTTTGGGAATGTCGTGTTATGTAATCATGTAGCTCAATAAAACAGCACGCTCTCATTGGCTTACTGTTTCTTTTGAGAAGGCGCCGCCGCATACCTTGCCGGGGCACGCTTCAAGCCGCTAGAACGCCGAACGGCTGCAGCCCGTGCAAGAGAAAAAAGTGCAGGCGCAAACATTATCTCGTCGCCGCCTAAAACACGATCAATTCTGTTGCATGCGCGACCTTACTCGCGACGACTCCTTCACCGCTTTATTTGCATGCCGCGCGCTACGTGCAGCATGTTGACCCCGGCATGATTTGCGATCCTAGCAGGCCACTACACGCGTAAGCAACAATCTTTCTCAGCCTTCTCTAGCATCACCTCATCTGCGCCATTGCGCCACCTCGAGATTCGCTGCTTTGCAACACGATACTCTCGCGCCCCCGGGACGGTGGGTTCACACCTCTTATAGGCACACCTCCCACCGCAGGCACACTTGGCTGTGCCTCGTGCCCGACCCGCCACGATGCCTCCGGTCGCAATACACCCGCAGGCGAAGTTCGACCCCATCCCACCGGACCTCGACCTCCACGCCCTCGTTCAGGACACGCCCAACTTCGAATGGGCCACACAAATCTCTGCGTCTGAGATATTTGCGCTCGGCCAGCAGCGGTTCGAGAAGCTTGTAATGATCCACGTCATCAACGGCGGCAAGCCCCTCGTTATCAAGGACTGGAACGACCGTCTGCCCAAGGACCTCTTCAGTGCCAAATGGCTCGAGGAGGTATACAACCGCAAGGAGGAGCGGGTGTGGGACATTAACGGGAAGACCAACATCCCCATGACCATGGGCCACTACTTGCGCTCCATGAAGCAGCTCACGGACCAGTGGACGCCCCGAAACTTCCGCGACGAACGCCGTCAGCGCCTCTACCTCAAGGACATCGACTGCCCGCCCGAATGGCAAGAGAAGCTGGCCAAGGTTCTCCCACGGCTAATTTTCTATCTCAACGAGGACATTGAGGGCGGCCACAGCACCAACCACTACGGCATGACAGATGATGGCCAGGATATGTTTGTAGACGACCGCCCGACGGCCCGTGCTGGCGACCTGATGAGCAGCCTTCCGCCCGAAATGCGTGCCGAGAACCTCATGTGCTACATTGGCCACGAGGGCACATACACACCGGCCCATCGAGAGATGTGCGCCAGTCTGGGCCAGAACATCATGGTCGAGGCTTCGGGCTCTGAAAACGGCGAAACCCCCGGCAGCTCGATTTGGTTTATGACCGAGACCAAGGACCGCGAAGTCGTCGGCGAGTACTTCTTGTCCATGTTGGGTCACGATGTCGAGATCGAGAAGCACTTTGCGCAGATCAATGCCTGGAAGAAAGCTGCCTTTCCCGTCTATATCGTCGAACAGAAGGTGGGCGACCTCATTCTGGTCCCGCCACTGGCGCCGCACCAGGTTTGGAACCGTGGCACACGAACTATGAAGGTGGCTTGGAACCGCACTGTTGTCGAGACACTGGAGATGGCGCTGCACGAAGCTTTGCCCAAGGCGCGGCTTGTCTGTCGTGACGAGCAGTACAAGAACAAGGCCATTATCTACTATACGATGAAGAAGTATTACAAAGTGCTCGAATATGCGCAGACAGACCGCCAACTCGTCTCGTTTGGTATCGATCAGGACACCATGCGCAACCCTGTCCGAACCTCGCAAGTCGCCGACGACTTCAAGAAGTTGATGCGGCTATTCATAGAGATCCTCGTGGACGAGATGTTCAACACTAAAGAGAAGAACGTCGAATACATCCCCTTCGATTCCAACATCACGTGCTCGTACTGCCGGTCCAACATTTTCAACCGCTTTCTGACGTGCAAGCACTGCGTGCGGCCACTTGCCGACGGCGACGAAGATACCTACGATGTCTGTATGGAGTGCTACGCTATGGGCCGCTCGTGCATGTGCGTTTCGGGCCTCGGCTGGTGTGAGCAGTGGCCATGGGAGGAGCTTGTCAGCAACTACGACCGCTGGCAGGCCATGGTAGTAAGCAACGATGGCTTTATCGACGCCTTCTCATCGCCGCCTCCCCTCGAGGTGGCTCGACTCCGTTCTGGCAAGAAGCCAGTGGCACAGATTTGTCAAGAGCAGCTTCGCCGACGGCCGTTCAGAGATATCACGAAACCCCTGGAAAAGCCCGAGGAGCCCGAGGAGCCCGAGGCGCCCGAGGTCGACGACAACGGCAAAGTTATCAAGAAGAAGCCGAAGAGTCGGTCGAAAAAGGGCGATACCTACCGTTGCCACGTATGCTGCCACAAAGATCACAGATACCGCCTCGCGTTTTGCACCACACCCGGGTGCCTTGAGGCTTACTGCTATGGTGTACTGTACCGGGGCTTCGACATGATGCCCCAATCAGTCATGCAAATGGAGTACTGGAAGTGCCCCCGGTGCATGAAGATCTGCAACTGCGGCGCCTGCAGGCGAGCGGGCATCACCAACCCGTACATTCCAAAGGGCACTCTACTTGGCCACGATACACGTCCCATTGCCGACGACCGCAGTGTCGAGTCGCTGATCAATTTCCGATTACACAACTTGCTATGGCTGAAGAACAGCGGCGAGGAGAGTCGCAGTATTGCCAGCAAACGTATGCAAAGACTACGACAAGAAGCCGATGCAGCAAAAGCCCAAGGAGCTGAAGGCGAATTAGAGAATGGTTTCGGTAGTATACAGAATGGCAGCCAGGACCACAGCGTGGTGGATAATGGCCATGATTTTGGGGCCACGACGGTGGCCGGACCGGACAGTGCCCATCCTCTTCACGAAATCCGTCGCGGTGAGTCTGGCGTCAACCCGTCTCTGCTTCAGGACGGCTCGGCTACATCTTACCCGGAGCTGGTCGACGGCTATCCTAACCCATCGGACTTTATGCTCAACAACGAGCTGGCGGTGACGACCTTTGGCAGAGCGTACTACATGGACGACGACGACAGCCCGAACAAGATCTTGTTCGACCCGTACCATGAACCTGCGCCGAATCCAACGGTAGGCAGCTTAGGTTCGATGGATACACTGCCTGAGTTCTTGGAGGGCTATACACATAAGCCGATTCGTAAACCAAAGCAGGAGAAAGACCTAGATCCCGATTACACCGGCCCAAAAAAGAGAAGCCGGAAGGTTACGAAGCCAGCCACCGACGCTGATCCTAACATGAACCTGGACCCAGCGCTATTGAACGCACAGCACCCACCACCTGCGACCACCGCTGCTGACATTGGTGCTGCGGCTGCGGGAGATGTTGCCAGTTCCGAGATCACTACAGCTGCTGCTCCTCCGGCGGCTACCTCATCAATCGAAGCCGTTATCGCAACGGCCATGGCAGGTGCCATTGCACAAGCAGATGGTGCAGCTAATCGGGAAGCAAAAACGGTCGAAAACAACAATGCCGATACTGCCAACAATGAAGACGAAGAAGAGGAGGTTAACGGACCGACCCATGGATATCCCGCCAACATTATCGAACTTCGACACGCAAGGCCAAAGGTTTCGTATCTAGTTGACGAAGCCAGCGGTGACGAAGCTGACGAAGAGGTCACGACGACCAAGGAAAAGGTTGCTGTCGTCAACGACACGGATGTTATTCCGTCAGTCGAAAAGGGGCCCTCTGCCGAGGTTGCTCCGGTCTCACCATCGCCATTGCCGGCTAAAAACACCATAGAGTCGGCAAAAGATACCGCAACTGGAGCTGCCGCTGCTGGTTCTTCTTCCAAGGAGGCTGGACAGGCACAAACCGAGCGTCGGAAGCGCGGTCGGCCGCCACGGTCAAGTATGGGCGACTTGGCAAGTTCAGTTGCCACGCCCTCAGGCGAGCCTGCGGCAAAACGGTCTCGCATTGCGGCCTCCCTTGCGTTTGCTGGAAAGAAGTCCGTGGAGGGCTTTGGCAGCGCCTGGAAGCCGGTCAATGCGGCACGTCCCGGGCGGCCTCCCAACAAGGGGCGAACAGGTACGACTGGCACCGGCAAGGACGACGACGACGACGACGACAGCGACAGCGACAGCGACAACTCGTTCCGAGGCCCCAGCAGTGCTCCGCCAAAGAGGAGGCCGGGCCGGCCACCTAAAAGCGCGGGACGTCCCAGCCTCCCTGCCGAGCGTCCCCGCAGTCCCAATACCCCGGGTCTCCTTCCGCCGCCTTCCATCCAATTCATGTCCATGGCAGAACGCATGGCGCTCAAGGGCAAGAAGTTCAAGATGGGCGGCAAGAAAAAGGACGAGAATAAGGACAGTAGCGCCACATCTTCAACTGTCAAATCACCGTCAACGGCGATAGCCCCTGTACCTGCGTCCCAATTTTCGTCGGCTGTCATGATTGAGCCCGTGGACAAGCCAATGGTCATACCCTCGTCATCGACAAAGGAGACGCGGTCTACGCCCAAGCCTGCTCCAACAGTCACTCGTCGCCGTACAAGCCTCGCTGACGAGAGTAGCAGTGACGAGTTCCCTCGTCCCACGTCACCGTCCTTGCCCTCACGCAGCGCCCCTTTGGGCAGCCGTGGACGTGGACGCGGACGCGGACGCGGACGTGGACGGCCGGCTCGTGGTCGACCCGTTGGGGTATCTCGTGATGGCGGCCCGACCATTGTACGGCTTGTCAGTTCAGACAGCGAAGGCGGTGACAGTGGCGACGAAGACTACCAAGGTGGCGGCAAGAAGACACCCATCTCGCAGCAACGTGGTGTCTCCGAAAGCAACACTGACGACAGCGACGGGTCCGGCGCGGGCGCATCCAATGTTCGCAAACCCTACTTTGCGCGCCGTGGCGGCGGACTTCGTGGCCGTGGCCGGGGACGTGGTCGAGGCCGTGGGCAGCCCCCAGGCGTGACCAGGTAGGACCTGGAAGTCCAACTGGTCTGACGGAATCGAACGTCCACGTTTATTGTATGTTTGTGTTTTCCGTTCTCTTCATATACCATTTGCTTACATCCGTGTATTTTCTTTGTCGTCTTTAATTCTACAGAGTTCCTCGTAGTTTAGCCAACGCTCAGAGTTATTTTTTTTTGTTGTTATTGCAGTCGAATATACCCTAGAGAACCCCGATGCTGTCCTTCCATGTACATTTTCCCGTTATACCTAATCTGCAAATGCAAAACCCCGCCCCAAATGCGGTAGCATACTTCCTTTCTTTTTGGGTGTCCCTGTCGATATGTATAGGCAGAGCAGTTGTCTATGCCTTGTTCTTGCTGCTGGACGGCTGCTTGGCATTGTGTGCGGCCTTGGCCTGCTCGACGGCGTCTTTTACGTTGAAGTTGGACCGATCTGCCTTGACGTTCTCTTCACTGTCCGAGGCCAGTGAGGACATCCACTCGCCCTCGCCCTTTTTCTGACGCTCCAGGGATGCCTTTTTGAGCTTCTCGACTTCGAACTCGGGGTCATCTTGAGGCGTGTTAGTGATGGGGAAACGGAAGATAGCGAAGGAGGGGCGAGCGATACTCACTGCTCTCGGATTCACCGTGCCTCCGTGCGACGGTCGTCGACAGCGGGCGAATTGCTATTGGGACGACCGCAGAGGCTGGGCGGAGGTTGAGAACGCTGGTGCGAAGCAAGGATGCCATGTTGGATGATGCGGTTGAGGGTTGTGGCGACGCAAGGTTTCAATAGTTGAGCAGTGATGAAGAAGCAAGTGGTACTCCGTCAATGAAGAACTGATGATAAAAAGGTGTATCAGCTTAATTTCAATTGCCGAGAGCATGTTGCCCCTCGTTCTTCAACGGCCCCAGGGGACCGGTGATTACCACACCAAGTTGCTGAACTGTAACATGTGTATGACGTAATTGTTCTGGGCAAAGAACGACAACGAATGATCGAGACTCTCTCTTACCCAAAAACAGCAAATAAGACCACAGCTACAACACCGGTTCTTTTCGTTGGCTATAGGTCCCATCTATCAATCCCTTGGAATTCTAACTATGCTTTTTGTAACTATTGTGGCTTGCCCATGGAGCCCTGTACAGCGTTGGGATGCTTTTATTGCCGTTTTCCAAATGGTCAATCGATTGTACCTCAGCCACATTTCCTAGTCAGCCCTCCGGACTGGCATAAAAAGGTGTAACATTCGTATGATATAGATTTATCTGAGTTAAATTATGCAGAAATTCTTTACTTGTTGTGCATAGTTATCGTACTGTTCGTTTTGTGTACCTTAAGGAAAAGTCAAAATACTGTGCTAAAGTTTTGGAGGGTTTTCAAAAAATGAAATAAAAACTGTAGTAATCTTACAATACAATAACGAGCAACGTTTTTCTACAAAAAAAATAAAAATAAAAATAGAAACCTTGAAAGGACATAACAAAAGTGTTAGTAACTCCAATATTACTTTGACTTCCTGATGTTGTGGTGCCCATGAGAATGTTCCTGCGTGATGCCTTTTCTAGGTGGTAGACTACTTGTTGACGGCACGTGACAGCCGCCGTTGTATTGAACAGCCCCATCAAAGTCCAAGCTCCTACTAGCCCATTTCTACTCCGGGGGTGGCTTTGGCGTGTGTTACGGTCCGTGCACAGTCGGGATGCCACATTACGGGGTCATTGACCATCAGCAGGACGTCACGTGGTCGATGAGATCGCTGCTCAACCCCTTTTCATCCGAAGCAAATTTCATGCAGGCAGGCAGCCCGCCTGCATAGCCACCCGAGAAGAGATGCTGCAGTCTGCCGGAGTGGGACACCAAGGAAGAGGCCACCCAGATCTATCAAGCCTACGACGTTTTTGGGTGTGCCTTGCAGAGAGCCTCGACATTTCGGGCTCCTGGCTGGGAATGCAAGAAGGAGTTTTGTACAAGTAGTCCAAACCCAGGCAACATCACAGCCACCCAAACAAGCGATCGGACGCCCTCCGTGAACAAGAAACAAAGAGGTTCAAGCTCTAATGCAACCAGAGTGCATATGAAGAACGGCATGCCTTTTGCATATCCTGAACCAAGTGATGTAGCGGCATTGCAAACTCTGCCTCTTCTTCTCCCAAAAATAGCAAAGCAGTTTTTCGTTCCAAGGGTTTGTTGGAAGATCCAGACCTTTTGTTTCTGACCACTTTATTCTCTCCTGTCCCCCTGCGTCGTATCGCTTATTCTGACGTGTGCCTCTTTCCCATCTGCAGGGAATATGATGTGTCACGTTAAAACCAGGCAATTTATACACGGGACACATCAAAAGCACTTTATCAAAAACGCTCTGCCGGGGTCCAGTTGATTGTTTCCTGAGTGACCTGGCCGTGTGGTATAATACTCATCGTCTCTGTTATCAGTGGAAAGGAAAAATAGACACAGAAGTGTTTGATTGATCAACCCAGGTTTTGGTGTCTCTTGTCTCTTGCTCTTCGTTCTTTCTTATGCTGCCGTGTTTCTTGTCCTGCCGGTTCGTTTTAAAGTGTGAATGGCGCGCACGGAGCTTGCGTGATCTTCCCATGGGGGTCCCTTTTAGCGAAGAGAACAAGCCAGGATGTGAGCGACTCTTGTCACATCCTCTATCTCTGTTTCTCACGTCTCTGTCTTCAATTCCTCTTCGAACGCGAACGACATCATTTTCGTGTCCCTAGAGCAAATGGACCGCGCGGTCAATTAAATTGAATGCACGAATACGCGCCATTGGCGGCTAGCAGCTAGCAGGGTAACATGCTTCGTACGGATAGGGTCGTTATGGACCAGTGAAATCGTGTGAGAGGCCGAGAAAGAGACTTAAGTTTTGTGACGAGGCGGGAGCGGGCGTTATTGACAGGCCTGTTGTTGAATGATAGAGAGGACAAACCAAGACATGGGAGCCATGCCTTTCACCGCTCTTTACAAGGGTTTTCTAGGCTTATTTAGTTTGGTGGTGTGAGAAGGAGAATCGATGGGGGCGATCGTGGTGTAGGGCTATGGCGATGGATTGGCCAGAGGGCAAAGAACGACAAAATGACAGCTCTGGAACATTGTGCCACTGGAACAAGGCAAACTGTTGAGAGAGACGACACGATCATATCACATTCTTGCACACAATGTTGCTGGAAACTTGGGTAAGCTGACCATGCGCTTCCGGGCAAAGGTACAAACACGAAGTAAGGGATGCTAGTCACGCGTGAAAAGCGAAAGGAAAGCGACACGATGTATCTTCTTAGCCTTTGATGCCATCCCACTGGTCCAAGCCCGTTTCTTCTGCACAGGACGTTTCTGCACAAGATTGGCTTGATGTGCACGGTTTCTGTGTGGTCTCCGTGCAGCTTTTTTCTTTCCCTGTTTCTTTTCAAGAGTGAGACACCTGTGAGCTTTGCTTGTCTTGCCTGCCTTGAGAGGAAAGCCTATCCGTCGACAATGGAATGGTCCTGTTGCTAGGCGAGCCAGCTGTTGTTTGTTGAACGGCGTGAAGAGGAATTCCGGCGCACCGTTGGGAATAGGGCAAAGGGCACAGATAGACATGTTGGACGCATGTTTGGGGTCACTGCCAGACATGAACGAAAGACAAGGATATTTTGACCGTCTCAGTATTTGGAGAGATTTAAACCGCTGTGTCCTTGGAAGACTTTCATATTTGTTTTCTTCTTTAAGCTCTTCTTCCGCTTCCGCCTCGGTTTTGATTATCAACACCCTCGTTCAACAGGGGATGGGGCTGCAAATGACTTGAAAGGCATTGCCTCCGCCCATCGACGCTCCTTCCATTCGGCGTTATGTGACTACGTGAGCAATCTATGTCGGACAGAGCAATTACTTTGAGTAAAGGTGGCGATGCAATAGAGCCTCCGGCACACACAGCCAAATGAATTGGCATGTTTTGTCGAGCAATGCCGTGAAGCGATGGATATTGCTGAGATGCACAAAAGGCTAATAAAGTGCATTTAGAGCCGCTGGATGGTAAGCAACATTGTCCAATGAGGACGACCGTCCAGGCCTTCCTCGTAATCACTCTCACTCGGCTTCCCTCATCCTTCCCCCATCTCACGATTGCTCCCCGCCTCCTGAAACATTCGCTCTATCCGCGGCTCAGTGGGGTACTTGGGGGGCCTTGACGTTTGAATTTATGCTCCCTCTCCGCCCTGCTAAAAGTCGTGACGATTTCTTCACAGTGTCCAACAAGACCTGCTGTTTGCTAGTCGAGGCCGTCCAGATGGGAGAAATACGTCCCTTTCTCGGCTAGAAGAAATTTGAGCTGCGAAACTATCACCATGAGAATCGTTGTCTCCACATATGTACTGTCGTGCCCCGTACCTTGTCCCTGAAAACTTAAAATAGGACATCAGAACATACAGCATAGGCATGGTTGGTAACGGACGTGCGCCCATTGCCTCTACGACGTAATTATAGCCAGGAACAGGCACATATCTCACAAGTATAAGTTGTGTATACAGGCGGGTTCACCCCTGGGAACGTGACCGTCTTGAAGAACTTTGATGTTTGTAAGAAGTAGTCAAGAATTCAAGAAAGAAAAAAAGCAAGAATGCAAGGCAAGCAAGATGAAAAAGAGGTGGCTGATCGAAAGGGTTATTGTCCGAAGCTAGGACTGTCCTATCTGGCCTCATCTGACGTCCAGTCGGCAGACGGTGGCCAGACTGGACAGGCCGTCCCTGTCTCGTGAGACGCAAATTTGCAACTTCAGACGCCAACAAACCTATGGATCCTCCTCTCGTCCAGCCCTCCCTCCGCAACCCCAGTCCACCCTTGCTTGCAACCCAGCAAGGCGGCAAGTGATGATAGGTCAACAGTGCAGAGCTTTTGCGGCAAACGTCGTGTCAAGGCAGGTCTAGGTCGAGAACCAGCGCCAAAGGGCGGACAAAAGTACATTGTACGCGGTATTACCTGTGTTAGAAACTTGCATCGCAACTCCGCAATTGGCAAATCAAGGGCACGCACTGCACGCCAACTAGGGAGGCTCAGGAGGGTTTGGGCTGGTCAAAAAGAACCTGCCAAGACCGAGGCGGAAGCACAAAGGCACTTTCTTGGTCACCCCTCCCCCCTTTTCTGTTTCTGATTCGGTCGCCGTCTTGAGGCAGTTTCACCGTTCAGGACCTCCAAGCACACGCCTCACCAAAATGCTCCAGCGCGAGAGAACCCAGAAGCCAGTCCTTGCCCGTAAATTACAACTTTCCGCATGCCCTCACAGCTGCCGTACTCCGTGCTCCGCAGTGCAAAGAGATTACAGTCCAGCGGCTATGCACTGACATCCACCGCTGGGGTCCATTTCCGCCCAAAGGTCATGCAAGGCGACTCGCTTTGTTATTGCGCTGGAGTACAGCGATGGGGCCCTCTAAATTGCATTGTTCGAGCCCCTTTTCTGTGAAGCAGCAAAAGCGAAGCGAGACAGTCCAGTCCAGAGAGATTCGGTTGATTGTCGCGTGCCCCGTACGGAGTATCTTACATCTCTTGATTGCCATCCTTTTCGCCATTTACTGGCTTCTCGTCATCTGGCGTGCGCCGACATGACTGATCGTCGTGCTGCGAGTTCATTTGCATCCTGAGTACGGCCACGCCGTGAACAAAGTGCGTTGGGACGTCTGCGGAGGAGTCGCTCTGGAAGCTCCGATACGAAGCGAGCAGTCGGAAGGCATCGGAGCGCTGTGCTGCAGTGAGCTTGCCTGGAATTTTGCCGGTTGCGTGAGCAAATGGCATGCTGTTGCTAGCAAATGCATCCGGCCTGCACGCCAGAGAAATTTGATGGGCACGCGGGACACCGACAAAAAGAGGGCGGCGAAGACCTGAAGGAAAGGAATTGCGGGCGCTGTCGCTCCAGCCGCCAGTCCAATTTGACCGAACCCTGCCGAGCCTGTCTAGGCCTGTCACAGCCAGACGACCTGGCGCTTGAACATGGCTGGGCCAATGGCTGAGTGGCAAAACTCGCTGGTGGCGAAACGGAATTTGTGCAGAGTGAAATGCAGAAAAGCGGGGTCCACGTTGCGGCGACCATTGATAATGATGTGGAGTCTTGCACGCTACGCCTGATATGGGCAAATATGAGCAGAAAAGTGTGAGTGGAGACATTTTATATGGGTCCAATTGCTCTTTCCTTTTGCCTTATTTGCTCTCTGGCTGTTTGGGGCCCAGTCCGGTGGACACAGTGCGCGAGGCACGTGCATAAGTAGTCAGTTTCTATTTCCGCAGCGCCCTGCTGTCCTTTGCATTCTGTTTTGATTCTCCACTGTTCTTCAGCCTTTTTGGTTTGTTTTTGTTTTCTTTCTTCCTGATCCGTTTTCGGCCACCTGATGCAAGTTGCAGTCCTGGTATGCAGCCCGCACTGTGCCGTCCGCACCACCCTTGATCCGGCCTAGCCATGCCCGCTATTGGGCCAGCCCAGACGCTGCGCCCCTCCTTCGCCTCTCTCGTCCAGCGCTCAGTGAAAAGAATGCACATTTTACTGCACTGCTCATCATCATGCAGCCTGCATGGTTTCCTTCCTTTCCCTCTTCGATCAACTTCCCAGCCGCTCTCGCCTTGCCCAAACGCTATTTCTGAGCACCTATTCGCTTCGTGAAGTGTGTCGCATGCATGCACACACCAGCCTCTGTTTTTCACCTTCGCACACACCAGTCCCCTCCAGCTCTCACCTCTCACTGGACAGAACGACCCACTAAGTCCCCTGCACACTGTATACGTACTATCATCCAACAACTTTCTCCTGGCTAGCCAGGGCGTTAGTTGCCTTCCTCTGGCAGTTTCAGTGGTTGACAAGACCCTCGATTGACTGTTGGGCGGACTTTAGCCCGTAATGCGTCGAACCGTGCACTGTGCTCCTCGACATTCTAGAGTGCCTGCTGGCCGCTTCTGGTAGTCTTCTGCCTGCTTCCAGGCCCAGTCCAACTGAAGTCCTGCTTTCGTCGCCGCAGGATTTGCTTGGCCTCGCCTTCCCCACACCCTCTTGACCTGTGGCACTTTTTCGACCTCCCGCTCTTTCCCATTTCCCTCGCCCTTCTCGCTTTCTTTCTTCGCTCTTTCCTTCCCACACCGCACTAAAAACTCTCACAACCACAACCGACCCATATCCCCCAACCACCGAACCGATCAAAAGTGCCTTCTCTCCCAATCCCGTTCCTCTTCTACTTTCGCAACCTGCATCTTCATCTTTCAAACCTCTCTTTTCCGCACACCACACCCAAGCAAGCACTTCTCGTCCCCTTTCTTCTCTACCATCACATCTTCTTATTCTTCCTTGACGGTCTTCTTTATTTACGTTCTTCCATTTCTTCTTGATACCATCTACTTTTTCACTGCTCAGTCTTTTATCACTGCCTCATTTCCCTCCTCCATTTCGCCGGTATCGTATTGCGTCCACACATTTGGTCTTCTTGACGACCCAACGAACCTTGAGTTGACTTTGGAAAGCAACTTGATTGAACAATCCCTCGACATCGTTGGGCGCACTACTACTTTGACACGCAAACGGTCAAAAATAAGCACGCCACTTGGGAGTTTACCTACACAACCCAAGATCGAGTCATATTTCTACCTAAATAAATACATGCAAATCTCGCAACCACGGCATTCCTCCGCTCTCCAAACGACACCACGTCCTCAACCAAGCAACACCCACCCCAACACAATATCTATGTTGATTTGAGTTCATCACCCATCGGTCGATAATGTCTTACTACTACAATGCTCACCAGCAACATACCACGACGGCAACGGCGCCCGCTGTCAGCCACTCCCACCACGGTGGCCGGAGTCGGCGGGCGCCTCGCCTATCCGTGTCCCAGAACACACACAAGCAGCAACAGCATCATCAGTACCGCCAGATTCGCTCAATCAAGGAGATGACCGACAGCTTGAACCTGACCGCCTTCCGCGTCAAGTTTGAGGCTGGTCGCTCGTTCGACTTGGAAGACGATATGGAGTTCTGCCCGTCCTTGCTGACCGAGAGCGACTTGGTTTCTATCCACAGTGCCTCCTCTGAGCGGTCTTCGCTGGCAAGTAACTCTCCGGAGCACTCGCCATCGCAACCTGTCCAGGCGGCACCTGCATTCTCCCTCAACGCATCATCTCCTTCCTTCACTCTCCCCGCGCTGCAGCAGACACAGCAGCACACCATGAAACTTCACCAACCCGCCGCCACCCGGGCCCGCAACCCCATTCCCATTGTCAACCCTGGCTCCCGCCCCGGCTCCCACATGAGCATGGCTACGCCCGTTCAGCCGTCGGTGTCCCCCAGTATGCGTCTCCCGCAGCAGACGATTGGCACTGTCTGGTAAGATAGCCAATACTGTATTTTTGATGATCTTGTCTCCTTACCTTTCTGTCATGTGCAAAAAAAAAGAGCAACGATCTCCTGGTGCAGTTTTGGTTATGTCTCCTTTCAGTACTTGAACCTGTGTGCACGGGGTTTTTCGAAATAGAACAGAGACACCCAGCAGCTCCAATTTGCTTCGTTTCTATCGACAGCCAAACTATCTTGACGCGGACACCGACAAACTCAACCAAAAAAGAACAAATGAACGCGGCGGGCCATTGATTTTCATCGCGGAACTCTCTTACACTGCGTGGGCGGGCACGACAAAACAAACGAATAGAGTGGATACCGGTATCCTCCTCCCTCACCTGTACGACGTTTTCCTTGCGGGGACCGGAACTCCGATTCGACCAGTTTATACTTCTTCGTTTATCTATACCCCTCTGTACAAACAATACCACTTCTTGCTCGACGACGTCCACCGATTGTCACCGACATTTTCCCCTATTCGTCCTACTCCAACGTCCGGCGCGGCACGAATGATTACCGACCTCGCTCTTGGTTCTTTGTTCTATTCCCCCTTTCAAATTTTCCCCGATTAATTTCTTATTTTGTTTCTTTAATCGGTCGACAAAGTATCGAAAAGAAATACATACCCCGGTTGGGAACAACGGTGTTTCCTAGTTTCGAAAGATAATGGCTGTCTTGACTCGACGAATTGGCGTTTTTTTTGCTTTGTTCTTTTCAGCATTGGCGACTTCTCTTTTTCAAGCGCTAACCGGCAAATCTTAATCCTCTGCATATTCGGTTTTTATTTACGACCACGGAGTTTTACGGAACTGCATCAAATCTTCTTCGCTCTTTTTTATTGCGTCATACAGGAGCGAGCGACTTTTTTCTCTACTACTACGATAAAAAACGGTTCATTATGGGTCCACGAGTTGAAAGACAAAAAATATCTTTTTTTAGATCAAGTCTCTTTTTGTCAGCGGCTTTTTCTTTCTTTCGTCTCATGGTTGTCATCATTTCATCCCTCATTTTTAGTTCCCGCACGTTGTCCAAGGACTCCAGCGGTTGGTTGGGAGTTGCGTTGTTGCTTTTTTTCCACTCGGTGTTTGATACTTTGATTTGTGAAAATCAAAGGGGTTGTCATTGTCATTTTGTCATTTTCGAGCCACATAGGGGATCGGCTTGCAGGCAACGAAAGCGGCCGTTGCGTTGCGTTTGGGTTTACTGTGCTTTTATTTTTCGTCCTTCTTCTGGTTTTGTCTCATCTTTTCGTCATCTTTCTGTTACTTTTTTTCTTTTCATTGTCGTTTTTCACCTTTTCGGGACCGGGTTTTGTGAAAGCGGATCTCGCAATGTTCCATTTTCTTGTTGGCTTTTCGTGGCTTTCGAGAACGTGGACATATGGGAGAGGTTTCTTGCGGAGTTGGTATCTTGCGATTTGTCACCTGTCTACGTCTACTTGTTTTGTCTTGGAAGATTCCCGTGTTGCGATTCGAGATATGAGACTACTACCACTGGAAAGGGGAAACATGAGGAGCAAATGGAGCATTTTTGCGTCGTTCTGCATATTCTACTTCGTTGTACTATTTGGCAGCGACTCGGATATCGGCTAGCCTTCTTTTTAGCTATTTACGTGTTTACCTTCTTACCTTTCGAGTGCCTTATCGTCCGTGAATTTGTAACAGTTGGTTTACTGTCACTGATACGTCTCGTATTTCTGACGTGTTTTAACTCGTGATGCTGTCACGTATTCGACTCATGTCGATGACTGTTTTGCCGCCGTGGAACGCCATATTTGCGGTCCTCGTCGTGGATTACCAGTGCCAGCACGCTTCCAGAGGCGGTGTAGCACTACTTGTAGTTGCAATGGTGGACCACTCACTTTGTCACGAAGGGAGGCATGAAGTGAGAGACGTTTTCTTAGAGGGCTTGTTTGCATGCTTCATTCCATGGAGGCCAGGAGAAGGAACTGTATTCTAGTCCGACTCACAGCTGTGAATTATTTTGATGGAATACGCCCTGCTTGAATTTATATCAAGATCTATCTATATTAAGCGAGAGAAGGTCGCGCAAACATAATTAAGCATGAGACGGTGGACCTTGCGTTGACGAGGTTGTTGTTCGACTTTCAGTATGATCTCGCGGACCACATGGAGCTGAGCGGCGTTCCAGAGTGTGCGCATGTCCTACCTCGACTACTATCAGAAGGGTATTTCAATAAAACAGCCTGTATGGCCCTCTGTGGGCGACGATAAAGTCACAAGGCGAGGTAATATGTCGAGGAAGAAGACTTCCGCAATCGCGACGTCGAAACAAGCTTTCACTACGTGATGTTGGTCTCCTGCATTGACGCTATCCTGGGTTGGGGCAGATGATTCCGATAACACTCGTACACATACTGAAGCAGACCAGAGTCGACTGCATCTAAGGTTGGTAGTCCTTGGCTACGTTTATGGTCTCCCCTGGGTGGTTCCCCCGCATCTTAGAACGCTTCCTGGTCTTCGGCACTTGCGTTTTATGCCATCTCCTTTTGGTCAGCATATACCGCAAGCAGAGTTCTTGACGGCCAGTTACCCAGTTCGGCCTTATAAACGCGGCGTGAGAAGAGAAAATAAAAAGGGCACGAGGTAGCACTAGAGACGACATGAAGACTTGATTTGACTTTATTGACTTTGAGGCTGGTTGCTGGTTCGAGTGATCCTTAGGAGAATCTTGTTTTGCGTTTCCTATTTATAATTCGGTTTCCCATTTTAATTTGCCTGCCGACACCCTTTTCAACAAGTGCCATTAACTCGTTTTCGAAATGCTCACGTTTACGCCGGTCCACGCAACCTTTGGTGCCGAGGTGCACGGCGCCGACCTCGCAACACTATCGGATGCGGGCCTCGACGAGATCAAAGCCGGCATCGCCAAGGTATTTGGTTCCTTCTTGCGAAGCAAAGCTGAAACCCCCAAAAAAAGAAGGGGTTTCTCGCCTAACCAGTCTGTAGTACGGCTTCCTCGTGTTCCGCGATACAGGCTTTGACGATGACAGCCATGTTGCTTTCTCAAAGCGTCTCGGTGATCTTGACAACATTGCGCGGTTTCTATCTCCCGGCCGCAAGATGCGGTACCGCCACCTCGAACTGTTCGATGCTGGCAACCTTGATGCCGACGGCAACGTACTCGACCCGGATTCGCCCCGTGCCCATCAGGCCAAGGGCAACTGCATTTTCCACGTCGACTCGTCCTTCAACCCGCGTCGCGCGTCGTACTGCCTGCTGCGGGCCGTTCAACTGCCGCCGGCCGGTGCTGGTGGGAACACAACTGACTTTGCCGACTCGCGCACCGCGTACGACACGCTGCCTGCCGACCTCCAGCAGCAGCTCCTGGCCAACAACTATGTGGGCCGGCATTGTATCGCACACTCGCGCAAGCTCGCCGACCCGGAGTTCTACCACGACCTCGACCCGGGGTCGCAGCCGCACATGCGCCACCACATCCTGCAGCGGCACGAGCCGAGCGGGCGGCTGAATCTCTATGTAGGTGCGCACCTGCACAGCCTCGAGACCGAGGCAAAGGGTCTTGTGGATGCAGACGAGTCGACCCGCCTCATCCAACAGCTCAATGCGCATGTAAGCAGCGCGCCGTTTGTCACGTCGGTGACGTGGCAGAAGCCTGGCGACATTGTCATGTGGGACAACCGCGCAGTGCAGCACCGGGCGGGCGCGGGGTCGTATGGCACGCACAAGCGCGACCTGCGGCGCACGACGGTGCACGATGACAGCCCTACCGCGTGGGGACTGAATGCGACATCGACGGCGATGCCTGGTTTTGTGTATGACCCGACCGCAGGCAACACGACCGGGGCGATTTCGTCTGAATTGCCCGCGCCCGTTCCTGTCGCTGTGTCGTAGGTGTGTCTTTATGTGCGGCCTGGTACTTTCAGATTGTCAAACCTGCGGTGTATTTGCTTTCGTAGCGATGTAGATAGGGATGCTTGAGAGGAATGATTTATGCGTATCACTGCTGTCACCTGTCCAGTCCACGCGCTTTGACAAAGCGGTTAATCTGTTCGCGCGTCAACTTCTCGTTGTACTCTTCGCTGGCCATGTAGAACGAGATCATCTCTTGGGTGCAGTCGATGGTGGCTTCCATGTCGAGCCCGCTCTCAGCCAACCAGCGAATCAGCCAGTGCATCGTTGCCGTGCGCCCGCCGTCGGCCGGTGGTGTTTCTTCCGACGCTGTATTGCTGTTGCTGCTGCTAGCATTGGCGACACTGTTGCTGTTGTTATTGTTGTTATTGTTGTTATTGTTGTTCCCGCCAGCATAGCCGCTCTGCGCCGCTCCGGGGTTCATGCCTTGTGGCATGTGCTGCATGGGGCCGCCGCCACCGAGAAGAGCGGCTGCAGCAGCGACTTGTGCCTGGGCGTGAGCAAACGCCACGGACCGAGCCGACGACATGGCTGGAAAGCCACCGGCAGTCGTCGGCGTGCCCATGCCACTCATGCCAGGCGTGCCTGGTGTCCCGCCACCGGGGGTGCTCGTGCCCGGACCCAGAGAAGAGAGGGAGAGCAGTAGCGGCGGCGGTTGAATCGACGAAGACCCACCGACGCCCATGCCGCCAGGTGCAGCGCCGTTGTTACCACCGACCCCCGTATGGTTGCCGCCAGAGCCGCTACCATTCGCCGTGCCCATAGTCTGGCCCATGAGGCCGATGCCGCCGCCATTGTTCGATCCACCGGACGTTGCCGGCTGAAGAACCAGCACCCAGACAATGGCTGTCACGGCGATGACATGCGGAGGGTAGAGCAGCGGCAGGTCGGTCATGTAGTGGTCGTTGACAATGGACCACGCCTGGGTGAGCTCGTCGGGCGTCAGGCCCAGCTCAGCCTGCAGGGTCTGGAGCGTGCGGTACGGCGCGTGGATGATAAGGTGGGAGGAGAGCTCGGAGATCATGAAGAACTCGCACTCGCCGAGGCGGGCAATCTCGAGGCAGTGGGTATCGGGCCACAGGACTTTGGCCTCCTGGACGACCTGGCGGATGTGCTGCGGGCACTCTTCGGTTTTGCACGCGAGGTAGAGCGCGGTGGCCATGGCGAGGTAGGGGTTGGTGCGGCGGATTTCGACCTTGCAGTAGAATCGCTTGAGGTAGACCTGGGCGGTCGCAAGGGCCTGTTGGCGCGCCTGCAGGCGCTTAGCAAGGCGGTTGAGCTCTGGCACGTTAGCATGGCAGCACAGCGGAGCTGTCAGTATGAAGTGCGGATGCCACTCACGCTGCGAGAAGAACAGGCTGAGGTGACGCCATTCCGGCAACGGGTACATCTGCACGAGGCTGCGCTCTTCGTCTTGCTTGCGTTGGCGAAGTGCCGCCAGCTGCTCCTTGGAGAACTCCCAGAACCGCCTCTGCGTCGAGTCCCAGTAGCTGGCCGCCATGCTGGGGATATGTGACCGAAAGTAAGTCCAGCGGGGAGACGACGGCCGGGCTTGTTCGAGGCTGGGAGCAATTGGGATCTGCACGATCTGGTGCGTTGAAGAGTGCTGAGACGGCTGTGGCGAGGCTGGCCATACCGACCCGGGAGCTTCAGTGAGTTACGGTTTACGGCGTCCACTAAATCTAAGAAAGAACTTACATAAGCTGCGCTAACCACGTGCAGTAGCAGTTGGTGGCAGAGGTCACTACTACTGGCAGTGCCGACTGCGCAACCGAAGACCAGCTCTTGCGATGTATTTTGTAGCTTTTACTTCACTTTCAAAAGGTACTATACTTGAGTGTCGTTGTCTTTCACTAGACATACTTTTATATATTGGGCGCCTGTAACTTCGTAGTGTTGTCGCTCGGTGGAGACGGAATTTTGGCCTTAAAATTTACTGACTAAATTTAACTCAGCCCGCTGCCAGCCGGCGTTGCTTCCTTGCCAGCTTTTCCATTTGGCACTCATCGTCATTTTGCTACTGGACCGGTTAGCGCCATTTCTCCCGCCTCTAGCTGTTTTTCGTCCAAGTTTTCCCTCCTTCCTGTCTCCCCCTCCATGAACTTAAACAGATGACTTTGAACTTTGAACGACGACAAAACAACATATGCAGAAGCCCCTGTGACGCCGACCGCCCACCCCCAGCACGAGATAGCTACCTCTAGCTCCGACGACTTCTGGGTTTGTATCGATATCTACCTCGCGCACGCAATTATTTCAATTCACTTTCACAGCTTTGGGTGTCTCCAATTCCTCAATCGACGACTGACCGCATCGTCGTCTTCACTCTCTCCATTGCATCTGTCGACTCTTCCTGCTTCCTGCTTCCACAATGCTGAAGCTGTAAGACAACGGCACCCCCTGGAACGACTACTATCCCGACCGAACGAACCGGGACTCGACAATCTAGCCCCCAGCCTGTCATGGTTTGCTTGTCATGACGGCCGGCGACAACACGGCTCCCGGAGCTTCAGAAGGAGCTCCGATGCCGTCCAGTCCTTCCGAGTCTTCCTCACCGTATCCTTTCAATGCTACGCCAGCAGCCTCGGACCCGGACACTGCTGCGCTGCGCACCATGGAGGGCGAATCACAGGTCCAGCGGGACAAGCGCGTCAAGGAGCTCTGGCAGCGACTTGATCCCCAGGACGACCGCGAGCTGGACCTCAAGGGCCTTAAGAAGGGCTTGCGGCGGATCGACCATCGTGCGTGCCCCGGATTTCTGGGAGGAGGGGTTGGAGCGCAATGTACAGTGCAGTGTGCAGTGCCACGTATAGTGCGATTTGCTAACTGTCACAGCTATGAAAAATGCCGACGATATGTTGCGGGAGATCATCGACATTGTTGACGTCAACGGAGACGGAAAGATCCAATATGAAGGTGGGGGCAGCAAGAGACCGGCGCGTCCGAAAGAACAAGAAAAAACAGAGAGACGAATTATAGACAAGGGAGGTATGGAACGTTGCCTGTGCTAACTCATATCTTTTGCTTCTGAACTTAGAATTTCGTGTCTTTGTTGAGGCCGCCGAGCGCCAGCTTCTGTTGCTCTTCCGCTCCATCGATCGCAACCACGACGGCCGGCTCAACAGGGCGGAGCTGCGTGCGGCGTTCCAAAAGACGGGCCTGGCCGTGCCGATGCGCCGGCTCGACGGCTTTTTCGACGAGATCGACATGAACCACGACGGCTACATTACGTTTGACGAGTGGCGCGACTTTCTCCTCTTTATCCCCACCAAGGGCAGCGACTCCCCGCTGGAGACTGCTTGGTCGTACTATGCGTCCACTGTGATCCTCAACGCCGAAGGCGACTCTATGGTCAGCGACGAGACGCTTGAGGGCTTAGGTACGACTGGCTATCTCCTCCAAGCCCTGTTTGGTTCCATTATGAAGCTTGCGAAGCCGAGCGTGGCAGTCTCCTCCCGTGCTGGTGAGAAAGAGGAGGAGCTGCAACAGACACCCGACGTCCAGATCGCCTCCCCGGACCAAGAACTGGAGATGCACCAACAACCCCCACAACCAGTGCAGCAAATACGAAAACGAAGACGCATACGGCCGCCAGAAACCGCTGCCGATTCCGACTCAATAGCGCCCGCCCCGTCCTCCTCCTCCCCCACACCGCCATCTCCTCCACCACCGCCATTGCCGCCAGATTCCAAAGAGGGGACGGTACTGGCAGTGTCGTCAAAAGCGCTGCCGCACGAGTCGGAGACAGGAGCCAGCGCGCCCATGTCGTCCGCAGCTGCAAGTGTATCGCCGCCGTCTGGGACCCGTGCCGAGGCGTCAAAATCTTTGACGGACTCGAAAACGGCGGCTGCGGACGCAATGGTTGACGAGCGAGAGACAGTGGCGGCGGGGGGCCGCGGCCACGAGTACGAAGACTTTGAGGACCTGGGCGACGTCGACGAACTAGACGAAGTGCTCGACAGCGGCAAGGCAACCGGATCTGGCACCAAGCTTCAGAGGGCCCAAAGAGTGGCGGGCACCACGCGGACGAAGAAAAAGTCCAAGTACAAGCAACTGACGCAATACCTGCCCCATCCAGGCTACTTCTTGGCGGGCGCGCTCGCTGGCGGTATTTCACGCACGGCGACGGCGCCCCTTGACCGCCTCAAAGTGTACTTGCTCGTGAACACACGCGGCGGCAGCAGCGGCACCAAGGCCGCGGCATCGGCGGTCGCGAGCGGTGCGGCGACCGGCGAACCAGCAACGGCCAATCTCCGCAAGACTGGCCGGCCGATCCGCGACGCCATTGTGAACCTGTACCGGGCTGGCGGTGTGCGGACCTTTTTCGCTGGTGCGTCTCGTTGATAGAAGCCACCCACGTCTACGATTTCCCGCTGCCCTTTGCTAACAATGAAACTTAGGCAACGGTCTCAATGTCGTCAAAATTATGCCGGAGACGGCAATTAAAGTAAGCTTTTCTTCTCTCGCATGTTTTTCAGTTTCCCCCTTTTTTTCCCATTTTTTTTTCTTCTCGACACTCGCATATTAACGGACCAGTTCGGCTCCTATGAAGCCGCCAAGCGTACGCTGGCTGTCATTGAGGGCCACGGCGACCCCTTGCATATCAACTCGGCGTCCAAGTTTGTGGCGGGTGGTGTGGCGGGTATGATTGCCCAGTTCTGTGTGTACCCGCTCGACACGCTCAAGTTTCGACTGCAGTGCGAGACCGTGCAAGGCGGCCCTACCGGAAACGCACTGCTGATGCAGACCGCGCGCCGCATGTACGAGACGGGTGGCGTGCGCGCAGCGTACCGTGGCGTGACCATGGGCCTGGTTGGCATGTTCCCCTACAGCGCCATCGACATGGGCACCTTTGAGCTGCTCAAGAGCACGTTTACGCGGTACAAGGCGCGGTACTACGGGATCCACGAAGAGGACGCGGCGCCCGGCAACGTGGTCACAGGCATCATTGGTGCGACCTCGGGCGCGTTTGGTGCGACGGTAGTGTACCCGCTCAACGTGCTGCGGACGCGGCTGCAGACACAGGGCACGGTGATGCACCCGCCGACGTACACGGGCATCTGGGACGTGGCGGCGCGGACGCTGGCCAATGAGGGCGTGCGCGGCCTGTACAAGGGCCTCACGCCGAACCTGCTCAAGGTGGCACCGGCGCTGAGCATTACGTGGGTGGTGTACGAAAACTCGAAAAAGGCACTGGGTCTGCCGTAGGCTGTCAGCTGTCGGTTGTCGAGAATGGAGAAGGCGTGGTTGGGCATGGATATTGGTGGATGTTGGCGACGACACACACGGATGGTAATTGGAAATGAACGAGTGGGCATGGGATGGCGTTCTTTGATACTTTTATGCTGGCTTACCGTTCTTGGTTTTTCTGCTTGGTCTTCATTTCGTTCTTCATCCGTCGCGTCTGTGATTTTGGACCCCTTTTCCCTCTTCCTTTGTGTTGCGCCGTGAGACGTCTCATCTCCATGTATAGTTTACGATCCTCTCACATATATACGGCCGGGTGTAGATGGAATTAGAGTTCAGGCCATGTTTCTGGCTGTTATGAATGATATTTAAAAGAGGACAAAAAATAAACGAAAGAGTACGATATACTTTGAATGTCTCCTTGGCCTCTGTCGATAGCAATGGTCATAAAAAGCCATCCGCGGCCTATGCCATGTTGCGTCATATCGCTGCACCGGCAGGTAGCTGCCTTCCAGGTGAATCAAGCAGTTTGTCACTGACAAATTCCATGCGAGGACTGCAGTCTTCGGTCGCTTATTTATACGCCGGAGGGTGGTGACGTGCAAATGTTTGAATATTCTTCTTGTCCCTGGAACGCATCCTCGTGCTCTTCTTTACCAGTCCAGCAGATAAAGAGGGTAGAGGCCCCGCTGTCAGTGACACCGGAAGCAACTCAACTCATACCTTGTAATTTGTAGTACGCACGCTTTTGTAGGCAGCCTTAATATATGGATTTTTTTCGAGCATTGTCAATGAAGAGTAATTTACTCCGTACGCCTGTGGCAGTTCGTTGCAACCAGGGACCTTGCAAACTTGATAATTGCATCCAAATAGCGTCGATTGTCACGGCACAGACACTTTGGACAAGGCACTTTTATCCTGCATTTCGGCATCATTCGCCGTCTCGCAATGCTTGCAGGGTATGATGCACGATTATTGCAAACTCTTGGCTTGATTGTGTGGCACGATGGGTGTGTTATGTACAAAATGGACACAAAATGAACACACGTGGATGTCCACTGTGTCAATGGCATGCTGGTCGCTGGTCGTCAGTGTGGCCCCCCGTAAGCTCGGGTCAACCAGTGCCCTGGTCCGGCCTGGCAGTCTTACCTTCTGTTTTTGGCAATATGCGAAGCACAGTCCCTGCGCCGGGAGGCAGAGTATGAAAGCACGCGCCGAGTCTGTAATAGGAAGGAAAGGACAAAGACGTCAATGAGGAGCTGGGACATCAAATAAGAAAGGGGGCAAGAGCGACCAACCGCCCAGGCGGGGTAATTGATGTCAGAGTAAGACGTCGTCACGGCGCACTGAAAAATGCGATGGTGCCGGATCTCGCCATCGACGCAATCGCTGCGACGCGCAAACACTGGAAGGATAGGGTGTGGGTGGCCCAGGCAGACGCATTTCGGGCGTTGTCGTTGGTTGGCCGGTTTTCACAGTGAACCACATAGATAATACATATTGATAGCACAGTTGGCATGAAGCATTGAATCGGCATTTCTTCGACTTTCATTTCATCACTTTTAAACATCACCAACCCATCACCGACATATCATCGCTTTTCGACCGTCGACTGTTGTCCACCTCCCTCGACCGACACATCTGCATCGGCACTAGCGACGGCATCACGTCTTCCCAGCATGGGTGCCGAGAACGAGCCGCTCCTGGTCGTGTACCAAAAGGGCGAGTCGCAGCCGCACATGGGCGACTTTGATACATCGGGTATCCACGACTCTGCCCAGGAGATCTACCGGGCTGCCGCCGAGGCCCGGCGCCTCCGCCGCCGCCGCAAAATCCGCCGGGCCCACCACTTCTTCTGCACTCTCTTGATCGTGACCATTGCCTTTTACACCCACGGGTTCGGCCTTCCGGCGCTCTTCTCGAAAGTCTTCCGTCACCATTCGTACAACGGCAGCGGCGACTTCGTTGGGCTCGGCTCAACACCCCTGGATGGGCCCCTCGAGCTGCCCGACGACTCGTTCTGCTCTTCGCAAGGTACGCCGCACACGTACCCGGTGTCGTCGTACCCGCTCACCTTTGACGGCGAGCACAGCCTGACCATCCGCCAAAACACCACGCGGCACCTGGCACCGCCGTACGATCCGCCGCGGGACGACGATGACGACCACCGGTGGCGGCATGTGCGCGTGTCCGGCGAGGTAGTTGTGCGGCAGGTGGTCGATGGCAAGGAGCCGTCCGTCGAGGTCGAGGCGCTGTCCAACGACGACCGGATCCGCACGACGTATGTGTTTGGCGAGTCCGGACAGCATCTCAATGTGATTGTGGACGACCGCATCTGGGTGGAAAAGGGCGAGTGGCGCGGAGGCCGACTCGCCGCGTGCCTGGTGGTGCGTGTGACGGTGTGGGTGCCCGACGCCGCCGCCTCTGCCTCCGCAGCCAAAGACAAGGCCAAGGACAAAGACAAGGAGGTGCACCTCCAGACGCTGCACATTGGCGCCGTGCACCTGGGCGTGCAGCTCATTGACAACCTGGACCTGATTGTGGACGAGTCGGCGCGGCTGTCGTCGGTCGTTGGCAGCATCGTGGCGTCGCGTGCACTGCCTGGTGACCATGCAGAGACGAGCTCGGTGGGAGTGGCAGAGGCCAAGAACTGCCACGAGGTCATCACGGAGTCGATTGCGTTTGCGGCGGGCTACCGCTTCGAGGCGCCCAAGACGAGCGCAGCCTCGACGTCGGGCCCCATCCGCGGACCCTGGTCGCTGCTGGATAGCCTGCACCTCCAAACGGTGTCGGGCTCCATCAACGTGGCCGTGCGTCCCGAGGGCACCGCCGACGAGCACAAGGAACTGGCCCATCTCAGCGTCGAGTCTGTGTCTGGCAGCATCGGCCTCCAGGAGGTGACTAAGGAAGGCGTCGAGGAGAGTGTCGTTCCCCGTCCCCACCACCTCACTGTCTCGACGCGCTCCGGTACGGCACACGGCATCGCCTCGTTTGCGCGCTCGGCCCGTCTGCACACCATCTCGGGCAACATTGCCTTTGCCCTGGCACCGCAGCGCCTGGCCGAGAACGTCCAGGGCGATGATGGCGGTGACGAGTACACCGCGGCCCTGCTCGACACCGATACGATCAGTGGCAAGACCGTCGTCTACCTGCTCAACGAGACCTCCAGCAACACCGCCATCGACTTCCTCGAGTCCACGCACCACACCGTGTCTGGCGCCGTGGAGCTGCACTACCCGGCTTCGTGGGTCGGCGACATCCACCTCAAGACGGTTGCCGGCGGTGCGCTGGTCGTCGAGGGCAAGGGTGTGCACGTCGTGCCGGACAACAAGCCGAAGTGGCCGCCCAAGGTGGGCCGCAAGGTCGACGCGTTCAAGGAGGGCACGCGCGACGAGGATCGCGGAAATGCCGAAGACCACCGGTCGACGCTGAATGCGGACACCGTTAGCGGCCGTGTCCGGCTGTCGTTCCCGGAGTAGGCGATGTGTGGCCGTCAATAAGAAAGGGGTTGGGATGACTCGCGTCTGTTGTAGCAATGACACGGGTGGTTGGATACGCATAAATTGTGCACATACTACGATAAGATTTTGGATTTCATTTAGTAAAAGCGTTTCGTTTGTCTGAGAACATAATTTTACATCCAAATTCAGTTTAATTTGTTCGTACTTGGTATTGTCTCCGCAGCGGATTCACACTATGGACAATAAAAACCGGGTTGCCAAACGGAGTGTCTTATGAATTATATATACTATATCTTGAAGATGCGTAACCGTAGAAAAGAAAAGGGAAAGTAAAGTGTAATGGAAACAAAAGGATATGGAGAGTGGAGGAGAGAATGTAACACATAATGCTTTGGTTTGAATTTCACAGAAGCGGAACCACTCCGGCCAGCTCACCTCAGTAGCCGAGAGAACTAATCACCACTGGCAGACCACCCGCAATCCTACACAAGTCCAAAGAGACCTTGCTTGGTGCCCATCTTGCCGGCAAAGGCAATAAACCCACCAACCAGACAGGTGACGCCACTGAATATGGTGACGGGCGTGTACGTCGCGTAGTGGTGCAGCAGCTGGCCGTTGATGGGCGGGCCAATCAGTACGGCAATGGAGGCCGCGCCCAGGCCCATGCCCAGGTACGTGCCCATGTTGCGCGGATCGTCGGAGCAGATGGAGATGGCGGCGGACGCGCCAGACACAATGGTGCCCGAGGAAAAGCCAAAGGCAAGGGCCCAGACGACGAGGCCAGCCGTGCTGTGGGCGTGCTCCAGGGTCAAGATGACGATGCCCGTGCCGATGCCGCCGGCGGCCAGGGCGTTGACGCGGCCGAGCTTGTCGGCCAGAATGCCGGGAATGATGCGGCCGAACGTGGAGGCGGCGTTGACAATGGCCAGCAGGTACGACGCGAGGGTGGTGTCCATGCCCTGGGAGACGGCGTAGCTGGGCAAAAAGAAGAGCGGCGTAAACAGGCCCAAGAACAAGAAGAACATGGACACGACAACGCAGACATAGGTGGGCTGCTTGAAGGCGGAAAACACAAAGAACTGCGTGGTGCGCGGCGGCAGGCGCGGGCGCACCGTGACACACGAGATGCCGAGCGATACGAGCATGACGAAGCCGACGATGCGCACGGACCAGCCGAAGCTGAGGTGCTGCGACACGACGGGGTCGTTGAGCATGCGGCTCAAGGCAATGGGAAAGACGACGCCGCCCACGGACGAGCCGGCGACGGCCACGCCCAGCGCGGCGGCGCGCTTCTTGTCGAAGAACTGGATGACCGCGGCCATGGCCGGGAACTGCATCGCGCCGCTCGACATGCCCAGGAGGAAGCCCTGGGCGAGCAGGAACTGGTAGTACTCGGTGCACAGACTAATCATCATGGCGGCAAAGACGCATACGAGGGTGGCCGGGCGGATCAGCCAGGCGCCGTAGCGGTCGAACAGCGGGCCCGAAATGGACCCGGCGAGGAACTGGAAGAAGGCGGTGCAGCTGCCGATCCAGGCGATGGTGTCGGCGCTTTTGTCCGAGAGCTGGTGGGTGATGTAGTACTCCTGGAAGACGCCAAAGGAGTTGGCAAAGCCGAGGGCCGCAAAGGTGATGAAGCCGGCACCAATCGCGACGGTCCAGGCGCGCCATCCGCCGTCGGGCGCTGGGCCAAACTCCGACAAGGGCGACGGGGCATCCGTTTCGGCTGTGTTGGCCGAGCCGGAGGCTTCCTCGGCGTCCTTCTCTTGGCCGTTGTATTCCTTTGGAAATGATGAGTCGGCGTCGAGAGTGGCCTCGTCGGACGAGGGATGGCTGTCGCCGAGCGACGGAGACTTCTTTTCGTCGGCCATGGTGAGCTGTCGAGGTGGAAGCAAGCGTCTTTCAACCTGAGATATCGAGAAACAAATATGTGCCAACAAAATAAGGAACGCCAATAGAAGCAACACACAGACAAGGGGGCTCCCAAAAGGGCGTGACACTCCTTGTTATAGATAAACCGCGTTCGGTAGAAAAGAGAGACAAATGCTCTGATTGAAAAGAACGTCGGAGATGGGACGGGGGTGTCATTGTTACCCGTTTTCTTGGAACGTCTTCGTTTTTATGTAACATACTTCGAACTTCCTACCGGGATAAAACCGACTGCGACGCTATTGGAGGAACCCTGCCCCCCAAATCTTGCATGATGTGGTCGCACATTGCCGCCTTTTCGTCCTTGCGCACGGCAATGGCGACGTTGAGGAGGTGATGCAGCAAAGTCGGCCATGGGATCCCATTTTCGTCGCCCAAATCTGGTGTAAGTCAAAGCAGCCAACCAGAGACAACGAAACGCCGGCCTCGGGAAATTCGGGAAATTCGGGCAGTTGTTGACCCACCTTATCCCCGCGTTTCTCATCCCCGGCGTATCTACACCACTCTGAAAGTCGGCAAATTCCCTGTCTCTGGCCCGACTTTCTTCTTTATCTCCTCGTTTAGGGCCTCTTAAAAAGAAATTACCCGCTCTTGCAACGAGAAAACGCGGATGAGGCGCTCGAAGCCGATTTCTTTATTTCTTTCTTCTTTTATTTTTCCTGCTCGTGTCAATTCTCGGATGCAACTGTTTGCTGCCACTGCGGCCACGGAGAATTGTTTCAGGCGTTGATCAACCGCCGTACGCCCGTTGCACCTCCACGCTCCCAGCCCTGTAGATGGGACCCAATAACACGATGACCGAGCCCGAAGTCCGTCGCCGAAGAAGGCCAGCTGTGTACGTTTGTGAGTCTGTGTCTGTGGCCTGTGGCCTGTGAGACCGTACTGACAAATACAGCTCCTGCACACTGTGCCGCCGGCGCAAGATCCGTTGCAACCGCGAACAGCCTTGCAGCAACTGCCTGCGGTCGCGCAAGAATGTCGTGTGTGTCTATGAAGAGCTGCCGCCACTGCCTGGAGCAGCAGTTCCTACGGCCCCCTTGACAGCACCGTCGACGGCTTCGTCGACAACGGCAGGATCCATAATCGCCAATGCCACTGGCAGTACGGATTCGCTATCCAAGCCTGCTGCTCGGGCACGCCCACCAATACACACAGACGGGATTGTCTTTCGCAATGCCTTGCATCAACAACAGACGCCGCCTTCGGCCTCGGCCAGCGCCGCTGGCGGCCTACTGCCTCGACCTCCGCCCGGGACGACAGTCAACTCGGCTGTGTTTGGCCTTACAGGAATGACTGTGGCGGATATTTCTCCGGCTGGCGAAAGCGGCCGTGGCGACGGCTCAACATCAGCTGCTGCAACAGACTCGGCCGCCAATGCCTCTGGAAACACAATGGCTCCGACGACGGTGTCCACGACCGTTGGTCCGTCGCCATTCGAGCCCGACAACGTCATGGTCCTGCCAGAGTTGAACGCGTATAACCGTGCCGCTCACGAAGCAGACCAGTCTCGTATGGCACGCCAGTCGCACCGTTCTCACCCCGCACAATGCTCACCGGAGGATGTGCAGTCCGTGCAGGCCATGCAGAAGCGCATCCGCCACCTGGAGGCCCAGCTCCACGACCGGCGCCGGCAGCTGGAGCGACGGAGTCGACAAGCCACTCGAGACAGCCACCGCTCGCAAGGCGGCGTCCACAGTCGCGACCACCATGCGGACGAGTCGGTACCCAATCTCCCGCATATGGTTGTGTCCGAGGCGGCTGACAACGGGCCCTTGGCATACCCGACCATCGAAGAACCGCCACCAACGTCGTCTTGGTCGTACAACTCTCGTCGGCGTCGCCACCACCGCCGGTCGAATCGCTCGCATCAGTCGCGTGGCCGGCACCGCTCGTCACGCTGGTCGCGTTCGCGGTCGCGATCCCGAACCCGATCCTGGTCTCGATCTCGGTCGCACTCCCGCTCGCGTTCGCGGTCGCGGTCAACGTCGCGCCAGAGACATGGTGCACGATCGTATCGGTACGCGCTCCGTCGCTCGCAGTCGCCCTATTCGCGCTCACAAACGCCAAGGTCAACAAGGCTGCCGGCACGGTCTCGGTCGCCCCACCATGGTAGTGGCAGGTTGTATCGTCGTCCTTACTCGCGTTCTCGGTCGCGGTCGCTTGGCTCTTCCTTGCGCGGGTCAAGGTCGCCGTCGCCGCACTATCACAGGCGCGGGAGGAGGACGCACCACGACCCGCATTCCCACTCGTACTCCCGTGGCGAATCGTCTACGCTGACGCCGGGCCATAACCCTCTCAGCGACCGTGGCAAACACCATCTCTGTTATTCCAACAATGAATTTGAAAACAATAACAACGATCTCGCCGACGACAACCATAATCTCCTCACCACTACCGGTCCTGACCACCCACCCACGCCCTCTGCCGTCAACTGGCCCACCAAGCCCAGCTCCATTACCGGCGACTTTTTCGTCTCTACGCGCAGCCGCAGTTTTGGTCCACGCGAGCGCCGCATGCACATGACCAGCCGCAGCGTCATGCACAAGACACGCTTGTTTGGCCAGAGCCACTGGGTCAATAGCATTGTTGGCTTCCGCGACATCTTTGAGATGATTGACCCGCTCGTCACGGGCACCACGGCCCCCAAGATTTTTGTCGACATGCAGCGCCTCAAGCACATGGGGCGCATCATCAAGGCACTGCGAATCGGCCCCGCCTGGCCGCCGCCGGCCTCTGGTCTCCACGAGTCCTATGGGCTGCCACCGCGCGCTCTGGCCGACGAACTCGTGGAATGCTACCTGCGCAGCACTGAGAGTGTCTACCGCATTCTGCACGTGCCCATGTTTCGCCGTGAGTACGAGGCCCTGTGGCAAGCCTTGGCTGCCGGCAACCCCTTAAACAAAGCCGACATGGCGTTTTTGGTCCAGCTCAAGCTTGTCCTTGCCATCGGCTTTGCCACCCACCGAGATCACATGGCACTCCGCACCCGTGCCGTTCGCTGGTACTATGCCGCCCAGACCTGGTTTTCTGAGCCCGAGTTCAAGGCCCACCTGACCATGCAGGTCCTGCAAATACACATCCTGCTGCTTTTTGCGCGGGAGGCCACGGGAATTGGCGGCGCTCTCATCTGGATTTCTGTGGGCGATCTTGTGCGCTCTGCTGTCTACATGGGCCTGCACCGCGACCCGGACCGCCTGCCCAAGCGCATGAGCCGCCTGGCTGCCGAGATGCGCCGCCGCTTGTGGAATACGATCCTTGAACTCGTCGTTGCGTCGAGCTTGGATGCCGGTGGGCCAGTCATGCTTTCCATGACCGACTTTGACGCTCGGTCGCCGAGCAATATTGACGACGAGAACCTCGAGGAGAGTGTGCTGGCCGGATCTGCTGCGGCCAAGGCGGCAGCCGCCGCAGCGGCCACCACCACCACCACCAACAACAATAACGATACAAACTCAACGTCGCTGCCAGAAGGAGAGGAGCCTCCCCAGCGGCTGGGTGGTCTCGAGTCCGCTCATATCGTCGTTACAACGGCGGCTGATCCCCGTGCGTCCACAGGTAGTCGTGCGAATAAAAACTATATTGACGACGGGGGCAACATGCGTGGGTTGCCCGAGCCGACATCGCTTGCTGAATTGCTCGAGCAACAGAAGCACTCGAACGGGAAATGGATTTCTGGCGGTGTCGGGGTGAACAAGATGGATCGCCTTGGCGAGGACAGCAATAACACGCGTAAGGGCCGCCAGAAAAATGACCACGTTGAAGAGAGCCGGACGCCACGCAAACCACCGGCGCAAATCTGTATGGTACTACGGCAGGCTCGCGACGTAACGCCACAAGGCCTACCAAGCAGTGGTGGTGATGACAGACAAGCAGCCCAGGATGAAGGTACCTCCCGTGCCGCTGCTGACTCTGGCTCACCGGATGCATCGCGCCTTTCACATATGTTCACCAGCATGTCTGTCGCTGTGGCCCTCCGCAAGACACTACCTCTGCGCTTGGCCATTTGCAAGTTCCTCAACGATATGGGCCCTCCAGGAACGTATGCCGACACCTTGCGCTTTGATCGCCAGTTCCGCGTAGCCTACCGCGCCCTTTTTGGCACTCTGCAGGCATACAGTGCGGCTTCAAAAGAACTCGATCCCGCCAACCCATCTGGCACTGAGTCGACTTCTTCGCCGCGACAGACCACGTTCGACCATTATACGATCGCCGTAGTCCACCTCATCATGCGTCGGTATCTACTGTGCCTGCACATCCCTTTCTTCGGTGCCTCGATGCAGGAGCAGACGACCTATGCCTACTCGCGTCGTGTTGTGAGCGACACAGCCGTACGGATCTGGCATGCAAGCTGCCCGGGTATTGTCGACACAAGCGTAGCGACGGTTGATGCCGCCGAATGTGCCGCCGATGAGGCCTGCAAAGCGCAAGCGGCTTCGTCATCAGCGGCCCCTCGACCTGGACGCACATTTGTCGACCCGGCACTCGCCCGCCAGACCATGCTCGGTGCCGGTCCGTTGCGTCGGCTCGCTATGCAGGCTAGCTTGCTGGTGGCTGCCGAGGTCAAGTTCCAGCTCATCGAAGACGACACCGATGGTACCGGAGCTTCCGGTGTAACGGCCACAGGACGCGCCCCTATCCGACCAGATTTGCTATCCATCATCGAGGCTGCCTTGCACTGGTGTCTGCGGGGCATCGAGGGTGGCGAGACCAATTTCAAGGGCTATCTGTTGTGGCGCCTCATCGAGAAGCAGCTCAACGGCATGCAGCGCGGCTTGATGAGTGCGCCGAGTTCCACGGCTGAATCACGCATGGAGCTGGCGCATGAGCTCGTCCAGGTCGCCGCAGAGGCCCAGAGCTTGTGCATGCCGATTCTCGAGAGTATGATGACACGGGGCATTCAAGAGGCCGCCGCGTCGGCATCGGTGACTGGCGGCAGCGTAAGTGGGCCGGGCACCGAGGTGGACAGCCTCGTGCGCATGTGCCGCATCGAAGACTGCCCATGCCAGGGCATGTACCGGCAGCTTCTGCAGCAGCAGCAGGAGCAGCAGCAACAGCAGGCCCTGGAAGCAGCCCAGCTGGCCGAGCAGCAGCAGCTGCTGCAAAACATACCGACGCAAGCATCGTTTATGCCCGGCATTCAGCCGTCGCTGGACCCCATGTCGATGGACTTTACCGTCGACAACTATGAGTTTATCATGCCGGACGCGCAGTCGCTCAACATCGGTAGTGGCGAGCCGTTGAGTTGGCTATTTAATGGGGAGCCGACACAGGGCATTTTATGGTGAGCTGTGGTCGGGAGGAATATCGGAATAGGTGAATGAGGTGGGATTGATGGAGATATAGACAAGATACCCGGGTTTGTAGCGTACACGAAAAGTAGATTATTTGGTTGTCAATCTGGACTTTGCATTTTGGCCCTCGTCCGTTCGACGTCCTCTCCGCTCTTTCCTCGTGGATGCTGAATTCGTCAGTGAACAGTGATTCGAGCAGGAGCCACCGCCGGCGGATCTCAGCGCCTTCATTCCGCCCGCCAGAAGCGCCCAATAGTGAGCGCACCCACCAAAGGCACACCACGCAGGGGTCTGTACGGAGTTGTGGGTCCTTTCCTTGCCTGTCACTTTCTGCACTGTGGCTTGGAGCACTAAACCGTTTCCCACGTTTTTAGTGGATCCCATTTTGGGCCCTTTCCCAGCCTGGCCGTGTCGCTCCTTCCCCCGCACATACGGGCGAACCGCAACCTTGCGCAAAGCTTCCCACAGCAAGAACGCCAGTGTAAACCCAGCCGAGCCCACCTGCGCCTTCCCGCACTATTCGACGGCTACGACGCACACTGTCTCCTGCCTCTTCTGGGCCGCGCAGCGGTAGACTCTCCGTTCGACCTATTCCTTGGATGGCTCTACCTCCTTCTTTGCTCTTGTCTTTCTCCTTGTTTCTTTTCTTTTTGCTCATTCTCTCCATCCTCACTACTCATCCAACAACTCTCGGAGCGCATTGCTGGCATTTCGTTCCGACAACGGCCCGTTCTCCGAATCCGCGCGAATATCGACTCTCGTCCTCTTTATCTCATCCACGACCCAGTTTGTTGCCCTCCTCCACCTGGGCCGGCCGGTCGGCCACTGCGACAATCTCTTCTCCTGTCGCTCTGCTTTCTCTTCTCGGTCTCAAAGGATACTGCCGACATCACCCTCCTCCGTTTGAGTATACTCAGTCGCAATGGCGTCCAAGAAAGTCCGCCAGAGGATCAGCTATGGTACGTCCCTTCTTTGCATGTTGTCGCTCTGATAGGTTAATGGCCGGCGCTGCCATCGGAAGTCCAACCCTGCTAACCCTCGCAGTCCTCGAAGATGCCCGCTCTCTTGGCCACCGCCTCGGCGTTAATGGCCTCGCTGTCGATAGCGAGAACAACATTTTGTTAGTAGATAAACCGATCCCGACCACTTTTGCGGACAAATGCCCGGCCGCCGGGTGCAGTAGCGGGCCTTTGAACACCGGCAAGAACTCGGACTAATTCGCTTTCTTCTTTCTTACCCTGATAGATACTCTGGTGGTCGTGACGGCGTAGTATGTGCCTGGGAGCTGCATCTCGACAAGCCGACACAGGCTCCCGCCAAACCCGACGACTCGTCCTCCTCACCAAACGACGGCTCCAAGAAGCCGGAGCCCGCCGCTCGCCCGCACATCCAGACCGCCGTCTCGCGCGCCCAGACACAGGCCCATACTCACTGGATCAACGATATCACACTCGCCAGTAACAACTCCGCTCTCGTCACCGCCTCCAGCGACCTTCTCGTCAAGATTTGGCGTCCCCGTGAAGGCGACAATGACGACGAGCCCGCCATCCTGGGCAAGCATGCCGATTACGTCAAGTGTGTTGCGTCACCAGGCCAGCAGTCGACCTGGGTTGCTTCCGGCGGCCTGGACCGTCGCATTTGCCTGTGGGATCTGCAGGGCGGCGGAAAGATCCTCGAGATTGATGTCAGTGGCCAGGAGAACGCCGAGAAGGGCTCCGTCTATGCGCTCCGCGCGAATCACAATGTGCTGGCCAGTGGTGGACCCGAGTCCACCGTCCGCCTCTGGGATCCTCGTGCTGGGGGCAAGAACATCACCAAGTTCGTCGGTCACACCGATAACGTCCGTTCGATCCTTGTCAACGACTCCGGTGACACGATCATGACCGCCAGCTCTGACCAGACCGTAAAAGTGTGGAGCGTCACTGCCGGTCGTTGCATACAAACCCTGACCATGCACAACGACAGCGTGTGGTCGCTGTACTCGGACGCGCCTGACCTGAGTGTCTTCTACAGCAGTGACCGTTCCGGCCTTGTTGTCAAGACGGACGTCCGCGGCAACCTCAACGACTGGGACAATGGTCTTTCCGTTGCCGTGGCTCAGGAGCACAACAGTATCAGCAAAGTTGTGGCCAGTAACGGTTATATTTGGACGGCGACGTCTAGCTCATCCATCAACCGCTGGGCTGATGTCAACACAACCCCTGACGAGGATTCAGCCTATCAGGCACCCCGACCTTTCTCGCCTGCGAGCGAGACTGTACGCCCGCACAGCTCGTCCGTTTCGACCGTCACGGGTACCAAGCCAGCTCCGCGCGTTGTGCCTGCTGACATCCCGGCCAAGTCGATCCTGCGCATTTCGAACACGGCCATCTTCCCTGTCACGACTAGCGCCACCCCTGGCAGTCCTGGCGGAGCTTCTGCTGATGGGGTTTCGGGTAGTCCTCCTGGCCCAGGAGTGAGCCGCAAAGGCATCGAGATTATTCCTAACGGCGGAGACAATGCACCCGAAGCTGTGGAGCCTATGCACCGGCTACCCGTGGAGACGATCGAAGGCAACTTTGGCTTGGTTAAGCACCGTCTCCTCAACGACCGTCGGCGTGTGCTGACGCTTGACACGGCTGGTGAGGTTATTCTGTGGGACATTATTGCCTGCAAGCAGATCCGCCAGTTTGGCAAGCGCCACCTTGAGGACGTTGAGCCCGAAGTCAACACAACCGAGGCCGTCGCACCTTGGTGCTCGGTCGACGTCAGTTCAGGCCAGCTCACAGTTGTCCTTGAGCAGTACAACTGTTTCGATGCGGAGATGTATGCGGACGAGCTCGAGGCCAGCAACGATGGCTCCGATACAAAGGATGCAGCTGATTTCCGCGACGACCAGCGGATCAACTTGGGCAAGTGGGTGCTGCGGTACCTGTTTGCTAACCTAATTGACGAGGAAGTCCGCCGTGACGAGGCTCACCGGGCCAAGCTCAACGAGGCGGTCGAGAAGCGGGTCCAAGCTGTGGCAGCAGCAAGCAAACTCAGCATGCTTGACGTTGGCTCATCCCCCGTGGCCGCCAATGGCGACTCGACCCACGCAGGAAATGTTCCGCCGACGCCAGGTATTGGAGTGGCTACACCTCTCCCAACAGCGTTGAATTCGGCAGCAGGGGCGGTAACTGGCGGTACAGAGAAGGAGGACTACTTCTCAAATGCCATCACATCTGTCGAGCCAACGACGCCTGGTCCGGGTGCGATTCGGCCTGGGGGTACACCAGTGGCTGATATGCCGACAGCGACAGCGGCGGCTGAGGCGGCAGCAAAGAAAAAGGAAGAGGAAGCTGCTGCTGCCGCAGCAACCTCGTCCGGCAAGGGCGTGTTTGGCAAGAAGATTCGGATGGGCATGTCTTTTGGAACTAAGAAAATCAACCGCTCCGCGTCGACAAGCGTGCCAGAGAAGCCGGCAGCTGTGGCTGCGACAGCGGATGAGCACAAGGCTGCCAACGGCACTCCTGGAGAAGACAAGTCGGAGTCTGCATCGAGTCACGAAAAGGAAGTCGACGACTGCTTCGTGGGCGCCGTGCAGCGCATGCACAACGACTATGAGAAGCAACTGGCCGACAACCCAGACCGTTTCGTCGTGTCGCGCATGCAGCCGTGCCAGCCCGACGAGGCACCTGTGCTGCGGATCCCGGACAAGACCAAGGTCATCATCCAGGAGGAGCTCAAGGGCGGCAGTATCGAGCTGTACCGGGGCACAGTCGGCGGTCTGGGTCAACCGAGCCATGTCGACAAGATCGAGCGTTGTGCACCCATATGGCTGGGCGAGGCGATTCTCGCAAATGCGGCGCCTATCAAGGAGTCAACTAAGATTTCATTCCTTCTACTGCCGTACCACGACGAATTACCGCCTTTGTCTGCGCCTGACGGCAGCAGCCGGTTGAACGCGAACCGGATGCTGCGTGTTAAGAAGATTTTGGCGTACGTGGCCGAGAAACTCGAGCCACCGGCACCAGCGCCAGCACCGTCCCCGGCGACCATCCCACCGACGGTGGCCGAAGAGGCTGAGCAAGGCGAGGCGAAAGAGGGCTCCACGGCCGCTGCTGCCGCTGACGCTGCCACATCTAATCCGGCTGCGCCGCAGCCCGAGACCGAGGTCCTGAAGCCTGAAGAGTACCTTGAGCTCTACTGTAACGAACAGGTATGTATTGCATCGTTGGACCTAATTAAACCATTCTGGCGATCAATGACTAATATGATGCAGCGCCTTCCCCATGCGATGAGCCTGGCAACGGTTCGGGCACACATTTGGAAGAACAGTAACGACATTATGCTGTATTACAAGTCAAACGGCCGCAAGAAGCTACCGACAGCGGCTGAGGCCGCAGCGAAGGCGGCAGCATCAGCGCCGGCCACAGAAGCTGTTGGAGAGGCTCCAGCCAACGGTGACGGTGCTGCAACTGATGGCACATCGTCTGGCGCGGTACCGGTTGCAGCAACGGCAACGGCAGCGGCATAATACGACGACTCTGCGATGAGGCGCATATAAAAGGAGGCTCTGATGTTGCTGATTTTTGTTGTCTAATAATTGTCTCTCACCTAGTTGGAAGTTTTTGGATGTTTCCATCTTGTTTGTATACTTTTTCTGATTATGTACCTCTCGGTGTCGTTTTGAATTGAAGATGCTTTTTGTCGCGCCACTCTTATTTTCTGCTTGCATTATTAAGTCGCTCTTCATCTATTTTATCTACAGGCACAGGTACTACGTTTCCCTACGCAATGTGGCTATGATACATGTTGTCTATGTCGCATAACATTCAGACGAAACGCCTCTCGTCATCTATAAGTCTATCCTTGTCTTTTCGCCAGGCTCGCCCCCTGCACCACCGTCGCGTCGTGCGCCGACGAAGTTGACCACCCACTGGTAGCTCCCCAAGAAGATGGCGCCGCCGATGCTAATCCAGGTGACTCGCGGGCCGAGGCCGGCGAAAAAAGCGCCGACACCCTGCTCGGCCATGATGCTGCGCACGAGGGGCACCAGCGACTGGCGCTCCGTGCTGAGCATGATGCGCGTCTTGAGAACATCCAGCGGCGTCGTGGCGGCCGCTGCAATGCCGCCGGCCAAACTGCCAAACGCGGCGCTCTCAAAGGCCGACACCTCCTGGCCGTTTTTGTTGCGCCGCCGCCACGCCTTCATGGCCTCCCACAGCGGAAACTGCACGACGGTGAAGGGGACCTCGCGCAGCACGGTGGCGCCCCAGCCCCGGTACAGATTGCGGAAGACGCTGGGTCCGCGCAGGATGGCCGCCAGCGTCAGGGCGGACGAGGCGAACTGGCCGGCCTGGGCGCGCTGCTTGACGACTTCGGTGGGCACGCGGACGGCGCATGCGGCAATTTCGCCCAGCGAGGCAGCGAGCATGTGTGTATAGGGCGAGGCAGCGCCTCTTGTGCCTTTTGTGCTGCGGTCGACGGCATGTTTGACGCCCTCGTAGGTCACGAAGAAGAGGGCGGCGCCCGGCGCAGAGCCGACGACAGCACTGCCCACGCCGCGGTAGATGCCCGAGAAGCCGCCGCTGGCCCAGAACTGGCCCGGGCCGGCCTGCAGGCGGGTCTTGAGGGTGTCGAGGGGAAAGAGACTGAGGTCGACGGAGGTGCCCGCGACGGCGCCGGCCAGCAGCGCAGTGGAGTAGTCCATGGCGGCCGCTGAGGAGAAAAGGGTGAAGCGAGAACGGGGAGCGCTTCCGCTCCGTGTTCTGCGGAATCTGCAGTCTTTATGGGGCTGTGCGTTGTGTCGCGTGCGGCTTTGAGTCGTAATTAAGCTCGGCGCAAAGCGCCGTCATCGCTGAGCTCCGAAAATATCCTTGAAAGGTGCTCCCCACTTTTATTTGTCGAACCTCAACCTAGCTCTCCTCGACCCCAAAACGCGCCCGAAACGGCCACATTGACTGCCCAGCTCGACAGTCACCGTACCTTGTGCGGAGTCGTCACCCGCCGTTCTTGTCACCGTCGTTCGCCGACCGCTCGCTTACCTCGACCAGCTTTCTCAGGCGTACATTGACCACAACGACCGCGGTACAGCCCGCATACGGTCACGATACAACGACTCCCGATGAGCTTGCACCCTGTGCTCCATCGCACCGCCCAGCCAATTGCCGTCTCCGAGTTTATTGATGCCCTGCGCGCGGCCGCGCCCCCGCGGTTCCCGCATGGGCGCGCCGTGTACCACCGCCGCGTTGGCATGGCCATCAGCGGCGGCGTCGACTCCATGGCACTTGCGTTCCTCTGCGCCGAGGCCCGTCGCTTCCACCCGTTCATGCGCATCAGCGACGCGCCTACGGGTGGGTTCACGGGGATGGTGATTGACCACGGCCTGCGCGAAGGCAGTGGCGAAGAGGCCAAGGCGGTCGGCAAGGCGCTGGTGGAAATGGGACACAGATACCAGATATGGCCGCTGCGATGGCCAGAGGCAGAAACGGTGCCTGGGTCTGGGTCTGGGTCTGGGTCTGGGTCTGGGTCTGGGTCTGGGTCTGGGTCTGGGTCTGGATCAGGACCAGCACCTACCGGCCTGCCTTCGGCTCTGGAGACCACGGCGCGGCGGCTGCGCTACCGTGAGTTTGGCTTGCGGCTCGCCCATCTCAGAATCGTGACGCTGCTGCTGGCACACCACGAGGACGACCAGTACGAGACCGTTCTGATGCGGCTGCTCTCGGGCTACGGCCTGAACGGCGGCATCCGCGGGCTGCGGGGCATGCGCGCGGCCGCCGACTTGCCCGAGTGCCAGGACATCTACGGCGCGCACCAGAGCGGCTTCGTGGACGACCAGAACGAGCCGATGCCGTACGTCATCATGCGCCCGTCGCGCCTGCAGCGGCGCTACATGAAGATGGAGTTTCGCGAGGACATGCGCCTGGCGGCGTCGGTGCTGGGAGACGGCGCGGGCAGCAACATGGACCGCCAGTGGAGGCAGTGGACGCACCTGCACCAGCTGCTGGGCCACTCGGCGCCCCCGCTGGCCCCGTTGGACACCGAGGACCTGGGCATTGTGGCGTACCGACCGCTGCTGCCGTTTGCCAAGGAACGGCTCGTGGCCACATGCCTGGCGAACAACGTGCCCTGGTTTGAAGACCATACGAACGCGGACCCGACACTGACAATGCGGAATGCGCTGCGGTACGTGGCACAGCACCACGCGCTGCCCCAGGCCCTGCAGAAGCCGGCCATTCTGCAGCTGGCGGCACGCTGCGATGCCACCTCGCGGCAGCACGAGGCCGAGGCGCGACGGCTGATTGTGCGGCACGGCGTGGTGGTGCGATTCAACACGAATGTGGGCACCATTGTGGCTCGGTTGCCGCGGCTGCAGGCCAAGGCACGACGGAGACCGTGGCGGAGGGGGACCGACTCGTATGCGATTGCCTCCGCCGAGCGCCGTCGTCTGTATCTACGCACGATTGCCGCCCTGGTCGTCCAGAAACTGCTCGGGTATGTCACGCCGGAGACGAACGTGACACCCGTATCACAACTACAGGGCGTTGTCGACACGCTGTTCCCGGGCCTGGCGGACCCAGTTGCGAAGGAGACAGCTGCCCGGGCCGCCGCCGACCCCAAGGCCTTTATCATCTGCGGCACCCATTTCATGCCGTTTGTCGACAACTCAGCACCGGGCGCGTGGCCGTCGCTGTCGAAGCCGGCGCCGCCCGACCGATACACACGTTCTTGGTACCTCGCCCGCGCGCCCTACGCGTCGCCCGAGCGCGCGCCGCCTGGCGTGACCACGATCCCCGCCATCCGCTTCCAGTCGCTGGCGCTCTCGTACCGCTGGAACTGCCCTCCTTCCCAGTGGCGCTGGTCCAGCTGGAGCCGCTGGAATTTGTACGACGGACGCTTCTGGGTCCGCATCCGCACGCGGCTGCCGGCCAATGTCGTCCTGCAGCCGTTTGACAAGGAGCACAGCAAGCCCTTCCGCGAAGCGCTGGCCGCGGGCCCGTCCGGCCCTGGCCGCCTGTCGGCGTTTTTGGCCACCCTCAAGACCTATGCGCCGGGGAAAGTGCGCTACACGCTGCCGGCCATCTATGCGTCGAGTGACGTTTCTTTTGCCCTCGATGGCGGCGCGTACTGGCCGGAGGCGTCTGCGGCGGAGAATTACGCCGAATACGGGGAGGACGCGGAGGACGCGGCGGATGCCGTGGAGGGCGCAGGCGGAGATGGAGACGCCAAAGACGACCGCGTCGACTACACCAGCGACGAACCGCCCCCTTTTCGCAACACTGGCCACCGCCAGTTTGACCTCTTCACCTGGGAACGCGACCAGCGGCGCTTCGAGCAGGCTCACCGCAAGCAGTGGCCTGACCCTACCCGGCCGCCCGGGCGGCTGCTGGTTTTGCCAACGCTGGGCGCCCACATCCCAGGAATCGAGGACTGGCTGCAGTGGGAAGTGCGGTACCGCAAGGTCGACCGGGGCGTGCTGGACAGCGTCCAAGTTGCCGCCATGGAGCGGATGTATTCCTAAACGACGGAGACGGGGCTGTGCCGCATATGTCTTCCTTTTCAACGTGACCACGAATCAAATGTACAGTAGTATCATGACCGAACCGCAGCTTGAAAATGGATCAAATTTGTGGAGGTTGTTAAATAACAATTAAAACAATATTTTTTTTTAAAAAAAAAAATGAAGTGCACGACATATTTCTTCAGAGTTTTAAGGCTTTTTGCGTTGTCATCAAATCGACAGCCTCTCATAGCACGTGGTGGGTCAACGGCAACAGACGATTGGCTAATGCCCAGATTTGGCAAGTAAGGAACACGGGGAGGATTTAGTGTGCTGCATTGGGTCTCGTAGCGCTACAGCCTTGCGCTGTCGCGCATCGACACCCATTGTCAACATCAATTTCAACACCCATCGTTTCTCATGTCGCCTTGCGCGCTCTTCATCCACATATCTTGTCACCATGCGGCTTAGTGCATCATCAGTATACCTATATGACCTCGCTGATGTGAATCTCCACGTTATTTGACGGTGTCGACATGATTGCCGCTCTCCGCAGTTGACTGTTGATCTCTCTTATTGCCTCGCGTCATTGATTCCTCCACTTCAACCGTCACTCCTCTCATGGCCGACACTGCTGTGGGCCGTTGGGCGGTGCGCATCGTCGTCGGTATGGGCATCTATCTGGCCGTCCACTCGCTGGTGATTGCGCTTGTGACGACCACCGCGGCCGGTAGCATGCGCCCCTGGTCGCTCTCCCTCGACCTTTCGTTTCTGGACAGCGAGCGCAGTGCCGCCGATGGCGTCCACAACTTTGGCGCGTCGCAGGTGCCCGAGACACCGCCGCCGGGCAGCCCCTGGTATGCGCCGCGGGTGTCCGACCTGAACAACCTGACTGTGGCGCTGTCGTCCTCCACGACGGGCATCTACGGCTTCTACTTCAACGGCTCGACGACGCCCGACGGAGCCTATGGCACCTACAACTGGTGCAACATGCCACACGTGCGCGCTGCGGAGTATGTCGTTCCGTCGGCGGACCAGAAACGCACGCTCGTGTACGTCGAGCTCGTTCATCGCCACCACAAGCGCACTCCGTATGCGTCCAATGGCTTCCCGCACGAGCCCTACCAATGGGAGTGCGACGACGCGCGCATCCACCTCTACAGCGACCCCGTCCATAGCCGCGACAAGCGGCCCGGCGTCGTATACTACGTGCCCACCTTTGAGGCGCCCAGCAACCCGTTCCTCGCCGCCGCTCCGGCCTGGCACGGCTCCTGCCAGTTCCCACAGCTGACGTCGGGCGGCCTGGAGGATGCCTGGCTCCATGGGGCTGACCTGTACGGCGTCTACCACGACCTGCTGGGCTTCTTGCCGGCCATGAACGACGCCGCTGCCTGGAGCGAGCAGGTCGCCGTCCGCGTCACCAACAACCCCATCACCAGCCAGACCGTCGCCATGGTCCTCGGCGGCATGGCCGCTGCGGCTGGCGGCCTTCCCGTGCCGGACACGCCGTTGTCCGTGGAGGCCGTCGGCTTTGACAGCTTGGAGCCCCAGTACACCTGCCCGGCCGCTGCCGAGCTGTTCAGCGCCATCACGTCCGAGAGCGCCCAAGGTGGCTCCCCCGCCTGGGCCGACCACCTCGAGCGGCTGCAGCCCCTGTTTGCTAAGCTCGACGCTGCTTCGGGCATCGACCCGGCCGATCCGCGCGGGTTCCACACCAGCGTCGACCACTATTTCGACAACCTGTCGGCGCGCCAGTGTCACGGCAAACCGCCCGTCGAGGGCATCCCGCAGGACGTGGCCGACACCGTGTTCCGCGTGGGCCAGTGGGAGTACAGCCGCATGTACCGGGACGACGCGCGGTCGCTGGCGGCGAGTGCGGGTGCCTGGGGCGTGTGGGTGGCGCAGCTGGCGAGACATTTGCGGGCGGCGGCGACACCATCACCGGACTCGGAACACGGAAAAGACCGGGTGCGATACCGGCACAATGTGGCGCACGACGGCAGCGTGAGCCGGCTGCTGTCCATCCTGCAGGCGGACGAGATGGTGTGGCCAGGTATGGGTAGTGAGGTTGTCGTGGAGCTGTGGAAGAAGGAGACGGAGACCACGCACGAGGGTTCGTCGTCCTCTTATGACGTCCGCGTCCTGTTTGGTGGAAAGGTGCTGCGCTCGTCGCATCCAGAGCTGGGCCTGCTCGATATGGTCCCGTTGGACGCGCTGCTGACGTACATTGACGGGCTAGTGGGCAGCAACGCGTCGTTGCTGCCCGCCAAGTGCAATGGGACGAGTCCTTTGTAACATTTTGGCAATGCGTCATGGTTTGCATCTTCGCACCTAATATATCCCCTATTTTTTTTCTTTTTTTCACGTAAGTGGTACCTCCTTTTAAAGCGTTGAAGGTGTTGAGCCCAACGCGGTGAAGTATTCTATCGACCTTTGTACCTTGACGACGAATATTGTAGGATTTATATTACATCTTAAAAGGATTGGACAGTGTATCCCTACCTTTACATTTCTTTCTTTTCTTGATACATGAATTCAAACAAGAGTATTTAGCTATGTTTTGGCCTGGATCAGCCGCCGTTAAGTTGTCCATTTTCCGCTTGGTTTCCTCTGGTAGAGAGACCTGGACCGAGAGACCGAAGTCGAGTCAATCGCCGTGATCAATGAGTGCCTGATCCAACTAGCCGTATGCCACTAAACACACGGCTTCTGCCGGCTCATGAGGCCCTACGACGACGCCGCGGCGAATTTCGAGACGCAAGTAGCAGGAGAAGCAAGTAGTAAATAAAACGAAACCGTTTTGATAACCATTGACCGAATGCTATAACTATGAAATAGGCAGTCTAAATTGCATGGTAAATAGTGGGAGGAAAGGCGGCCGAGTGGACAAAAGAACAAAAATAGCAGAACAACTCCCATTTTATACAACGTGCTCTTTATCCCCTCACCCCCTATTGCCTCCGCTTAAAGTGGCCTTGGCCGCCGCCCTGTTGCCGCGGCTGGCTGCCGTACGCCCGCCGGCCACCGCTGTTGCCCGCGCCGTTGGCCTTGTTCTTGCCCATGCTGGCCGCCAGCGTCAGATCGACACGCGGCGGCGTCGCAAAGCCAAAGCTCTTGGCCACGGCCACCAGGTCCAGCTTCAGCACGTCAAACACAGAGCGCAGACTGTGGCTGGCGTACGCGTGCAGGTAGGCGCGGAAACCGTCCTTGGCCGACTGGTGCAGATAGTAATTTTGTGCCAGCAGCTTCTCGAGCTGCGCCTGCACGTTGCGCACCTTGTTGGTGGGGAACTCGTACTCGACGACGGGCACGCGCGCCTCGCGCAGGTACGCCAGGAAGCCGACCTCGCTCGGCAGCAAGAACAGCAGCGACTTGCCGCGGCCCTGCTTGCCACGCGCCGTGCGGCCCACGCGGTGCACGTAGGCGCGGCCGTCGTCCGGCGGGTCGAACTGCACGATCCAGTCGACGGCGGGGATGTCGAGGCCGCGCGCCGCCACGTCGGTGCACAGCAGAATGCCGTGCTCGGCGTTGATGAACTCGAAAAAGGTCGCCGTGCGCTTGGCCTGCTTCTGCTTGCCGTGCAGGTCCAGCACGCCGCCCAGGTCAATGTAGCGCAGCAGGTCGGCGTGGTACTTGACCGAGTTGCACGAGCTGAAAAAGACAATCACCTTCTTCTTGCCGGCCATCTTCTTGAGAAACGACCACAGCAGCAGGAACCGGTTCTGCGAGGGGCACACCACGTACCCTTGCTCGAGGCCGTCCACCGTGCTAAACTGCTGCTCCTCGTCGACGTTGAGGTACAGCGGGTTGGCGCGCAGCGACACCTTGGCGAGGTCGTCGATTTTCTGGGTCTGCGTCGCAGAGAACAGCATCGTCTGCCGCTGCTTGGGCAGGATCTGGATGATCTTGCGCAGCTCGTCCTCGAAACCGACCTCGAGAATGCGGTCGGCCTCGTCGATGATCAGCGAGCGCAGGTGCTTGTACAGGAACGGGGTGCTGGAGAGGTGGTCGAGCAGGCGGCCGGGCGTGGCCACCAGCAGGTTGACGCCCTTGCCCAGCTTCTCGGCTTCGGCGCGCTTGTTGGCGCCGCCCATCACGATGCCCGTCGTCTGTGTGTGGTGGGCCATGAGCTCCTGTGCAACGCCCCAGATTTGCAGGGCCAGCTCGCGCGTCGGCGTGACGATAATGACACCAACGCCGTTGCGCGGCTTGAACTTGAGCGAGTAGAGCATCTCGACGGCCGGGATCAGGAATGCCAGTGTCTTGCCGGAGCCCGTCTTGGCCGCGCCCAGCAGATCCTTGCCGGCCAGCAGCGGCGGCAGTGCGCGCCGCTGGATCTCGGTCATGGTCTCGAGGCCCATGTCGGCCAGGCCGCGCTTGGTCTTGTCGGAGATGGTGAGGTCGGCAAACGCCGTCGAGCCGTTTGGCGTCGTGGACGCCTCGCCGCCCACCGCTGGTAGTGTGAGGTGCCGCGTGTCGGCGTCGTCGCTGGCCGCCGGCAGTTGTGCTGGGTCGGATGTGCCGTCGTCTTCTTCTTCGTCGTCCTCGGCGTCGGAAGCCTTGGCGGCCTCTTCCACCACGTCCTCTTCAGCCTCTTCAGCCTCTTCCTGCTCCTCCTGCTCCTCCTGCTCCGCCTCCGCTTCCTCTTCCTCAGCCTTCTTTTGCTTCTTCGTCTTCTTGGCCTTCTTCCTCAATTCCCGCTCCGTCTCGACATTGTCGCTATCGTCGTCGTCATTTGCCGCGGCGGCTGCTGCTGCTGCTGCCAGCTTCGCCTTCTTCAACGCCTTGCGGTCGCTCGTCGCATCGTTGGCCGTCGCTGTCCGCTTCTCAGCCCGCTCGCTACTACCGCTCGTCTCTTTGAGCTTTCTTTTCTTGCCGACCTTGTCCGTCATGTTGGGTATGTGGTGGTGGTGGAGATGGATGTGTGGTGACCGAGAATAGAGTGCAGAGCGCTGCAAAGGCATAGAAAAATCCTCCGCAGAAAAAACAGCCTCTTCCCAGTCGACGGCAGAAAAAAAAAGTTAAGTGGGGATAGGTCGTTATCGATAAAGGCGGTCAGTTGAACTGAGAGGTGATGGTTTTGCCTCAGGCAGGAACCGTCTAACACGCGACTGTTTTAATTAGTGTGGAAAGCACGTGATTAGACTTGAACAGCACTCCAACTTAACATCAACAAGAAAGAAATTCTGCGTTCATCATGTTGTGACTTGCATGATAAAGCTGAAGTTCAAATAGGGCTTTACATATTTTGCAGTTAAACAATTTTTGATAATTAAGTACTGCAACAGTTCTTGTGTCGCCAGAACCTCTCCTTAGCGAGACTGATGACGGTTACAAGATGTGCCTGTCTAAAGGCTACCTCATGAGAAAGATGGTCAACATGCTCAATGACGGCTATCTGGCCCTGTGTCCACTCGACGTTCTCCTTTGGGTATTATCCACTTGATTTCGGTTTTATTTTCCTTTGTTCATATGTCGTCCTGTAGTTGAATTCATCATTCCATATGAGTATCCGTATCCCCGGACCTTAATGTCTAGTCATGTGCCCAAAATGTATATGAAAATTCAAAGGATAAAAAACACCTTTGCACAGTAAATCGTAAACGGCAGAGAAAAAATAAAAATAAAAATAAAGGCACCGTAAAATGTTTGTTCATAATCGTACAAAAAACAAAAAGCACTAAAACAGAAGCCCCTCTACTAGAGAGCCTCTGGAACAGGCTGCTCGTGTTTCGCCGTGGAGCCTTTACCGCGCCACGTGCTCACAGCGTCGATGCCGGCCGGGTAGCGGATCTCTTCGGTGCCGTAGGCTCGCGGCGTCAGCTTGATGAGGGTGTGCAGCGGCACGTTCATCCAGGGACTGCGCTCTTGGTCCTTCTTCATAAAGTAGGCATAAATGCAGCGGATAACAGCTTGATGCGTAATGATCAAGATGTCCTCGGAGCGTTCCAGCTCCATGATGATGGGCTCGAGGCGGATCACGACGTCGCGGTACGACTCGCCGCCGCGGTAGCGGTAGTTGTACTTGTCGGCGTCGCGAGCCTGGAAATCTTCGGGGAACTCGTCCTTGATCTGCTGGTAGGTGTAGCCGTCGCAGACGCCCGAGTCGAGCTCGTCCAACGCCTTCCACTGCAGCTGGTTGTAGTCTTTGGGGAGATGGCGGGCGGTGGCAATGGTGCGCTTGAGCGTCGACGTCCACACGGTGAGCGGACGGTCGTCGCCCACAGACTGGCGCACGAGCTCGGGCAGCTTGAGGGCGTACTGCTCGCCGCGGGGTGAGATCTCGGCGTCGCCGCCGATGCGGCCGCTCAGATTGTACATGCTTTCGCCGTGCCGTGACAGCCATACCGACCGCGGCCGAATATGGACATTTATGAGGTAGTACACAATGCGGCTCTGGAGGTAGTCGCGGATGCGGCTGATGATAACGCGGCTGCCCGTGTCCATGATTTTGAGATACGTCAGCTCGCCCTCGTCGCCGTCTTCGTCGATGGTCTTGTAGACCTTTTCGTATTTCCGGATGCGGTTGCGAAAGTCCTGGGCGGCCTCCTCTGGATCCTGGCCGACATAGTCCGGGCTGGTAGTCTTGACGTCGCGAATGTTGGCCATGATGAGATCCTCGTCGTCACATTTGCTCTCGACAAAAAGCACTTCGATGTTGTTGGCAGTGCACAATTCCAGGATCCAGCGGCGGCGCTCTTTTGTGGAGTTGGTAGCATCAAGAATGCCGACAACGCCGCCGCCGGTCTTTAGCCACTTGAGCATGTCAGCGACGGCGGCCTCGGCAGCGGCGCGGCGTAAACGCTCGCCCTCGGCATTGCCGGTGTCAAAGAAGTCGGCGGTCGGCTGAGCGGCGTCTTTCCGTCGGTAGTTGCCGACATTGAAGGTCTGTGCAGGGATGGAGAGCCACTGGAGATACCGTTGTGCTGCACAAGTCCGTAAGTATTTTATTGAGATTTACGGATCAAGAGGTTCGGCTAGTTACAAAACAACAATGGGGGTGTCTTGCATTGGGTAAGATGTGACGTACCTTTCTGAGCGATGAAGCTCTTGCCCCGGGCGGGGAGACCCACCATCACCACACAGACCTTGAGGTCCTCCACCTGGACACCATAAGAACCACCACGTGCCATGGCTGCTGCAGATGTTGTGCAGGCCGGAAAGGCGGTGGGGGAGGGAGGGAGGGAGGAATAAAGAAAGGCAAATAAAGGAAGCGAACGTCTGGAAAACCAAAGAAGCGGAAAGCAAAATAGTACAAGACTAGAGTCAGGAATCCAATTCAAGGTTGGTCGTAAAAAGAAGCCACGAAAAGATCGTGCGTCGCGCGACGGGAAAGCCAAGAGCTCCCAAGGATGTGAGGTACAGCGGCGAGTTGATTGCCGGAGATCGAGCTCGCCGGGCGAGTCGCAGTGCACAGAATGCTTCTCAGCCGATCGGTTTGCGGGTGATGTCGGGTGCAGTGGGCAAAGACTTGGACGGTTTGGACCAGTTGGCGTGCAGGGCTAGCAAAAATGGGGCCACAATCGTCAGGGTATGAAAGCAACGACAGGAGGCAGCTCGCTTGCAGATGTGCCGATGCTAAACTTGCTCGGGAGGCCACACAGTGGGCAATTGGCGAGAGGAGCAGCAGGCGGTAGCAAGCGACTCGAAAACGAATGTCGAAAGGCAAGAATAAAACCCGTGCAAGGAAAAAAGCAAAGGGAAGATACCCAAAAATGCGAGTGGATGGTTTGCGGGAAGCTCACGCGAGCTGGTTCCGTCTTGGGCGATGGGGTGAACAGGACGACAACTGGGGACGGAACGCTGCAACTGCTCCGTAGAATGTAGATTGCCGATGAGACGGGTGCGGATAGCGACTTGTTTTGTGGTTGGCGGTTTTTGGCGGTTTTTGGCGGTTTCGATAACAGCTTGGCTTTGGCGGGGGAGCTAGGGCGTAAATGGTGACGACAAAGAGATGGAAACAGGGCGAGTGAGGAAGTAAGAGAGGAGGGAATAGAAGACAGAAGAGGGAGAAAAGGAGATGTGTACGTTTTTGTTAGCGAGAGAAGATGCAAGAAAAGGAAGGTAGGTTAAATGAAAACCAGAAGGCGTCGAAGAGAAAGCTCCGGAGGAAACCGCGAATGACTTTGCGTAGACGTCAAACTGCTCTAGGGCGGTGTGTCTCAGCCGGTCCCTGAACGAAGTGGCAGAAGGGAAGGGGCGATGGCAGTGACGAGGGACACAAGGACGTGGAGGCAGCGAGCAGAGCAGACGATGGACGGCGGAGCACGAGAATGAAGATGGAAGGAGTTGATGATGGGAAATCAAGATGTAGAGAAAGAAGCAAAAGGCAGAAAGACCACCGCCAAAGAAGAGTAAATAGGACGGGCGCCCAGCAGCCGTCAACCGAACGACAGGGCCAACTAGCCGACTCTAGCTATACGCACGATCACGCATCAAGGCAAGCAAAACTAGTACTTAAACAGCTGATACTAGGTAACTTATCCTAGTTCTTATGTTCACAAGCCGAGAGGCTCCAAAAGACACGCAAAGGTCTAAACGCGCCATGCATGATGGCCAGTATTGGTCGCTATTGCGAGCCGAACGGCGCTACAGCCGGGCTAGCGGCAGAAGAAACAGCGACAGAATGCGGGGCGGCATGAACGAACAGCGGAAAAGGGACTTCTGGAGACGGCTACCCCAGCGGACCAACCCACTGGCGACCTCGCACAGGGTCCAGTAACGGCGTCTGGCAAAGCCTTTCAATACCCAAGTGACCAATACGCCGAGGATAATTCGTACTCAGTGACCGAATGACCAGAAAAGAAGGTCAACGGCCCCCACACGCTGGAAAATGGGGACCGAAGGGTGGAGTGGGTTTGCACGGGGGACTGGCCAGGGCTTTGTCTGTGACGGACGGGTTAATACGACGAAGGACAAATAAAAGGCAGAGCGGCTAGAGACGTGCGCCATATGAGATATTCTTGTTTCCTGTTTCACTTGTCGCTGCCCGCCATGTCATTATCGTGATCGCGATGCCTTTGGCGAATTGATGCATCTCGCTCTTTTCTCATGTTTTACTCGCTTCTCTATCCGAACACTGTGGATACTCACGGCTTTTACTCCCACGCTCTCTATTTGATGTTATAACCCACGTCCACCAGGTACATATTTCGCCCGTGAGCGTTAGGGCAGAATGCAGGAGAGATATGTAGCATGTCATATGCAGGGGGGAATCAGGTGACGAGAAAAATAAGACTACTATGCATCCATACCAAAAGACACCGGCGAGTTGGCCGTGTGAAAGTAAGATTATGTAAACAATAGCCCGATGTGATAATGCGATAGGTACTGACCATTGTGGGGAGAACACGAAATACACCGAGGACGTCCTTTCAGGCCGCCCACATGATTTTAAAAACGTGTCAGATCAAGGCAGCCTTTTCTGTCTCAAGGTCTGGCTAGTCCTTAATCACGATAATGGCAAACGCTAGCAACTTCCACAAGTGACATTTTGGATTCCAGAAAATTGAAGGACTGGACGATATGTCAGACAATCTTGTGCGGCTGAGCCCAATCCTTTCGACGAAGCGCTCTGGAATGGTCCTAAAGCCGCTGCGGGTTTGTGATACGGCGTGGGGGGCAGACAAGCGGTGACGAGATCCCCTGTCCAGTATGACCGGCAATTCAGCCTGCGAGACTGGAAGCAAAGTCAAAACGGAGCAAGCCTGAGCAAGACATATAGACGTACAACATATAAAGAGGAGGTAATGCGGAAAGGTTACGCCCATAATATAAGACAGGTGTGCGTCAAAGCTATCACGGAAATATGACCTCGTCTGCCACTCTGTTCCTGATCTACTCCGTACAATGATCGCCCCTTCGACATTTCTATCGGCGAACGAGGTAAGGTGAATCAATCGAAGCCTCAGTTTCTCAAACAACTGCTAGTGGAAATTAGATGATAGCTACGTGAACGACAAATAGGTGAAAGCTTCCAAGAACCGGCCCGTCAGATATGGCACCATTTTGTCGCAACGTCCGATCGGCGTGTCCGGTGTCTTAGATTTTCGCCGGGCTTAACAAGGCTGAAGCTATTGGGGAATGACAAGGGTGCCCGATCTGGGTTCGTCGGCTCCTTGAGACCCGACAACCGTTCTTTCTGGCGTCCAGCTTTATACATCATAGGGTCATTCATTTTCATCCTCGTTTTCGTGGGATCATTCTTTGTCTGGTTCGACAGGAGAAGTTAATAAGATGCATCCCGTTGGTGAAATGAATTGGCCGACGGCCGACCGCCAACACTCGGTATGGAACGGGATACGTCGTACATTGTTGAAGGCAAAGTTGTTTCAAAGGTCCCAACAAGTTACGGCGGCAAGATCAAATCCTGCGATTAGGGCGCGTTAAGATAACAGAGCAATTCTCACGAAGCTAAGTCTTGCCATAATGCAACCGCATTCTGTATGTAAGCAGGAAGAATGGCAGGTTTTGGCGCCCAAGAGCATCGAAGAACGAAAAAGTCAACAAAATCCTCCAGTTCAAACAGACAACCACCAAAGCGTACAAACAGCATGTGAAAACGGATCTAATCGCGGTCAACGGATTTCGGAGAATTCGTTCTAGCCACGACGCAAGGCTAAGGGAGGATTAGTCCAGTATTAAAGAAAAAGAAGAAAACGGGGGGGGGGGGGGGAGGGAGAAAGTAGGCCGGCTATTTGCCAGAAATGGGAAACCAATCAATAATACTAATCAAGAATAAACGACAGGGCACTCCCGAGGCCCCCAACAAATTGCCGAAGAACGGTCGTTGACCACCGGTGCCTACGACGTATTGGTTCGTTGAATGTTGCACCTTTCTGCCCTGCACTGTTGCAGTAACACGAGGCACAAAAACTGTCAGCCAGAAAGAATGTGAGATGTATTACATACAACTAAACGAGGCCTACAATGGACAGGTACTCCGCAATTCTCTGAAAGTCTCCGTAGAGATTATCAGAATATGCCAGATGCTACGCTTCTCAGCGCGGCCGACGTAAGCTGACGACCATCGACAACAGCTACCGTGACCTTCGCTACATGTTCACTGGCTTGATCTTCGTCACTTCCCCAGCGCTTGTCAATATATTATCAAAGAAATCGATGTCTGGACCCGAACCCTGTACAATGGTACCAAGGAGCGGCTGCGACCCGCCATTTCGCCCGTTGGCAAGGAAAGGCACAAGCCGAAAGGCACAGGGCGCAAGGCGCCCAGAAAAGAGGGTCGCCGGCTGGGCTGACAGCCAAGGCCTGGCCAAAATGCCATCATCGTGTTGCGCACTAACTTTAGCCTCCTTATGCCCCTGGCAGGAAGCAACTACATGTACAGAACCGGTCAGATTGCAGCTCCCGGTCGTGCCGTCAGCTTCAAACGGACCTGTCGACAAGGACTCCGCCGGCCATCAGATATATAATTGGGAGCCTTCCTTAGCATGTCCTCATGCTCACCTTTCCCAAGCGGATTCTTTTTCTTCCCTTTTCTTCCTTTTTTCTTTCTCTCCCCCTCCCCGCCAGGCCACCAATTGCTGTCAACAATCATCACCGTACCTCTATCACGATACACCACTCTTACGTACGCTCTCACGCACGCTCTCACGCACGCTCTCACGCACGCATCAACATGTCCGCCACCCCCGACTCCGGCGCCGAGACGACGGCACTAGTCGACCCGCTCGACTTCATGGAGAAAGTGACGCGTAGTGTCTACATCTACCGCCCGCCAACAGCCACGTCCGGCCCTCCCCCAACGTCTACGTCCGGCCCTCGCAAGGCTCCCAAGCTCGTCATCGTCACCGCCTGGATGGGTGCCCGCCCGCCGCACGTCGCCAAGTACCTTGCACCCTACCGCGACGGTGTCTTTGGCGAAGACCCCAGCGAGCGCCCAGCCATTCTCCTCGTCTTCTGCCACCAGGACACCACGTCGTCCTACTCCAAGGCAGAGGCCGTCGCGCAGACCGCCGTGCCCTTCATCAACGACATCCTGGGCGACTCGCTCAACACCACCCCCAAGGAGAACTCTCCCGCCGGCTCCGCCAATGCCCATCCCCAAGTGCTCGTCCACACGCTGTCCAATGGCGGCTGCCTGATTCTCGGCCAGATCTACAACGCCATCGACCCGGACCACGTCCGCTGCCTGCCGCCTCACGTCACCATTTTTGATTCGAGCCCGGGCCATTTCCGCTTCGCCGGCGCGGCCACTGCCTTCACGACCGGCCTCAGCCGCGCGCCCCTGGCCAAGCGGCTCGTCATGTACCCGGCCATTTACCTGCTCGTCCTCAGCATGCTCGTCCGCATTCGCATCGAACGTCTGTTTGCCTGGTTCGGCGGTGTCACCCGCTCCGCCCTGCAGACCCTCTTTGGCATACAGCCCTCCTCCAAGCCGCCCGGTCCCGAGCGCGCACTGAACCCCTGGACGCCCCACAACGTCAACACCGTTTTTGGCGGCAACCGCCGCGAGGTGCGCCGGTCGTATCTGTATTCCGACGCGGACAAGATCATTCTGTCCAAGGACGTCGAGGAGCATGCCAACGAAGCCACGGGCCTCGGCTTCACGGTTGACCAGATGGCCAAATTCCCCAACAGCGGTCATGTGTCACACGCGCGCAGTGACCCGGAGCGGTACTGGCGGATCATCAAAGACACGTGGCTGGCCCGGCAATAGTAGCGGCCTACTGGGGTGGGCTGGAAACAGAGACAGAGCGAGCTTTCGCAGGCTGTAATCGTTAATGGTTGGTGTTACTTTCTTAGATTGGTGTTTTAGCTTAGTTTGGCATTTTGTTATTGGATATCTTTGAAATTGGTTGGGATACCTTGTTTACACCCCTTTACGTTCCGCCCACTACACCTAGACTTTACTATTCATGATACAGTTATCACGACATCCTGTTTCTCAGCTGTCGTCACCTTATATGGATGGCAGCCGCTTTTTGACTGCTTAGCAAGAGATGTCCAGCAACTGTATAAGTAGATGAGCTGATAGCAACAGATAAAGAGGATGAGTCTTTTTAAACAGAAAGACTACCTGCAATGTATTGGACAACCAATTATCCAGCACATCTCTGGCTTTTAATAGCGTGACTCTGCAACGGCGAAATGAATGTAAAATATTTATCATGCGTATAATAATTTTAAATGATATTATTTTCTACAAAAACAAATCACCAAAATATAAAAAAAAAGTCAAAGAACTAATAATACAAAATACAGTAAAGCCTCAATACAACTTACATTCAAGATAATTTGCAGAGTATGATCTTGTCGAGATGTGAGTTTCTAAGAATGGTCACGTGACGACGTCTCACTCGTCTCCCAACCCCTGTGTCTCGAGCGAGTAATAGCGCGGCTGCATTAAGAAAAGAGGGGACAAGGCACTCTGTAATCTACACCACTACGACGTAGGCCTAGATCCCCATGGCTCTTGTCTCGCATTCGCAATCATCCGTCATCAGAAATCGCTAATCGACATCACGTTTGGCGCCTGCGTTTGCCATTCCGCATCCCCTATTGCGTTGCGATTCTCGATTTTGCATTTTTCGACGTCGATTTTGATTTCCATCACCCGTCGTTGTGATCGGTTCACGCGACACAACGTTCCACTCTCCACATCGATTCTCGTTGTCTCGTCTCGTCGAACGGCCCTTCACAATGTCGAACCCGAACGCGCTGTATCTCCTTGCCGACCACATCAAGCTATCACTTCTGGAGCGCCAGCGATCCAAAGCGCTGAACCTTTTGCAAGCCGATGCAGACGATGCTGCCGCCACGGGCGACTCGTCAGCCGGCGCATCCGAGCGCGACGCCCAGGACGGCCACATTGCGCGGTCACTCGACCAGCTCGAGGAGGGCATCGCCAGCCTGAAGACCGAACAGGCCCGATTGGAGAGTCAAGGAGAGGAAGGGTAAGCGCTCCCTATGTCTAGACATTGGATGTACAACTGTCCGTGCTCACGCGACTGCACCCCTTCACAGGAAAGCACTCAATATCGGCGATGCACTGCCCGGCCTCCAGAAGAAACTCACTGAGCTGACGGCCCAGTTCAACGGCACCGCACCCGTCTCGGCGGCCGGCACGTCGTCCTCGATCAAACCGAAACGCGGCGGCGGCGCCTCCTCCGGAAACACCAACAAGGCCGTCCGCTTCAAGGACAAGCCGCTTCCACCACCTGGCACCGACGGCGACGATGTCGACCTCGAAGCCCAGCGCAACAGCCTGTTCAACCGGCCCTACACAGACGACCCGGATGTCGATGGCAGCCTAGGCGGCGGCTCCCCGTCACTGGAGGGCCGGTACGACGACCAGGACAATGTGCAGCTGCACCAGATGCACTCGAGCATCATTGCCGACCAGGACGCGCAGCTGGACGCGCTGGGCGTGAGCATTGGGCGGCAGCGGGAGCTGAGCATGATGATTGGCGACGAGCTGGACAGCCACGTGGCGATGCTGGAGGAGGGCGAGCGGTTGACGGACCAGCACCAGACGCGGATTGACCGGGCACGGCGGCAGGTCGGCAAGATTGCGCGGTCAGCTGGCGATTGCAAGCAGATGGTGGCGATTGTGGTGCTGATCATCATCCTGATCCTGCTGATTGCCATTCTAAAGTGAGACGTCGCAAAACAGAAACGCTCTCTGTCTGCTTCCCCCTCACCCTGTTCTTGCCCTGGTCCTGGTCTCTGCCCTTTTCCCTTGCTATTTCCTGCTTGTCTCTGTTTAATTATCGACTTTGAGCGGTCGGCATAGTTTCGGCGTTCGAGGATTGTGTTACTGTGCTTTTTTTGTTGTCATTTTCCGTTTCGTCTCCATTTTCTTTTGTATACCGCCTGGGCTGCATGCTTCAAGTTCATTGTAGATACATGTGCTTTTCAGCTGTTGATTGTTTTGTTTAAATTTCATGTCGTTTCTTTTTCACCCACTTATTTGTGACTTCTTTGGATCAGTAATAGTAGATGTTCTTGCGCTATTGTTTTCCGTACACCTATTGTATGCATGCTCGCTGCCCCTTTTTGTACCTCATACTCTATTCGAAAACTATAATGTGCATTGGAAGTATTTGTGGGTTCTAGGACAAAGGTGAGATTTGACGTATGCCGTATATGCCTCCCTTAAGCCTCTACAGAAGCTGTGGTGTTATTTTCACCCCCCAAAGAACACCATCCTGTCATCACTAACATGGCCATAAACCAGGGGAAAACACAAAGAAAAAGAAGACACTGCGTACGAAAAAGAGGACACGGAAGGGAAAATAAACTGGATGACAAACGAGAATGAAACCGAAGAATCGAAGTAAGAAGAATATCCCGCAATGATGAACGAAATGAGAATGAATAAAGCTGCAAGTCGCAAACATCGATGATCTTGTATCTCACGATATCCCACACCGACGCACTGCCATCCCGACACAGAGGGCCGAGTCCTGGCTTGAGCACAAATCCGAAACGAAATCCCGCAAGTGAAACGGAAAGATGCCCGCAAAAATAAGAACAGCCGAAAATATTGTCGGGCGAGGCCAAAAGATTGGAGGAATAAGAAAGACGCCAGACCCGGATGAGATGATAAAAGAAGTGCTGCGCAGGAACGGCTCAGCGAATGATGTCTCCTTCTTTCTGAATGCCTTCCAAATCCTCTAAGATATCGCTGCCGCCGAGCATGCCAACGCCGCCAATGATGGGTTTGCCATCGTCGGGCCACAGCTCGTAAAACTTGATGCTCTCATCGCTGGACGCAACGGCAATGCAGCCTTCTTTCATTTTCTTATTCTTAATGACTGACTGCTGTGAACCCCAGCGGCGGCCTTGTGAACACGAGATGCCGTACAGGGCGCGATGCTTACCCTCCCATGTAATAGCAGCCACCTGTTTGCACTCTGGCCAGGAGTAGACGGCGATGCGGATATCGTGGCCGGGATGGGCGAAGCCGAACGTGACTGCGATTTCTCGCCGCGTGGTGCTCCAGATGAGACTGGTCACCTGCGACGAAACAAAAATGGTGGCGAGGGGGGTGCCGGACGTCGTATGGAAGAAGTGGACGCAACGGTCGTTGGATCCTCCGCCGGTGGCCACAAGTCCCTCCTGCCAAGGACAAAAGGCGATCGCCTTGACAGCCGCACCATGCTCCCAGCGCCAAACTTCTGTACGCCCAGGGCCGCGGCGCTCATATTCCTTGTTATTGGCCCGCTCTCGAACTTCGCTACCATTTGAAAGCTGGACAGTGAGACGACTGTCGGCAATGCCCGAGTAGCGCGATTTGAAGGGGTGGTTATTGGACACCCCTTCATGTCTGCCTTTGTGATAGGATGGGGGCAGGACATTGTTGACATAGAAGAAGCAGCAGTTGTTGTCGTTGCCTCCTGTCGCGAAGGATTCTCCGTCGGGGGCCCAGGCAAGGCCGCACACTTGCTGGTCATGGACATTGATGCGAGAGACAAGTGTGATATCGCCTTGCCAATTGTCCTCGTCGACTTGAGACGTATCCGGCCACTCAATGACGTAGTAAAGGACGATGCCAGCATCTGTGCCGACTAGCAGATCCTCTGTGCTGACGAGAGCATTTTCCTTGTTGGGATTCTGAGACGGCCGCATGGTGCAGGTTGGCCGCCAGCTCAAGCAGGAGATTGCGGATGTCTCTTGCACTAGCATGCGTGTGTTGTTTGCCTCCGATATGGCCATGAGCCCGAACGTGCCGTTGGAGCGGCCAAACGCAAGGATGCTTTTGCCTCCCTCCACCGACGAGAAAGCCAAGGAGGTAAGCCACACGCGCTTGCTGTCACTGCCATTCAAATGAGCAGCACCGCCGACTTCAGACCATGTGTAGAGTAAATCGGCAAGTCCAACAGCAACAGTGTCAGTGGTTGGCGAGTATGCGAGCAGGGAGCAGTAGAAGTCGTCTCGGAACTTGGGCGCAGATAAGATGCTAGAAGTATATCAATTAACGGCCATTCTACGTAGGGCAGGGACAGGTAATGTTCTAGCAGATGGTCGACTTACCGTATTGGACTCCTGTCCCAGGCTGTTTTCTCAGGGACCTTGGCAGGTTCTATTTAGGTAAGTTAGAATGGTGTCGACTAACTGTAGGGACAACAGAACGTTAAAAAAGGGCTTTACTAACTCTTCTCGAGGCTATCATTGACCCAGATAGTACCGTTCCATGACGTTTTCTGAGACTTGGGAAGCAGCTTCCGCTTTGTGGTGGGAACGATGAGGTTGTCGTGGGACTGCAGTTTGAAGACGCCCTTATCGACATTGCACTGCATAAGTCGTGACGCACGGTCAAAATCCAAAGCGGCAGCGAGGCGACTGGGGTGTTTGTCACAGTAAGAGGCGCTATAGCGGGGTGCCTCCTCTGTGAATGATGACGTGATGAACGGTACAGAGCTGGTGCCGCTTTGTGTCAGGGTGCCATTGCCGTTGTCGATGGCACCGGTAGTAGGTGGTATGGTACTAATAGACCAGACTGAGCCACGGGTGAGACGCCGCCGGAACTCCATGCCGGGGTCGTCACCCATATTCCCGGTATCTAGAGTGGTCCCAGCTCTTGTTTGGGTTGGCTGGCCGGCCACATGGAGGAAGTTTTGGCGTTCATCTGCAAATGTCGGGATAGGATTTGGATGGGTCTGCGTGGCGTAGAAGGCATCCGCCGAGATCATACCACGGCGAAGGATCTTTTCGACAGGGTTGAGGTCAGTTGAGGCCTTGGTCATCCGAAACTTCTCGCCGATGGGAAAAGCAGCACATTCTGAGTCGCGAGGGTGCACAAAACGGTCGGGAGCGCGGACGGAGCTTGCAGCCGGGCCGGATGCCAGGTACGATGACCGAGATTCAGAACTGGGGCGAGGTGTCGTTCTGGGAATTGTCTTTGAATAGAACGTAGAAGGAAGACTACCGCGTGCTATATGCGGCTGACGGACACTGCTTGCCTTGGTACTGTTGGCTCTGACGCTGCACGGCCTTGCGCTGCTTGCGCTGGCCTTGAGGCTGATGCTGGCTTGGCTGAGAAGCGTTTGGTGCGGTGCGAGAAACGCCGAGCGGGGACACTCGTCAGATTCGTCTCTGATTAGTTTCTCCAGCAGATCTCCGGTGGTTCTATCAAGAGTGTAGGAACCGCCAAAGTCGAAAGTTTCACTGGGTGTAGACAGCTTGTTAGGAGTTCTCGACTGTGACACGTAGCCCGAATCGAGAGGCGATGGCCCAGGAGTCGACGGCTGCGACGCTACAAGCATATCTGGCGTCTTGGAACGAATGGGCAGGGACGTCAAGGAGGTCGTGAAAGCGCTGGGAATGTCCATTGTTGCGATTGTACAGTGTTCCGTCCATGAGTTCTTGGTCGGCGTGCCTTGGCAGGAACAGTTTGATGGGGAACGACGACAGGAAAAAGGAAAACGAAGCTGATACCGGAACGATGGCGAGCCAGATGCCGCGAGAAGCGTTACCGGCGCGATTCCTCTCAGGAGGAACGGGAACGAAAATAAAAGCCAAGGAAGGAATTTGGTGTAGATCGATAGCGAAAGATAAAAGGTAAAGAATAATTGACGATCGGCAGACGGGCCAGCGTGCCAACAAAAAGGGAAGAAAGGAAGTAATAAAAAGGAATAAACCAAACCACGGGAAGCTCTCAATGCATTCTTGCGTGCATCGAAGACGAAGAATGATCGTGGCGGATGGCGCCTTGATGGAAGTCAAGACGTAAGATACTGAACAATAAGAGTGATTTGTCTCAACGATGCCTTGCTGGCCACCAAGTTGTTGAGGTGGTCGACGTTCGGCCCTGTAATGATATATTGTGCCGCGGGCAGTGGATTCCCACGAAGGGATTCAAAAACAATGGCGGATGAGGGAGACGAGGTTCTAGGTGACGAAGGATAGCAGATACCGAATAGGGATGCAGAAGAGGGAAAGGGGAGGGCTGGGGAAGACGAGCCGGAAGGTAGCTAATTGTTGAGTGGTCAACAATGGAAAGATGTCAAAGGTACGTGGAGAAGGTGCGCCTCGTAAGAGCGTAGCGTGTCTTCCACGTAGTTCTTTCCAACAACCTCGTCAAGAAACATCAATGGGAAGGAGCTTGGCAAGTTAAGACGGAAGGCGCCGCCGAGCTGGCAAGATTGCCGGAGGTAAGAGCATTATCATTTGGGCTGTCGAATCATGTGTAGGCCTTCATTATAAAGGACTGCAATATTATTTGAAAAGAACCAATGTAAAGTGAATTTTTATATATTTTCTTCTTAAACGATTGTCTATCTTTTCTCGTCTGGAACTGTAGTTACCAACTGAGCCCAGGCGCCGTGGGACGCTACCAAGCTGTCAATGGCAGCATAAAGGATTAATAGTCCAAGCTAGAGGCTACGAGGAGATAACTGTCTTGGTAGAGTTAAGATGAATTGAAAGGAAAAAAATCAAGCAAACTACCAAAAAGTGAGAAGAAGTTGAGAGCAGAGTGAAGTTGATCTTTGACGTTGACTTACACAGAACGTGCTGCACGTGCTGCACGTGCTGCTTACGGAGCAGCTCAATTCCCCACTTTTCGTCTGAGCACCAGTGACGCAACGGTAGGTTTTTGAAATCGCTCCGTGTTCCGGTCGCTGCTGCCTCATTCGGTGGGGTCGATCAAAGGACACCGCTCGCAGGTTTTGGCTTTGAGGCAGGAGCAAGGGTAATCCAAACACCAGTACGGAGTACATTTGACGTTTTCACGACATCCCGTAACGAGGCCCACCATGTCGAGTGTATGTTTACCGACGTTATGTTCGGGCACTATCTATGCGCTTCCTCCTGATTCTCGTTACTGACTCGAGTTGCAGCACGGCGTTCCCCGCGGGCCCCGGACACGAACGGACGAGCAGAAGCGACTCGACTCGGAAAAAATCCAAAAATACCGCGAACTGGAAGAACAGATACAATCAAGTGTATGCATAGCACAAGCATGGAAATGAGTGAGCGATGATGTATTTGACATGCGACCGCTGACACGCCACCAGCCCACCTACGACGCGACCGTCTTCCAAAACACCACGAAGCTTCTCCGACTGAACCCCGAATACTACACCGTATGGAACGTCCGCAGGCGCTGCCTAACTTCCTCCTTGTTGTCCAAACGGCCGCCTGGGTTACCGTCCTCGGGTGCGTCTTCGAGTACGTCTCCGACCGGAACCTCGACGTTGCCGTCCGCCGCGCCGTCAGGTTCTTCCTCGGCCGCGATCCCATCGAGCAGCCCGTCAACGCAGACGGACTTGTCAACGCCCTCACCTGATAAAGGGGTCAAGGGCGAAGACGAAACACACAGCAAGAGAGACCAAGATCTAGAGGCACAAAGAAAGAACGACACTGACGTCCTGGTATCTGAGCTGCACTTTACTATCCCGCTGCTGCTCGAGTTTCCCAAGTGCTACTGGATCTGGAGCTACCGCTTGTGGGTCCTCGAGCAGGCCGTGGCAAGGCTCGATGTGGCTCGCGCGCGGCGCATTTGGGAGGAGGAGTTGGCACTGGACTCAAAGATGCTGACCAAGGACCGTCGCAACTTCCACGCGTGGGGCTACCGGCGGCAAGTCATTGAGCGGCTAGAGAGCAAGGAACTGAGCCTCGACGGTGGCGCGACGACAACGAGCCTGGTCGAGCCCGAGTTTGCATACACCACCAAGATGATCCACCAAGACCTGTCAAACTTCTCGGCGTGGCACAACCGCAGCAAACTCATCCCTCGATTGCTTGCAGAGCGCAATGCCGACGATGCGGCGCGTAAGGCGTTTTTAGAAGAGGGTAAGCTGGGGCTAGTTTGCTTTGCTGCCCCTATTCGTCCCGCTTTGCTGACACATCCTGTAGAACTCGGCATCATTCGTGAAGCACTGAACGTAGGCCCAGAAGACCAGTCTCTCTGGTTCTACCACCAGTTTCTCATGCTCGATCTCACGGAATACGTTGGGCGGCCGACGATCGTGCCGGACCTGTCTCTCGAAGAGCGCATGGCATACATTGCGCGCGAACTCGACGACATCCGCGACCTGCTCTCCGACTACGACGACGTAAAGTGGATCTACGAAGCGCTGTTTGAATACACGTTGGCTGTCGCGAAGATGGAGGAGCGGCCACTGGCCGAGAACGAGCGGAGAGATGTCGAAGCGTGGCTGGCGCAACTACGGAAGCTGGATCCGAAGCGTAGCGGGCGGTGGGATGACCTCGACATGGAACACATTCGCGGGCGGCAGCCACGTTTTGCACAAGAGTCAAATTAGCCGTTGTGCTTCCATGGCCTCTTCACGGTATGCATGAATTGTGACGAAAGCTGTTTTGAACTACATTAGGAGCAAAATGCAAAGCTGAACGATAAGCACAAGATTCGCTTTCAAGAGCGTGGCAAAAGACACAGGCAGGTTTGAATAACAGAACACAAGCTTTCAACAAATACCATGCCTCCCAAAGTACAGTTGATTGAAACGGCGTTCTCACATGCTCCATCTTGCCTCACGCCGCCTTGCACTCGGACAGTACATATTTAGTAATGCAAAGAAAATTCAAAGGCGGTCCCTCAAATAGAATAAAACAGAATACAGATCCCTAATGGTGGTATCATAATAACAACATGCCCATTTTTTTTGGTCCTTTCCGGTGATAGAATACCATAATGACAAAACAGAGCATCAAATTACCTCCTCCAAAACCTTCCACATGTTGACAACAAGCTGCATCGCCTCACAATTACTGTGATGAATCGATTCGTAAAATGTCGTACGGCAATAAGGTGCATGCCAGTGTCTACTGGCCAGGTGCTGGAGGGGGCGCGCCGCCGCCGCCCTGCTGCTGCTGAGCCAGTGCCTGGTACCAGAGCGCAACGTATGCTGCATAGCCGCCGTATGCTGCGTACGGGTCTGCATTCGGGTCGTCGCTGGTGGGCTGGCCGCCAGGGCCACCTGGACCGCCACGGCCAGGACCCCCATCACCACCGCCGCGTCCACCACCACCATAGCCGCCCTGGTTGTCGTAGTCCCGCTGTTGACGGTAGCCGCCGCCATCACCACCTTCGCGGCCACGGCCTCGACCGCCGCCAGGACCGCCGTATCCACCGCCACTGTTCTTTTGGCGCACAGCCTCGACCTTCTCCTCAATGGCAATCTTGGCGCGCTCAATGGCTTCCTGAGTACCGATGAGCCCTATCTCGCGCTCGTTCTCGTTGGCACCGGGCGTCTGCGACACATTGATCTTGCAGCCGGTGCTGCTCTGCATCTCGCGGATGGTCTCGCCGCCCTTGCCAATGATCATGCCGACAGCCTCTGCGGGGACAAACATAGAGTCGTTGATACGGTCACCACCGCCACCTCCTCCATAGCCACCGCCGGGACCACCGCCTGGACCACCGTAGCCGCCGCCACCACCGCCACCACCCTGCCGGAATGGAGGACCACCAGGGCCACCACCGCTAGGAGGACCACCAGGCCCACCGTTGCGGGTGTCACTGTCCACAATCTCCATGATGAGCTCCTTGGCGTGCGTCGTCTCTGCACGGCCGCCGACAAGGTTGACAGGACGCAGACCGCTGACGCTCTTAGACTCGCCGACGATGTTGATGTGGCAACCGCTCCGCTCCTGCAGATCACGAATGGTCTCGCCGCCGCGGCCAATGATCAGGCCCACGGTCCGGTCCGGAATCATGATCTGGACGAGTTCCTCGCCTTCGCCAGGCACCACCTGCTGGCCCATACGCTCGCTCTGGCCGCCACGGGGACCACCAGGACCACCAAACCGGCCGCCAGGACCAGGACCAGGACCAGCGCTGTCGTCCACCATCTTGAAGATGGCAGCCTTGGCCTCGGCGCGGTTGGGAGGCTGGCCGGAAATCTTGCACTGGCGCATCGGGTCTTCCTGATTGGCAGGGGCTAAGAACTGCACGCGGCACTGGGTCTCGCCCTCGATGCGGCGCAGGTTCTCGCCCTGGCGGCCAATGATGAGGCCGACCAGACCGGCCTGGACCTCGATGACCTCGGAATTGCTGCCCGCACCACCGCCGTCGCCACGGCCAGGTGAGCGGTCGCGCCGGCCACCGTGGGCACCGCGTGGCGAGAATGAGTCGTTGTGGCGGTCGCTGCCACGGTCGCCGTGGTGTCCGGCAGGCGAGTAGGGGTGGCTACGGCCGCCGCCGCCACCGTAGTCGCGGCGCTCGTCGCGGTAGGGATTGTGGTTCTCGCGGTAGTCGTTGCCGCCTCTCCGGGCAGGAGGTGGAGAGCGGGAGCGCGAGCTACGGTAGCGATGGCCCTCAGGAGGTCCACCCGGCGGCGGTGGTGCCGTAGCAGGAGGCGGTGCATATGTGATGGGTCTGTCGTACGAGGCAACACCGTTCTGGGCGGCGTGGGCCTTGGCACGCGCAATGGCTTCTTGGATGCTGACGTTGCCGCCACCTACGACGGCCGGCGCACTCAAGTCCAGGCTACCGCTTGTTGTCGGCTTCGGAAAGCCAGATGATGCAGAAGGCGCATAAGGACCCGTACCAGGCGCTGTGCCAGGTGGTGGAGGATACGCCTGTTGGCCTTGCGGCGGCGTATTTGAGTCGGCAGGTTTCTGGGCCGCTAGAAAAGGACACATGCACGGTCAGACAAACGAACAAATTTATGAGCTTGGCAACGACGTGAAGCGAGACAACAAGAGACAAACGGGCACAGTAGTGGATCCCGACCAAGAAACATGACAACGGGCAGCAAACAGTCCCGCAACATGCAACAAAAGCACCATGCGAGGACCCGTCATACGGAAATTATCCAAAGGCATCAGTGTGGTCAAATGCATGGTCCTTTCAAGTCATTTCACGCCATATGCCAGCGTCCCAGGAACAGGACGTGGCTGCAACAAAGAGAGCAAAGCAACATGGAGCAAAAGTGGAGGGCAAGATACAGGATATAACAATAGCAGTTTGTCGATGAAGCAGCACAAAATGAATTGTTTGTCATTGTGCCCGCCGTGTCTTGAAATGCTTGCAGAAGATCATTCACTTACCTAGAGTCGCTAGAATGGACTCGAGATTGGTCATGTCAGCCATGACGTGGTCTTTGATTTGTTCGTTGTGTTCTTCGGGATTTGCCCGTCGTTTTTGCAGGGAGGTCAATAGTCCTATTTGGCTCGCGTGGATGTAGCACCAAGTCACTCGCGGTCCCAGTAGCAGCAATCGCAGCAATCACGCTTTAAAGATACAGCACAAAAGATGCGGGTCGATGGTGTAGATGCTGTTTGTTGCCCAGCAGTCCTTCGGCTTGCAATATTATCAAATCAAGAGCCGATAACAATAACAATAGCAATGATTCGAGGCTGGGGTTGTTTGCAGGTTTCTCACGCGCAGATGCCGTCGAGATGGCGTTGTGGGTCGGGTATCATGTACGTCGAGCACGAGACAGGCGGAGAGTCCTTGTTTTGGTCGCTTGTTGCCGTTGATATCCCGCAGTTACAAGAGCTTTATCTCGACAAGTGCACGTTCAAGCAGCAGGCAAATCAGCAGCAGAGAAGAAACAGAGTCAGATATTGTCTTTCAGCGAGGGCCACACGTCAATAGCAGACTACTTGAAGTGGGGAGGGGTAAAAGCACACGAGGTACAATAGAGTTGGCGAGTAAAGAATAGAGAATAGGAAACAATAAAAGGGATGTCGTCGCGATGGGGACAGAAAGGAGAGACCTCAAAACAACTACCAAGCTGAAGTGTCAGGGTTCAAAAACAAGCAGAGAGCATAGTACAAAGACTGGAGGAGGAAGAGAAATGAGGGGGAAAGATCTCGTGGCAGAAAATGGAAAATGAAAACCTGTCGAAGTGGATGGCGCGTCGCAAAAAGGCTGGGGTCAAAAGGGGAGATGGGCGGCGAAAGAAATTAAAATCTCATTTGCCGCCAGTCGCAGGAACGTCACAGACGGAGAAGGCTAAGCGGTTTAGGTTTTTCCGTGTCCGAATAAAACATCACGTGAATATTTGCATAATGTCACGTGTGATGCTAGACCTCCACTACCACAAACTGAAGCTTCGTGATGTTCCAAGGCAGAAAGAGAAGCAAGAACAATCGAGGATTGCTGGGTCGGCCTAGCTAAAACAAAATTGAGCTGAAGCTGAGAGGTCTATGGCTTATCCCATGAATACCGGAACTAAACCATTCGTCCACACACGGCTCAATGGAGCCTACCGAAGATGTCATGCGAAGCGCTCATGAACTGCCATCAAAGTTGCCCGACGTGGATCTTACGCCATACACAGACCAGCTTCTCCAGTGGTTTCAGTCTGAGCACCAGGGCCAAATTCACAAATTGGTAGATGTACGCAACACTGCTGACTCTGGGCTGTCGTTTCAGGTGCGGAGAAGCAGCCCAGCAGGAGTTCAGGCTGACGAGCCCGTTGTCGTATGCCCGATATCGACATCACTCTCCTATTTGAATGCTCTCGGGGGTGGCTGTCCTTTGGGAAAGGCCTCGACACAAGATGGTGGTGCTATACGTCCTGTCTTTTCGCCAGAATTTATGCAGCAAGTACCGCCGCACGTCATCGGCCGGTTTTTTCTGATGCAGCAAGTTCTCAAGGGCCAAGACTCGGCTTGGGCCCCCTACATTGCAACACTGCCACAACCACAAAACTACAACGCCTGGGCACTGCCTGCCGTATGGCGCAAGGTTGGAGAAGAGAAGGGCAGCGATATTGCTCTAGCCTTACTTAAGGGCACCAATGCCGAAGTAGCGGCCGAAGAGATGAGGCAGCGCATCGATACTGAGTTCAGAGCGGCGTGGGCTGTCTTGCAGGACCCCAAATACACATTTGCGCTGTACCAGTGGGCGTACTGCATCTTCACGAGCCGCAGCTTCCGGCCGTCGCTGGTTCTGACCGACGAGATCAAGGCCGTCTTGACACGAGACGCCAACGGTGCAGCTCAAGATGGAAGCAGCATCGACCCACGGCATCTGGCAGCTGTGAACCACGCCAGGTTGCCAGAAGGCTGCGGCACCGACGACTTCTCCATTCTCTTCCCGGCCCTAGATATTGGGAACCACGACCCGCGCGCCAGCATTAGATGGCTGCCCGTGGTCGACGCGTCACGACAGTCGCTCAACAGCTCGACTGTGCTGACGCCGGCTCCCAGTGGCACAAATGAACATGCCATTGTATTCTACACAGGGACCGGTTATGGCCAGGGGCAGGAGGTGTTCAACAACTACGGCTCGAAGACGAACAGTGAGCTGCTTGTGGGCTATGGGTTTACCTTACCCCCGGAGGATAATATGCACAACGACTACGTCCATCTCCGAAAGCGAGGTGCGTTGGCTCGTGGTGTCTCGGACGGGGTGGCGGGACACGTGGACACCCATCCAGACTTTCTGTTGTCCCTCCGCCCCATTGCTGAACCGTCGTCCGTGGTTGGGCGTGCCCGATTACCACGAGATCAACAAGTCGACTCGATGCCAGAAAGTCGGCGCTCACCGGGATTTTCCCTTATCGAGGATGGGTTGCTATGGGACATGTTGTCTCATATGATTAAGCCCGAGGACCGTGAAACACTGCAGCGCGCTGCAGTGGCCGCGTCCCATGGCCAACAGTACCTGACGCTGCCAATGGACGACGTCAATGCCATTCTCCCACTCGCCGAACTGCGGGAAGCTATCATGGACCTGGTATTCCAGACGAAGTTTTCAGAGGACGGCAGTTCAATATTCGCCCAACACAGCCGCAACATCCATTTTGTTCTACTTCAGAAATTCGACAGCGACTTAGAAACACTGCAAGACACAGACCCTCCATCATACATCGCAGCACTCCTTGAAGACGGCGAGTACGTGGCCAAGACGCGCCAGGAACGCCTGGCCATGGAGTACCGGGAACAGTACCGCGCAGTTTTGAGCAGCGCCGTGGATGCCCTAGGCGAAGAAATGAGTAATATGATGTCACAAGAGCGCGAAGCTTAGGAAACAAAAAGAAGTTTAATGAACATACTATTGCGTAGAACAGACGAGAGGTTGCCTTGGTTAGGTAAGGCAAATATCAGCCAAGTCTGCTCAGTATGGGAGTAACATTGCAGATATTCTATGGCTATAAACAGCGTTGTTCTAAATTTATTTTACTAAAAGACCAAAAAAAGGTTGTAGAATGCTGGTGCCTCCTGCTGGATTGGAGCTATAACAGTATACGTAGTAATAGGCACGAAGAAGAATTTCGGGATAAAGTGCTGCGTCGTAGGGTGCTATATGTATGAGTGCACAGATCGCCGAAAATGGAAATGTTTTAGTTTCAATACCCCGTAAGATCGTTGCTGAGGATTCTAGATGGGGAGCAACAACCGCAGTAAATCGCGGCTAAATTTGTAGTCAATAAATACCACTTTCCAACTGCCATATACTTTTCAATCCTCACGATCCTTAATTTGAGTGATCGGGGGAAGAAATCATGCGTGATGCGTTCTTGTCCTCTCCAAGATACTCAAATGCAATGCTGGAAGAAATGTCCTGATGATTTATCAAATATCTTCCACGGACGCCCAAAACATTTTCATTTGAATCTTTAGGACTTGCTACCTACTTACGGAGAAGAAATCGAGAAGAAATCGAGAAGAAATCTCGTTGCTCTATGTGTCTTTCTCCATGGAATTTTGTACACTATGAATATGGTACCGATTTCATCACACTTGGTGATGTTGGTGTTGGCTTGTTCATGGCTCGCGTCGGCCAGTGTCCTGCCACACACTCGAGATGCGGCCGCGCACAGCATTACCAACGCACATATCTTTGCTCATACAAGTCTCGCCATTCCGGATGCATTATCTGAGAATGTCCTCACCCTCGGCAGCCACCCGAATCCAGACGTCTTCCACAGCCCGGCACGGGCACGTCTTCAAGTAAGAGAGGCCCAACGCGAATCGTCAGAAATCAGGAAGCGGTGGTGGCAGATGTGGGACCGCGACAGACCAACGACAAACACGGTGCAGTCCGGAGGTGTGGTCACCAATGCCGTCACGGGCACCATTTTCAGTGGTGTCTATCCGGTCGTCAACGTTACTTGGGGTAACAAGGCCGGCGAAGCGGCTGGCGGCCAGACCATTGTGAGTTATATAGACACAGGTAGCTCCGACACGTTTGCGGTGTCGAACCGATTTGTCTGCCAGGGTCTGCCGAGCATCAAGGCCAACACTCTTTCAGACGACGCCCTGCCCACCGGAGGGAGCATCAACAACTTGACGCAAGCGTCGTGCAATTTCGGTCCCCTGTACGACGTTGACAAAGGCAACTTTGCCAACATCACATCGCAAGAGCTGCGGGTGGCCTATTCACCCGAGAACGAAGCGCTGAACGGATCCATGGTGTTTGCGCCCATCACAGTAGGCGGGCTGACCGTCCCTCGCCAGCAAGTCGCCATTGTGGAAGAAGCCGTGTGGTTGGGCGACGGAGTGACGTCTGGCTTGCTCGGGCTGTCGTTTCCGGCAGTGACATCGGCCGTGATGCGTAGCGGTCGCGGCACCGATGCGCCCCGGTTTGTCCAATATGACCCATTCTTCACAAACTTGGCCAAGCAAGGCAAGAGCAAGCAAAATCGACAACAAAACCAACGTCAAAACAATGACACAATCGCGCCTGTGTTTACGCTGGCCATTGACCGGGTGCCACCCGGTACGCCGCACTGGAAGTCGGCTGGGGCACTTGCCCTCGGCGGACTCGTGCCGTCATCGTACTACACGGGTAACTTTACCAGTGTGCCCATCGAGACGGAATACGGCATGCTGAATAATCCAAACAGCGGTCCCTCCTTCTATGCCACGACAGTACAGCTCGTGTATGGCCCGCCGCGAACCAACATCTCTTCAGCTGCCTCAGTAGACATTGCGATCAAGTCAGACAACTTGACCACCTCACCCGTCTTTCAGACAATCGTGGACAGCGGCACGTCGCCCAACTTTGTCCCGCAAGTGGCCGCCATCCCAATCAACAGCCTTTTCGTTCCGCCGGCCAGGTTCAACGAAACGCTCAACTATTTTGTTGTCGACTGTGATGCCAAAGCGCCGTTTGTGGCATACCGGATCGGGGGAACGACGGCGAAGGGCGTGACGACGGGCGGCGTGCTCATGCCCTTGGACCCGCGCGACATGATCGTGCGGTCGCTCAACGGGCGGCCGGGCTACGAGAATGTTTGCTTCTCGTCCATCGCCAACGGGGGTGAGGTGGCTGGTAATCTGCAAGTCATCGGCGCGACCTGGCAACGAAACTATGTTGTGGCGTATGACCAAGGCCGGAACATGATTCATTTTGCAAGCAGGCGTCCATACTGAGATCAGTAAAGGATGGCGTTACGGCGTCTTCGGAGGTTTCTGTAGCGGCTTTTAGTTTTTGTAATTTGGTATATTGATTTGGAATTGATGCCGTTAACTCGAATACGGCACTCGGAAGCAATATGTGTAAGATTTGGCGACTGTGGTAACAAATCTGTACGTTGGGGAGATCCGGATTGATGCCGGCCGCTTCTAAAGGATGGAAAGGGACAGGGGTTATGCCGCACGATGAGATCACCCGCTGAGTCTGTCGCTGTCCAGGGAATCATTTAAGCCGCTGCAGAGCAGCTACCGAGAATATAATTCAAAATGACGGACAAGAAGTCAGGCCCATGGGTTGTAACAGGAACAAGATGGCTGTACACTGTTCGTGTTGCGGTACCTGGCCAAGGGTTGTTAGTTGCCAAAAAAGAGCTTATTTTTGGCAATCTGCGTGGGCCGCGATGACGACACCACCTCGGCACAAGGTCTGGGCGTCGTGAACTTGAAGCTTGTAAGGCATTGCTTGGAAGTGCGCCTCCATCAGCTGACGGGAGCTGCGCTGTTCGTATTTTGTTTTTGTCCCGGATGCGCGCAACCGAGGAGCCCCAGCCGACCCCTCGTTCCTTTCGGATCGAGATATTTTGTTGACTGGCTTTTGATATCAACCTCGTTACAACTCCTGTGCGCTGTCACTGTGCTTTTTCGAGAGTATCAGAGTATGTAACGTGTCGCCGCCAAGACCAATAACGAAAGCCACCACGCCATGTCAGCCCCCGTATTTTCAGGCCCGTATTGAGCGAACCGGGCAGAAATGCTGTGCAGACTGCCTGGCAATCCTACGCACTCCACTTTTCCACAGCCCTATGGAGGCGTTTTCGGCGTTATTGATGGAGACGCAAAAACAGCACCACATCAGCCTCGTAAAGGGACTTCCTTGTGCCCAAACTCCTCGCCCTTTCGTTGTTGGATGTCGAGTATCACTGCTGTTGGTGTTCTGGTGACATTAGCCTCGTTGGGAAGCAATAAGACTGGCGTCTTTTCGTACGATACGATCGTATGCCTCTTTCGATGGCACAATTGTTGCGAGCCGCTGTTTGATTCTGTTCCCTGATTCGACGGGCTACGAAGCTTCAACATGGAAGAGTCCTCCGTCCTGCCCACCGCACGAAAGTGGAAGGAAGTAACGGGCAAAGGTGGACAACACGATTACCAAAGACAGTGCGCGCGGGAAGACGGCTTGCCGAATTAGGCAACTGGAAGGACCTGCCTCTCTGACGTGTGCCCGAGAGCGCGACGTGTACGTACACGAGAGCAGGAAGGTACATCCAAACGAGAACATACGGAACGAATGACAGACGAAGGACTCCTATTCCCTAGATTGTGCGACATGCAAAGGAAGAAGGAGGCCCGCCACTTCATCCCGCATGTTTGCCCTACTTTTGGAGCGATACTGGCCTTGTTGCTTTGCGAAAAGGCGGAGATGCAGGCAGCAAACAATGGAACTTGCACATCACAGCCTCTCAGCCTCCATATGAATAGCTGTCAATATTCTCAGCTGCCAATAGTCTGCCACTGAGTTATTGGCATCTGGACAGGGCCCATTGCTCACGCCCACGCTGTCAGCATATTGCGCTATCGTTTGCCCGCCGAAATGCCACGCAGCAAACCCGTTTGTGGAAATACTGTCTTGCAAAAAGAAGTCGTGTCCACTTGTTGGTGGGTTTTCACCTCTCCATTTTGCCCTTACCATTTTGCCTTTATCTCATCGCGTTCCCATTTGTGCTAATTTTCGTTGCCAGTGCAAAGCGCTCACTAAATAACAGGGTTAGCGCCGTATCAGATCGAATCGCAGGGCCGTAATATCCCTATGGCCAGGCCCTTTCAGACCACAAGGCCCAACGGCCAGGTCTTGCTAGCGCTTTCCTTATTCGTTAAAATTGTCCTTCAGTTGGTCTCCGGAATTCGCCACAGCGGAAAAGCGACTGCGAAAGGGAAAGGTGCGCCGAGAGCCAAGAGCCCCGAATGCGAGTGAAAGAAAGGATAGGGTGAGACACTTTAGAACACGAGCTTTCCGCCCTTTTCCGCCTTTGTTTTCCCGTGTCCGGGTCCTTCTCTATGGCAAAACATTTACAGGGCCTGCGTCTTTGTCTTCAGCAGGAAAGTGCCCCGAACCGTAAGAGAATAGGAAGGACCCAGAAAAAGATACTTGGCACAACCTTTTCGTCGCCCCCAATCTCTCGGGTCGTTGGCGTCATGACTATGTTCCACTTGGACCCGGGAATCTTGCTTTGCGGCGGGCAAGTCAGGCGAGGTTGGCACATCTGTCCCATTTGGGAAGTTTGTCGCCTTTATATTCCCAGCACAGCCCGGGTTGACCGAGCCACCGGCCCTACGTTGCCCTTCTTGCCCCAGTGAGACAGGACATAACTTTCGCCCATATCTTATATATAATGTTGCGCTGCCTATGTCATCTTCGCTTGTGAATTCTTGTGATCGTTTTAACCTTTTGCTCCTTTGCTCTTTTGCTCTTTTGCCTCTCTCGATCTCTTGACTGATAATTTCTTGATCGGCTTCTTTTCTTTCTGATTTTGGAAGGCGGACTGTATGGTGCACAACACACGAGATCACCCATCGGAGAAAAATCACATAAACCAGGAATGCAAGACAGATCACAGATCCTTTATCGTCTAACACGCAATAAGCAGCCCCCTCTCCTACCCTCCTCAAGTCCTTAGCATCTCCTCGTCTCGGTCAGGTTCGCCAACCTCCACACAGTCAAACAAGCTCAAAACACTCACCGCCGCTCGCCGACGTACCAGCATCTCAGACACACACCACAACACATACACAATACGCGCACAAGACCTGGTCACGTTTACAGAGACCGCCTATCACGTCCACGCGGCAGGCCCGTGTTTCTTGTTCCTAGTCACGACCGACCTTTTCAAATCGGCGTTTGATTTTCTACATCACTATTAAGAGGCAATCTTTCTCTGTTCTTCTACCTGCATCTTCCCGCTCGTCCATTCGTTCCTTCTGCATTTCATATCAAGAGCGATACATTCGAAGCAACTCTGAAAAAAGGAAGCAAACCCACCGCACGTAGCTCGACCGGGGCAGAAACGAACAAATCCCACTCCGCACTGCCTACACAGCTGCCTATTGCAGCGGACCACCACCCTAACACGGCGGCACCTCGCTCCAAAGCCTCGTACCCCGCGGCGCTCGACCTCTTTTCGACCGCTAACCTGGGGCCACGCCCGCTTTTAATACCCATAATAAACCCATAATAACCCAGCTCCCCCTCCCACACCAACACCACCACCCCCACCCATCCACCAATCATCACGCGGCAAACCGACACAAGAAAATCGCACAACCAACACAAACAGTCAGCCTAGGGGCCAGGCCAAGCTTCAGCCAGCCACGCCCGGCTCCACGAACTTGTCTTGTTGTTCATTCTTTTCTTTTCCCTCATTTTCTCTTCTTTCTCTTTTCTTCCTCATCTCACATCGTCCACGGGTTTGTATATCGTCATTTCGCGTTTTGTTTTTGTCCTCGTCCTTGCTTTCCTGCTTGAAGACAGAGGATCGATAACAGGACATCAAGCCGCATCAAGCCTTACTCCGCACTCGTCACCTACTCCGCACTATCACAAGCAACACCAACACACAAACTACTCCCACCATGGTCCAGTCATCTACACCAGCACGTACAATGCATCATCACGATACTACCTCGTCCAGCACCAACCACAGCAACTGCGGCGCTCACAGCTCTCATCACACATCCAAACAAGAATCTCGTCGTCGTGAAACGACTGGCACCAGTGTCGAGATGGACCGCTTCGGCAACATTAGCACAACCAGCAATAGCAGCAACGGCAGCTGCAGCAGCAGCAACAGCTTCAACTCCTTCGACTCTTTCAACTCCTACAATGGCTTTGACAGCAGCGACAGCTACGATAACCAGCAGGCCTGGGTATCCGTTACCATTATCGAGGACGACGACCTGATGTTCGGTGGCAAGCCGCTCTGCACCTGGTACGAGGAGGACCGCCGCTGCAGTATGGGCGAGGAGAGCGCGCTGTCGCCGTGCAGCTCCATCGACGAGGAAGAGGAGATGCACCGGGGCCGGCCGCGGGACCGTCCTCAGTACAACCCATCGGGGAAGCACCACAAGAGCCACGAAAGCAAGAAGCAGCAACATTGAGCGCGCGACGAGCGCTGTTTGTTTAAACAATTAAGCTGCAAACGCGACTCAAAACAAAACCAAAAAGGCTGCACGTCGTGAAGCCCTTTTGGTCTGTTTGCTTTTGTTTGATGTGCAGCTGCGGCTGCAGCTGCCTGAACACGTTTTCAGCCAATCGATTTCGACGTCCACCGCCTCGCGCAGGCCAAGCTGGCCAAGCAGATCAAGCACCAAGCCCCGATTGCAAAAGGCAACCCAGCTTTGTTGGAAGACAAATGGGTGCCACCTTTTGGAGGCCAGGCTGGCCGTGCATGGCCCGGGTGCAGCCAGGGGCTGCTAACGAATATGCCAACGCCACACAAATGAGACGCCCGGGCAGGACACCTTGACAGTTATGGGGACCACCCCATTGGTCCAGCGCAAAACACATGCATGGGCGCATGTGCCGATTTGGACACAGGTCGATCTTCGGTTATTTCTTGGTGACCATTGGTGACCATTGGTGACCAATGCGAGATTCTCTTCCGTCTTCCCTCTTTTTTGATTTTAACTGTTATTGGGCATCGCATGGCATGGTATGTACTGGAGTGCATACCACCATTTTCGCATCAGCCTTCCAGCCTCGCTTTCTTTTTTCTCGCGATGATACCACCACATATGGATTTCTTACATCATAGAGGTCCTGGACCGGCCTGTTCAACCGGACACAATTGGGTTTGCTTGCGTCAGGACGACATCATCTGCCTCGACATACACGCTCTGAAAGGAGCAGATCGGACAGCTCCATCATATAGATTACGCGGGGTTCTTTTAAACATTCAAAGAGCAGGATGCGTTTGCTGTTGTCGCATTCCTGTTTCTAACATCTGGAACTTCCACTCTCACAACATCTGGGCTATTTTCTGGGCATACGCTCTAACTCTTAACTCTTTATGAATACAATACCACAATTTCGGTCTCTCGCAGTGACAGAGGAACCGCGCCCATTGCAAACGATAATTTTGCATAGCTCTATAACATACTTTTACGTGTCTCCCGATCCAGTGATCAACTGGTAGTCCTATCTGGCCAACATGTTCAACAGCGAATCGATTTCATCCCTGCCGATATAGTTTTCGCTTGCACGAGTCATAACGGGCAGCCTCGAATTCACCCTCAGGGCGTCGGCTGTTTAGTTCGATCGGTTGGTGTGAGATGCCCGTTGCGACAGGTTGGCCATTCCGCGATGACAACCACCACCAGGCAGCCAGGTTCTCAGCACAAAATGAATGAAAGAAAGAAAAAAAGAGAGGCGACAGAGGCCTAGACCGTGAGGCGATGTGGACGGACAGAGGGCCATAGAGCACCGCCCATCATCGGAACTAGCAGCGCCCAATGGTTGGCCCGTTGGTCGAACTGGACACACGGACAGTGCAGCCAATCGCAAAACATCTAGCGACAAAGCTATTTGTTTTCCGGGTCGGGCAAACTTGAACCACCGATTTTTGATCATGAGTTCCCACCCTGGATTCTGGATCCCGGATTTTGCCGTTGTCGTTGGATCAGTGAGTTGTTAACTCTAACCTGTCACAAGATCTGCGGTAGGACAACGGTCAGTCCAGAGAAGGGAAAATGCATCATTGCCAGTTTTATCAAAAGGAATTGCCGAGGTCGAGCGTCAGGTACTACTGGCATGAAGTGGCAATAGTGATCTTGGCGGCTGACCGACCATGATAGGTAGATGCTCAACGGGGAGGAAATAGGTTTAATAATAAAATAAAATTGTGGCATGTATGCTTGTTTTTATTGTTTAAAGATGAAAACTTTCAGTTTTCATCTTTTTAGAGTTTCAAACAAAGAAGACAATTAACTAAATATGACATGATTTGCGAAGAATACCATCTGAACTCCAACCTCGAGTCACCAGAGAAATCAAACACTAAAACAAAACAATAGATCGTAGAACGCAGCAAGAAGGATAATATCAGAAAACAATGCTATCACGCCAAGCAAGCTTGAAGCTGCCGCTATGGGGAACAGGGACTAACTAAGCGAGCTAAGTAAGGACCTGCCAGCACAAGCTCAGCTGTATTGCTAGGGGACCTAGCCCGCACTGTGACGTCATCATTTTGGAGTCAACTCTGGCTGATCTGGACATCAACATGCCTCAACAAGTACATCTTAAGACAGAGCGTAGTGAATATCATCACAAGCAAATTGTGAGAACTAAATATATATTATTCGACCTTCTTTACATGTTTCACTGCGGTTAGGAGCTTTAATTAGATCACCGCGTGTTTTACTTATGTCCTCGCGTTGTTGTTAATGACTTGCGCAATGCAACTGAAGAGGATAAATCATGGGAGCAACGCATTCATATGTCTTTAAAACTATTGAGATACGCATGGGTAGGTTTGTTGTCAGCTACGGGCTGTCGTGCAATGAACACAAAAGGACCGGGATTTAACGTGCATTTCTCTGAAATAACAGAATAGCAACTCCTCCAAATCCGTACTCGGAGAGACTAATAGGAATTTAAAATAAAGTCCTATCGTTTTTGCAGGGCATTTTGCTTTTTGTATTACTGCTTTTATGTGGAGATTCGTATGTACGTTTTTGTTGCGTACACTCGTCAGACACAACTGGTGATGGCCCGCGGGAATTTCGTCCTCTTACCCGAGAGACATCAGTCACCGTGGGAAGCATTTTTGTAACTTTTTGCGTTATCTGTTATCTTATATCATCTCCCCACCCAGCTTATTTACCCAGGGTCCCCGTTCGTTTGAACGGAGCGTATTTCTTTGCCGTGTTCTGACACATGCCAGAGCGTTAGTGGCTCGGTAAGCTGGCGACTCGCCCAAACCAGTCGTCAAACTAACATTACACTGTAACGAAAAGGTGATAAGACGTAAATAGAAATTTGCGGGTGTTGTTTGAATCAAGAACAGCTAGATTCGGGTCCTTCAGTCTCTCGTGGGGAAAGAATATTTGGGTGGCGCCTTTGCTCCGTCTTACAAGGTGCGTTTATTTCATGAATGTCGTTACAAGGATCACAACCAAACGCCGTGGGAATATAAACTATTTTTTTGACCACTTTATCCTACCTGCCTACTTCGTACTCTGACCAGGAGTGGCAGCCAAGCAGGGAGCCCAAATGCCGAGCCGCCGGCATATGAGCAGTAACGATGATCGTCTGCAACCCCCATCCCACTCAACCCCCCTTCGCATTTTGGTCATCCCCCGATCCTGTGATCGTCAATGGTATATTTCTGAGTGTGACGGTATGGTTGTGTTAAAAACGTTTGCTTCGTGATATCGCAATCGCTCTGAGATATTCTCCCATTTGGTGGTCTCATCAAAGGTTGAATGGCTGGCCATTTTTGAGTAGGCCAAACAGCAATCTTCAGGCACGGCACCGTCGACGGCTGCGGGCGTGATCACACAACAGATAAGAACCAGTTATGATCTCAACATGACCACAAAAAGCAACACATCTGCAACGCTTGCCATGTCATCAACCTGTTTCGTCTTCCGCACTTTCCCGTCGTTTCTGGTCAGGCATTAAGTGGTGTGATGGGAGACTCGGACGCCAAATGATGCGATGCCCTGAAACTAGCCCGGTAGTTTACTCAAAGGAGGGCATCGTGCCATTTCTAAATGCAACTCGATTCTGATTCTTGCTGAGACTTCCTGCAACGTCCCGTCGATTTTCGCAACGTACTCCGGAGATGTGGCGATGCGGAGTTGAATGCACACGCAAATTGCAGATGCAGATGCACGTTCCCTCACTTACACGCCCGCTGCACACCCCGGCCGGCATAACCGGGCATGGTGCGCGGAAATACTGCATCAAGGTGGTCTTTTGTGGCTGATCGCGTCTTCTTCATGGTCTCGAGACCACTTGATCTCCACCGCTACGTTGTTCTCCCCCCTCATCCTGCAGCGCACAGCTGCAGTTGCAGTATGCACAATGTTTCACTGCCGAAACGACTGCTCTATCTCCGTTTCTCCGCTATGAATGTTTGGAGCACTGTACGCCGTACCTCTTGTTGTATATCGTGGTGGTGTCTCAAGACTGGCTGTATGCCGCTCTTCGCCAGCACGGGACGTGTTTCTACACTTTACTCCTCTGTACAAGTCACGATTTAGTGCCTTGAATATGTCATCATCCACCATCCACTTTATTTCGTTTCGTGTTTCTTTTTAATGCTTTCGAAAATTTCCCTACCTGCCTGCCAGCCTGCGAACATGTACGAAATACGTCTCGGGGACGCATCATCGGACTGTTTCTGCCGTTTCATTCGCGCGCATTTTGTGATTATCTTCAAGCAGCTAACCCTCCCTGGACCTTGACCCTCCTGTTTTCGGCGCCTTGTGGCCGATCGCGACCGGTTCGGGCGCCGATCCTGCAATGCGCCAAAAAAGATGTGCGAGCTGGAGCGTCATCCATTGTCTCCGTTGTCCGACCTCATCGCCGAGATGATTGTGAAATAAGGCGAGCCAAGGAAGCCAAAATCGAAACGAAGGCCACAAAGTATATTTGAATGAAGCACGTGAATTCCAGAGTAAAAGATTGCTCTCGTCAGTTTGCGAAATGTGAGCTTAGCGAATAAGAGACAGATACAGAACGACAAAGCTGGGCAAGTTTCTCATTGCTTCTCAATGTCTCATCCTTTTCTGACCACCAGCACGTCTCTTAGGCTTGCTTTGTGTCTCGTTTGCAACGGTCGCCGATGTTAGCAACTTAGCTCCTGAAGCGGAAAGCTCCAACGGTGCATCATCGACCGAGCTATCTTTCGGTTTCTGGGTTGATTTTTGACGCACCTGACGAGCGATATCCCTTGGGTGGTCTGGACTGCCGTTGGCAAACTCTAAATAGGACCTAAAAAATAAAAGAGCTCTGTAAAGGTAACGCAAAAAAGAAAGCATCAGCAAGCCCGATACCATCCCCCTCCCAAGGCGCCACATTTTGCAATCGGCGCCGTTTTGCGGAACCGGCGTGACCCAAAATCGTAACAATCACAGCTGATCCCTGCTCATCTTTGGTCTTTGCTTTCCCTTTTGCATTGGGTCGGCTTTGGTGCCGGAACTTCCAAGGCACGTACGAAATACAAAGTACATCCTCCCGTCGCCCCCTCCCCACTTGACGGTCTCTGCATTCTTTGACGACTTAATAAACTCGTCACTCCCTCGTTTCCGAGCTTTCTGATGTGCACTTTGTACTTTTTCTTTCCTGTCGTAGAGTAACGATATTCTCACTTTATAATTGTGTCAGTCGATCCACCACACATCCGTGTAGTAGCGCATTTGAAAAGTCATCGCTCAGTCATACACTTTCAGCCACTTACACACATTACTCGAAGATCATACGTCGACACTACAAGCCATTTGTGCTAAAATACGAGGACGAGACACCAAAACAAAGTTTCCTTCAGAACGTCCGGCAGAAGGCATCGGACAACAAGAATACGGACGCTGGGCATGCGAGTTGTCGACCCCTTGAACGACCGTTTGCTATCATCTCAAGATAGTGGTCGTCGGTGGAAACAGTAAACGCCTTCACTTCAACCGCTCAAAACACGAACCGCAACTGGTCACGCACAATGCATATCCAAGACGCCTTCCGTCGGTATTCGTTCTCGTCGCGGGCTTCTTCGTCGTCGCTGTCTGACCGTGACGACGACGACGCCATCACGCCCGTGGAGGACGAGTACTGTGAAGCAAAGCTACAAGGCGCCGAGGCAGACAAACAGGCACAGGCATCAGCGCAGACCCAAGAACAATGTCGGGATCCGCCGACGCCGAACAACACACCGGCCGAACTCGACAACGCCGTCTTGTGGCACCGCATGCTCGCCCTGCAGCGCCGCTACCACTGCTACAACTCGGCACGCATGAGTGCCGCTCTGGAAGATGAAGCCGTCGAGGCAGCTGTTCGTGCGTACTCTCGGTGATGTGCAGTATTGATTTGTCTGTCTGCTTCGACCCCGTTTGTATCCTGTGTGCTAACCCTTTAGCCCCCCGCCCTTGCCTCGACTTGCTCAACGACAGCATAGCCTCCTCGTGGGTATGTGACGAGGCGCCGGACGAAGTGGCGGCCCTGCTGGTGCTGGTGCCGGACCGGCGGCGCAGCTGGGTCGGCGGCTGCTATGGCGAGTTGGCGGCTGCGTCGTCGGCAACGGCCGCGGCATCAACGAAACCGGACAGCACCGAAACCGGTCGCACGTCGGTAGACTCTGTTTCGACAACGACGCCCTCGAACAACGGCGCCGCGCGGCACCACGAACAGATGCGGCGGCAGCGCGTGTGGCGCAAGAGACGCGAGGGCGTTTGAGTTGGATGGACGAAGCGAGGAGAGTCTGATTTATTATTCGGGTCGTGAAACCTATGAAGAATGACAGTTTGCCATTGATACCCTGGAGCAAGAACGTTCACATATTGATCCTCAAATGACTTCTATTTACACGTCTATTTTAATTATCGTACAGCATATACAGGACACACAAAATTACAACGTCACGTCCACCCTATCGTTACTCCCTCCATGGTGGCGTCCGCGGCAGATACGCCTTGCTCTTGATCGCCTGCCGCAGTCCGTAGAACGCGGCAAAGGGCCACCGTGTCTTCCACATGGACGGGGCACCCGACGCCGCGTTGCGGCCCGTGTTCACCTTGATCTTGTCGTACACCGACGGCAGCGTGGTGGCGTGGTACTTGGTGCGCAGGGCGTCGTATGCGGGCTTGTCGTAAATCTTCCAAAAGAGATCTTCGTCGTAATACGCATGGGCGTAGAACCACTTCATGCCGCCAAAGTGGTGCGCGAGGCGGTGTTCTAGGTCGCGGTTGAGGGCGACGCAGCGGTCGGCGTCGGCGCCAGCAGGGCCGCGTCCCCAGAGGCCAATGTTGAGCAGGGGCTCTGATGACGCCGATGCAGACGGCGCAGCCGTCGAAGTCGAAGTCGGGGTCGAAGTGAGGGAGGAGGACGACGACGACGACGCAGAGGAGGCGGACGTGGTCGTATTTGACTCGGTCGTCGACGGACCCGTCTCCGGCACCCGCTTCTCGTGCGGATGAAAGGTCGGCTGCTCCGGCGCTTGCAGAGGACACAGCCACAGCGGCCAGATGCCAAACGTCTCTGCGGTGTAGTCCACAAACGCCTCGGCCGTCCTGTACGGCAGGGCCAGATCCTGCACAATGTAGGTGGCCGACTGGCCGGACGCGTGCAGCGCCTTGTACAGCATGCGGGTGTGCAAAAAGTCGTCGAGGAACCAGCGCGTCCACTTGTTGAAGGGGAAGGGAAAGTACGAAAAGGCGGAGCGGCCGACCCAAAAGCCGCCGCGGTCGTAGCGGAACAGGTACTCGGCGAGGGGAATGTACTCGACAACGGGTGGTGACGATGGCGACGATGGCGATGACGACGACGAAGAGGTGCGGTCCTGCACATGCAGATAGAACCACGGGTCGCGCGGGTGGCTGAATGTTTGGATATGTTGCCCCGGCGGTGGCTCGTCGTCCGTCATTTCGCCCGTGACAACCACGCCGTGGTCTTTGGAGAAGAGAATGCCGTCGACGTAGTCGGACGCATTGGTCTCCTTCTTGTTCTTGCTCTGCGCCGTCGCCATATCCGTCTTCTCCCGAATCAGCTGGATCGTCTCGGCCACGCTGTTGCACCGGTGGTACGTCGTCCGGACATAGTTGCGCGCCGGTACCAGCCGCAACTCCATCAGCGTCGTGATGCCCAGCGTCCCCAGCGCGCCCGCTGCCCCTTTGAACAGATCCCGCCGCTTGTCGTCCGCCGACGGCGTCGCCTCGACCACCTCGCCGTTGGCCAGCACCATCTCCACTCGGTTGATTGTCCTATCAAAGAACCCATGCCGGAACGAGCTGCTCTCGCCCGCCGTCCCCGCGTACCCGCCACCTGCGGTAATCCCTGGGAACTCCATCACCACCGGCGGCACCAGCCCGTGCGGCAGCGTCGCCGCTACCAGTCGGTCCATGGGCACATTGGGCTCGACGAGGGCTGTCCGCGCCTGCTTGTCGACCTGCAGGACGTGGCCGAGCGCGCTGATGTCGACGGAGCGCGTGTGGCCCGTCGCGGCAGTGCGTGGCCGCGTCGAGTTCGTCGAGCCGTGGAAGATGCGGTACGGCTCGCGGCGCGCAAAGAACTGGCGCACCGTCGCGGCGATGGTCGCCACGGTCTTTTTGTGGGCGTCCATCGTGCGCTCCGCTTGCTTCCCTGGTGCTGTGGGACAAGAGCTTTCGATCGTTCTTGCGATGTCGCATGTCGTTGGTTCCTTTCACGCTACGTTTTTGGAGGTCGGCAGAAAATCTGGAGATGCGCGGGAGGACCCACTCTGCGGCTACACCCACAACCTTTGAGTACAGCGAAGACTCTGCACGAAGACATGCGAAGGTTGGAAAGACGCTTCAGATGCGCAAGGGCTATATAATTAGATGCTCAGTCTTTGTTGAGATGTGCCCAGGTCTCGGCATTAGCATAGGGGAACAATGCTGGTATCGAGCGTGGTCCCTTGTGAACGTAGTCGTGGGATACCGCTATTCCCACTTTTCATGGCACCGTTTCTCTTCAGAACGTGTCGATTGTCTCCTAATTCATAAGATTGACCCTCATTGTTGAGTCGGTGTAGAGCTGACCTGTTTATCAACATGATAATCGTGCATTGCCAGTGCACAAGCCACCGACAAATTCAATCTGCAAACTCGCTTGTCTTTTCTTCCGTTCTTGGGCAAATATTAAAATAAACACAAACTCGTCCTTGAGATGCATCTCGTGCTGGAGATTACGATAGTCGTGTACTGGAATGAAGACCAATGAAAAGAGATGCTGTCATGTTGTGCTTTATTACGTGATATAGCTGTAAGGAGCTGGCAAACAGGAGTCATGAAGAAGATTGAAAATAACCGTATGCCCTAGATAAATGTACAACGACCGTCCTTTCCGTCGTGCCTCGTGTTTGGTCCGGATCCTATGTGTGATAGCTGCCCCCATGTCAACCGTACCTGACGTCTGACGTTTAGTTGTGGAATGTGTCCTGTGTGGACTTCTTGACGCTTTCACTTTGTGAATTGTGACACACGGGGCCTCGTTGCGTTTCCGTGCGTTCAACATTAGGTATGAACGGCGTCTAGAAATATGGAGAACGCCACATAAGGAAACACGGAGTACCCGTTCAGGAAAATATGCGGATTGAAATGAAGCGGACCTTCACTCCGCTTTGGCAGCAAACGGCCATTGACCGTAAACAATTATACATGCATATCCGTACTTTGCAAGTTCTCGTTTGATACAATACGTCTTCTTCCTTTGGAAAACACGAGCTTTCATCGCGGAGCCATCGTACTCTGTACGGAAAGATAGAAACATATCCGAGAAAACGAGCGCGTTTTTCGTTTTATGATTTCCAATCGACCTGGTCCTTGTCGTGAATCATAAAATAAAAATGCATCCTACGCCCTGCCTGCGAGATTTGTTTTATGTTCTCACTGTCCCTTTGTAGTCACTCCGTATCCCGTATCCTGGCCTACAAATTCTTCTATACAGTAAACTCCCTGCTGGCGGACATGAAGCCCAGTGCGGGCTCCAATCGGAATGTTTACATGCCCTTGTTTCCGTGTTGTCCATTGTGACCACAAGTGGTGGGGAAGGGGGCCGTCTGACCTGCTCCAGGAGAAGAAATCTTGTCGGCACTCAGCCCGAGGAGATGCGGAACGGCGGCTACGACTGTGATGTGAAAAGCCATGCCTTCTAGATGCCACAGAGCTCGATTGCATTTACTTTCTCTTCGTGGGGGTCAAACATGTCGTAGCTACACGTAGAGATGAGGATAAACCGTCGAAAGAGAGAAACCTTCTGAGGACGACATGGTGACCCCGGACTCCCAGCTATGAAGAGAGAAGCAAAGCATATTGCACTGTACCCCTATTTGTAGCGGCTTTCCAACGGATGTCGATGGGAGATGCTCCGTTTTACCGTTGTTTTCGTTGTTTCGACACTATGGTTCCAAATTCTTTCCTTGACCAACCCTTAACATAAAATAGGGTGAACGCAGTGCCCAAGTACACATACACATAAGCATCACAACGCCAACGTGTGAAACACGTCGTAATCACAACGCAAAAAGTTTGGTACACAATGGGGCCACTGGTCAGCGAGCCGCTCACCGAAATTTACGTCCCAAAACGAATAGCGCCTCAGCTGCTGACCACCAAAACATGACTGACGTTTTCGTGCTTTCGCTTTCGCTTTCGTTCTCGTTTTTTTTTTCTTTTTTTTTTTCTTTTTTTCTTTTTTTTTCTTTTTTCCTTTCTTTTTCTTTTCTATTCCCGCACTTGGACTGCTCGTCATATTCCTCACCTCACTTGCCAGAGCCGCTATCACAATTACAACTGTTTACAGCGCTTCCACTATGTCGTACGAAAAGGACGGGCAAATGGATTTAAAGGCCTGAGCCGTCTGGGGCATTGACATTCATGTGCAGCGTGCAGAGGTTACCTACAAGGATCTGTGGAATCAGTCTCAAGGTTTTGGGTGATACGCCGCCTTCTCTGTGCTCCGTACGAATACATTTAGAGGGCACCATGCTCCAAAGTTTGGTACGCGCAAGTTGGTGGTGACTGTGGTGACAAACGAATGCGACACAAAGCGCGAACCCCCACAGGCCAAAGCACTGGCATCACCGTTACCATTGCCGGTGTCCCAGTCTGACAAACATACAACATGATGAAAGCACTTGTGGTCCTACGGAGTACAGGAGTACAGGAATCTCACAACGCTCACGGAACCTGGCAACTGTCGAAACTGGGGTGGCAATTATGGGAGCCCTCAATACTGGCTTTGCCATATTACTCCTACGTTGTCATTTCTCCGTAAGTCGTACTTCCACGACAGATGACCGCTCCATGTAAGATACATAGCCCCCACAGATGGTTCCAGATCTCTTGTTAAATAAGACGACATCTGGCAGGCAACACAAATTGGTGACGCCCTGCAGCGACATGACTGTAACTGGACAATGCTCCTGAAGTCAAAATGCATGCAGCCACAATGTCCACGCTCCCCTTTTGTGTTTAATATACATCATGACCACGATATGTGGGGGTGGATCGGCAGCACTCGCCAATCTGCTTGCTGTGAGATGAAGATACGTCGTGCTTCGTAGTCCAGCAAGAAACAATGCTATTGTTTCTGGCGGTCAAGGAGACGACCAAGGAGGTCGAGAAAGGGAGACGTCAATGGATCAGCACTGCGTTGGATTGATTTTCTTGTCAGCTGGCATACCGTCTATGACCACTTTCCCGTTTGCCCTCTGCCATATTCATTCCCCTTCTCATTACGTCCGGGCATGGTTCGCCTCATCTTTTGCCGGCCTTTCCCGTCGGACACTGTCCGTGATCAACAATCTCTCGCGCCAATTTGTATAGCTAGAGCAGTGCACGTTCTCCCGTATGCACAGCTGCACGTTTACAGCGTGCAAACATGAGGACGTGACTTTTGTCGTACTTTTTTGCCGTGTGTTGAAATGAGTTCAAAAAGGCACCAAAAGGGCAATGCGCGCGGCCCCCTTCCCCCCCTTTCTTCTCTTCCTTCTTTGCGGTGGCCTGACCCCCACGCCGACGAGGAGCATGTGGTCCACGCAGGGATTCGCTGTCTTGACGGAGTCTTCTGTGTTGTTTTTGTTTTTGACTCTTGTTCGGTACCAAAGGACGGAATTGGGGGGGCTATCTTTTGCAGACCGAAGCGACATGTACGGAGCATTAACGACGACAATGAATTCTCCGAGGAGCATGTGCAGGCTGTACGTCGTATGTCGTATGTTGTACGCCACGGGACGTTGTACGCAGAGGCTGATCTCGATTAACGGCCAAAATTACCATACTAAGTCGTGCTCTGTCTTGATTATTGCGACGTCGTGTCCGTTAAAACCGTTCGAGAAGAAGGAGAAAGCCAACAAGAAACCCCACGGAAGCGGGCAGCTTGCCAGGCAAATTACCCTTTGCCTGCCGCAAAGTCCCAAACCCGGAAATCTTATAATGCCAACGAAATACAACACCGCCCCTCGTGTCGCAAATTCCAATTCAGGTAATACTTGCGTCGTCAAAGTCTCCGTGTGTACATGTTACTTCCCGTCGCCTCTTTGTAAGCGTTGTATGCTGTACAACATACATTGAATTTCACTGTAGGATCCACGTTCTTACTTTGTGGCGAAGATCAGAGCTCAGAAACGAAGCAAAGTCAGCAACTGACCGAATGGTCTTGCAGGGTAGTCGGGCACAGAGAACCATGTCCAGGGCCACGTCCAAGGCCATTTCCAGGGCCACGAGAAGACAGCCGCAGAGCTTGTTAGGAAGAATCAAACAAAGAAACAAAAAAGTTGACAGGCACTTGGTCAGTCTGCGCCTGGCGGGGGCGAGAATGAAGGGAACAGAATACTGTCGGATGCGGCGTGGAGAAGGGAGGGGGAAACGTGAAGTGTGAGCGGGCCTAAACGTTGCAGCTGGGACCGTGATGGTTGGCTGGAGCAGGGGTTGAATGTTCCTCGAACCTGGACACTGGAAACGGAAGGAAGGCTGAACACGAAGGAAGAGAACAAAGAAGTGACAGAACAGAAAACAAGGACGGGGGAAAAATAAGAAGAAAAGTGACAGGTCATCTTACGCACTGCTGGGTCCGTTTGGTTCTGTTTTTTGGCCCGTTTTCTGGACACAGGATGGGAGTTGTGAGCGACTGATGCGGTGGAGGAAGGTCTTCAACGAAACACTGGCAGTTGGAACGGCATGTAGCCGTTGCGTCAACGACTGAATGGTCCGCTCAGGGCGTCGAACGGACTCGTGCTGACACGAAATCAAATATAAAAGTGCCGTGAAAACGAGAAACGACTAACAATGCCCCTATTGTCTTGAGCGGAATTACACCGAAAATACAATTTAGATACTCCTTAAAATCAAAAGCGTCGGCCGGCCATGAGACGGTAGAGTCCAGTATCAAAGAGGAAACAAAAGTGAGGCGCGAGGGCTGGTTGGACAAGATGGGGACGATCACAGGTGCGTGCGTACTGAAGACAGAGAGAGGCAGAAGGAACGATCGTCGCGGAAGAAGACAGCCTAGACTTGAAAAGACGAGCCGTTGCCAAACTGCGGCGCGGCGCGCACTCAGAGCGCACCGCGCCGGCAGCGCCAGTCCATGTACGTCGTAGGG